GCTCGCCACCGCTTGGTAAAATGGCGTATGCACTGGCTCCCTTCCTTTCCTCTTAAGGATTGCCGTTGTGGCAAGAAAGAAGCCAACCGCCGCCACTACGAGTCCGACTGCCCGCTGCTTGCACCAATGATCCAACAACTACGCAGCAGCTACAACACACCTGTGCCTGAGGACTGTCTTCTAATTGACGTGCTCCTCAACGCTCTACCAAGAAAAGCAAGGCACTCAAGCATGGTCACTGGCGTCGCACATGGCCATTGCTCTTACACACACTTCGCGACATCGACATCTGTAGCCATCCAGATGGCGATTTTGATCCCGAACCCGATCCTGGCTGGTCCTGGACGAGGTACTTTTACCACCACCACCATCATCATCACAGCCACAACAACAACCATCCACCACCAACAACAACAACACTGGCTAGTGCTCATCATGCCTAGCATTACAAAACAACAACATCATCATCATCATAGTTCCCCCTGTTCTTCTTGCCACTGGCAATTCTTTATATATTCTATCTTTATTTCCTTTGTCGTGTAGCTAGAAATCTTGTATGTATTATCTCTTCATTCGTACCACCACCCCTCCAGTCTCATATCCCAACAGCCGGGTTTTTCTTCCCCTTTTGAGGGTTTTCCCGCGCTTGTTACACAGTCCCTTTCCCCACATTTTTAATCTTAAATCTGTGTAACTCCCGATCGCCGTGCTTCACAGTAGCCGGCAAATTGCCTTAAGGATGTTGCCCTTGAGTGCTACTTCCACCCTTTAATAAAAAATACTCTTTGAACTGGACCATAGAGGAGAGACATCTGTCGAGCATCGCGCGCGGCAAAAACCACCTCTTTTTATACTTTTCTTCACTCTGCACCCCCAAAAACTCGTCCTTTTTTCCGATCACCCCCCAAAAATTACGACCTCGAACTCGCCTCGCATAACACCCGAGGCAACCGCCAATATTCCCACCTCACCACGTACAACAGCCGTACCTGCATCACCTACAGCACCAGAATCGGCCATACGCCTCACATCGGCTTTGCCTATTAGAGCAAAACGGCGTGCTTCACAGCGGGCAACCCATATCCCCTCCCCTATCAAGAAGACCCCTTCCCCCATAGAAGGAAATTCACAGCAAAAACGGCAAAAACGCCGCACCACCCCTTCACCTACTACAACAGAAATTGCCACCCCCAACATCATCAATTCCACGGATATGTTTATCAACGGCCAAGAGGTATCACTATACCCCCAGCCCGAACGCACCCGCAGCAACAGCCCCCTCGCCGAACGCGGCACCGCCGCCCTTCAGCAACAACAGCAACAGCAAACCAACAACAACAACAACAACCAGCAAGAGCAAGAGCTCTTGTATAGCTCTCTGCATACATCACTCCCAGATACACAGGAGCAGGAGGATGCACATTGTAACAACAACAACAACAACAACAGCAATCCCTCCCTGGTTCCTCGCGTTCCAGCAGAAAATTGCAGCCCACGATGAGTAATTAGAGCAAATGGCCGCTCTAATTAAAGAAAACAAGCAACTCTGGTCAGAATTAGCACTCGCTTATCAGCGTATTGCCGAGCTCGAGGGAGAACATCCCCCTGTGCCACCAGCAGCAACAATGACTGTTATGGATAGCACCCTGAGTACGAAGATGATGAATGTCTTACAGGCACTATTGAGTCCGTACACGCGGGTACACCAGAATCTCGAGCTGTGTACCAGCAGCAAAAGCGTGCCCGTGAAGCACACTAAGAGCAAGATGGGAGAAGCGTCTCACACGCCAGCTCAAGCTGATGGATCGCATGGACCAGCAGCAACAGCAAAAGCACAAAAACAACAAAAGCAACAACACCTGCACCTAACAACAACAGCAGCAAAAAGACGTATGCAGCAGCAGCCAGCAAAAACGTTAGCAGCAACAACAACAAGCAAAAGACCGTCGTGTTGTGAAAACACTAACAGCAGCAATGGTGGCATGGGCCAGTCGTGGATTTGCCCCAATAGATCCTACTGCCGCACAAGGGTATACATTTGTGTACCTCAACAGCCCCCACCGCATGCGCCATAGTGAAGTACATAAACGCCTTGCTATCCTCAAGGTGCCACAGGCCCGCATTCTTGACGTCCACTTCCCTACTACTGGTATTGTAGGCCTATTGATCCATCAATCGTTCAAGAATGAGCTTGAGCAGCTACTGGTGCCAGGTAGCATCAAATTTGTCGACTTTGATCCATTGTCACCTACTGTCATTAAGGATCAAAATCTCGAAACCATGACAGCAACGGAAAAAACAACAAAGGCAATCGATATCCATCAGAGACGCATTTACCACACATGCCTTCAAATGCCGCACACCTATCTTGGTAACGCAATCATGCGTTATTTCTGTGCCGACAGCTATGACGGGCCCCATAAGCTACCTATGGAAATGCTGATTGAGTTCCAGAAGCTGCGCCCAGCACCACAATTCCGTCGTCGTAGGGAATTGACACCAGTAGAAGCAGCGTCAGCATTCCTAGCACCAGCAACAAGCAATAAGGACGACGACGGCCGCAAGACAACAGCGCCAAAAGCAGCAACAACAACATGGGAGAGGGAGAGGATGTTGACATGGGCAACATCTCTGCCAATAACTCTACCACCACCACCACCTCAAAAAACATCGAAGCCGCAGCAAAAGACAATAATTAATGAGTGACACCATCAAGATCGCTCAACTTAATGCAAATGGTATCGAAAGATCGCCAGATGTGTTAATTAATTATTGTATGAAAATAACATTGATATTTTATTGCTAACGGAAACTAAACTACTCGCTGGACGACTTACAACACCATGGACGCAATTTCATAATTATGCGTGGACTTCAGGCAACGCACGAGTCGGCTTTGGCGGGCTAACGCTGCTTGTGCGCCCTGATTTTCCTTACCATGTTCACCCTCACGACCATCGAATCGCTACACCATCACCTGTACGATCGGACCCTACACCATCCACTGTCTCTACTTACCTCCTTCTCTCTCCTTTCCCGACTACACCGCCACCATCCAACGCCTCACCATAGACAACAGCACCATAATCCTCGGCGACATCAACACTCGTCTTGGTGCACAGCTCGGCGATAACGACAGCACTTATCCTCGAGCAGGATTCCTGCAGCAATGGCTTGTTGACCATGGCATTGTTGTATAGAACGAAACACTCGCGTTCGGCAAACACACCTTCCACAAACCGAACGTTGGATCCAGCATCATCGACTTCTTCATCTCCTCACCTACTGCAGTGATATCACCTTCGCTCGTAGTAAGAGATGATTTGACGTTTGGATCCGATCATCACCTCTGCCAATTCGACTTCTTCCTCCACACACCAATTGACCGGTTGCCAGCTCCCAACGCGCCGCGCCAACATTGGAAGCTACAGCGTTTGCATGAAGAAGATGTCCAGACGGTCTACATTGATGAGTTTACTCGCAATGTCGCACCGATTAGTGACGAGATACAGCAGTGTCTTGATCGCAATGAGCTGGACTTGGCGGCTATCGAACAGCTTGGCCAGCGTATCACTCAAGCCGTATACGAAGCGCTAGATGCAAGTGTCACTAGAGGGCAAGCCCGACCGAAGCAGTGGAAGTGGTTCTGGACCGCAGAGCTACAGAAGCTTGCTGACGAACGGCAGCAACGTTACAGTCGCTGGCGACATGCACCTGCCACCCTTGCACGAGTCACCCTGTGGAAGGAGTTCACCGATGCCCGAGACGAGCTGCGTATCGCCATCCGCCGTGCTCGCACTCGCCAATGGCGTGAATTCTGTACCAAGATGCAACACAACGACCCATCCGAGGCCAACAGCGTCATCAAGAGCATGAGACGAAACTGCCAGAAAGGTGCCACGTTCTCGCATCCTCAAGGTCCCGCCCATGCTGCCGAAACAATGATCACTCATCTAGCTAGTGTCTTTGGCGGTGAGGTCTCTGACCCGCTGCAACAGTGCTACGATCAGCTGGATGATGTTGGTGACGATCCGTTCTCACTAGAGCGTATTGTCATGGTGATCCACAAGGAGCTGCTAGGTCTTAAAGCACCTGGATCAGATCATATTCATGGTGAGATGCTAAAGCCGATTGCTCGTCCACTCACATCAGTGCTCTCCCCTTTTCTTCGTCTTTGTTGGTGCTGGTCGTATTTGCCTGCTGCTTGGCGCACTGCACAGGTAGTACCGATCCACAAGAAAGGCAATCCATCCCTTGCGTCCAATTATCGGCCGATCAGTCTAACAAGCATGTTTCGTAAGATCGTCGAGCGGTGCTTGTTGCCAGTGCTGCTACAACAGATGCCTGCGCTCGATGTAGCCCAAGGTGGGTTTCGGGCTCGTCGCGGTGCTCTCGACCAGGCGTTCAATTTACAAGTGTTGATGCGCCAATTCCAACGCCAACACGATCAGCCACCCGTTGTCGCGTTCCTAGATATCAAAGCGGCGTACGATTCTGTCGACCGTAACGTTATTTGGGGAGTGCTCACTGACCATCTGCAGCCAGCATTGCTTGAGTTGCTCAGGCATATGTTCAACGAGGTGTCGATCAGCGTCATCCTCAGCAACTACCAATCGCGTGCCATCCGTCCTCGTCACGGTGTACTACAAGGCTCGATCCTTAGCCCGATCTTGTATGCCGTGTTCATCGACTCGCTGCCCAAGGTGCTACGACTTGGCAGCCGCCAACCACTGCTCATCCGCACTGTACCACTTGCTGATTACACTGAAGCATCTGCTCAGTTGCTGGAACGCCGCACCCTGCGTGATCGTCGTCGCCAAGACACGGATATCTCTGTCATTAACTCGCTGCTGTATGCTGACGACGTGGCTATTTTCGGTTCTTCCGATGATGTACGCCAGCTGCTTACTATGGCACAGTTGCACTCGGAACGGTATGGGTATCGATAGAGCCCTACCAAATGCCAGATCGTTAATGGCCAGCCTGGTGTCCAATATCGACTCTACGGTGAAGCTATTGAACAAGTGCCCTGGTTCAAGTACCTTGGTATCCCGTTTACGGCAGAGGGCATCGACACCAACCGTTTGATCCAGACAAACGCTACCAAAACCATTAGCGCCATAGTTTTGCTTTGCAATATCGGCGCTCATCAATACAACTTTGGCCTCGGTCTCGCCCTGCGCCTATATCGCAGCTTTGTTCGTCCTGTGCTGGAGTACGGCCTAGCAATCTTCACCCCAACCGCCACACAATATACCGCCCTCGAAAAGGTGCAGATTCGTTGCATTCGGTTAGCATTGAACGTTACCGGCCCTGCTGCCACCACACCAACAATCGTCCCCCTCCACCTTGCTGACTTGCCGTCAATCAAACTTCGAGTGCGTATCTTGCTGTTCAAGTTTTTGTGTCGTGCGTTCCGTTTGCCACCGTCAACCTTGCTCGCATGTGTCGTTTCTTCATTTCTTCGTCGCCATCACCCACCCGACTATTGGTGCGTCATGACAACAAATAAGTTATGGGTAGACGAAAAAGAAGTAACTCGCCAAGCACCACTGCCACGCGACCCCATGCAGCACGTAATCGACAGTCACCACTGGGGGGTAAGTCTTAGCATTATGATTTTAGCAAAATGATTATTAGCTAAAAAGTTATAAGTAATATAATTTTTAAATAAATTTAATAAATCATGAAATTAATTTTTTGTTAAAAAAATAATTTCTCAACCCTTATGATTATTCTCAATCATTAAGTTTAGGAAAAATCAGGCTAGGAGGAACGACGACGCCCCCGGAGTGAATGAAATGAACAGAGCTTGACAGTATAATAAGATATCATAATATTGTTATTTATAACAATATTATTGATATTGTTTATACTTCACCAACAAGAATTGCAAAGCCGCCGCAACTGGTTCTCCACTGTGCGATGTGCTTTGCCGGAACAGAGATGGGATCCAATCCTGTTTCTGCCCGCCACCAATTTGGCTCGCCACCGCCTTGTCAAATGGCGCATGCATTGGCTGCCATCATATCCATTAAAGGATTGCTGCTGCGGCAAAGTGGGAGCCAACCGACGCCACTACACCAATGGTTGTCCTCTTTTGGCGCCAATGGTCAAGCAATTACGCAACAGTTTCCCTGGGCCTGTGCAAGACGACCAACATCTGCTGGATGCAGTCTTCAACAGCTTGCCAAACAAAGCAACAGCACTCAAGAATGGCCATTGGCGATCTATATGGCTCGTGCTTCTGCTTACGCTCCGTGATATCGACATTTGCAGTCATCCAGATGCCACCTTTAATCCCGAACCTCATCCAAGGCAGGTCCTTGATGGGTTCTTTTCACCACCATTACCACCACCTACATAATCATTGCTAGTGCCTTTTCTTTCCCCTAGCACACCATCAACAACAACACCACTTCTCTTATTACTTTGTGCCCTAGGTAGTTCATTCTATATTTTATATCTTTTATTTTCTTTTGTGTCGTTAGAAACTTTATCTCTATCAGTATCACCTCCCCCCAGTCACTTCTCTTAGCTTACAGCCGGGTTTTTCTTCCCCTTTAAGGGTTTTCCCGCACTCGTTCCACCACCTTTACCCTGCATTTTATATTCTTGTCACACCCTCCCTTTTGAAACAATGAGACCAGCAAATTGCCTAATAGATGTTGCCCTCGAGAGTCTCTTCCACCCTTTAATAAAAATACGCTTTGAACTGGACTATAGAGGAGAGACATCTGTCGAGCATTGCACGCGGCGAATTTGAAGCCTTTTTATAACTTTTTCTTCGCTTGCACCCCCAAAAACTTGTCTTTTTTTCCCACCCTCCCCCAAAAAAACACGACATCGAAAATTTCGCCTGTGACACCCGAACAACCGAGCATCCCTACATCACTGCACACAACAGTAGGGCACCCATCACCAATAGTACAAGAATCCGCAGTACGCCTCGATCTAGCACCACCCATTACTGCAAAGCGGCGTGCCTCAGAGCGTGCTACATGCATCCCCAACCCTATCAACAAATCCCCTTTACCCATAGAAGGGAATTCACAGCAAAAATGGCAAAAACGCCTCCTAGCCACGAAAAACGAAACACCACCACACAAACCCAACAACAATATAGAAGGGATGGTAGTCATCAACAGCTATGAGGTCATACCATCACCCCACTATGTCCGCATGCTTGAAAATAGTCCGCTTGCTACACAAGGTACCACTACTATAATAAAACCTATAAGAAATATTTATTTAACCTAGTTATACAGTTTATTTTTGTTATTAATTATAGGCAACACTAATTAAAATTAATCTAAAAATAAGCTAAGTTTTAAAAAGGTTTATGTTAAATACATACCATATGGATTAAACACTATGTCTTTTTGGGATTAAAAAGGGCATCGTCTCTTGAACTTAAGATTTTTAGATGTTATTCTTTTTTCATATCAATATGGAAATGGTGGAAGATCTAACGTTTAAGTGATATGGATTAACTCCCATAGCCGCCTCAGTACCCTTTATTTTTAACTTATGATATCCGTGTAACTTCCTAATATAGTAACAGGGTTGAAACGTTCATATAGTAAATCAGATGCGTAAATTTTGATTTCATCAACTCCGAAGCTCCGACGTTGTCACATCATGGAGAAATAAGGAATAAATGTGTAAAAAAATAGAAAAATGAGAGAAAATAATTTTTTTCACCAAATCAGGCATAATAATCAGTACTAGGGTTTTGATATACTGCTTCCATGCATAGTGACTATGCCTAGTCGCAGTTTTGAGCCAATCGGAGAACCCCGAGTCTCATATAGAATTAGTAGATTTGAGGTACATAATGATGTGAAGTTGATGGCTCAACTGACACATGTGGTGTTTGGAAAAGGATAAAAGGTAGTATATAAAAAAAAGGGAAAAGGTAAAAAGGGTTCAGAAGAATAGGGTTGATATGTAGTAGAATACAAATAAACAGAATTCAGAAAATAAAAGGAATCAGGGATACGATGAATGCGAAATACAAATATACAGAAACATGATTACAATAACAGCAAGTTCTACTTCTAGTGTCAATTGTCAATCCATGAATATATGTCTGAAAATCATTGGGTTAATCCCCTTTTATACACCTTGTCAAGAGGCTCAATCCATAACAATTAATTTTACTATATACAGTAAATTAATTTTAGTTCAGGATTTCACAGTCAAGCTAGCCTTCGTCTAAGTGTTCCTCAGCTAGAGGAGGGAAATGCTCACTACTGTTACGTCGCCTATGATTCAATAAAGTTTTTACAAAACTTTATTAATTCTTAAGAATTAAAAACATTTATAATAATTAAAAAATCTAAGAATTAAAATTCTTGATTTTTTTAAACTATTTTAATATTTTTATATTCTTATACCCTAAGGAATTAACTATAAACAATAATATAAGGATAATTAATAATTATCTCTTATATTTAATTGTTATAGTTTAATTCCCTAACTAGGCGCACTCGGCCAAGAACGACACCAGGCACAGAGGACAACGATCTCTATTGGGTAGTTTGGACGGAGTAGAAGATGGAAAAATAGGGAAATGGATATAGCAATGTCTATACAACGGATGGAAACATAAGAGAGGGAGTACGATGGAAAATAAGAGGGGCCATGAAATTACAGGGTCATGGTAACAAGGTGAGGGTAACAAGGAAAAGGACAACGGAGAATAATATAAACTGCGCAGGGCAGGTAGCATGAGTACGTAAGAGAGTATAATATGGAAAATAAGGACGGATACAAATATAAGGGACAGGTCCCGTTAAAAGAAGCATAAAGAAGAAATAATATCTGGTGCCTATGGCCGGTACGATTTAGAGTTGAAGGAACGTAAAATGATGCGAGAGGAAATGACAGAATTATTTACAGAAAAAGAGCTAAGGGAAATAAGAAAAATAAGGGAACTAACAGAAAGGGAAAAAGAAGTATAATAATCCCCGGATGGGGGGTGCGAGAAGAATTGTGGGGAGTTGGGGGAAACCTGTGGATCGGATAGCTCATGATTAGCCGAAGCCAGAACTCGTTCGTCGGAAAAGAATGAGGCTGCAAAGCCTCACACACTTCGTGTCAGATGTCTCCAGCTCGCTTAGCTCAGCTGGTTAGAGCGTGGTGCTAATAACGCCAAGGTCAGAGGTTCGATCCCTCTAGTGAGCACTCTGGTATCTTTAAAAAATAATTATTATTTTTTATATATTATTGTTGTTGAGTTGTGTCATTGTCGAGTCCTTTTGGGCACAGGTGTCACAGCATGTTTCTCGGCCCGAAACATGAACCAATGAGATCTATGGAACAATCTTATGTATTGTCCATGTTCCTCTTTTATCCTTTATGCTTACAAGAAGTTACCACACCAATCGCGATTAGGGGCAGGTTGAGGACGGGTCAACGGGTCAGTTTAATGCTTTTCTGACCCGTGGGTCAACCTGTCTAACCCTTGACCCGACCCATTGACCCATTGTGACCCGTGTATACATATGATATCTATGAGGTACTTGTAATCAAGTAGTCAATCTTCTTATTGGGAAGCATCATTATATTAAAGATGTAGTTGTCAATATGTCTGCTATAGAACTGTAACATAAAACGTACTTATATTCTTTTTCATTGTGGGATCATATTTTATATTCAAAAGTGTAAGATAAGTAAGCTATAAGCAGTATATGTAATAGTAGTAAAGAAGTAGCAAAGTAAAGAAGTAGCAATAGTACAATGAGAATAGACAATAGAGAGTGGCAGTGAGAGACGAGATTTGACAAAAGACGTAGAAGGAATTAAGAAAAGAAAAATGAAAGAAGAATGAAGAAATGAAAAGAAAAGGGAAAAGGGAAAAGGATTAGGGGCATTTAAAGGAAGTCGATTTTTAACCACACTTTAACCATTATGCTTTCTTTAATGCATGTGAGCGCAAATGATTTCTTTTGTTATGGCACAAACCCCTTTACCTTTAAGAATAATCACACAAAACGTAGATATTGCTAGCACTGCTAGGAATTTGCGTGCCATCATCTTAAAGAGCTGTGTATACATGTAGTTTTGCACTTCCAGTGCTCAAGCTCAGGTTGATTGACACCTCCTTTGTCACCAAATCAAAATCAGTAGTGACCCGTCAACCCGAGTTTTGACCCATCGGGTTGAATGGGTCGGGTCGGGTCAGTGCTTTCTTGACCCATAGGTCAATGGGTCAGACCCTTGACCCGGCCCGACCCGTCCAATTGTGACCCCTGGTTGTGGTGTTGTTGAGGCATTGTAAATATAGAGGGTACAGAAGGTTAGATTGAAAGGCAGTTTTCACTGTCGATTCCTCTTGTAAAGATCTCCTTATATACCTTTCCAAAGATACAAGGCTGAGCATGCTAGCAAACCACTTTTGCTCAGATGGCTCAGCAAGAACAAAGTACTTTCTATGTATGAATACGCATGTTAATTGCTCCATTCATTTCAAGAAGTGTCTATATACTATACTTCTGCAACTTGCATAATGCTTGCGCCTCTACTCAGCACCTTACTCAGCCTTTACTCAATATTATTCTTTATATGTATTGTTTTTTTTTCAATTAAATACTTAATCTATTTTGTAGCAATCAAAAAATATTGTATTTTTTGTAATTGTATATGCCTTCTTTTTGAACTAACATTAAGGGTTTTATTATGGACTTTTGTTTCAATGAGAATAATCTATCAAGAGCTTCCATGCTGGCGTGCAGTTTACGAACCAAATTTGGGAATTCGTATAAGAGATTCAAGTCCGCTTGTGGCTGATGACTCGAGTCTGGGACGCACAGGGAACCAGTTTAATATGCTCTACATATTGTATGAAACTAGTAATACTACGTCGCTCTAACTACTATAAGCACCACTTTTTTTGTAAAAACTATGCTTTAATCTTCTAACGATGCAATGACCCACATCGTATAAAAAATGTTTACATTCTGTTTCTCTTATTCATTCTGAGATCGCTGTTCAATGTACAATAATAAACTATTCTTTTCTACTGCAGTATTCAAGTATACCGCGATATTTGAACACACACATCAGCTTTCATTGAAAGATACCAAATTTCGCCTTTTTTATATATATGATGGGTTTGGTTCTTCGGTTCGATTCTCGGTTCTACGGTTCTCGTCGGTTCTAGTCGGTTCGGTTCTTGCTTTGGACAGTTTGGTTCGGTTCCCTTCAAGAACCGAACTGAACCGAACCATATGGAACCCTAGTTCCAACCAAAACCTCTTCCATTGGCGTGACTGGAGAGGCTCTACGAAGGACGTATTGGCGTTAGTGATAACGGTGGGGGTTACTACTTTACGGAAAGCACGGGTAGATAAGTGCTGTAAGGGCTGTGGAAGAGTAAAACTACGGAGGAGGGCGTTAATGGAGGAAGTGGGGTTAGAGGCGAAGTTTTGTGGAGGATGGTAAAATATATCAAAGAAAGAATAGAAGAAAAGATTTTGGGTAGCAATATGATAAAAAAATTGTAGAAGAATATTACGATGTGACAAAAGATGGTTAGGTTTGCAGGTGAGCGTGCTAGAGTGAGGGTTAATTTCAAATGCATCTCCCACTGTCACTTTGTGTTTAGCCAATCGACTGATTACTGGAGGAGGAGTGGATGAAGAAAATGAGACAATACTATCTATGGGGAAGGACAAAAGTAAACCTAGAGAAGGGCAGTATAGCGCTAGGTTTTTAGGGCATGCATCAAGTGCACGACATAGTAGACCCCATAAGGACGTAGATAACGAAAAGGAATAAGGGCGCAGTGATGGGAAGAAAAGACATAGCAAGCCATCGTGTGGTTGGCACAATGAATTGAGAGAATGTAGAAGCCAGGGATGAACAAACGAAGAATATAGGTGGTTAGGGTATAATAAAGGCAAACCCCAGCGAAACTGCAGACTAAGCTGCTGAATCGTTGGATCTAAGATTGCTAATCCACCCTGTGTGCATGGTAAGAGAAAGGTATCATATGAGATTTTGGGGAACATACGGTGATTAACGAAATTATAACATAAAGATCGTAACGAGTTGAAAAATGATTTAGGAAAGGGGATTAAACGTAAGACATGCCATAATGAAGAAAGTAACAGGACATTTAGCACGTGTAACAGTCTAGTAGTAACCCCCAAATCCTTACCCCCAAATATAACCTAGTCACACATGAATATCTACATCCCTATCTTGAATAAAGTTACAAGCAGTTGGTTTCACTCATACTTTTACATTGGTGGAGAAGCAAAACTTCGAATAATGGATCCATTTCACAATCAACAGAACAATCCTTTCGCAAATCCATGGGCAACAGAGCACCAGCAAGGCCTGTATCAGCAACCGCAACAAAACGACGAAGCTGAATCACAATGGCATGAGCAGCAAAGAATAATCCAGCAACAAATCGCATACGATCAGCAACAGTCGTACAACCAGCAAATCCTGCAACAACAGGGTAACAGCGAGTGGCCTACCGGCGGTACAGTCGAACTGACACCAAACCAACTCAACCAGCTACAACAATTTCAGCACCAGCAACAATGGCATCAGCTTCAACAACAATATCAGCAAAACCTGCAAGAACAGCAACAAGCACAACTTCAACACATCGACGGTCAGCAACAGCACATGGTAAACCAATTCCAACTCGAATTGGACCAACGCCAAAACGAATTTAATCGTCAACTTGAAGAACAGCGTGCCGAATTAGAACGTTGGGCACAAGAACAAGAAGAACACTGGAAGCAGAAACTGGCAGCACGAGACCTCGAACATGAGCAAGCAATCAACCAAATTCACCAAAACTTCCATAACATGCACGAGTCATTTAATCAGCAACTCGCAGCATTTGAGGCAGGACCATCAGCACAGGCTTCAGACCTTCAAAGTGTTCTCACAAACATTGATAGTCGGTACCAAGCTCGAGATGAAACGATGCAACAATTGCTTGAAGCAATCAAAGGAATGCGCAGTGGTTCAGTTCAGGAACCAAAAACCACAACACACGAGGTTCAACAGCAGCTGCTCGAAGCCATTAGGGAGTTGAAACGAGATACACCTGCAGCCTCCTCGAGTCAGCCCCCTAGAGCAGCGCCAACCACAGTCGATACACCTAATGCTGAAAATGCAACAACCGCAGGATCACTTCGTCGTTGGTGGCTTCGACAACCCAGAGCAGATTCCACCGACGATGAAGCAGAGGTCCTACATGTACCCGCAGTAGTAAGATCAGATGATGGTAACAGTCGAGCCAGTATGCCAGTAGGGCGGCAAAACGTCGGCCAAGAATCAACCAAAGGGAAACGAAGATTGGTCGTACCCCCCTTCAAGGGAACAGCAACGGAAGACCCACATGCATGGCTATTGGCGTTCGAAAAAATCATGCACTATTATGCGTGGTCAGATCAAGAAGCTGCAAGTGAATTCATGGTGTCTCTACACGGAGCAGCAATATATTGGTGGGATGCGTTGAACGCCGATACTCGAGAAAGCTACAACGCAGTCAAAGCAGCATTCAAAGCATATTTCGGTGCCGGCGAAGACACTGCAGCAGCAGCGCTCACAGAATTAGCAGACATGCATCAAGGACAAGAAAGCATGGTTTCCTTTGGGGCCAGACTTAAAGTCACCCTATCCAAAATAGACCCAGCAATGAATGAGTCACTCAAACTCTTCTTCTTCGCGTCACACGCCCGAGCAGAAGTCACTAGAGAAGTCTCAAGAAGAAATCCTGCAAATCTGAACGAGGCAATCACGTATGCTATCAAACTCGAACGTCATGATCGCAACACAGCAAACCATTACACATTGCTACACAACAAAACGAAAGCAATGCTGAAAAACGTGCCTCAAGCACCAACAGCACCGCTTGAGCCAAAGGAACTCACAAGCGATGTACGCCCAATGGAAGACGTCCAAGCAACCAACTACCAAAAACACAAACATGGACGCTCAAACGGATACAAAGGAAAAGGACGATCATTCACCAAAAAACAAAGCAGCAACAACAACAAATACAACAATAGCAGCAGACGCCCAAACAGCAACGACAAAAAAGGCTGCTACCACTGCGGCCGTACCAACCACCTAGTCAAAGATTGTTGGTTCGCAAAGAACGGCAGCAGCAGCGTAAACCAGCAAAAGATCAACAGCGAGACAACCACCGGCAGCCAGACGACGACGGATTATCAACCAGCGACACTTTTCGACAACCTAATGCAGCAACAAAACACACAGCGCATCATACAAATTCCAGCTAAACAATCATCACAAGCTCTCTCATATGATGACGAATCACCAACAAGATTTGCGATTTGGGCAACAATCGGCAACTTAAGAACCAAAGTCCTCATAGATTCAGGGGCCGAGATCACATCAATGGACGAAGCAACAGTTGCAGCGGCCACCTTGAACAAACAACCAGCACAGCCTATGCGGCTACAGTATGGTAATTCATCTGAAGAAATTTCAGATAGCGAGGTAACCACTACCTTACAAATCAATCAAGAAACATGGCCAGCAACACTCAGAGTTGTCCCACAGCAAAATACACCAGTGATCATCGGCATGGACTGGATGGTAGGGAAGGCACTCCTACTTGACGTGGATAATCGACGCATACTATCCAAACCAGCAGTCATGGCAAAGATCAACAGCACCACCAGTACAGATTTGCTTGCCAATGTTCCAGCAGAAATTCAACCAATTCTCCAGAAAATGCCACAAATATACGACCAAAGCCCCAAACAAACCATAACAAATGCACCAGTATGCCACGAAATCGATACTGGTGACATGAAGCCGATACAATGCCGCATGCCACGAAGATCACCAGCTGAAAAAGCCGCACTTGAACAAGAAGTCAAGGAGATGCTCAAACGAGGAGTCATTCAAGAAAGCAACAGCCCTTGGTGTTCCGCGCCAGTACTTGTAACCAAACCGGATAGGTCACTACGAGTTTGCATCAATTATAAGCGATTGAACTCTTTCACCACCGTGGACAAGTATCCCATGCCACACATCGCAGAAATCATTGACAGCCTATTAGACGTTCAAGTTTTCACGTCTATCGACCTAGCAAGTTCATACTGGCAGATACCAATGGCAACCAAGGACGCTCCCAAGACCGCCTTCGCATGCGACTTAGGACTTTTTCATTTCAACGTTATGCCCTTCGGATTGGTCAATTCCGGATCGACCATGAATCGTTTTATGCGCAAAATCCTTGGTCATCTATCCTCGTTCGCAGTTTGCTATGTCGATGACATTCTAGTCTATTCTACAACAAAGGAACTGCATATCCAGCATGTCGAGCAAGTACTCCAAACTCTACATCGATGGCATCTCAAGATCAATCTGCGAAAATGTCACTTCATGGTCTCATCATTACCATTTCTCGGGTACATCGTTTCCAAAGAGGGCATCAAGACTGATCCTGCCAAAGTGGAAGCAATCACAAAAATGCCAGAACCAATAGATGTCACGTCTTTACAACGATTTCTCGGCATGTGCAACTTTTACCACCGGTTCTTGTCGAACCTATCAGATACGGCTGCACCACTATACAAGCTCCTGCGAAAAAATCAACCTTGGAATTGGGATCAACAAGCACGAAAAGCTTTCAATGCTCTGAAGACGAAACTCGCTGCACTACCAACTTTAGCATACCCCGACCCCAATTTGCCGTACGATCTGCATACAGATGCATCAAATGTAGGCATAGGTGCAGTACTTTGCCAACTACATCGACCAGTCGCCTTCGCTAGCAAAACACTATCACCGGCCGAACAAAATTTCTCAGTCACAGAAAAAGAATGCTACGCTATCGTTTGGAGCTTAGAATACTTTCATTGTTATGTACACGGAGCAACGTTGACGATATACACAGACCATGCAGCACTGAAGGCACTATTGACAAAAAATCCGGGAAAAGGACGATTAGTACGATGGATATTGGCGTTACAGCAATATCAGTTCACAGTTGTGCATAGACGCGGCGTTGATAACAAAGATGCAGACGCCCTCAGCAGAGCATGAAACATAATCATAGCAACAAACCAAACAACACACAAGATACTGACAGCAGAACAAAACAGCATTACCGGCGCAACACTCTGGCAAGAACAACAAAATGACGAGGACGTCAAGTACTACACAAGACTAAACGATCCAAAATTTGTTAAGCTTCAAGACGACATTCTATACTACGATCGAATAAGACCAGTAGCCGTCATTCCCAAAACACTACGACCCGCCATATTCAATGCAATCCACAGCCATCCAACAGCAGGGCACTTTGGGAGAGACAAAACAATAGCAAGAGCAAAGGAAGTAGCCTGGTGGCCAACTATGCGGGAAGACATAATCAAGGCAACAAAAGAATGCGGTGAATGTCAGAGGCACAAGACACCAGTTCGGAAATACGGCGAGTTAACCAGCATTCCAGTTGGCTAGCCAGGAGAAGTATGGGCGGCCGATATCGCAGTACTCCCTACGTCAACCCGCGGCAATAGATACCTACTAGTATTCATGGAGTACCTTACGAAATGGGTTGTAACAGCAGCGCTTCCAGGATTCGACTCCAATCTCATAGCCAACGTCCTCTTGTTCGAAATAATCCTGAAATATGGCGGCATGAAAAAGCTTATCACTGACAATGGTACAAATTTCATTTCGGAAGCAATGAATGCAGTCTGCGCACGCCTGGGAATATCACGAACAACCACCAGCGTAGAACATCCGCAAAGCGACGGACTCGTAGAGCGACAAAACCGAACAATCTAAACATCTCTTGCAACATATGTCGAGGACAAACCAGAACAGTGGGATGATTACCTACCATTTGTGACATTCGGAATAAACACCAGCCAACAAGCATCGACAAGCACAACACCGTTCCATGCCATGTTTGGCAGAACAGCAATCCTGCCACCAGTTAGCGACATCAGACCACCAGTGATGCGATCACACAACACGGAAACATGGGTGACATACCTAAACCATTACATTCCGGTAATCCAAGGCCAAATTCGATCCAACATCCAAAAAGCGCAAGAGAGGCAGAAACGGAATTACGACAAAAAACGACATAAAAGACCAACATTCAATATTGGCGATTTAGTTTTACGGCTTAAGCCCAAGGATACATGGAAATTCCCGCAACCTAAGTTCTCTGGTCCTTGGCAAATAACCAAATACAACAACGAAGCAAAAACAAGCTATACGTTAAAGCATACGACGAAAAAGCATACAAAGCCAACAACTGCCAACCAAGACCAGCTTTACCCTTTCCACAATACAGCAGCTTTATTGGAGGGGAGTAATGTAACAGTCTAGTAGTAACCCCAAATCCTTACCCCCAAATATAACCTAGTCACACATGAATATCTACATCCCTATCTTGAATAAAGTTACAAGCAGTTGGTTTCACTCATACTTTTACAGCACGGTAGCACGACCACGGACCGAGAGGTTCCGCTGCGATTGCATGGCACAGCCTGCCTTGATTTTTGCCAGGAGCTGACCAGCAAAGGAGTCACGTTGTTGAACTGAAGTATATAGCGGATATCCGAGGTAGATCAGGGCATTGGGTGAATTCTTGTCGTGCCAAGAGCTGATACCATATCGGTCCAAGGTGGACACCCAGGAGGAGGAAGCACAACTGGATAAAGAGATAGCATGGGTTTTATGATAGTTGACTCGAGCATTTGATGCCGCCGCGTATGTGCGGAGGTGATGTAGACAGTGATTCAAATCGTCTTCGTTCTGAAGGAAAACTAGGACATCGTCAGCATATGCGAGCACCTTGGCAGCTGGTGGGCCTGGAACATCGGGAATGGAGCTTGGGATCGAAAATCCTTGTATTGCCGGGTCATGCAAAATGCGCTGCAACAGGGGTTCAAATGCGAGGTTAAACAGTAACGGTGACAAGGGGTCTCCTTGACGGACACCGCGTTGTTGTAAAACAGTAGGGGAGAGATGACCATTAACGTAAACACAGAGTTCGGTACCAAAAAACAGATTCATTATACAATTAATCAGGCTCTCCAGGAATTCCCAGTGGAATAGCACTCGGCGAAGGTACTCCGGATGTACTCGATCATAAGCTTTTTCTTCATCTATAAGCAAACCTACGGCGTCTATGCCATGTTTTTGTGCGTGGTCCATTATAAGTCGCACTAACATGCCATTATCCGCGATATATCTATTCTTAACAAATCCTGTTTGAAAGGGATTGACGAGGTTAGTAGCAATTGGTATCATACGACTATTGAGAATACGAGTAAAGATTTTGGCATCCGCGTTAATCAGAGAGATAGGACGCCAATTTTTCAAAGACGATAGATCTCCTTTTTTTGGGAGTAGACAGATACACGTTTGGCTCCAAGAAGGCGGGAAATGACCTTCATTTAGAGCCTCGTTATATACTTTACCAATGAGGTCATGAAGACTAGGATGTTGAAAGACAAGCCGTAGGACCTGGTATGGTATGCCATCCAGACCTGGGCTACTCTGTTTTGGACACCTTGCAGCTTGTGTTAGTAGATCAGTCATGGTGATTGGAGTAACGAGACTATTCCGTTCAGTAGTGGAGAGCCGACAAGGATGGGGAAGATGGTTTAACAAGTCATCAACTGCTACGCTAGAAACAGGAGAGGGAGTATATAAGTGCTGATAAAAGGAACAAACGGATGCATGTTGGTGTGAAAGGGAAGAGTCAATGATGCCAGTAACGGGATGTTGAAGGGGGGGAATAGCTCGCTGAGCTGAGCGTGTCTGGATTGTGTGCTTTAAATAACCTGCCGATTTCTCGCCCGCTTCACGCCACGGAGTGGACACGCGCAAGGCAAAAATATCCATTGCGGCTTGCTGATGCTGAGTGTTCTCGGCCTCAATGCAACATACTCGTTCGTCCAAGCTCCCAGACCGACCAGATCTGCGAAGCAAATTGGTACGAAGCCTTTGCAGATGGCGTATCTCTTGGCGCTGGCGTGATGCTTGTTTCCTACCAAATTTCTGACAAGTTTTCTTGACCTGATGTTTTACCTGATCCCATTGGTACTGAGGCGAAATATCCGCGGTAAATGACGCTTTTCAAGCGTCAATGTCTTGGTATAAAGTTTGTTTGAAATCCTCAGAACGGCATAGTAAAAAATTCGCGCGCCTAATACCTTTACCGGTGGAGGAAATAGCTAAACGGATATTACTATATACTATTGCATGATCTGTCCATTATAGTCAAGAAACTCAGTAGCAGGCGGGGAGAAAAGGGAATATAGATCAGGAGATGAGAAAATATAATCAATAGACGATTGCCCTGGGGAGGACTTGAAAGTGATAGGAGGGGAAGAATTTTCAAAGGGGGATTGCATGAGATTGTAGAAGGTAGAAGAAATAAATGACAGCTAGTCAGTAAGGGCACTGGAATAAGAGGAATCGGTACGGGAATATGAACAATTGAAGTCTCCAACAATAACACACCGGTGGGTGAAAGAGTTATAGAGATCAAGAGTAATAAGAGGTAGAAGATTTTGAAAGAATGTGTGGCGAGCGTGAACCTCAGCAGGAACATAGATGTTAAGGATATGGAAGGGTTCAAAAGAAGAGTTTACATGAGATATCGTGACCCAAAGGGCACGACCATCCCTGGTCGAGAAAATAGGGGTGAGAACGAGTTGGGGAGAATAGGATACCAGACCACAAAAGGAGGACCAGTAGCATTGATGAGCTTGAAATTGGTTAGTAATACGTTGTTCGGCTGACTCGCTAGGAAACTTTGTGTCCTGGAGTGCCAGTAGATCAAAATGCATAGAGCGAAGGTAACGAATATAATGTTGTTGTTTCTTTTGTTGTTTTTGTTTAGAGCCACCTACCTTTGTTAGTCAGCGGCAATTAAGTGTAGCGAACTTAATCATATTATTAATTGTTAAATGTTCGGGTCGACACTCTAATTAAGAGCGTCCTGGCCCTGTTGGATCTTCGGATCCACCAGGTTCAGCGGTTGAGGATTTGATCGCGTCATCGAGGAGCATATCATCGTCTTCATCGGCTCCCTTGTTTGATGGGAGATTGTAGAGATTCGGGCGAATTACTGGTATCCTGCTCATTGGCGGCAGCTGGTGACCCGGTGGTAGACGGTGGTTGAATAGTCATTTTATCACTCGAGGTGGGTGTTTCAGCTTGCTTAGTAGCAGCTGGAGGTGTTGCGGACGTTGGCGCGGGAACATCCGAGATGGTGGTGACCAGAAGGTCCTTCGACAAAGGTTGTATCACTTTGCTCGACGTACGCTGGCGTTTGGAACGTCGTGATTTGGGATCACGAGCATTGGCGTCGGGAGCTTTTGCCTCTCTAGTGGCGGTAAACTTGAACGGCATTGAAGGGACATCTGGACCAGTGTTAGCCTTCTTGGTATGCTTATATGGGTTCGCTGGCTCAGGGCAATTTCGCTGCAAATGGCCTGGCCGTTCACAATTGAAGCATACACGAGGTGGTCGAGCAGGGCAAGCATTGATGCTGTGAGATGTTTTGTGGCAGTACCGGCAGTAGTCACCCATCTCTGCCCAGGTGGCAAAGAAGCTACGTGCATTACCATTGGCTGAAAAACAACAGGACAGGCGATGTATCAAAGGTGCAAAGATGTCCTTTGGTAGTTTACATAGAACTGCAAAACCACGGCCGCCCATCCACCATTGGGCCCCTCGTAGAGACCAAGATATAAGATACGACCATATTGGGATAGGCATGATTTTAACCCCTTTTCGAGGACATGCATAGGGAGGATTGGTAACTTTTCTAATTTCACCTGGAAGACTTCATGATCAGGAGGCATGGATCGAGAGGCAGTGAGTGAGACGTCGGCTGACACTTGAAGTGGGAGATCGCAGGCTTCAGAGCAAGAGTCCTCGGAGTCAAGAATGAGCTCAACAAGAGTGCGACCATTTTCACGATGAGTGAGAGAACCAAGGCCGATTCCAACAGGGAAACGTTGACGAGCTGCGTCAAAGAAAGCTTTGGGTTGAAGCTTATTGCCAGTTACATCGTAGAACACACTAAATTCTTCAGATCCACGGCGAAACACTGGTTGAGACGTCGAAGAGGTGGTTGATTCTTGATCAGGCAAAGATGCAGTCGGTGAGACCGCAGAAGAATAGTTGAGACCTTTCGTCTGGCCGAGTGTAGTGAACCGTTGACCTTTGGTCACTTGTGCATACGAACGAAAATAAAGTGTAGAACTTTTGCCCTTTGGTGCCGTTGGAGAGGATGAGAGTGGGGTTGTAGAGGAAGGAGATTGGGTTGGTTGATCTGTGGTTTGTTTGGTTTAATTCACCACTGAGGGTGAATCGGGGTCTTTATCGGGAAGAGCCATGCATTGAGTACTAGACACCACCTGCTACACGACAAAATTGAATGGCAGCATGCGGAAGGAAGACCAGAGCGGCAAGAACATTCTTACCAACAGCAAAATCCATCACCCACTAGACAATCGGCAATCAATTCGTTCTATAAACCAGTACACTCGGCATCAAGGCAGTTCAAGAATTTCCCATCATTCGATGATCGAAATGGATATGGTGGTTCGACACCTGGTCCTAAGTATCTCACAAAAATGTACAATGAATTTGTTGAAATGCATATAAACGACCACTACAACCACATGAGTTCTCTACCAGCCACCATAATCAACATTGACCACAGCCATAAGGTGAGCTTAATTTATTTGCTTTTGTGTATATATATTCTGACAAGTGCTTTGTTTGTTTTTGATAATAGGTGACAAAGCATCTTTCCAAACTGGATTCGTGCAAAATTTTTGAAGGTGTTGGTATCAATGACAAACGAATACGGAGAGACCCGGTATCAAGCTTTTGTGCCTACTACATCCATGGATCACATAGAACAAGGAATACAAGGTATACTGTACTTTCTTTCTTACAATTTCCTGATTGCATTACAGTAACCGAAACTAATTTTTGCGATTAGCCATGCTACAAAGTCTTACTGCCCATGGTCATCGTCACCCAGAAATCCTTTTTACTGACAAAGTCGAGGCCGATAAACAGATTTTTGAAACACAAATCGAATCTCTTCGTACTGAAGTTCATCCACGTATAGTCGCTGATCCATATTATCATCTGCCACAGCTACAGCTACCATCAACAATTTCAGTAACAATTCACAGCTCACCTTTGCAAATCGAAGCTGCTTTGACACCACTACTCGAACAAAATGGCACTGAACAGCAACCGATCGTCGTAGGTCTTGACGCAGAGTGGACATTTCATGAAAATGATCCAACGTGGCATCCAGTATCAATAATACAAGTTGCATATGACGACCGAGTATCAATATCAAAGCTGGAGAAGTTATCATCATTGCCACATGCTATCTGGACGCTGCTTTATCGCAAAGATATCATCAAGGTTGGGCGTAACATCGCAAATGATATTACTCGGCTCTCACAATCTTTTACCCAACAATTTAATAACCTTTAAGCATCCAATGTCGTGGACCTGTTGACAATTTGCAACGAGTACAAATGCAAACCAGTCACTGGATCAAGTCTGGCAGATATGTGTGCAACAATTCTACAGTATCGTCTATCCAAGGATTTATAGCAAGGCAACTGGGAAGGTCGACTTACTGACGAGCAAGTACACGATGCAGCTTTGGATGCCTGGTGTAGTCGGCAAATGTATCTCCAAGTGACATCGCCTAGAAACGACATCATAAATCGACGAGCTGGTGTACATGTAACAGTGCTAAGCGACGATGGTACTGTGGAGGTGGCGCGCGGGAAAATCAGCGATGCTAGACAAAGTGGGTATGTACATACTCTCTCCCTTACTTACTCCTTGCTTGCACCAATTCGTAGTAGGAATAACACAATAAGTCAAATCATATTACTAATATTATGCTAACCCTGACTTTTTTCCAGAATCTTTAATAAGCGGACGATAACGGAATATCGTGCACTGGTTGAAGTTACTAATGTCTTGGTTCCTGGGGCAAAGTTGCAATTATGTGATAGCCAGCCACTTTTGTCATTTCTTGCTGCTCCGTTTTGTGCATTAGTGCGTTTGTTGTCACTGCGTCCTTGTTATCAACTTATTGAGCCTTTCACCACTGTGCACAATGGGGAAACACTAAACATATCGCAGAGCATGGATCATCCGGAATCGCAAGCTGGTCAAACTGATCATAGCAGCGATAATGACGTGCAATCATGGGATATTTATGAAACTGACTCGGAAGACGACAGTGACGATGATATGCCGGTACCAACGCCAAACACTTTAGCTATGGGCGAGAGCTCCAAGATTTATGGCAGTCGCCTCCTCGATCCTATTTTACAAAAGTATCGACCACAACGCTTGGAACAAGATAACGCCATCCACACCAGAATCGTCCAAGATGCTTGGCATGCGCTCAAGAGAATCTCAATACCAAAGAAACATGGGTTACGCATAGAATTCCAACGTAAATTAACCGACGCAATTTTGTGGATGGATTCTGGAGATGTTGCAGCTGTTACCCGGGTTCTGCATGAAAATGGAGAGAGATTTGAATTGGGTATATATCTATATGAATATCTTTTATTGTGGGCGACAGCAAGCTTAATTTGATATACCAAAACCATTTTATTTTAGTTCGTTGGCGTCGCAAATCTTGGATTAACGAGCGATGCACCTGGGACATCATTGTACTTGTTTCGACGACGGGATGAAAATAGTTTGGCAGTATATCAATGTCTAAGGGGAGCAAACTCTCTTGAGGGCGGTATGCACCAGAATTTAAAGAGGCATTTGGAGCTTTCAATGCAAGTCCGAGATTTGTGGTTAATTTGCTTGCCGAATATCGAACACAACATAATTTACATGTAAGTGTATCTCATAGCCTGAAAAAAGTGACCAATTTACTGAACAATCGAACATTTTTTTATGTGGCAGGTTGGTACGCTGAATCGCACAGGCAAACAATACAAGGGAAATCACAATATTTGGATGAAGAACAAAATCCAGCTTGCATACTTGCGACGCGAATTGCAGCTACCAAAACATTGGCTTGGTTGGCAGAACACGGATCTGTTGGCCTCGACTGAAGAAAAGTTTGACATTTGCAAGACGAGCGACGAAAGCTTAGATACATATGGCATGCAGCATTACAGACCATCAATTGAACAGGCCAACAAACGAGATAGTGCAGCTGTGAGAGCAGCATATTTAGCATCTCGTCAAGGCACCCAGTATCCAATACTACCTGTACATACTAAAGAAGAGTAGCTTTGTTCAACCGACAGATATCTCAATTCTACAACAGTCAGCAACCGAACTCGACGAGGTGGACCGTTTTCGCCAAGTCATGGAACTTGACACACACTGACAGGGGCAATATTTTTCATAAGTACCCACAGTATCTACGCACATATTTCAACAAATGGAGCCAGAACGCGGTGATAAGGAATAGCTTGGAAGGTGCAGTTCGCCCACAATCCCAAATACGTGATAACTCTGATCGTACTGCTGAAGTCTTGGAGCCTCGATCGAATCCGCCAGCACCGACACTGCCATCCTCAATACAGCGTAGTACATCCAGACGACTGCAATTTAGATCCTCTGTCTACCAACCGCTTGCTCCACGGCCAATGCAACAGCAACAACAAGTTTACAGCCAATCTGATTTGTATTCCTTTGCACGTCCACCCATGTCAGCATTACACTACGGATATAGCCACCGAGCCGCAAATTGGGTGCAGTTGCACCATACCCCAATTTTTCCGTGACGCAGAATCTGCATATTTTAATCAAGCTCCTCCCTCAGTCAATTTGCCAGTTGCACCAGCTGGTCTCACCCTGCACGATATGTGCATCAACTGTTTACTTTATGTGCACGACGTTGTCTTGATTGCCGAGTCACCCATTATGCCCACATTATTAGCCATCTGTAAAGACCATAGTAGGCATCTTGGCTATCGGTAGAACCCCACCAAGTGCGGTGTCCTCGACTGACAATTATCGCCTGTATCAACACCACCTTGCCGACTACCAGCTCGTTCAAGTATCTCGGCATCCCCTTCAACCATTAACTCGAATGGACGTCTAGCTACTAGTCGAACTCAACACCAAGAAAGTGGCCAGCTCGTTAAACGTCTTTAACTCCCTTGGTCTAAGTGCCTAGGGCTTCACTCATCTCTTGTCAGCATGCTTCTACGCCGGTTCATCTGGCCACAGATGGATTATGGTCTTGCCATCAAAAAGCCACTCAGAAAACAGGTGAAGCTGCTGCAAGATGCCCAAGCTTTGTGTATATGCCGCATCTATGGTGGTTCCTCCAGCCCACACATACAGCTAAGCAGTGACTCTTGCCACAACAACAAGTGTAGACCTCACAGACAGAGGGATACGATCGTTCTAGTAGGGCGTTCCACACTCCGACCTTCGGTCGTCGCTGTATCTGTATACACGCTCTTGAGAGAGAAGATGCGTATTTTTTTATTCTATTTTGTAGAAGTAGCAGTTGTGAACGCTTCCAGCGTGTTATGCACGCTTTGCACATTTGGCACAAAGTATTTGGCCTCTGTACTACGCGATCCGACGGTGCAGGTGATAACATTAGGAATTTTTTGTTTGTTGAGAAATGCGAACATATCTTCGTCCATCCGATCATCACCAATGGATAAAACAAAATCTGGGTTGATATCTTGCATAATGCGATTGGCAATAGCGCTCTTGTTAATATCATGAGGAAGGACCTGTTGTGTATAGCAATTGTCGGCAGACTCGTCAACAATTCATATGATCGTTATCGAGACTTCTAAGTCTACATTCAATCGCTTAAAAACAAGATACTTACCTCGATTGTGGTTTTTCCGGTGACTGCGTGTACTTGGAAGTTTTTGTTGACAGAGTCTGCAATGTGGTTTTGACACTCGCCAGCTTGCCATTTACTATATCCAGACCACATCAGTTAAGGAAAGGCACGAGGCGTATTCCTGACGATAGAAGTGTTTTTTTTTTCGGTACTTACGCGAATTGTGCATCTTGACCCACAGTGGTTTTGCGATAATGCTGCACAGATATAAAGATGCGTCAATTTTAACCTCTTTCCAAAGCATCCAATACAGAACTGCTCTTGCCAGAACGGTAACAATACTCACCCAGACAATGGAGATATCCTTGGTTTCCAGAGATGCACCGGGTGTTCGTTCCGTATAGTATCGGAAAATCTATCATTACCAGTTAATAAAAAAAATTTCAGATATGAAAAAAAAGAAGGGGCTCACCTCCTTGACAGCAGGCATCCAGGAAAGATCCACATTAGCATGCATTTGTTGCCAATCTTCACCGCGCGGTCTAATATGATATCCATTTTCAGCGCTCAAACCAAGATTCGGTATGCCTCCCAGATCACGATCGATGTTGGGCCGCGTCCGTCCTGAGATCACGTAGACTGCACTCTTCTTCGTAAGCTTGGTCAATAATTCAGTCAGTCGATCCAAATCGTTTGCGCCAACATCTTTTCCATGTGGCACAAGCGTTCCACCATAATCGAAGAGAAATCTAAATAGTAACCATGAATTCTTTATCGGCCTATAGTGTTATACAGCTATCTCTCTCTTTCTCTCTCTCATCGCTCTTCCTTACAGCGGGTTTTTGCTTGCTTTGAAGAGCTGTTTGACGTGCTCAACATCTAAAGGTGGAATCTGTGCTGACATTCGATGCATTTCATCGCTACGAATCTGTGGATGATATATCGAGGGAGGTCAGCATGTATACTGCCCGATATTTTTATTGGCAGCTCGCGTATTGAAAGTGTTATATTCACCTTGGATAATTCTGATATAATGGTGCTCGCATAGTTTTGTGCTATTGCACAGATATTACGCTTGTTTAGCCTTTCATGTTACAGGTCTTTATCGATGTGACTTCAAATGGACTTACCAGAGTTCGTCACTATACTCTTATATAATTCCTTCCACCGTCCAGTTTTTTCTTCCTCACTCATAGACAAAGCTTCATGGATGGCATTTCCAACTTGCTATTTGAAACAGTCCGGTTAATTTAACCAGTACCTTTGATTTGTCGTTTAGAAAAAAAAACACAAGACGAACATACTCGATAATCCCATGGGTTGACTCGGAGACAAGCACCAAAACTTCCGTACGTTCCAGTAAACTGTTTAGAATAGCAGTATCTCGAATTCAGTATCCACAGCAATAAAAGGAGCCATTACTACTAATTTAAACTACAAGGACTTTCAAGCTTTATTACCTCACTTAAAATTAGCGGTCCGTGGTTATTTTCTTGACAGACAATATATTCGTGTGAGGTCAGATTCATGCCATCTCTCAGTGGCGTAATCAAAGAAGCGTCTGCTGCAGTGAGCAAAGCCAGGTACTGCGAAAATGAAATGTCTTGATGAAGGAAAACGATCGGTTGATAAGAGATGTTACTGAACTTGGAGTTGACGCGCGATACGACATCCGTAATATGGGCACGGAGTTCGTTTTTTTCGGCAGTGGATAGCGCGATTTGGATCAGAACAACCTAAATACATGCTTAATGTCTTGGTCCACAATGCCTTTATACGATAGCATATCATATACGTGTAGACCCATAGTCCCTATTACCTTTCCACGCCATTCAGGATGCCGTACGAGAAATTGCTCGAAAGCAAGGAGCTTTTGTCGGACACCTTTAATGTAATCCAGCTTGTCACGAGCGACAATGAGTTTCTTTCCAGCATATTTGTCTCGTAACATGTCGATCGATCGAAGGACCTCTGGAGCCGATCTATAATATACAATGTAGATAGGCAGTGTTAAATAGTGTGACCAGCAAGGAGCAAAAGAAGAAGAGATAGTCGAGTTATTGTCAATAATGCAGCTGAGTCTAACCTCTTTTTGTTTAGCGCATTAATATCAATGCCGATGGGGTATATTCCGACCGTTACATAGTGAGTATCCATCTGTATGCCTGATGGAGTTGCATCGAGCGAAAGAATACGAGAACACGTTTGTAGAAAGTGGCGGGCGAAAGAATATGTTTGGAATCCAATTAGATCCGCTTCTAGCATGCCTTCCAAAAGCTGCTTTCGTGCTACAAAATTTAAGTTGACCTCAGCTTCAGTTTTCGCTCTTCATGACTGATCCCTATTCACTTATATGGCTGCTGCTATTCTTCAGGTAGGATACTTACTAGGCAAGCATCGAAACAGTTCAGAGCTTGGGAAAGGAATATGTAAGAAGAAGCCAATAATAGCGTTGGGTATTCTTTTTCGCAACATGCCCGGCAATAGCATCAGATGATAATCATTAACCCACACTATTATCCTTCGTCAGTTATTTGTTGCGTGTTTTTACACCCCTTCCTATTCGTTTCTCGGATTACCCGACTTTGTCCTCTATTTATCTGATCAATTATAACCGGAATCTGGATATATAACTTACAGATATCACCATCCTGATAGTTTTCCACAATTACATCTGCAAATCTCTGGTTAAGTGACACATAGGCGTCCCATGCATCGTCCTGATACATCATGTTTTGAAGATCGTCTTGCACCACGTAATGGAAATACGGCCATAACACCTAATATGTGACAAGACACATCCCAATAGTACCCCAATGTCAGTCTTGTTTCTCGCTTGCATGTCCTCTATCCTTCATTTGTTTTGTTGTAATTCGCACGCCTGTTGTGTACTATCAATCACTTCACCTGTTTACAATATCGATTATAATGACACTCAAACTCTGCATCCGATGGCATGACCGGATATGAGTCGTGTTCCATAATCATAGTGGATTGGATTTTGCCGCGCGTCTGTTGCGATAAAGGATCCGTTGACATGCCGAGCGTACCAACCCACATGCATTTTTTATCGATTTGATCGCGGATCGAGACCATAGCATTGTGTAAACCAATATTGCCTGCAATGCCCGGCTTGACCGTCCATGGCGCTTCGTCAAACACACTCGGACTATCAATGGAGTTCTGTCGACGATGATGCAATGCTTGTAAGGCAGGCAGTCGTTTCAAATCTTCTTCTCGTTGTGCTTTACTTTTTGGTTGAATTAACTGTTCTGGTTTTTTGAAATCGAATACGACGCCTTCTTGATCAGTCTCTTCGTCTGCTGACAGCGGGGTTGTAGTTGATACTGACGTTGCTTCTAAAGTCGTTTCCGTTGTTGTTAGTGCTGCTCCAAGAGATGGTTGCTGCTGATGCTGTTGTGCAGCTAAACTGTCAATTAAAGTATTAGGTTCGCATGTAGTTGCTGCGCCTGGGGCTCCTGTTGCTCCAATGATTGGTGGTTGGTTGTTGTTGGCTGAGGCTGCTGTTAATGCCGCAGTGTACCGAGATTTCTTGTCCTTTGCAATTTGAAAGTCTACAGTGTAAGGCAGAAACAAAGACGTACACAAGACGCGACCGCCGGTCATGTTTTTGTATGTTTTTGGTGAACGAGTAGTTATGTAGGTGAAGGGAAAAGAGAAAGAAAAGGGGGTTACTTTATAAATCAATTGGTTTGAACTTGTTGGGAGATTAGGAAATCATCGAGTTCTCCGAACGCCGACGGCGAGCAGTTCCTGCGCCTTCCGATCTGTCTATGGTGCTAGCCAAAGTATCAAAATCATGATAGAGAGCTTCTTTCATTTGGAGTAAAAGTATTGGCTGAAGTGGGTAGACTAGCCTGTCCAAGTTGTTGGTTGTCAGACACTTTTCAGATGAGTTGATATAAGACGTATGATCCGACTAGGTTCGAATCTTGCTTGTGATCTGCGCTATAATCTTTTGCCGATAATCTTCCTTCCCGTTGTTTACCGGGTATTAAGTATTCAAGATACCCCGCAGGAAGAGAGATCTGCCCACGGCTGTTTATCATCAGTTTCTTTGCCATGCCTTCAGTTTACTGGACAAACAAAATGTGACTCCTGACATCTTTATCAGCTGCGAGAATCGTGAGGGAGAAGACGCTTCCGCCTGTGCATGGATCCGCCCGTGCACCCAGCAAACTACGCATCATTATGTACGTGTCCGATTAAAGCTTATTTTGAAGTGAAAAAAAGGCCAGGAGAAGAAAGGGACAGCCCAGAAATGATCGTCTGGTTCGGCAGCAATAAAGCACACGATTGCATTTCAGTCGTATTCATTAATCGTTAGGATCGGTGGTAGAAGCCGTAGTAGGCAGACAGATTATCATTGCATACTATACTGAATAGACGCAGGTACCCAGTAAGAAGTTGTTAGTGAGAAGCATCAAGTCGTTGTGGCAATTTCTCAGATTCTGTAGCCATAGGTAAGCTAGTTGTCCCAGGAACCAACGACCTCACAGTTGAGCCCTGCCAAAACTTTGATCTGTAAACAATCACCAAAGATCCCTTCCTTTTTAGCTTCATCTTTAATCCGTGTAATCTTCTCAGTACTATCTGTAGCAGCAGCAACGATCTACGAGTATTATCGATGATACCTGAATTATCATAATTCAGTTTATTGTTTCAAAATGCCAAAAGTTTATCTCAAGTGCCGAAAGTATTTGATCCAGACGTACTCTTGAACACGAAAAAATGGATGGTGTTGATGTTCGAAATGGGCATGGGTGACGAAGCATCTGCCTTGGTGGAAACGTGTCTTGATTTGTGAAAGTTTGTGGTATTGGCACACCCTCTTCCTTTTTTATTGATAATTTTTACTCTCGCTCTACCTTAACAAAGCAACAAAGCTTGCGATATACACAGCTGTCAAAGCTAGGAAGAAGATTGGTCAGTTGGATGGATGGTCAAATTTTAGCTCCCAACTGTTTCTTTAGATCTATTTCATTGTCCGGTCAGAGCCGCGCAGTCTTCATTCTCTTCCAAAAAGAACGTTTGACAGTTGGTGACCCGCACATATTTCCTGAATGAAAGGTAAAGAGAAGCCATGAATTATCACTCCCACGGCTCTTCCAAAACTCATTCTTGTATATAATCGTATCTTCATGCAAAAACAGGCAAAGGTGATGGCAAGAAGTCTTGGAATTCGGATTTTTGGCTCGAGGAGTTGTCAAATCTCTCTAGCGATCATGCGTTAAAATCGGAATGTTGGAATACGCCCCCCATTCAGGAAGCACCGCAAACCAGTGGTACTGATCACGACGACTATTCCGACGGAAGAAGGGATAATGATACCGACCAAGGCAAAAAAGAATCCGTGGATTTTGATAAAATCCATATTGATTGGTCACTTTCTGACGACGACGACAACGACAACAAGAAGAACACGAAAAACCCAAACACGCAGCAGGAACCACGCGTGCTTTTTGACGACGAGGACGAGGGCACGTTTGTGCGGCCTATTTCATCATTATCCTCGACGTCACGCGGTCTTTCAACGTCTTCAGTAACATCTGAAAAGGAACAATCAATTGGTTTACCACCGCCGCAATCTTCAGTCCCAACCAAATACGATTCGCTTTCATCGTTCAATGGATGGTCACTAGATCCGCTTTCTTCAACATCGCTCGTGGATTTTGAACCAGCAATAACAAAACTAGCCCCAGCACTGATGCCGACACCCATTACACCTAAAAGTTTGCCGTCGACTACTATGGTCCCTGTCATGGAATCTACTATCTCAACTACTACAACGGCAGCAAACTTTGTCATATCTAAAGTCAATGACGATCATCAGGATAACGATACACAGATCGAGTCTGCATCAGATTTAAAGCAAGTACCTGTTGAACACCATCCATCCAAGGCAATGAACGTAGCTATGAAGGAAGGATCACCATCGTTTGGGGAGTTATTTCTCGAAGTTTCGCCGGTAAAACTATCCACTACGGCATCCGAAGGAGAAAAACAATCGGAAGCTGCTGATGCCAAAGGCATAGATGGAGAAAACGAAAAAAATAGCGATGGCAATGATGATCAAATCGAGCCGGATCTGGAGGAAGAAGTTTGGTCATTGGAATCAATAACCAAGATTTTACGGGCAGCCAATTCCCCACCACCACAATCAACCCAGGCCACCCAGGAAGCAGAAGAAGATGACGAAGACGACGAGAGTGAGGAAGAAGAAGATGACAAAGACGAAAACGACGAGAGTGAGGAGGAAGAAGATGAAGAGGATGAAGACAGTGAAGAAGTCGAAAAGATCTCGATATCTTTATCAGCTCAACAAGACGTTCAACAAGTTAAAGAGGGAAACAAGTCCGAGTCATCAGTCTGCCTTGTGCCTTCATTGACACGAGTATCGGAAGAAGCAGAACCACTACATGTTCTTTCGAATCCGGATTGTAAAATGGAGAAGCCAAAGACGACGATCGATTTTGAATCTGCAGCTGACATTCAAGAATCGACTTTTGAAACAATGCGATCGCAAGGCGACTTTGAACAGTCGGTAATCGTCAACACGCAACATCCTGGAATGCAGCAGCAAGAGCTAAAATCATCTATGGACCAACAACCCTGCTTAATTATGCAAACATCACAACATGATGATAATAAAGAAACAACAGTTTTTTCAATTGATGCGACAGCAAAGCAGCAGCAAGAAGATGCTTCCACTACGTCATTGTCAATAAGCAAAGAATCAGTGGCACAGGCAACAAAAGCAGTGGAGGAGTCATCGAACGACGAGACTACAGCTGAACCAAAAATACTGCAAGGCCATCAAGATGCTTCACCTACTGTTAACTTGGCGACCACATCAACAGAGCAACGGTGGTTTGCGGGCAAACCATCAATAGCTAATGTGAAACCTACAGTAGCAGAACAACAGTGGTCTACTGGCGACCAGCCATTAGCTGTAGAGACGTCACCTACAGCAGCAGACAAGCAATGGTCTGTGGACAGGTCGTTTTCAGTGGCTGATGTGACGATAAAAGCAGCAGAACAGCAGTGGTTTGCGGACAAGACAATTGCAGTTGACGTAGAAGCAACTGCAACAGCAACAGCAACAACACAGCAGCCACGATCATCGACTGCAAAACCACTATTGGCAATGGACCAGTCATCGTCAATGGAAGGATCAACAGTGAAAAAAAAAGTATTATCTATTGCAGATCCAGTGGTGGCAGCGAATGTCGCAGAACAAGCAACAGCAATGACAGCATCTGTGAGCCCACCGTTCAATGATCAACCAATCACAGAGCAACAAAGGCCTGTAACGCATCGACATCAACAGCAACAGCAACATCAATCGACAGATCCTCTAACAACAACAGTTCCTGATTGGTTGTCAAGTGCAGCATCCATTTGGGCCCCAGCAGCAGCAAAAGCAGCACAGCCAGTCTCAGAATATCCGGCAAGATCGTCAGATCAGTCATCGACAACAACGCATCCTGTTACACCTGGAAACGTATTATCATGGAATTCAGTAAAACCAGTTTCGTTTACAAATACAACACACCAAGCTCCAACAGATTCATCGTCTATAATTGCACGTACGACACAACATCATGGGAAACAAGAGCAGGAGCAGCATGGGTGGTCGACAAGTCCTGCAGTATCCCGGACAGAAACGAACACTACAAATAATTTTGTTCTTGGTACGGGCACGATGCATGACTTTGATTTTGGAATGGAAGGCATTCATCAGCAGCAACAGGCGAGCTACAATAACAAGGTGATGGAAGCGACGAAGAAGAGGGAAAAGGAGGAAGGTGACAACGACCGAGACGAAGACGACGACGACGACGATTCTGATGGAAGCGAGTCCGAGTACGAGACGGACTCAGACGAAGACGACGAAGAATCAGTCGAACAGATTACAGTCAGCCTAGCATCGTTGATACGATCCAAAAGAGAGGAGGAGGAAAACAAGAAAAGACAAGAGATTCCTGTTGTTCATTGCACATTGACGGATTTGATTTTGGGTACAAAAAGTGAAAAGATTCGAAATATCCTTGCCGAATTGCGTGGCGAAAAGCCTCAGGCTCCTGCCGATGCCAACGGCAATGAACAAACTGACAGCAACACGGACGTCTCCATTCTGAACGCTAAAGCCAATTACGACGAAAATATGTCACCATCATCACTACCGTTCGAGCAAAAACAAATTGACAAGGGCGTGTCTGATATCAATCGATCGACTCAGCAAACAAATGGCATGAGCCAGAAGCAACACGACAATAGGCTGGAACGTCAGTCTTCGCTGCAAGGACAGCATGAACAGGAGAGGCCGAAAGAGGGAAAGGATCAATTACCACCTTCCAACGGTACCCGTAAGTCGTCCGTGGTAGTAGAAAAGGCAAAGGGACCGGCTGAAAGCAACAGCGAGTTGAAACTAAGCGCGTTCGCTCCAACGTTCAACCCACCATTTGTTTCTTCGCCATCCGCGTCAGCCAATAACGACGACGGCCGCAAAATTGACCATGGCAAGAATGAGGAGACCTTAATACAGATAGAAGAAGAGCAAATAGCAAATGGCACCGATGATGATAGCGATCAAGAGCAAGAAGAATTTCGCTACATAAGTGCAGAGTGTCCTACTGGAAGTGACACTGGTGTTGCAATAAGTCAAGGTGCTACCGCTATCAATTCACCTCTGTCAACCGCATCCAACCATAACAACAACAGCAAGCTATCCTCCGTACCGTCGTACCCATCATCTTCGCTGTTTACACCACCAAAATATTTTGAAGAATTGCCATCCTCGTCGTCTTCGTTGTTTGTACCTCCCAAATATTTCGAATTCGATGAACACACCGCCGTCGCCTCTTCACACTATGTCAGTGGATCCGCAAACCTTCATCAATTTCCCGTCAGTAAACCAGTCACAATCACTTGTCCCGAATCATCGTCGTCAGCAACCGCCTTTCCATTACCTGCCGCTGTCGCTGCCGGCAAGAGGATGTCAACTAGTTCTCAGGGCAGTAACAATAGCAGCATCAAATCTACTGGTGTAGACTCGCAGAGTTACGCCACATATACCAAAGAGGGAACGGTGTATCTTCGCAAGCAACAGCAACCACTATCGACCACATCATTCTCATCTTCAACGTCATCAACATCGTTCGTGTCCGCGTCCGAGTCTCCTAGTCGATCTAATAGCGCCAAGTTGAATCTCAAAGCTCCTGTATTCAAACCATCCATCTTTAAATCATAGAATAATGATAATGTACAATTTAATCATTTGTTCACATTTGCTGTTGACAAAATATCATTAGCAGGAGCAGCAAAGTTCGCTCTCGCTTTCATACATATGGGTGGATTGTAGTTTACGGGACTATCTCGTATATTTATTGCAAGCGCGATGTATTCTTTAGCTGAAATGTAAACACCCTCCATGCATCAAAGCAGTATATTATGGATGTGATGCATTTTCTGAAAGTATGGCAGTATGGTAACATGATAAACTTTGGTGAGGACGATCTTTGGGCCAGTGAAGTGTGATGTACGCGGCATTCGAAACGCGGTCATGCGCAAAACCAGCTTAGTTCGCATTGTGACCCACCGACTTATTGTTATTTCTTTTCGAACAAGAATGGAGACTATACACTCGATCGCGCAACAAACGAATCTCGCCACTTTACTAGGTCTTCATCTGGTATATATAAACTGACTTACCGTATGCTTACGTGGTTCTGCTCACTATGCCTTTTTTTCTTCCTATCCTCTTTCCTGGCATATAGGGTTTATCACTGTTTGGTAGTTTATCGACCTGCCCGGTCTACAACTTACCCATCTACTTTTTTGGCATTTGGGCCTATAATTACCACGAGTCGAACGCGCCCATCAAAACTGTAAGAAACAGGCCTAGAGAATAAGAAAGGAGTGGAGGAATTGAAAAAGTTAAGACGTCATTTGTAATGTAGTTTACAGGAGTACTTGCACTCAGCATAGTGCTTGATGTCCTTTGGTTCATCCTCCATGGCAGCCCACCCACTGACTCTGCCCGAAATCCCATTGACCGTGAGAGCGGATTCGTTTTTTGCATGGTGTAAGTTTTCGATCCTTTCTCCCACATATTTCTCTTTTTTTTGAACTTGTGAAGGAAGAATCGTATCCAGTTAGATAGGGACAACAAATTCACTGAAGCAAACATGGCTTATGCATCCCTCTCTTTTCCTATATAGGATGAATATTATCAGCTTGATTGGCAAGGTAAAACGATCTTATCACCTTTGAAAGTTGGCTCACACCTGGTATTATAAAAGGAGGAGAGGAAAGGTCTTGAAAGCTTATTTATTTGGTAAAAACTACATAGCCTATCACTGTGTTTGCCGGTATTAATACGATCCAAAGCCGTGGTGACTCGTTCCAAGTTGGAGGTAGTAGTACTTATTATAGTTTTGAGCATGGGATTTGGAAATCTTGAGGAGAAGAACAAGGGAAATGGAACTACCACACATCCTCTAGCATTTGCTGATATTACGTGCTCTATAATAGGCTGGTCAGATGCACCTGGTGCATTTCCTGGCGCATATCAAACTGTGCGAGATGGCAACAATGACGAGTTTGCATAAACATGCCCCGCTCCACTTTATTACTTTCATTCCTGCTTCCCTCTGTGTGATATAAAGCCTATATTTATATATACATTTTCTTATTTCTCTCCTAGCTTGCAAATGTTTTCTCCTTTTACGCTTTCTATTACTGCATGCATTTACCACAATATACACGAAATATGAAAGACCGTAAAAAGACAAAGTTTTTTGTCAGCGAAAATTGGCGTATGGAATGGATGGGATATATGGATTAGAAATACAAAGTTGAAAACTTCTCCCATGAGCCACGTGTTGCTGTGGCCAATGCGAACTGGATTTAAGAGCATAGGCAAGTTAGCAGTACTGTTCGCATCGTATATATTCGCTAGTTGTCCGGTAACAGACTAGCAATGGCCGCTTGGCTAGCTTCATAAGGCGGAGCATCTCCAACGGCTGCCGCGCAAGCTGACCATGTGCAGGTTGCAAAAAAAAAAAAAACGTCATGCGTGTTTAGGTTAGCTCACAACGGCGGATACAGATTTTCCTTGTCTTTTGAAACGATCCCATGAGTTCGCTTGCAGAATAGATATTAACTATTCTCCCGCTATTGCTCTCTTTGTACTTGAAGTTCGTAGATGGATTCACTTGGATAAAGCTATAAACATAGGTGTGCTTAATTATGGATCGTAGACTTTCTAATTGATATACCTAATAGTGCCTCCACGTTTAGGCACAAGAGCCCCACGAAGGATGTAATAATGAACCATCTAAATTTTGAGCGATCGATGTAAATGAGTACCTGGAACGTATAAACCCTTCCTCACATTGAGCACTAGTTTCAGCAAAAGAAAATGAAGATTTGATAGAGCAAAGTCTAAAATCTAGCTACTGTACCTACCTGGGTAAGTCCAATATACGTCGCACCCACGAATCGTCTTTCGCTCCAGCGTTATAGCTTTGCACTGCGTAAAAACTGGACTAACTTGTATAACATTAATGGGATATAAATAGTGCCAAACCAAAGAGTATGCCGCATGACTACCTGTCATTGAGAATATAATTATATAGAGGTGTCAGTATAGTCGATATCTGTTTCCAAAATGTAATGAACAAATGTCTGCGTGGCTTATCTTCACAATTACATCTCCCTACCCTTGCTTAAGTATAAGTTAGAGTGAAGAGTTGCTATTCCCTGAAGGTAGGATTGAAGCCGTTGATTGATTTTTGAGTGTGGAATTGCTCGCAAAGAGACGCTGTTGTACTTTATGATAGCAATGCATGTCTAATATCCGCACCGTAAACTTCGATAATATATAGTGAGTGTTCTTCAATTGTTTTATACTTTCACATTTGAGTTCTACCGTTCCTTCCCATTCCTTAGCATTTATGTGCAAGTATCAACGTGATGAAACTCGTATTCTCCTTGGGTTTATAATTCGAAGGAGCTCAAATAAGATCTCTTCTTCCACAACGATGTTAGTAAAAGCATATGTCAATGGAACATCTTCACTGTCTGAAATTTACTCATCGGTGACCAACCCGAAGCAAGAAGTTTTTTTGTCATTTTTTTTGTTGTTGTTGCGGTTCCTCTTCCTCACTCTCATTGCGTAGTAAATAATCACAATCTCGTTGATAGTAGTAGAATGCAGTGCCTTAGACGGGTGAAAAATGGATTTCTTCAAAAATAAAGATCAACCCTGGTGATAACCCGTAAAAGAACAAAAAGTCGCCTTCCTTATCCATGGCAGAAAAGCTGATATATACACCAAGATATGGCACTATTTTCATATAGTAATAACTCATCGACCGTTATTTAAAAGACTTCAGATTTTCAGCTGTGAAACACATTCTTATCGGTATTGCATATGGTGTTATGCCCAGTCTTGTACTTTATACCAGAAAACAACAATTGCAGTTGCTGCACATTATATTATTAACCTTTCGGAGATTCGCTTGCTTGCTTGTGTCCAACATGGCCTGCACAGTAAAACCATCATTCGACATCAGAGTAAATGGCACCTTCCTGCAGCATCTAAAAGAAGAAGCTCAACCCATTCAAGGGGCCACAGCGCTCGGAACTTTTTCATGCTGTTCAGACAGAATTGTCAGTTAAGTAAAAGCACATGCTGATGCACCCAGATACGTTTCAATGCAAGTGTCACAGTAAGGAATTTCATAAGCACTGTGATTTTTTCGGGCTTTCTTCTTATTTCGATGATGTAAAACCAGTTTTCTTTTAGGTTATACGCACAGGAATTGATGGAATCCCTTTTATGGTAAAAAACTAATTGTGGCTACTTGTTTTGAAGTATTCCACAAAAAGATTAATATGGAAAGTGAGGCGAAGTGGCGTATAAATTTCGGTAATCCATGTCGAAAATAGAAACCGGCTCGCGGAGAGAGTGAGTAGCCAAGAGAAACTCCGGTTTGTTCAATTGGACACCACAGCGCCGGTTCAAGGAACTTTATCGAGACAAGAGACGAGACAGGACAAGATAAAGAGGCATATCGTATCGCTGTACTGACGAGCGAAGAGGAAACAATGGAGCAGGATCCAGCTAATTTATTTGCTATATATTTTAATAGCTGTATGCATAGGCATAATAAGGTTTACAAATTAATTCTTGTCAGGGGTATGATATGAGCAATTTAGTGGTAGATAAAGAGAGAGTCAGTTCATTAATTATCTTATACTAGCGGATTGATTATATGTATGCAAAGAGGCTTATTTTAGGCGATCCTGCTTTCATGTCCATCTACACTGCATATATCATTTTATGGCATACAGTACTCAAAAGCAGGCTTCTGTTGTTGTTGCTGTTGTTGTTGTTTTGCAGATTTTGGTAAATGGGTCATCGCATTACCTCCTAAGCCTTATACCCTTTTCACTCACCCTTAATACGGCACCAGGGCGCCCTTTTTCTCCCACTTACCCTGAGAGAGAGAAAAAAAAGACTTTCTTGTTGTTCTCGTTGCTTCTTCTTATCATACATCGTACTAAAAATAAAAGTAAAATAAACAAAGAGCGGACGAACGGAGCATAACGGCCATGATCAAGTTAAAATGCATTGCGTGTTCGGTAGAAATGCGACAAAAAGGTTAGTGTACGTGATGCTTAATATGAGGTCCGTGCGTTTGCTGTTGGAAAGTGTATTTTCGCAGTGCGGTGAATGAAATTTAAAGCTGGAAAGAAAAAAGTCACGGGGATAGAGGAATATGCTGAAGTTGTTGTTGTCTTGGCAGTTGAGGAGAGTGTTAAGCGACCAGGAATGCGGTTGCTGCTTGGCAGCGGAAAGCAAAATCTCGGCTCTCGCATGGGACATACACGACAACGCATAATGTGGGGCGCTCGCTCTCTTTGGGCTAAGCTTACGCGCAAGGCAATGATGCAATCACGCGACCTCCTATTTTTCTTTGTTAATAGTAATATGTGAAATGATAATAATAATGACCACAAATATCCTATTTTATTTTTAGAGTAAAGGGACTTTGTGGACCCGCCAAAAAAAGACATGGTGTGCAACCGTCGATCCCAATATTGAATTTATTTTTAGGAACACCACACTTGGGACTTGAAAAAAAAAAGAGTGCGGAGGTTTTGGAGAGAATATATATAAATACAAGCCCTGGTCCTTGACTTTTCCTTTTTTTCTGGAAATCATCAGTTCACATACCACATACGCTCACAGTACATAGCACTTTAACATACCACATATTCTACTACTACTACTACTACTACTACACACACATGTCTGTCCTCACTGCTTACCCACCCGTTACACTCACGCCATCCATCTCTTCACCATCCGCCCCTGGCACCAAGCGAAAACGATCGGCGTCGCTGCACGTCCGCTTCTGCTCCGAAGCTCCTCAAGTCGAATACACTTACTCACAATCCGACTACGATCGAAGCGGCCTCTTTCCAACAGTGACGCCCCAAGACATTGAAAACATCTACAATAGCCCAGTCATTCTTGCCGTGTCCTTCAACATGATCACTACCAACACAACCACAACCACAACCACAACCACAAAAGCGCTATCCCAAAAACAAACCACCCCCATGCCCCCTCTCAAGCGGACCAAGCAACAGAAACCACCACGCTTGTCGATAGATACCAGCAACATCCACGGACCTTTGTTCTTCACCAGCATGACAACGAACCACCAGAAAAAGTCATTGATGATTCCGCCCATGACACCCATCGATCATCAAGAAGACAATGACGACGACCTCCTGCGGAAGAAGCACATCAGCAACGAGTGAAGGAACAGAAAATACCAAATCCAACCGCAATATACTACTCTATACATATTACTCCTTTGTAGATAAATCCCTCAGTACATACATAAAAGGGTTCTTTTATATTACCCTCTCTCTCTCTCTCTCTCTCTCTCTTTCTTACTCTCTCGTGTTGTTCTTTTTGTCTCCTTGCTTTCGCCCTTTCTTCTCGCATCTCATTCCCTTGTTTCTCGCAATGTACATACATATAAAAGTTATTTTTGTCATCCCAGCTCGCATTCTCATTCTTACTGCTGCATAAATATACAAGTAAAACAACTCTACTAGAGCCATAAAGCGCCAATGGATACACAATGATGACAGTGATGACATATGTAATATAGGATAACAAATTATAAACACAATGCATGCAAACAGACGGATATAGACACAAGCAAACAAATACGGATCATCTATTCATCCTTCTTTTTTAAGCAATGGCGCGCTTGACCAATGCTTGGAGCCCATCACTTTCCATAATAGCGCCCTGAAGACTCTTCAACGCATATTTGGCCAGCATATCCACCTCCACGTTGACTTTGTCGCCGATCTTCCGCAGCGGCATGACAACATGCTGCTGAGTGTGAGCGATCATCATGATTGTAAATGTCTGTGCAGCATCATCCACATCGCAAACAGTCAACGATGTACCATCCAGTGTAATGAACCCCTTGGGTATAATGAAACGCATCATGTCCTTGTCATCCGTATGAAACTTGAACCACAACGAATTTTCTTCTGGAGTGACCGAAACAACAGTGACGGCTGCATCCACATGACCCTGCACCATGTGTCCACCAAATCGCTTTTTGCTGTCCATCGCACGTTCCATATTGACCTTGCTGCCGACCTTGAGGTCACCTTATTATGCATGTGAATTGTAATATATTAGCGAAAAAAAACACCTTGGGCTAAAGAAGAGGACGTAGAGTATAATACCCAAGTTGGTTCGGCGTAAACTTTCAGGAGCAACGCCCACTTTGAACGTATCACGATCGAATTCGGTCACGGTAAGACAAGTTCCTGGTTATATCATACATATGGAAACAGGTTAGTCTATATGAGCTAGTTCCTGTACACTTGGAGAAAAAGGCCTTGTCTTTTTCATGACATGGAGAGTGTATCCTGCTTGTTATTACCGTTGACAGCAATACTGTCACCAATGTGACAATCGTCCAAAATGTCAGCTGCGTCACCAATGGTAATGGTCCAGCCATTGCCTCCTGATTGACTCGAATCTTGTTCAACAACTGCTGTTACAGTACCAATTTTCTCGACCAGACCAGTAAACATTTTTAGCGTAATTCCCGAGTGAAGAAAATAGGGTTGTCGAGAAAGGGCCGAGCGAGGGCAAGTTTAATCAAAAGTTCAGGTGCTCATCCGTGAAACGCCGCCCATTTAACCGCATCCGCCCGGGTAATTTCCCCCAAATGCTTATTGAGATACCCTATACACGACTTTTTCTTTTAGAATATAGAAACAGTCATTATTCAATTAGCAGATTATGCTAGCGCTGCAAAGGCGATATCAGACATGTAAATTTGCTTCTGATTGAGCTCACGGTAGACACCAGGAGGTACACAAAGTGTGTAAGTAACATGTCATTACCACAGTTACGAGTCCTCAGCAACATATGATCATGCTTTTCTGCAGAGGCTGCGATAGCTCTCTAGAGAAAGCAAGTACATGGTATCAGCTAGAACGTATGTCAGATAGAGATCTCTAGAATACAATAATGCTCTCTTTCTCTCTGTGGATTTCGCCATCCTCTCCACAAGCGAATGTATTCTGACGCTGTCTATAAAACATAACTTCTCCAGCTCGATTCAGTACATTTTCATGAGTAAATATGAACTGTTACGCGAGACTGCGTGAACTTATGAGTGGTGCGGAAACTGCGATGGAAAACAAAAATGTATTCTGAGGAGACGATGCGTTCCTTTTGGTATTTTTGAAGTGATGTATCTGAATAAAATAGGGTTTATGCATTTTAGAGTAACAAGCTTACATGAAATGTCAAACAGACCTTGTGATGATTGTCATTAATGCTATGTTTTCTTTGTTTGTCTTATATGCTTCACCTACTGAAATGTTTTTGTAAACACTCTATCTTTTCAAATGCATAGAACAATTGTCTGTTCTGATCTTTACTAGATTCGTCAAGTCAGAAAGAAGACATAACGGAGAACCACGGCATAATAGAATCCTCTTTTGATGATGCCAAAGCAGTATTAACTGAACATAGCGTCACCCGCGTTCTTTTATACTGCTAACGATGGGTTGGGTCTGCGTATGTTTCAAGGAGAAACAAAGAGAAATGATGAAACAACGTGCGGCAACAGCAAGGCCAAGCGGGAAAATTACCTTTGCAATCGTTTATAAACAAGTCTTGGCTGCACGTCGCAAAGAATTTCTTTGCTATACATGCAAGTACAACGTCGCCAGTGCCCTCGTCATCCGTCTACTTGCAACCATGGTGCTGCTCTGTATATAGAAAACTCAAAAGTGGTGTTAAAATTAGGTCAGAACCTACCTATTTTGGGTAATGGGTGTCCACTAATGTAGCATCTGCATTAAGGTTGGGCTGAGCCCACCCATCATCATCACTCGCAGCAGTAAATGTGCGTGTGTTACATCAACCATCAACAACAAGTGGCATCTTCTTGTGCTGTTGCTCTGAATGTCCAAGTGTGCAATACTGCAGTAACACAGGAGTTACGGCCAGTCCTAAACAAAGCACTGCTCTTTCGCTAAGCCCCGGAGACTCACAATACACACATCAGAAAAAGGAAAAAGAAACTCCATCGTTTATTTTTTCGTTTCTTTTCCTCCACTTTTTCTTTTTGGCCTTACTTGTATATATTTGTTTTATATATTTTCTCTTCTGCTGGCATGGCTTGTGTCGGATTCAATGATGGGGTCGTATTTGTGGTTCGTGGAGCCGGAGACGGTACAACAACACTCGATGTACAGTATGCATATAACAACAACACGATGCCGAGCCTTGCATCACTGCCAGGCACCTTGATTAACAGAAGCTGGAGCAGCTTTGACCCAAGTGGAGGATGTGGATTCTACTATCCGTACTTGTATATGACCGGAAGGGGGACCGGCGGTATGTTTTTTGCTTTTCCTCTCAGGCTATTGTCTCGTATATATCCGTTATACTCCATCCTCACACAATAAGCAAACGCACACACCAGGTGGAAACTCGACGTTGATGGCACTCGCCCGCATCAATTTGTCCAACATCAATACGACATCTTCTGACTTCTCATACGATCTTTATAATATGCAATCAACTGAAAGCAGTACGACCGACGTTTATATGGATTTCAATACGGTTGCCCCGATACGTGTCGGAACCAGCAACGCTCAGACGTGTTATGCTCTGGGATACGGCGCTCGATTCCAAATTAGTTGCATCGTCAGTGGCACAGGCACAACCATTCCTGTAGGAGCGGAACCCACAGCTTCAGCGAATGGTGACCAGCTCTCCTTTATAAGCCATCCTGATCAAACGCAGCTATTTGTCCTCATGAAAACTGGTGAAGGACGGGACTATCAATTTAGTTCGGTCGATCCATCATCCGACGCTAAATCACCACTGACCAATGTTACAACAACTTACACGTTCTCGGATAAAGCAATTCAACTGTCAGGAAAACTCGTACCTGTTGGTAGTAGCTCTACTGGTGCTACAGAAACCACAACAGGAGGAGTTGATGCTTTGTTGATTCCTGACAGTGGCCAAGGATACGTACTTCGTCTGCAGGTATTCTATCAGAGACACATTGTTGAGTATTGTTTATCAGAGCAACCTACGGATAGACATAAGGATAAAATATATACTCAAAATACCGAAACGGAAATCGTATATTGAACAATAGACCAGTGGCACTCAGATCAATTTGCGGAACCTGTCATTACCGGACGCTGCTGGCCTCGAGAATGCTCAAATGGCTGTTGATCCTTCAGGAACTCAAACCATCTATATGGTTGGCACGCCTCCTGGCAGCTCTGACCCAGTGGCTCGAATAGCATCTATAAGCGAGCTACAAGAAGTACCTTTGAACATCGACGGTAATAACGACACTGGAGACAATACGACGGATGGCGCTGTCACCAACAGCGACCGTTCCTCGAATAACACAGGTGCCATCGTCGGAGGAGTAGTTGGCGGTGTAGTGGGTCTTGCGCTTATAGTCTGCTTGCTCTGGTTTATTTTAAAGAAACGGCGCAAATCCCGTTCAACGGAATTCGAATCGATTGGTGAAAAAAGCCTGGCGTCGACTGCAGCAGCATGGCCGTTCATTGGCACGACCAGCGGATCGTCATCGATCAAGCAGTACGGAGATATCCGAAACGTGGCTCAGATACGACAGATGGATGTTTCATCCGCCGAGCTCGAAGCATTGGAACCAACATCGCCACTTGCAGATGGTGCCGTTGTTCTTGGCGGACTGTACCAATTCACCCGCGACCCTCCCATGTTCCTTGACGAGGAACAAAGCAGAGTTCCGAAATATGCTATGCGCAGTATCGTACACACTCCAGCTGGTAATAGCAAAAACTACACGCTACACTATTTTGTTAAGCAGGCCAAAAGTGCATTTATTCGAAATGTTACAACGACATGCGCCATTGGCTCCGCTTCAAATCGCGTTATCCAGCACCGCGATGCGATAGCCATGGATCACAGCACTCGCCGCAGCGGACACCAATATCTCTGGATTACAGAACCATGTGTCCCACAGCAATCCCTCCACTATGTCCTTAGTGGCAGCGACAAGAGCATTGATGTCAGCGATTACCCGTTCAAAGCCTGGTCTACCTACGCCATGCTCGATGCACTCAAGGACGTTCATGCTGCAAACTATGTTCATCTTGGGTTGACCTCATGGAGTTTCTACTATGCAGATCCCGAAGCGATCTCTGATTGGCAAATAACCGGCTTTGACCAGACACATTGTGCTGGCGAACGAATCGCTGAGGCACGATTAAATCAATGGAGCGCACCCGAGCTTTTCGCTACGGCATCGAGTGATAATCGTCGCTGTTTCCGGCAAACAGCACAGCCAGCGTCCGATATTTGGTCTTTGGGATGCATCATCTATACTCTAGCAACAGGTCGGAGCCTTACCATAGATCACAATCAGACTGCTCAGCTAAGCCGACGCGACCGTGACCAGCTTTTTATTCATGTAACAAGTGCTTGTAACGAAGCGGGTGCAGTGAACGAGAGCTATCGCACATTGCTCGAAGGCATGCTACAACCAGATCCAGCTAGACGAAGCACAGCTGCTAACTTGGCAGCTTATTGGAAGGAGGCCAACGGTCTTTACGATGATGATGAAGAGGAGAATAACGAGGCCGAAGAAAGTGTGGTTACACCTTAAAAACCTACAATCCAACCTTGTCCTACTTTATACATTATATACTTTTTTTTCTGTTATTTTATTATACTTGTACTGATACATAACTCATTCTACTTTTCCCCTTCTCACCACCACCTTTTTTTATATACATTCCCTATTACTGTTGATGCTATTATTATCTAATAATAATGTCCGTATGTACATTTTAAAAATATGAACGCCTAATCCCGGCCGGAAATGTGAGTGCTGTAGAAGTGCTCGGTTTGTAAAATAAATTTATAAGACTAATATCTATTTCCACTATGTAGAGTGTAGCCAGCAATGGCTAAAAATTCATTGACAAAAACATTAATGGCGATCGAGGTACTTTTTTCAATTCCATATCACAGCTCAACTCCTAATGAGAACCACTAACAGCAGCAACAAGCAATACTGTTAATAACGATCTGCACAGACAAAAATCAGCTTACAGTCTACACATATCTGAGAGCGCTTTGCTCCATTTTCGGACGTAAAACCGTAACTGCAAGATGGCTATATTGCATATGTGAACGCAATAAATACAATTTGATGATAGTGCTTCTGCCGTATACGACGGATTCGACAACATCTTACTTGATGTTTGTGATCATGCATTAACCGCTAGCTACAAAACCTCAATGGTGACTTTTACCACCGACCCCAGATACCCGCCCATGAAGATCTTGGTCTTTAATGCTATCTCTACTGCAACATGTGTCGAACTTGCAACTGCCATAGCATAAACGATTGCAAGTCCCAAAATAAGGTATTAATGCACCCCTAGCATGCTTGACAGCGCCGGATAGTCAACGAGCAGCTATTCGAAAGCAATCACAACTACATGAAAAGCAATAATGGTAACGGCATTAGTGTCGACGACGACCCTAATTGTGTGTTGGCGCACGTCAAAATAGAAAGCGAGAACAAACCAGACAAGAGCTACTGTACCATCAGCCACAACATTATAATCACAGACAGAAAGTACCGTTTTCATTATTACATCATTAAAAGATTCAGTAGTGATATCCGAAAGCAGTGATGAAGAAGACGTAAATGGCAGCAGCCAACAACGACATATTAATGGCGACACTGTCACTGCAAGTCGTCAGTACGTTAATATTACTATAATGTACATAAAATAACCAAACCTGCGCTTAGCACTGAAAATATTTTGGTTAGTAATCTATAGCCAACAGTACAGCGATGGCACTGTATTCGCCGTTTTTCATATCCCTAAACAAAATAGCACCGCAAGGAAGCGACCGCAATTTCATGATGCAGGTCAATTAGTATTCCATATCAATATAAAAAAACTACAGCCAGCAGATGCCGCTCCTATCTATATTGAACAGATACTTACACGATTGTGTTTTTATTCTACTATCAGTCCAGCATGGTTGGAGGATAAGATAAAAGATACAGTAGATGAATTATCTCTTCCCTTGAACTTTTTAAGCACGCTCAATGAGCAACTAGCATCACCGGTCTCTCATATATCTATTGAAACTTTGTACAGACAATATGCAAAAGTGTATGTATACTGGTGATGATAGCTTCTTCAATCTCAAAAAAATAGTTGCATACTCTGAATGTCATCGATGCTGTAGTCTATCACTGTGCAACATTTTTCGGTATGCTTAATAAATATAATATAACAGTGAGGAGGCACTGCAGGTGTATGATTGGAAGAGAGAGAGCCTGGAACCCCAGTTCCACGCATGCAAGTACCGCACCATGACATATAGCAGTTTGAACTTTAATGAGCGCATATAGTTGTATGTAGCAGCACAGATAAACTTGTCTGCTTTCAGCTTCACTAACTCGTCTGAAATTAGTATTAAAATGATCTCATACTACTCCCATTCATGGAACACATAAATCCTTTTCACCACATACGCCGAGGATAAGTGGTTTGGACATTGATTTGCCACTGCAGCTACTAAATCCTTTGCGCAAAGTCCTTTCAACCAGATATAGTGATTGTAACAAGTCTGTACTATATACCACCAACATATACTCAAGGGGAGGTTTTAGAAAAGGAGGGCGAGCGGTAGAAAGTGGTGCTAGAAAGTGACAGTCCATCGGAAGAAGCATGCAAGTTGATGGATGCTGCATGCAACGATTGCTTTCGGAGTCTGATAGTCTTTCACGCGTTGATGGGCTGTGCTTTTCTTTTCGTACCTTTTTGTGTTCTCTTTTTTACTCAACTTGAATAATCCTGCATCTCGAAAAGAAAAGCTATGGACAATGTAAACTTACGATTAAAGTTTCTGGGCTAAACGAAGCTTTCGGCTTAACAACAAGCTTTGTTATATTTTCTTCCTTAATTTATCTAGCTACGCCGTTACAGTACTGCCAGCAATTCGAATACGTCGCCATTACCTCGTCGCTCCAGCAGTCTAATAAACGCTAGTGCCAGTAACAACAACAGCAACAACAGCAGTTCCGGTGCCAATAATGCAACGACTACTAGTAATCCTAACAGCCCAAGCAATCGTAAATCGAGCGTTACTTCACTGTTTAGTCGAACACGTAGCGTTGCACGACTCGGTAAACGAACAGGGCCACCTGCGACTACAACTGCTGCTGCCGACAATTTTCTTGAACAAGATGAGAATGCTGAATCTGAAGTCAAATCGCCACGACTGACATACGAATACTTTAAGCGTTACGAGCTTATGACCGAATTGTAAGAATTTCCCCTGATTAGTTATAATAAAAAAGAAGCAACATGTATTAACGACTGTATCGAAAATGCTGGGTTTCGCTTAATAGCATCAATCTACGAAATCCGAGTCATTGCCCCTTGGGCGTCTACGTGATGCCTTCAACGGATAACCTCAATGGTAAGTGAAGGCTCAAAGTCTCCTCAACTTACATACTACGTGATTAAGTGAAGGTTCTAAACCGAACTGTATGCACACATACTTCATAGTTTGGTATGGCGTATTGTTTGTTCACAAGGGCTACTATCGCTCAGGTGTCTTCAAATTCCGGATGACCATCCCCGAAAGCTATCCGAATCATCCACCATCGGTGACGTTTACCACAGACATGTTCCACCCCTTGGTCGATGTGCAGGGTAACCTGTCGATCTCACAACAATTTCCCAGTTGGCGACCTTATCAAGATTATATATTCCATGTGTTGCATTACATGAAGAATATATTCAAAAAGGTGGTTCTGGATGGCTTGGTGGATAAACATTGTCTGAACAAAGAAGCGTATCGATTGTAAGTTTAAAAGAGAGAGAGAGAGAAAACAGAGGAATACCTTCTGTTGTAATCTTTCCCAAGTGTGATTCTACCGGTAATTAATCAAAAATCTTGATTCATGCTGTATGCAAAAGATACCGAACAGATTTGACAGTATTTGGCAGATTAGCACAACAATGCGCACAACTCTCCATCACCGAATCGTACCTTTTCGATCTTGTCCCGGATAACAACCTTATCACATTTTCTCCACTCAGTGAAGCCAAATTCGACGAGCTCAAAGCGCAAATATTAAGTAGTAACTTGGAATAAGTAGTACAGTGAAATATACCTTGTCTTTACACAATGCAGAATGCATCTTCTTTATACATGTAAATGGTAACAAACAGCAGCCCAATCTTTCCTTTTTTTGACTTTTTACTCGACTTTGACGACTCCATCACTATTAACAACACGGTCATTATCTGATACACCCTTCGATACGCGTGTTACGACCTTGTTCTTCGAAGGATGAGGAAATAAATCACCCCACGCCGCTTTACGTGCATCCCTATACGGGATTTTGCCTTGTGATTTGGGAATCACCATTCGTTGAATTTCTCCTATAACATTATTGAAAAGAAACAATGTGTTGTGAGCTACTTGTTTATCTCCTTTTTTCTCTCGTTCCTCAACTACAGTAAACACAACAATAGAGGAATAGTAGCCAATAGCCAAACAAAAATGACATGAAAAGTGATAAAGTGATGATTATCTAATTGGTACATACCTTCTTTGGCACACACATCCATCACAACGTGTCCATGCTTCTTGAGAGGAGGCTGTATTAAACGAGGCCATGTGTATGCAGCTTCAGGGAGATCATCATGACTTGATTCTGCCTTTGACCTTGATCCTCGCCTTAAAACAACATAGGCATACTTTGAGTCTTCTAGATTGAACTTGGAATGCTTTGTTTTCATCTATGAAAAAAAGAATAATACAGATATTTAGACCATTTCAGTTCATCACAGAGGGAGACCATTTGGTGTGTTGAGTGAACATTGAATTTACCAGAAAAGGCGGTCGTTGAACTCTTTGTGAAAAGTGACACCAGAATGCATCCGGTCTGGCATCAGGTGAATACAGTAAGGGACAGGGTCTATCGTGGGGGCACTGTATTATATGGTTAGTTGAGGAGTCTTTGGAAAGTGCTACCGTAATTTACACCCTCCGTCAATATCATAACACCCCCCTCCCTTCTGCGTTTTTGCGTGAAAGAGAGATATAACTTGCCGGTGCCACCACATGCACATCATCTTTATGCTGATCCAAAATCCATTGTCGAGCGCGAGCAATATTTGAAAAGCCAATAGGCGTACCTCGATCAACGAGCACCTGCATCAAGCAGAAAAAAAGTTAATTTCTGTTTACCATAAGCAGTTGTTGCCTTACCCTTTTTCCTATTCCTGTTGCACGCTCCTATCACCAGGGTTTCCCAAGAATCTCTCTCATCAGGGACTATAGTAGACTTACTAGAATATCGCCTGCATGTTCCCAGAGTTGATCCACAATAGAGCGCTGTAAAGCTTGAGAGGGGAGGTCACCGATGGTAAACGCGCTTACTACCAAATCAGGTTTCGGTGCCTGAAAACTTATTACTAACAGTTATACTAGAAAATATTTCTGCTAAATTATGCGATATTTTACATTTGGAACCACAGCACCAAGGTATCGCTTAAACTCCATATTTGCGTAGGGTGAGAGATTGGCTAAATATGTAAACCAAATATTTAGTATCGTAATTCGCATACTCCTTGTTTCATTTCTAAAAATTAGCTTCTTCTAATTTTTTTTACCTTGTAGTCGTTCAGCAATATTGAGCATATCCTCAGAAAGATCGACACCGACATATGATTGTAGATCTGAGAACACCTCTTGTGCAGCCCTACAAAAACTTAACATGTGAGATCGAGCGCACACATGGCCATTCAAAACAGATGATACCGAGTGCTTTACCATAAAGCCGTGCCTGGGCCCGTGCCAAAATCGAGGATGGACTTTGGAGCAAAATCGGCTATTCGATGGGATATTTCGGCCAGGACATTCATGGTCGCCGCATAAGTAGATGGTAGCACACCAGCTGCATAAGCAATGGATTCACGCGGACCATAAGCCAAGGTATGGGGCTCCTGGTAAGCTGCTTGGCGCTTTTTGCTTTTGCCATGGCTACTACTACTACTACTGCTACTACCGTTGTCGTAGTCTGGGAGATGTGTAGGTATCCTGGAAGTGGATCGGAGCGACTCGTAAAGACGCAAGGCATCTGTGCGGATCAGTCGTTTGTCATTTTCTGTAATAGAACGGTCGGATTATTTTTAGTAACACGGGCTAAGACTATTTTACGCTGTGCTCTAATATTGCTACTTTTTTATTTTAGCCAAACCTTCAATGAGTTCCGCAATGCCTTGAATTAAGGGTCTTGGCAAACTCACAGCCCCGATCCTTTTTCGTCCAAAGGCCGCTTCTGGTGAACTTCGAACCACGGGTTCAGCAACAGAAGACGGCACTGGGATCTCGGTCATTGCAATAGATCTGGGAAGTTGTTTGACATGAGTGACACAGAAAAAATATGTAATAATTCTAGAATAAAGACAATGACGTACTGCAGCTCTTCTAAAGCTTCCAGTTGCTTTTGATCTAAGAAGACAGCCTTCTCAGTCGAGTAAGATCGGATCCATTGTCCTGATCGTCGTAGACAGTGCTTGGACAAAGAAAACATTTATTATGCGAGACAGAAACACACAAGCGGGGTGGGGGTGGGGTGCCACACAAACGCGGAACTTATATATAAGCCACTACTAGTGTAGTGCAGATGTGTGTGAGCGTAGTAATAGAATGGTGATGATGATTCCTAGTTCGCTGACTTTTGCGGGTCAGGCACGTTACACAACAAGCAATTTTAGGAGTAGTGTGCTAATTCCCTATTTTTATACAACTTGTTTCTTTCTTTTTCGCACCTTTTACTCTTTTCCCTACACACACACCCTCATGTCCTTTGACTCGCCGACCTTTGACATTTCTGACTATTCGTACGTGATTGGCATTGGTAAGTTCCTTGTTGCTATGGTTGTTTATTATTCAAGATGACCATGACGCGACTCTGTTTCATTCTCTTCTGCACACCAATACTGCTCTCCCCGCCTCTCTTGCACCGAACTCTTGCGCCGAGACGAATGGGCTAAACCTACTACTTCTTGGGCTTAGATTTCGGCACCACTTTCTCAGGGTGCTGCTACGCCTTCACTAGAGATAACAGCGAAGAAATATTCGATATCATACGATGGTAAGGATCAGGAAAAGAATGGAAAAGGGAAAGTGGAAAGCATAGAAGAAGTACAGCGGTGGACGAGTGAACGTTTGAAGAAGGAGCAACCGAGATGATAACAAACCTTTATAAATGCACACCAACAACAACAACAACGACAACAACTACTTTAACCAAATGCAACAAACATATAAGGCCACGGCAGACAAATCCATATCCAAAAACACCAACGATATCACTGTATCCGCAGGGATCGACAAAGATGACGGCCTGGGGCCAAGAAGCTCGACGAATGGCACAGCGACGCAACAACGACCATTTATTGTCACGGTTCAAGCTCCATCTCGACGAGAATCTTTTCGATCTCCCACCACTTCCCAATGGCCTAACCGCCTTGGACACAATTTCACACTATCTCGAGGCGTTCCATGCACACATCTGCGCCGAGCTGCAGCGTAGCTTTGCATCAAACTACGACCAATCCAAGTTTCGCTACTGTTTGACAGTGCCTGCAATGTGGAGCGATCAAGCCAAAGCAACGATGCGTGAGGCTGCGATCCGTGCAGGCATCATCAACCGATACGACCACCCGGACCGATTGATGCTGATCAGCGAGCCCGAAGCTGCAGCACTGTATTGTGAAAAGAAATGCGACCAGTTCAACTTGGGCCATGGACAACGGTTCATGATTTGCGATGCCGGCGGTGGTACTGTGGACCTGATTGTGTTTGAAATCGACGACTCGTCGGGAAGGAGGTCGCTGAGAGAAGTGACGAAGGGTCAGGGGGACTCGTGCGGCTCGACCTTTTTAGATGCCCGGATGCGTGAATACCTCAAAGACCGCTTCTACGGCCTGGGGAGAGTGAGCGATACTGCTATGGAGTCGATGATGGAGAACTTTATTGAAGGCATCAAGGTATGAACAGACGCTTGGCGGAAGATGAGACTATGGCAAGCTGGGGGTATTTCTACCAGCTGTAGTTCTTGTTAGGGTCTTGATATGTGGGTGGTGTGCGGGTGTTATCACTTGATATTATTGTTGGTATTGCTGCTACTGTTGTTGCTAACCCCCAAAATCAACCTGCTTCTTCTCTTTCACCTTCTCTCTCTCTGCCCCTTTCTTTACTTTCTCTCTCCTTCTTTACCTCTTTGAAAAAAAAACCTCACCCCCTCTTTCGACACTTACCTACATACATTCGCATACTACTGTTATTAACTATACCCTGCTACCCGTTTATAACTCGAACCATACACACGTACAACACATATATACATCCGATCTATGTACTGCGACTACCTCCCTCCCTCTCCCTCTCCTTTCGCTATAATATCTGCCATATATACAGCCCCAATTTGAGGGTGATGAGGATCAATTCCTCCTTCTTCCTGCCACATTAGGTCTGGCGAGTATGGACGATCCCGCCAACGGGATCGAGGACGGCAATTTGCGTATCACTGCCGAAGATCTATGCGAACATGTATTTGAGCCGGTCGTACAAAAGGTCTTGGACTTGATTGACGCGCAGGTTCGCCAATCACATGTGCCCTTGGATGCCGTCTTCTTAGTAGGCGGTTTTGGTCAGTCTGAATACCTTCGTCGACGCGTGATTGACGAGTTTTCGCGCCGCGTAGGCTTCATTGGTGTGCCTCCCCGAGGTGAATTGGCTGTCGTCAGAGGCGCCGTCTATTTCGGTTTGAACCCACGCATGGTCACTGAGCGTGTGTCACGTAGAACCTATGGTGTGGAGACGCGTATGGTGTTTGACGCGCGACAGGACCCGCAGGAGAACTGCATCCAGGGTGATGGCGGCCGTTTGTTCTGTAAGCAGCGCTTCAGTGTTTATGTTCAAAAGGGCCAGCGGGTCAAAGTGGATGAGTGTGTTTCCAAAAACTTTATGATTGCCTATCCAAACGACACCGATACCGGTAAGTTGCACGCTTCGATTTTGTTTGTTTATCTTTAATGCGGTATCGTCCTCTGAAGGAGGATGATTAGATCTGGATGTGTTCATGCGCTAATGTGTCTGTGTGTCTCTCGTTGATAGATTTGTTTGCATATGATGGAGACGGCGCAGTGCCCCGTCTGACGACCCATCCACAAGTGTTCAAGGTAGCGCGCTTCCCGATCAAAATGCCCAAATTCAGCGGTGTGCAAAAGGGCGAGCCAATCTTTATGACCATCAAGATGTTCTTTGGCCAAACCGAAATCAAAATCGAGGTGCATATCCGCGACCGTGTGTTTACATTCACGTCTGCTTTTGAGACATTAGAGCGCGGACTGAACGGAGCAATGGCAGGCCTTAACTTGGATGTGCCACATACGCCACCTGGAAACAGCCTGTTTAGCAGCGGATCCACGTCCAACTTATCAAGCCCCAACACCACATCGCGCCCTCCTTCCCTGGGTAACAATCAGGATCCGTATGTATACCCACCGCCCATGTCGCGGTACCCTCGCAGCTTCAGGGGTGATGATGATGATGGATCGTTCTATGACGGTGATTCCCGGCATTCCACAGGTCTGCATGGCACCGCCAAAAAATTACTTGGTCCTTTCAAGATCGGTAGACGGAACAAGTAGAGTAGTGGATAGAGTAAAGGCACGCAAACCCACACTTCTAAAAGAATAACAAGAAAAGACCATCTCATAAGTGGAAAGAAATACTTCTTTAATACATCAGCAACCCCTACCTTTTTTTATTATTAACATACTACCACCACTACTACTACAACTAACATCTCATCAGCAACATCCCCACATATTCATGCAGCCGCAAACACCTACCACTTGACCACCCTTCCGGCATATTCTCTCACTCATCACCTTCCTCGAATGTTTCTACGTCCGACACACCCTGACTATGGTGGCCTTCATTCTCCTTCCCACAACCAATTTTTTTTATCTTTTTTTTTTTGTATTCATGAATGTAATTTCCTTCGTAACCTCTTCCTTTCTTCTTCTGCTCCGAGAACGTCACATATCATTTTATTACAGAACGCAACAACATTCATTATAATAATAACATCATTAAATTATTATTATTATTATTATTATTGTTATTATCATTAATATTTATTATTTCTAACTGTTCTTCTTGGTCCTTCTAATGATCTAAAAGCGTGGACGGGGCTTTTCACCCTTGGAATTGCGTGACCATGGCACCACAAGACATTGATGTCTATGCATTTTATAGTAGATAAAAAAGCTTATCAATAATTTTGTGCTTCAATGACGATACACGCACCATCGACCACCATTGTCATTTAAAAAAATTTGTTAGATAGCAATACCTTGTCAGTGCAATCAAATTGCCTTGGGGATCCCAGATACCACCGCTGCAATCAAAGCGTCCGTTGATGATGTGTGGAGCAACAATGCTGCTTAAAATTTCTTTACCCGAGGGTCGTCGTTTAAATAGTACTTCCAGCTGCATCGTTGGACACCAAACAGGTCTTTTTTCCCCCCAAACCACGTAATATCTGTTAGTATGTCGTAGCCAAATGTATTGTCCTTTTCAAGAAACTTACCCTCCAAGATAATCCCAGCCGAGAAGCATGGGTGGTGTTACGAACAGGTCGCAGAAATAGGGTATACCTGTAGAATACACAAATAATTTGAGGAATGTGATCATGTTAGCATAGAACAGAAAAACAGTACTCTGGAAAAAGCTTCAAAAGTAAGCATTACTTTTGAAATCGATATCTCGACCGTCCTTAAATTGAAGTGACTGATGGAACTCTGGTTTGCCCATAGACAAATGATCCTTGCCGAAAGTTGATCGATCTGCGAGACATTCTAAATATTCACCCATATAAATATGTTTGAAAGGTGTCATGGCGGCTCGATTAGGCGCTTGGTATGGCTCGTGCATGAAGTTGATGCCCTCTACATGAAATCGACCCGTTAGTTATTGATATTATGTGGTTTGAAACCCATCATTATATCTAATGGTATCATCCTGCTTGCTTCTTTCGCATCTTGGGTCTATGGTTTGTACCTTCGCTATCCAAATTGCCCATTGTGAAAACGACGTGGACCTTTTCCTTGTATCTGTCAGGTTGGAATTGATCTGCCCTGGTCAAAAGCGGCGCACCTTCGGCCTGCAAAAGGCTGGCTTGCACCAGACAATAGCCTTTCTTGCTCGTCTTTAAGTTCTTGATGGACACAACAAATGGGCCAAGGCTGGTCTTGTGCATGTAGAAACAATTCAATGCCACTGGGTCATGCTGATGCTTGTTTTCAAAATGGCGAAGTGCCGCATCCGTAACGAGTGCAATGACATAACCTTTTTTATACGATAAAGAAAATGCCGGATTTTCTTTTAACGTCTTGTGCAAAGTTTTGTCACATATACCTCGGTCTACTCCCGCTTCCATCCTTTATTCTTCTTACCGCCCTAATAGTATATAGCAAAATGGTTAGAGATACCCGTTATTCTATTCGAGAGCGACGGTATGGTAGTCAATAAGAGTAACTTACATGAGGAACATCACCAATAGCCCATTTCTGAAAGAGACAAGCAAAAGTTAAAGTGGAAGAATCGAAAAGAAACGTGTATTATGAATATCAATTATATGTCGATTGGTACAAGAAGCTATACGAGTTATAGGTTTATGACGAATTGTACCTTGCTTGCATTGCCTACGTACAGAGTGGCACCCGACTCTGTAGTTCCGATACAGACAGTGTTCGTGCCTTCATCAAAGGCAGATACTGTACCTTGGGTTGCTTCAGCAGTGCTCATGCTTTGTAAACAGTTGTAAAACGTGGTAAAATTGACAAGGAAAAGAAAAATGTGGTTATGTAATGCTAACCTATGTTTATATTACGGAGTTCCCTCTGTTTTGTCAGCGGATCCCCACGCTTCTCGGATTTGTCACACTTAATTTCTGGGATTATGATTATGCGAAAATGGCGAATTCTCATCTGTGGGGACGAAAAAATCAGCAGCTCAAGATTTGGTTTATTTATCTTAAGTTTCCACTAAAAATGTACATGTGTATAAGCATGTTGAAAAGGCTGACATCTGGAGAGGTACTAGTAGTACTCCCTAAAAATTACCCAATACTGGACAATGCTTCAGGATTTTTAACATCAAGTTCGTTAAACACCATCATAATCATAAGTATTTGCTGCTGGCCACTTCATTACTCTCTATCATCATCTAGCTAAATGCGTCAGAAGAGGTAGAGACCACCTTTTTGAATATAAAGTCTTTAAGTTAATGAACGGTTGATATAAGGATGATTTTACGACTCGAATCCTACAAAGATACAGGTGAAGTCAGAATAGAAGAAGTCCAGGCTATAAACACTTTTCCTTGTAATAAAAAGGATTACAACGGCACATACAGTTGTACCCCGGGATTTGCAACCGAGGGTTTTCCGATTTTTTTTTTTTTTTGCAAAAAGTGAGGATTTGCAAGTAACGGGGTAAACAATTCTGCTTCAAATAGACACTGGATAAGGCATCCTATAAACACTAGCCCATTGTTTATCTGTTAGAGATGATGTACGATACGTTCTGTGGGGATTTCACACAGCTCTAAATGTTACTACTTGCATATATAAAACCGTTCTTTTATTGAAGCTGTCTAGTGCAGTAACCGTATCATTTTATTCCTCATAATCCGCAACAGATGCTTCTTTCAGTTGATATTGCAAAAATTGAAGCTGTTTTTACCCCGATAACATGCAAATCGTATAAACTCATTTGCAAGTTGCAAATTTGCGAAACTACTAAGTTTTTTTGGATTTTTCAAAAAAAAAGTTGCAGATATACGAGGAATTGCAAACCCAGGGGTTGCAAAAACCGGGGTGCAACTGTATCTGCGTGCAATTTCCCTGATTTCTGTCCACAACTATTTGCTTGACGGTTTTTGTAGACATTAAGATGTTTGGGTGATTGAACCTTTTTCTGTGAACGATTCATCAGGACTATACCATACTACAGCGGTTTTTTTCCAACTCCATTAGAGTACCAGTTGATACACATAGCTCTCACATACTCAACTCTACTGAAAGACTTTTTTAAATCGATGCTGGTTTTTTCCTCTATGTCAGTCACCAGGGCCAGTCAATCTGCATGGCTGCCACAAGAATTTTTGGGTATGCCAAAGTAGTTACACCAATCGCATTACCGTTTTAAGAAATCCGCCACCCAGCTGCTACAATTTTTTTTTTTTGGTCACCACTTTTTTCTCTCTTCTCCTTTCACGTTCAATTACCTTTGAAATGCCCGTCGGTCGAGTAGCTGCAGCAACAGCCGAGAAAAAAGCAGCAAAAGATACACAGAAAATTGCACCACCTACAGCAAGTTTTCAGGATCTTGGTGTAGACGGTTGGCTATGTGACACTTTGAAAGCAATGCAGATCAAACGACCTTCCGAGATTCAACGGGCCTGTATACCTCCTGCTTTAGCCGGTGAGTGCATAACTGACTCTTTTCTTTTTAATGGAAAAGTATTTTCAATCTCAATTGACAAAAAGATCGTTGTAGGCAAGGACATTATTGGTGGTGCCAAAACAGGTTCCGGTAAAACAGCAGCATTCGCCTTACCGATCTTGCAAAAGTTGTCCGAAGATCCCTACGGTGTGTTTGCACTGGTTTTGACACCTACTAGGTAAAACTCACATACATTTGACGATTGGTGGTAGAGGGAGAGAGAAGTAGGTTTATCGGTATCCGTTTCGTTGCTTACATGTCAGTTTATTGTTAGGGAACTGGCCTTTCAAATTGCGGAGCAGTTCCGGGTATTGGGTAAAGGCATTGGATTAAAAGACTGTATTGTTGTGGGTGGCATGGACATGACCGATCAGGCCGTAGCACTAGCCAAACGACCCCATGTCATTATTGCCACGCCAGGCCGTTTGCACGATCACATTCTACACAGCACAGGCGCCGTCCACTTATCACGGTGTAAATTCCTGGTCATGGATGAAGCCGATATGTTACTGACACCTTCCTTTGCTCCAGCACTCTCCGATATTCTGCCGATGCTTCCCGAAAAACGCCAGACGTTGTTGTTCACAGCCACCATGACCGACTCGATCCTGGCGATCCGAGACGCTAAAGAAGATCCCAGAAAGAAACCTTTCGTACATCTGTGCGATATGAGCACATCGACCGTTTCGACCTTGGATCAATACTATATGTTTGTACCATCGAATGTCCGAACGGTCTATCTTGCACACATCTTACGTTCAGAGGAATTCAAGGATAAATCTATCATGATCTTTTGTGGGAAATGCGAAAATGCCCAGTTGACAGCCAATATTCTCCGTCAGCTCGGTGTACGATGCACAGAACTACATTCGCACATGTCACAGCAGGACCGATTGGCTTCGATTGGCAAATTCAGAACAGAGATTGTCAAGGTTCTTATTTCAACAGATGTTGGCAGTCGGTAAGTTGTATCTTTGGTGTTGAATGGCGGCTGGTTTGTGTGCAGGTACACTAATGCTATTGTATACATAGTGGTCTAGATATCCCCGCGGTACAAGCAGTCATCAATTACCACATTCCTCGAGATCCTACCGACTATATCCATCGTGTGGGTCGTACTGCCAGAGCTGGACGAGGCGGTATGGCGCTTTCCATCATTTCGGAACGTGATATCCAGTTGATCCAAAACATTGAAGCACGGATAAGTAAGTCATTGTTGCCCGGTTGTTGGATAAGAAAGGTACGGCGTGTGCAATGATGTTGAGACTCACAATTCAACTTTTAAACTATAGACAAGAAGCTTGAAGAATATAAAGTGGATGAAAACGATGTGCTTAAAGAGCTGTCCGAGGTCACTACTGCAAAACGGAAAGCAAGCATGTTTATGCACGATGCTGAGAATAAGGCAAAGCAGCGCAAAATCAGAAAATAATAAACTCAGAAAATTCTGTTCCATGTTTTTCTTCGCTATCCTTTCTCCTCTGAAATCATGTACCTCCAAAGAATTCAACGAGATGTCGAGGCCGTGTACGAAGACGGCTGTTTCGGATTAAAAGTAACCGATAATCCTGGCAAGTGATCTTTTTCCCAAGTTTGCTTGTTTGGATTGCCTGCACGTTAAAAAGGAAAACAAGTGGCGAATGCTCATCGATACTTGATTAATCTACACACAGCCCTTTACTACGCAACTATTAAAGGTCCAGCAGACACACCCTATTCTGGTATGCAAAAGAATTGTATAACCGCAGCAACATATAGGTCTATTACTGTAGCATTTAAAAAAATACATCTCTTTATCCAAATGTATATGTGTAGGTGGGGTATTCCTTCTTCGTATAGAGTTTCCGGTAAGTAATAATGCATTCATCAAGTGACGCGTCATTTCTTATTTGTGGCGATATGTAGGATGATTATCCGTTCAAGCCAATAAAGGCCCAGTTTATTTCCAAAGTATACCATCCTAACATCAGCTCCCAAACGGTAAGTCTCATATGACCCACTTGCTTCTCTTGCAATATATCTTTGAGGGATAAGGAATACCTGATAAAGCAAGCCACAACATCTCTTGTCATATAATCTATATCAATTAGGGCGCAATTTGCTTGGACATTCTGGCAGACATGTGGTCTCCCGCAATTACGCTACGTATCGCTCTACACTCACTGCAAGCACTTCTTGATAAGCCTGGACCAGATGATCCTATTGTAAGTTAATTGAGGGAAAAAAGTTGTCTTTACCTGCTGTGGATTTTATGAGGTCTGCTCTTATGGTGTATGGTGGTTTAATGAGGTTGGCTTGCTTGTGCTAGGATGCTGTTGTCGCAAAGCATTATCGTGATGACCATGCAGGATTTGTTGAAACGGCTCAAGAATGGACTCGACGCTTCGCGAAGGGGGATGAGCAAATTAAAGAATATGGTAATAACGGTGAGCCTTGGTGCTAAGAGAACTATGTTGTGTCTCGCTCTCGCACTCACCCTTTTCCTGGTATGACAATGACTTAAGTCGTTTGTCGAATTAAATATTAAACTTTGTAAATGGCTTGGATCTTCAAGCATATAATATATATATTTAGCCTTCTAATAGGTTATGAATTGTAACTATAAAAAAATGACATCAGCATTATAATAAAAAAATTTTAAACTTTGTAGGAAGAATGGTGACTTTGATGAATGCGTACATAGTCTGCTAGCATGTCTATTTTACAACATCTGAAACTGCGAGATATGTACAATCGCATTTCTATGCGTGTAATCAGGATGTGGTTAGGTGCCTACGTGTATGATATGCGCGGATGTGCATTTAAATTCAAACAATTTTGATCACTTTTAAGACCTTTTACCAGCTCAAGCAGTTGGCCAAATGCAGATCTTCATTATCATTAAAATTTGGCCATGTATCATAAAGGTGGGAACGGCGTCTTCTTCAAATCGTTGTGTACCTCATAAAACATGTCTTCCAGTAGCTACTTTTACATCACACCAACTCTTACTTTATGTCTATTTGCTAGCTACGAAGAATACCCGCGTTCTGTTCTTCCGGTTTGGTCGCTGGCCCGGCCCCATCTCTGTTTTCACATGACAGGCTTTTCTACCTCTTGCACATTGAAGAATCGCATATTTTGAGAGAATTATGTGTAGATAAATGTGAAGTAACATTTTGTGGAAGGTGGGGGACCACAGAGCTTGTGCAAAAGCTCCCATGTCACATTTCACCCCATAATGTACATTGAGTCGTCGCAATCTGCTCCAGTCAGTGATGTTGTTGCTTTATGCTGCTCGAAACTAATAAGTATATCACTGTTGCATGTCACCTGGCTGTTAGGGGATAAGCAAGGTCACTAATCAAATGAAAGCAAAATAAAATGTACATCGCGACAATCTAACTACATAGTTGCTATTGTGTCATCGCATCATTTTGAGCGGCAGTATGTAAGGCCGAGAAGTGATATGTAAAGTTCTGGAACTAACAATGTACGGAACTGTGTAGATCTTAAAAATAAACTATGCCTCATACTGTATGTATCCGAGAGAACACTGGACCTGATCTTCTGGTAGTTACGATGAACTGTGATGGGCGCCTTGCCGATACGTCACCTGCACCTTCAGATCATGCTCCCATTAGCCTTAGCTACAGTCATGTTCCATATATTGCTTATACTCTTCCTTGATTAACTATGTGGTACTAGTGCCTTAGATTTAACCACAATACACGTAGTACCATTATAGAACATAAGGAATTAGCACACACCTCGAACGCGTCAAACATTGTATTACGTTGTGAAGCAAGCCAAAATAGTTGCATGGGTTAATGACAGCGTTAAAATCATTAGTGTTAACCATTCCATAATCCAAACTATGAGATAAGATGCTTTTCAAGATACGCATGAGTAATGTAAGCAGAAAGCTACCGCTAGTACTGATATTACACCCTCAACACTGCGAAAAAATTGATCTTTGAGATTAAGACCGAATGGATCTTCTTTCTTACTTATGAGCATGTGGGTACGCAAAGGATAATTACCTCGGTATATAGACAAACCGCATGTCCGCGAACATAATGCTGAGCCTGCTCATTGGTATACACTTGGCCAGATAATGCGCCTCAGATATGACCTAGGTATGAAACCATAGCTATGTACACCCACTGCTCGCTTGGAGTGGCCTGCTATATTACATGTCGAGCAGGCTGCTCTTGGAGGAACTTGGGCGAACGAACCGACCGTCGCGAAGATAGTAGCCACGTAGAGGCCAGCTATACCGCTCGCTTTATAGGCAAAAACAACCAATAGCATGTATCCGATAACGCCTGTAAACGAAGCAAATGAGGAATGGTATCCGCGTTCCACAGTTCGATCCGCATTCATGGCACTTCGTGACTACAAAGGAGTTGTTGTCGTTATGCAACAAATGAATATACGTTATTTTCTGAGTACGTGCTCAATATCAGTAAACATCTCACCCCATATAAGTAACTTACACACAGCATAAGGAGGAAACGTCAGTGCCTGGGCTATAAAAGAACCGCATTCCATATCCTTGACTATGGACGCCATAAACGTGCTCAACGAAAACATAGGAGTCAATCCCAGAAAGTTCATTATCAAACATTACCAATCATAAAAGCCTTGTTTGCATTGATTCCTCGAGTAGCTAGATTCAACAGCTGGTCCGGCATCGATCTGGAAATGAGAGTCGGCGGCTTCGCGTTCACACTTGGTCAAGACTAATAATTCCCTTCAACAGCCATAATCTCACTCTCTTTCTATTGTGTGTGCTAAGTTCATGTGAATAATCCGAGCTTCTTTTCTGTTTGTATGTTTACTACATCGTGCTTTGCTAGGCGAGTCTGATATGACATACCATGTAACGAACGGCAAAAACAAAGGCGGAAGAGCTTCAATAATAGAATTTCACTGCCATCCGCGCAAACCTCTTATATATACCCTCCACGTGCATGATAGTAGAAGTGAGAACACCGCGAAAAACCTAAGAAACAATTCACAGATTTTAATTTTGAAGACGTTTCTTCAGCAGCCCACCCCATTTGAATTTCACGGGATTAGAGCTTACACCAGTGAGTGTAGCTGAGCCAAAGAAAAACGTTATCCGAGTCGTTTGCTCGCATCTTGTGTCACTCAGTCTCCTATTCGCTCAGTATTAATAGCTGCCATAGTCATTGGACTGGTACGAGGTTTATTTGGATCCAGAGCAAACTATAGATAATTAGCTTTACTGCCATGCAATTTTGAGAAATCTATATCGCTTGTCATGTGCGCCTTCCCCTCCATCTAAAACGAGTACTGTATTACTACACTTGATTATCCCTTCAAGCCAATCAAGGGCCAGTTTTTTTAAAAGTATACCATCTCAACATCAGCTCTCAAACGATAAGTTTCATATATGAGGACAAGGGATAATTGGAAAGACAAGCAACAACATCTTTACCATATAATCCTATACCAATCAGGGCGCGATTTGCGTAAACAATCTGGTAGACGATTGGTCTCCCGCAATTCGGCTACGTGCCTTGTACACTCTCTGCTAGGATTTCTCAATAAGCCTGTACCAGATGATCCTAATGTAAGTTAATTCAAGGAAGGAACTTGTTTTCGCTGCTGTGTATTATATCAGCGCTGCTCTTGTGAGTGTATTGTTCATCAATGAACTAGCCTTGCTCTGTCAGGATGCTGTTGCCGCAAGACATTATATTGATGACCACGAAGAACTCGTCAAAGTGGCTCGAGAATGGACACGACGCTTCGCAAAGGGGGACGACCAAATCAAAGAACATGGTGGCAACGGTGTGCCTTAGTATTAAGAAAACTGTGTTGTGCCCCGCTCTCGCACCCACCCGTTTCCTAGTACATATGACTTAAGTTGTTTGTACAACTAAGTTGTATATTCTTTAGATGGCTTAACACTTCAAGCATATATCATGATGTTTACATATAGCACAGGCATTCTTTTGGCTATGCCAATCATTTCTTAAGTGGTACAGTACATACATACCAATTTCGTCGAATCTCAACTCAGTTCAACGTTGCTAGGACTCACGGTCCTATTTTTGCTCAATATCGACATCATTATCAATTATATGATATAAGTTTCAGCTGTAATAGGGCGGTTGCGACTGTTATTTGAGGAATGATTTAGCTGTTCGCTTATTGTGTTGCAGATTTGACGATAGCACCAGGCTTGGAAGATCAACCTAATGATTCCCAATATGAACTGGAAGGATGATTCCCAAGTATATTCATATTAAATACTTACAGTCTTTCCACCTGACACGAACCAAGTTGTAGTCAAAGCATAACATAGCTGTAAAGAAGTATAAGAATCCGCGCATGCTTAGACGCGATAAAAAGAGGACCAGGTATATATTGCTCATTTCCTAAACACCGTTCTTCTTTTTGGATAATCAGGGGAGGGACGTTATCATGTGTTATGCTGGGGCAAAGGATTACTTGTTTCTTTGTGGGCCTAGATTTTGGACAGAGCCGATTGATATGCGTGACATGTTGTGTTTGTGTGTGTGTGGTAGTGGAATGTTTGCTATTAGAGAAGTTCTCTTTTGGAGGGACTGCGGGTAAAGTAAAGTTTAGGATGAATATGTCATGTTTGTGTGTGTGGAGAGGCGGAGAAGGGGAAAAAGTAGGAGAAGATACAAAAATCTAACAGAGACACAGCAAAGCATGAGTTACCCGTTTCTTCCTTTGTTCGCCCCATGTATACTTAGCAAGAACCAACTTACTTTAGATGTGAGCAACTCTTTGTTAGAGTAATGATGGTTCTTCATCCATGGTCTTTTTGATTCTCAACAGGATGGTTGTCTTCCAATGGTCCAGCTTTGTCATTTGGTCAAACTCGTATACTTTTTGTGTAAACAGTTCGATCTCACCGTTTTCGACGCAGTCGAGTATACTCTGTTTTGCGCAGGGGGAATAGGTGTGTGTTGGCATCGAGACTGTCATGATTTATGCAACATGTGCTTGAGAGAGAGGAGAAAAAAAGAACACATGCCTGCAGGAATTGATATTCGCGAGTACTTTCAAATGTGATGTCCATGGTACAATATTTGTCTAGAGCTTGCCGAGTACGTACCAGATCCTATGTTTGCATATTTGTGTATTCACGTCAGTATTTTGTGTATAACTAGCATCCTCTTTACTTACACCAGTGCATAAATGACATAAGCCGGCTTTCAAAAAGTATTCTTTGAGCGACCACTTGGTCAGTTGGTTATCCATCGAAGCTGTGGCAACCGTTTCCAATTTCTCGATAGCGACATCGTATTGTTCTAGTTGTGCTGCAAAATGTGCCACTTTCAAAAGGCATTTGTTGACCATTCTAAATACAATTGACCCATTATTAGAACAACTGTCTTACAACGGCTTTCCAGCGACCACTTACGCTTGTGAGTCATCGGCCATGTAAAGATTGGCAGCTTCGTCCCAATTCCTCATTGCACCTTGTAAGTCTATAACGTCGGACTCGTATATTTCTGCTATCTCCTGGTGATGTTTTGCAGCGTTTCGGAAGTGCGCACCATCCTTATCAACCATAATGGCACTTTCAAGAGCACGGACCGCCGCTAACAGAAAAATAAAAAGTCAGATACCATGAAACGAAATCGATCGAGATCGAAATCCTAAATAAAGAACACGGTCAATTTATAGATGTTTACCCTCAGGATCATTCTTTTTATAACACTTGGCTGCGTTCTCGTATGATTTGCTTGCTTCGTATTGGGTATCGGGTATCTTATTATATAAACCGGCAGCTTTGATAAATGCCTCGCCAGCCTCAGACCCTATATATATATATGTACGTAACGTGTTGGCCGTTGTAAATAATAATGCATTGCGTGTGCGTGTAGGTCGTTGACATGACATGCTCTGTCCACACAGGAAGGGCACATGTAGAGAGTTTCAGCCTAGACAGAAAAAAAGTAGCAGGGACCACACTTACAGCGCTGTGCTAGCTTGAACGTGTTCCCGGCCTTCTCGTATAGTTCAGCAGCGTCTTCCTGCTTATTGCCTCCACCGAAAAAGGACCAGCCATTGAGGCGTTTATCGGCCGCTTGTAATAGTTCTTGAGCTTGGCGTTCTGACATGATGAATTCAAAAAGATGGATCCACAAATTTATGTTTTTCTCTCTTTTTATAATGTATTATAGTAGTAATGCGGTAGAGGAGAACTAGGTTCCGGCGAAGCTAAGGAAAACCTTCTGATGCGTTTAGAGGCGATGGGACCCGGTGGAGAAGGAAAAGAAATTCAATGGAAGGAGAAACCCCTGTAGTAGCCTTTTTCTCTTTAGTAAGTTATAGATAATAGAAAATAAAAATGGGAATGCAACAGGAACAAATAAAGGAATAAGATTCGGAAGAGAAGAAGTGGAAGAAAAGATAACGAGTGGAAATGAGCAATCTGTTGCCACTTGACGTTGGTCGCGGCAAGAAATTATAAAAAAAGATACTTTCGCGCTTGCTTTTGCATAACGTCACGCCTGTCGCTTTCTCCTGCGGAAACGGAAAGTTGTTGGCGATACAGTATCACCAATATCCCCCCTTTTCTCTCTCTTTTATTTCTTTTCTTCACTCTTTGCTGCTTTTACTACAGTCATGAGTTTCTTTCCTACAGCACAGCGACCCAAGTATCTTGTTCAATTTAATGCCGGAAAATGCATCCGGGAAGGCAACACGATAAAGCCCGATTTACGCAAGGGGTAAGCTTCTTAAACATTTACTTGGTTTTCGTTGAAAAAGAGGGACGCGTCAGCATTCCATATACGTTACATTTCTGTAAATTCCACCTTACAATGTTATATTAATAATCCGAATAATATATACAACAATGTAGTATGATCTACATGGATCAGGTAAATATAAACTAGGCTAGGGTCGAAAAGCATGTCTTTCTTTTCTAACAAAAGGGTATTAAAACAACGGCGAATAGACCGATGAACAGCTCATGTATTTCTACTGGAAAGAACGCAAGAGCTCAACCGAACCGGAAGAGGTAATGTCAGTTCTCTAAATGCGTTGTTTCTATGTGGTGGAAGAAGACTCAACCACACTGGTTTTATTCTACTCTCGAAAGAGGCGTTATGTGTATGTATATGTATTCCGCGCAGAGTTATTAAAGCAGTTGCGTTTTTTTGTCATTCAGGAACGAATCATCTTTCCCGATGAAGCTGAATTCGTTCGCGTCACGCAATGCACGACTGGTCGAGTATACAGTTTGAACTACAAGTCTTCTGGCGAAAAGCTCTTCTTTTGGATGCAAAACAAAAGCGATGAAAAGGACGAAGAATACGTTTCGCGCGTCAACCGGCTGATTAACGATCCACAAAGCGCCGTATTGGAGCAAAGTGGAAGTGGTGGATCAAGTGCTCACACAAGAATGCCTGGTATTGATGTCGATTTTGGCGATGGTGCTCCTCCAGATATGATGCAGCTTTTGGGAAATTCGCCTGGTGAGCTTAGATTCCAGATATTACCATTGGACAATAAAGGGCGAGAGAGAGAGAGAGAGAGATTTGAATGAGTGATCGAAAAAAAGCTTACAAATCTCTGCAAAAAGGTATAGATCGTGTTTCTCGTGAAAATATTATACAATTCCTCCAAACAGCTGGTGGACTTGGGTATGTACTTTTTTTGGCGTAAATATGTGAAAAAGGATGTGTTTCTGAGAAACAGGAATAAACGGTGACTAATAGAATGTGCCCTTTTTAATACTGGGTCTTATTAGAGGAACGATTCCTTCTTCTGTGCCCGCAGGAGGTGATGGACCTGTGGATCAACCACAAGGTGGAGAGGAACGCCATGAACAAAGCAGCGGTGACAATAACAGCAACAATAGCCAACAGCAATCGTCAGCGGTAAACTCGGAACAGTTAGAACAGCTGCGGAATATTCTGAGTGGTGTTCAAGCTCCAGGTAGGATGAATTGGTTATACATGTTCTCCGTATTACGCTATGTGAAGCGATGCTAACTTTTCTATTTAAACGAAAAGAGAACCACCAAGCCCCGTTATCCCTTACTGACGTGTTGACTACGCAAACCATCACGCCATTGCTTAACGATCGTGATATATGCGCAGCATTGTTCCCATTCTTACCGGAGGATAGTGAACGGTCACCAGAAGAAGTAAGACAGGTTGTGCAGAGCCCTCAATTCCAGCAGGCATTAGCAACGCTAAGCTTTGCTTTGGAGAGTGGTGAACTTGGTCCTTTGTTAACGCAGCTCGGCTTGGATGCTTCTGCTGGAAACAGTACGTATAAGTTCTTACATCATTGTGGTGGAGTGAAAGATAATTGCGATGTATGTTCCCTTTGGATTTGTGTCAAGGTACTGACAAATGCTGCTAACTGTTTTGATTCTAAAAAAAAAGGTGTCGAGTCGTTCCTTCGAGCAATTGAGCAACAAGCTCGACGTAGAGACCAGGATCGAAATGACGATGCAATGGATGAGGATTAAAGTACTACTATTGTTGTTGCTGGCTTCTTTCTCTTTTCGATGTGTCTTATCCCCTTTTGTCAATCATTCCTGTTTTCTCTATAAAAATAAATCGATTGCACACATTCTGGAGCATTTCTTCTTCTGAACTTCGCTCGCCTCTCTCTTGTATGTACATGTATGTCATACAGTATTCTTACCGTATACTGATATATGTAGTTCTGGAAACCCTTTCATCGCTGAAAGAGTCTAAGGGAACCAAACTGTATGTCGGTCATGTGAAGCTTAAGAAATTATACGCAGTATTCTCTCCAAAGTATATTAAGCTCATCGGTCAGTGTATTATTACGCACATATGTATATGTCACTTAACCAGTCTTGGCCACAGTAACGTACCAATGGCGGTGCTCACTGATTTCGGTTAACCGTGAGCTTTGAAACGTTACGCAACTCACGGAAGAAGCGCGTTTGTGTTTGCCATTCATATGTATCATATATGTAAAAGTTTTAGGACCTGGAATTAAATGGATATGCGACATGTCAAGATAGAGACTGTTTGCATATTATGAAGGTTTCAAATTGTTTGCTTTGACATACCGTGCTTATTACAACGACGCGAAAACAGAACGAGGGATAGTTCATTTGATACATGATAGATAAAGGTACCTTGATATGATCGGTAAAACGCCGTTCTGTTCCTATCAATACACTGACTGTCATGCATGACTGAAATAATGCATTGAGTGGCGTTATTAGACGCCAGCTAAGAATACCACTCCCGCCGTCCTCAGCAGCCGAAAATTGGGTGTTCCTGTTGCCGAGCTTCAGCTCGTAACTAAAACCGCAAGGTAACCGGAAGCTTCGAGTTGAATATTCGAGGTATCACTACTCATATTTCTCAGCTCACAATCGAATCCCAGATCCTCTAGTTCTCCGTGCTATGATACATCGCAACGATCAACACTCATTGAAAAAATATGAGAAAGCTACAAAAACTCTTATGCAAAAAGAAGGAGCGAGAAGTGACAAAGTAGCAAAGTGAAGTGCGGAAGACGGAAACATACAACTTATCATTTGTGAGCAAGATGAGGTGGTTGTTCAACTTATAGCGCTTTTAAACAAAATTGATCGATTGAAGGCCTTTCATCTGATTGACACGCCTTGCCCCATTGTTTCTTCTGCGGCCGCTGCTTCTACTTCTGATGTCACCGACGGTGGTAGAGAAGCCGGCGATTATGGGTGAAGTTCGCGCTTTGCACAAGGCTATGCAGAAGGAGTACCAGGAACGCCTTGCTCGTATTACCGAGAGCTACAACACACCCAATGACGCTTTGAAGCATTTCAAACTACCATTCATGCTTATCTACAACGCACGCGATTGTTGCTACTTTGAAAGATGGTAAGTTTATAAAAAGCAGTCAGTAACCTCGCAACAACAAGGAAAACAGTACAATGGCTCACCCGCTTTTTTCTAGGCACCGAACTTTGCTTACAAGATGGATATTTCCGTTGTATCTGTAAAGAAAACAAAGTTGTCAAGTCGATTCCTGGATTCAAAAAACATGTTGAACACAGCAAAGCCTGTTCACCGTTGGAAACAATTGATTCTTGTATGCCTAGTCATGTCCAAAATCTTATGTTCAATGCATGGTTACTAAATGTCTGATTTTTCTTACACAGAGATAATGATATCCCGGAGCCAAATGATATTGGTAATTTCTGTCTGCTGCTACTCTGATGTAAACTGATCCTTTTTTTTATATCTAGATCGGCGATCTGATGACGAGATCAGTGATGAGGAACTCGAATTTTAGCAGAAACCTATGACGAAGCCCAATTATGATCGTGAAAAAAATACCAATACCGATTGATCTGCGATACAAGAAACAAAACGAGATTACGATCAGGCCGTGCTGCATGCCTGTTTTGCGACCTGGAGAGCAACGGCGATTTTTGACAATCATCGAATCTTTTTATCTTCGTCCAATATCGTTGATCAGCTCAAATGAAAGCAGTGAACGAAATGCATTGATACATCAAGATAATTTGCACTCGTTGCATGATTCATACAACATGGTGCCGGCCACACAGCCAGCGAAAAGAAAAATCACGCGTCCGACTTAACCACAACAGTCATGGAACCATCTTTATACAGCGCTCTCATCTCTGGTCCTTACGTCGTGCCTGTTCAGAGACCACTGTAAATACCCGCGTGCAAAGGTGCTTATAAGGCTCAGCATGTAGCAAACATGATTATACGGTGCATTACTAACTCGATACAGAACTCTGTCCTAACACATCAGCAACATAGCAAAGTAGTAATATTAGTAGAAGTGTCATACTGTTCGCATATACGATTATCAAGTGAGCAATTTATAAGCTGTTCATATTTGTATTATCCACATGCAAGCTTTGTAACATATAGCTCGTTCATCATCACCTACTACGTAAACACTAATAATGATGATGTCGATCTTTACTGCTTTCAATTCTCTAGCGGGTAGCGGGTATTGGTTTTTAAATCTTGTGTATGTGTTTCATGATATACATTTTTATATGCACCTATTATAAAAAAATATATCCAATTGATGTCGATATATGGGTCTCGCTTTGTACGTACAATCAGAATAATATGCTGACTGAAAATCTGATTAATATCTTTCTTCAAGCTTAGCCACACAATAAACAATGATTAATCGCAAAAATTACAAGAGAGTGAGAGAGAGAGACAAAGGCATCGGAGTGACGGCGTAAAGGAGTTGCTGGCGCAAGTCTATGTTGGTTGGACTCAAAAATGTCATACGATTATATCTGCTATGTGTCTGTGCACAGAAAAAAGCGAAAACCTAAAATAACCTATGGAATAGCTTATTGAACTACCAATAGAAATATACAATAACCAAATCACACGCAGAGGAGAACATACGAAGCTGTTGTTAAACATTTCTATAAGTCATGAGCAATTATGTATGGTCATTAATTCCAGCAGTACGGTGTATGCTATTCTCTAATTCGTTGTTGCGTATTGAGGTGCCACTCAATTCAACATATCATGTAGCAGCAGCAGCAGCAATAGTAGTACATGCCTTCTTGTCCTTTAACCATCATAAAAATGGTTAAACCCTTGATGTTCTTCCTTTGTAGCACCGTCGTGGGTAACTAAAACAGAAAACGTTCTAGTGTGAGACCGCGAATGAAGAACTTAAAGTTGGACCAATATGAAGTCCAGTATGGGAGTAGATAGAAAGGAAGTTACTGGGTATGAGCTCCCACCCTCCCCCGGCTCTTTGACCCACTTGAACCAATACACGAGTCGCATATAGTTATTTTTGCGGGCCCGCTAGGAGCGGAGGCCGACAAAAAAAAAATACAGTTCATGTGTCACCTCATATCTGCTTACGGCATGAAGCCATATGTTCTGCGCAGAAGCCCAGTTCCTTGGAACCTGTTGTACGATCAGCAATTAGAAGATGGTTGTGCAGTGATTTAGAAGATGGATGGGGTTATTCTTAATAACCACCACGCACAGGTTGTTGTAACCATCATCACCTTATATGTTTGGTCTACTTGATGGCTTTTGCTACTCAGTTCATTTCTTCTGGAATGTGTATTTAAACAATGCTAAAACCGAGAAAGTACGGTTTTTTTTCGTTTATCAAGTTTCGGGGCAAATGTCATCATGAAAATGCATGGATTTCTGTGGTACTGTAGTTTAAATTGTATATATGCTGCTTTTCCAGTGTTTCTTTACTCGTCTCCTTTACCTCCTCCACCCTCCGCCTGGTCCATTTTTTTCAACCTTGCTTTCTTTCTCCCTTCTTTAACTCTTTTGACCGCCAATTTTTTAAATTTCTTGTGATTGCTGAACGCGATACACAATCTCCTCGGCCCTATTTATTAACCTTACTTTGACAAACACCTCGTCATAAAAAAACACTCCTTTCTTACATATAATATCTGTCCACTTTTATTGTCGCGGGATATGCCTAGCTTCTCTTTCTCCCGTATCTTCTCCAGAAAAGGTTCCCGGAGCAGCAGCAGCAATAATAGCAGCGACGCTAAAAGTAGAATGAGCAACTCGGACCAAGACAGCCAGGTGAAAAGTGGGGGTACAGACGCTTCCGCACGACACCGTTTTGACGAACAAGGACGACGATATCATAATCGTCCTGACGCCGCTTACATGCTCCCTAACGACGACGAAGGTACATCATCATAATCGACATCACCACCATCACCATCACTACGACTACGGCAATCATATCTTTCTTGCTTTGACAGACCGATCGGCCATTGCTAAACGTATTATTTGTAGAAATCGATCGCGTCCATATGCAACACTGGGTCATCAAAATCGCCTTCCAAGGCAACTTCCACGCGCCCGTTGAACAACAACTCGAAGACGGTATCGTTGTCCTTGACGGTGGCTGCGGTAAATATTGTATTTGCATAATATTTATATGTGCTCTCTCCATAAATCTTCGCTGCCCAATATAAAGCGACTCCATTTATAAACTAAACTATTGCTGTTCTAGGTCCCGGAACGTGGTCATTGGAAATGGCTGAGAACTTCCCCAGATCCAAATTCTATGGCGTTGACATTTCTGGAGTGTTTCCTTCCGAGATCAAACCCGCCAACTGTGATTTCCAAGTACACAATGTCAGTCAACCTCTACCATTTGCTCCCAGTTATTTCGACTATGTCTTCCAACGCATGTTGGTCCTTGGCATCATGCGTGAAGAATGGGATACAGTCTTGAGCAACTATATGGAGGTATTGAAACCAGGAGGTTGGTTAGAATTGACAGAGGTCAATATCCCTGATAGCGTCAATGCAGGTCCCAAATTGACCATTTTGATGGAGACCCGTAAGTGTCGTTATCTTATCCCTTTTATTTTGAATTTATCTCAGAATCATGGGCTTTTCTATATTTATCTTTGTAAATTTGTTAATGGTGGATATTTTAGTGGGTGAAGTCGCTGCTCAAAAGGGCCTCCAGCCGGGCGTCTCCTCTGAACTCGGGAAAAAATTGAAAAAAGCCGGCGCTATCAACATCCACTGCAGGAGAATCGAGGTGCCCATGCATCACGATGGTAAACTCGGCTCACTGTTATGGTACGTCTATCTCTCCCTCTGCTGTTGTACTTATTGACAAGGGTCCTTTCTCGAGACGATGTGCCGGTGACGATAATGTGTGAGAAAAAAAATAACCAATTTTCCTTTTTTTTTTTTTGTGTTCACATCAATGTCTGTACAGGGAGGACTTTGTGACAGCTTTCCGTGGCTTGATCAAGCCTTTTGTGACCAAAAAGCATCCCGAGCTCGAAGACGACGCCGTTTATTTAAAGTTTGTTGAAGATGCCGGAAAAGAATGCGAAGAATACCAAAACTATATCATATTTTATCGTGCCTTCGGTCAAAAGCCTACTACAAGCACTTAAAGAAAGGGAATGTTTTGACCCACCTGGTAGTGACGCACCCTTTCCGCTACTATATGTATATGATGTTGACGACGACGACGATACCTAAATTATACTATCCACTATATGTAAAACCACCTCTCTGCTGTGTATAATATTGCTCACAACTGTAGATAGCTGATACTGATAATTACACTATAAACAAAACCATAGTTCGCTATCATGCACTTGTTGTTTTGTTGTCGGAAAAACTACAGTCCATTGCCTTGGGAACGGCCCATCAATCTAGACTGTGTACACCGCAGAACTTTTGTTGTACACAATGAGAAAGACCTTTAGACATCGATTGTAATACAACGCCCAAGTCAACGACAGCCGTTACGACAAGGGTAAACTTGGCTATCAGTAACGTGCCAGGCTCGTTCCCCGTCGTTACCGTTGTTGTTGTCTCAAGAGCGGCATTTAGTCAAACCCTTTTGATACTTTGTCGCCTTATTCGAAGTGTACTTACCAACGATTACTTGGCCGCCATGGTGCGATGTGTTATATCTTTATCCGGCAGTTGAGAGAGGCATTATAAAATCTCAGAAGTTCGCTTACTGATAAAACTCAGTTACACTATGTGTCATCTTTAGTGTCACTTACTACGATTCCCTCGTAATATACGAAGCTGCGACATGAAGGAAAATCGGCACTTTCCATAGCACAACCTATATTTAAAGTCATCTTCCCTCTATTCCCATTTCCTTCTTTCCCTCTTCCCTTCTATTGTTCGGCGGCTGCAGAATACTAGTATTTGTAATGAATGTGCAGTACAGCGTAGATCATACAAATATGAGTATCAACCAGTATATGAAATTGGGCTACACCAGTGAAACTGGATTAATATTATATATCTACCTTCTTGATATTTCGGATCAGCAAGAGCAATTCAAGGGCAACTACATTGTTATGGATAATGCTCCTATCATATTCGCAAGAATACTTATATCAGAAGTTACGTTGAACAGCGCAGCTACGGTTGTGTTTATCTTCCAGCTTACTCTCCTGAACTCAACCCAATTGAACAAATCTGGTCAGTATGTCATAGCAAGCTTAAAAGGGAAGAGCTTTTGCAGGAAGAACCACTGTCGTCAGTGATTCTGTAAAAACTCAGCTGTAAAGATTCGAAGATTGTTTGAACCGTGAACCAATGTTATTTTGTTTTCATGCATATTAAATCTACCATTTGCTTTCTTCGTCAGCCTGACTTCTCCTGCTTGAGCAAATCAGTGGTCAAAGTGAAGTTCTCAAGAAATGATTTTACATTTCATCTCAACATGAGCACATTTTTATGTGAAGAAGGGCCTGTTTGCTGACGAATGAAGCCCTTTCTGTTACTATCTCCACATAGTATTTTTCTCTTTTTTATTTCTTATACTGTACTATTGCTTTCGATCGATCTGTACCTACCGTCAGATAGTAGCCTCGGTATGATTATTTTTGTTACTTGCCATCATGTCGTATCATTGTCTTACATGTCCATAAAGACGGTTATTGTTGGCAATAAAATTCTGTGCGTATCGTCTACTCTGAAAGAGAGAGAGGTCGTTACGATTCATTCCCAGCGTAAGTCCATAGTTGGAAATTAGCATCCTGTTGCCCTTCCAGTATATTATTTATGCCCGCACACGCGTGTTTCTCAGGAACGTTTACACTTCTACTACTATTGTAATTTTACTATGAGTTCGCAAGAGATATGTTACTGCTTCAATCTTTCTTAAACGACAATTGAAAGGTCTATTCATGAAAATCGTTGAGCATCTTCGAGCCTTGCCCGAGATTCGTGCCTGAGATTCTGACAGACTGCTCTAAAAGACTTAATTGTACTAATTAACTTTTCTTCCTTGTATTGAAGCAATCTGATATTAACCAAGACTGTCACTGTGGTTCGAATGACAATGATGGGTTATGCCCACTTCATTCTCGCAACGTTCGCCGTAAAATAGGCAATGTATGTTTAAGGCCACTTTTGAAGTTTATTGTTACAGTTTGTTTAATTGAAAAAAAAATATGGAATGGCGGGTAGAATGTCGTTGAGAATCCTACTGCTCCTACTCCTGCTACTACACCTAGATCCACTCACACAACCACAGTGTGTCGCACGGTGACAGCGTGCATGATACACGGCCCATGTAGTCCAGGCATCAATGCTGTGTGCATGAAGGATAACCGGTGCTCACAAGGCTATCCAAAGCCATTCAACAACGAGACACGCGTCAACCGAGATGGATATCCCATCTGCCGACGCCGTGAAAATCACCAAAACCGCCACCTCTTCCCTACTTCCGACTTTCTCGCCGACAACCGACATGTTGTGCCGTACAACCCCTACCTTAGCCACAAGTACGATGCACACATTAACGTTGAAATCTGCACATCCAACCGCGCCATCAAGTATTTGTGCAAATACATCACCAAGGGCAACGACCGAGCACAAATCCAAACCACCGCAACCGCTACCACCAATTCCGATAATGCCGCTGCCGAGCCGGTCAATGAAGTAGAGCAGTTTCAAAACGCTCGATACATTGGTCCGTGCGAAGCTATCCATCGTACGTTCGAGTTTGATGTGCATATGCACTATCCAACCGTCGTGCGTCTGGACCTTCATCTGCCAGGCGAACAGATCGTCAATCTCCGTGATGATATGACTCCAGAAGAGGTTCGAGCAGCCCGTGACCCAGATATAGTTATATTCCAGAAAATCAATCAAAGTATTCTATATACACAGCAGATCAATTTATAAATTTTTTGAAGAATCCGGCACCAAGCTTCTTGCCTTTTTCCGCCTTTACAGCGAAGATCGTGCAATAGAAGAGTATCTTTACTCGGAATCCCTCGCCACTACACCTGGAGCAACAAAAAACGCTGTTGGAACCCTCGCACCAACCCTCCTGTCCAAAATGTTGTCACACGTATATTGCCTTCGTCTTCTTCTCCTCCCTGTCTGCGCTCCCACTGGTTTTCTTTCCCTGCGTCAATATGAGAGCACAACATATGCGACGTTCCAGGAAGCTGCTGCCACATCCTTTTTACGAAATAAAAAAATAAGAATATGAGAAGAACTGTTCACACAGCACTTTCGAAAGGTCTTATTTTTTGAAGCATTGTTTCAGGAACACTGGGTAGAGCCCCAGTAAACTCGCTCCTGAAGGACAGATGTGACACGCAGCGAAGCGGAGGGAAGAGTTTATTGAACTGAAAGAAAAGTTGGATAATTATGCAGAGCATAAAAGCTCATTGGTAACATCAGTAAATGGATGACGGTCGACCGTTTCCTGAGTATAAATATTGTATTACAGATGTTCCACTTTGCCCAACCAAATACATCAGCATCATAATTGCGGGATGGGAAGGGGGATCGTGAGAGGATGGAGTCAGATTGACCTTCGGGACCGAAAAGATCAGGAGGAAGCCTTGCCATACAAAGAGCGCCTTTGGGTGTATCGTAAAATGTAGGTCGAGATCTTGTGGCTTCTTGATTGTAAAAGTGTGTACGTATTGTGCGCTCAGAAAAATGATTTTATTTGAAAACGTTCCTTTTTTTACCTAAAACGCTGCTATCATACCGATCTTGATGATCACAGCAAGGCAATGATGTTATCTTTGAAAACCAAAATTAAAAGGTACACTGTTTATCAAGCAGTTTGGTTATTATGACCTGTCAAGACTCGTAAAGTGCTATGCTATGCTTCCTAATATCATTGCTTACATCCTAAGTCGGAAATTTTGCTACCAAGTATATAGCCTTTTGTAAATAACTGGAATATCTTCGTGTGTGTCTGAATGATGGAACAAAGTAGCGATACTGTACTCAAATTGCTTATATTGGTCAAATACTACAGTAGTTAAGTCATTTTCAACGCCAGCTGCTTAACCAAAATAGTATAGATTTATTTAAACAAATGAACGAAGAAAATGGTGATCCGCGTTGTCAGAAAGCACATCGCCAACTATTACAGTATGTGTACGTAATGTCTGATGTAGGATGGTGTTAATATGTACAAATTAACAGGAACTAAAAAATTCGTTGAAACACGTTTATAATACGTGAAAATGATTGTATAGAGACATCTGTTATTGATATAATCAGAAACCGCCTTTGTCCGTTTCAAACTGTTTGATGATCGTGATCCGTTGTCGCATACAGCAAAATTGTCACTTTACACGTCAACAAAAACGTGATTATTAACACTACATTAATCGTAAAACGTTATTAGCTAGAGTTGGTTTCGGATTTTTCTTTGTAGTTCTTTTTGCTGCGGTACGTTCGCTAAAGATGATGGTTGTCACAAAAACGTTGTCGTGCTGTTGTCATAACCAAAGAAAAAGAAGATACATGCAGTAGTGCATAACACACGACTGCATACGGATGGCTTTTATAAGTTAAAGAAAACAGGGATCGTTTTTGAGTGTGATGCTGTTTTGCTAAATCCCCATTATTTCTTCTATATTCTCTCTTTGCGCATTAGCAAGTGACCGTTTAATTCATACATATTCGTATTCTTTTGAACAAGAAAACAATGTAAAAAGTTACGTGTTATTATGGTATAACACAATATAAAAAAAACGTATCACTTATCGGCTCACCTATACCAAAAATACAATGTGCGTGATCCAGGTGTTCATGTAAGAGTTGTAATTTGGACCGATCTGGCATACAATGTGTATTGTCTGTTTACCTGCATAATACTACATAAAACAATGTAACGCAGGCTTTGCTTTTTGCAATGCATGGGTATAACATAAAGCGTGCTTGTCAAAAAGCAATGTCCTGTAACGCTATGTCATTAATCATGCATTCTCTGTTACACATAGGCCATGCTAATAGTGCTGCGTTTGAGCAGATGCCAACCGATCGATCGGTTAGAAGTATGCTGATTCAATTATATAAGTTATAGCGTAAATTCGGAGCTGCTCCGCCTCGCCCATGCACTCACTGCTCGATGTCGATTATATATGTACAAACAACAAATAAGCCGTGGCGCATCCATCCATCGAACAAAAGAAAGAAATAAAACAGAAGCTACAGGTTACACGAGCAGAATTCTAACTGCTAATAGCGCATGATTGATTGTTTTGCCAAGTTCTTCTCGGCTTCCCTTCCTTCCTGCCCTCCCCCAAAACCATCGACAATCATGATGTCACTGTATATACAGTTCATAATAAACGCGTTTTCTCTCTCACTAGATTCATCAAATACCATCGACCCAAATCGGTCATTTAATCCGAAAGAGAGAGACTCAATATAAAAAGCACCAAACTTTTTTCCTGTCTTGTTCCAAAGCTTCTTTCACCGAGTCTATCTGTCTTTTTTTCTTACTTGAATAGCAACTTTCAAATCACGCAAACTACAATGCTCCACAACGAAGGAAGTCTAGCACTGACTGTGGTCTCGGCGAACGACATGCCGGATGTCGAAAGAATGGGCAAACAAGATCCTTATACCCAGCTCACATTACATCTGGATAACAAGGAGTCGTGGCAAAAGACAGGAGTCCAAAAGGATGCGGGCAAGAACGCTTACTGGAACCAAAACTTTGAGTTCGCCTTGACGGGCGAGCCCGAACTTTATGTCGAAGTCATGGATGAGGAAAAAGGAGTCGATGAAGTCATTGGCTTTTGCGCGATCCCCATCAACCAGGTTGTCCAAGCTCCTGGTGGCTATTTCAATGGCCTGTTTGGTCTTTTTCTTGTCAATGGCAAGAGTGCTGGTAGTATCCACATGATCTTGACAGCCCGTGGATTCAACAGTCCACCTGGCGGCAACCAACAACAACAGCAGCCGGTTCAAGGTCGCTCACATATCAGTGAGGAACATCTCAAACGCGTCAAGACCATGCGTCACAAGGCATTTGCGGGTGACATTGGTACTGCTGTACTAGGCGGCGCACTAGCTGTGGGAGCAGGATTCCTTGGTAACAAGTTCTACAAGGATCATGAAAAGAAAGAACAAGAAGAACAAGAACAAAAGGAACAAGAACAGGAAAAACTCGAACGCGAACAGGCAGAGGCTGAAGCACAGCGACGTCGTCAAGAAGAAGAAGCAAAGCAGCGGGCCGAGTTCGAGCGTCGTCACCAACAGGAGCAACATGAGGATGAAGGAGAAGGTGAGCATCATGATCATAGTTGCAGTGGCCATCACCACCACCACGAACATCATCATTCGTCTGGGGGTGGTGCCGGTGATTGGGATCCTGTTGGCACTTACGCCGCTGGTGACCGTGTCCAGTACCATGGTCGCGATTATATCTGTCTCCAGGGCCATACCTCAAATCCTACTTGGCAGCCAGGCGCTGCTGTTTCCCTCTGGCAACCCGCTTAAATACATAATCCCTTCTTTTTTCCTTCTTCCCAAAAAAAACCCCCAAGTTGTTTTATGCCTTTTTGTGAATAAATTGGTTTTGTCTACGCAAAAGTAAGATTATTCTCTCACGCATCTGTTTTGACGGAGGAGACAGTTATATATAAACAGACATCTATTTCGGGAAAGATAGGTTATGACGTCTTTACCTCGTCTGCTTGTTTAACACTTTGAGAACAACAGATGGGCCACTCAGTAAGTCTCTTTAATGTGACACAAACTGTCTATATTTGATGAAATGCGGATCGTCAAACCATCAAAAATACCTCCTCACCAATCATCAGTTTAATAAGTCAATGGCAATGATAGTGGAATCAATGGAATATGGAATCATTCTTCTTTAGTGAATAGTGTGAACAAAGAAACATTTTGCGCTTAGAACGAATAAAAAAATATACAAAAAAATAAGAAAACAATAACCCTCCAACAAATCTACCAATCCAGCTTTTGCTTCTTGTTTCCTACTGGTACAGCCGTAATCTTTGTAGCCTTGCCAGAATACTCCTTGCCATCCAACCAAGGCCAGCTGCTCGTTCGCTTAGCCTCGAACGTTTCGATGAGCTGATCCTTTTGCATGGTCAGACCAATGTCATCCAAACCATTGACCAAGCAGTGCTTGCGGAACTCTTCCACTTCAAACGGCACCTCACCACCAGGGTAACGAATGACCTGGTTGACCAAATCCACCTCCAACTTTTCACTCTTCTTTGCATGTCCGGCCAGCAGGTCGACTTGTTCCTGGGGCAGAGCGATCGGCAACATGCCGTTCTTGAAACAGTTGTTGTAAAAGATATCGGCAAAACTGGTAGCAATGATGGAGCGGATGCCAAAGTCATTGAAAGCCCAGGGAGCGTGTTCACGCGAACTGCCACAGCCAAAGTTAGGGCCAGTGCACACCAAGATCTTGGCGTCGCGGTAAGGTGCTTGATTCAGCACGAATTCGGGCCTTTCCTTGTCGGTCGCGGAGTCGTAACGCAAGTTGTAGAACAGCGCAACGCCCAGTCCGGTACGCTTGATGGTCTTTAGGAATTGCTTGGGAATAATCATGTCCGTGTCGACATTGGCAATGTCCATCGGTGCAGCATAGCCTTCCAATGTCGTGAACTTGGGCATGCCCGAGGCTTCAGAGGGAGCAGGGCTGGGTGGCTGCGGAGGTGCATCGGTCACAATGTCAGCCTGGTCGGCAGCCTTGGCATGGTCTTCGACCGGAGGTTCCAATTCCACAGTGTGTTGTTGTTGTTGCTCAAGCGTAGGAGCATCCTTGGTTTTTTCCTCGGCGGGCAAGAGCTTGCGGACATCGGTGAAATAACCATTGACGGCAGCGGCAGCAGCCATGGCAGGGCTGACCAAATGAGTACGACCGCCTGCGCCTTGACGGCCTTCAAAGTTACGGTTCGAAGTACTTGCACATCGCTCACCAGGGCTCAACTGATCAGGGTTCATGCCCAGACACATGGAACAGCCAGCCTCACGCCAGTCGAATCCAGCTTCCTTGAGAATCTTGTCCAATCCTTCCCGCTCAGCCTGCTTCTTGACCAATCCCGATCCAGGCACGACCATGGCATAGACCCATTCGGCAACGTGACGGCCCTTTGCGATCTTTGCTGCATTGCGGAGATCCTCGATACGCGAGTTGGTGCAGCTGCCGATAAACACCTTGTCGATCTTGACCTCCTCCATTGGCGTGTTGGGCTTGAGGCCAATGTATTCCAAAGCACGTTCAGTGGCAAGACGGCGTGCTGGGTCCTCGATTTTGGCGGGATCAGGCGTGGCGCCGGTGATGGCAACGACGTCTTGAGGACTGGTGCCCCACGTCAGCGTAGGCGCAATATCGGCGGCATCAATGAATACGTCAACGTCGTATTTGGCGTCGGGATCGGGGCAAAGCGACTTCCAGTACTTGACCGCACGGTCCCACTCGGCTTCGCTGGGAGCCAAGGGACGGTTGCGAATGTATTCAAAAGTGGTCTCGTCGGGCGCAATCATACCGGAACGTGCACCGGCCTCAATGGACATGTTGCAGACGGACATGCGAGCCTCCATGGACATTTCCTCAAAAGCCGATCCAGCGAATTCAATAACACATCCTGTACCTCCAGCGGTGCCAATAACGCCAATGATATGCAACACAATATCCTTGCTGGTCACACCGGGCGCGACCTTACCGTCGACCTTGACACGCATGTTCTTGCTCTTCTTTTGCAGCAGGGTCTGGGTAGCCAAGACGTGCTCGACTTCGGAGGTACCGATACCAAAGGCCAAGGCACCAAAGGCACCATGTGTGGAAGTGTGGGAATCACCGCAGTTGACAGTGCAGCCGGGCAGAGTGAAGCCTTGCTCGGGGCCAATGACATGCACAATACCTTGACGGTCGTCTTCCATGCCGAAATAGGTCAGGTCAAACTCTTTAACATTTTGTTCGAGCGTCTCACACTGTGTACGCGAATCGGCTTCGTCGATGAAGGAAGAAACGTTCTTGAACGTTTTACGCGAGGTCGTGGGAATGTTGTGGTCGACCGTGACCAAGGTGCAGTCAGGACGGCGCACCTTACGGCCTGCGTTACGCAGACCTTCAAATGCCTGAGGACTGGTGACTTCGTGGACCAGGTGGCGATCAATATAAATCAGACAGGTGCCGTCTTCTTGCTTGTCAACGACGTGGTCGTCCCATACTTTGTCATAGAGTGTGCGGCCCATATTGTATTTGATGATAGAGAAGAGTGGGGGGGGTGGGTAGTAGTAGTGTTTTTTCTTTCAAACAAAGGAAGAAAGAAGGAAAAGGGAAAAGGGGGCAGGTTGTCGGATCGGTTAAAGCTGGCTTGAACGAATGAAGTTGTATGCCGTGACTCAAACTGAGTTTTCGAATCTTATTGGTTGAGGTTTGATCTTATTCACTATTTTACAAGGAGACTCATAGCCAGTAGCAAATCAGGCAACATTGGCTGAATTTTCTACCGTCATTCAAACACATACACACACACACAGAGTTCAAAGCAGTAGTATTAGTAGTATAGTAGGTCTGTGGGGTCGAAGCTTTTTTGTTGGAGGGAGGGAAAAATGTTTTTCCTTTGCTCACCCCCCCCACCCACCTTTAATTGGCCAGTGCGTGACGATATGACGATAACCTCTTTGGCCCATGATCTTCTCTCCAACAAAGACAAGAGGGGGATCATTCCTGATTTTCCCTTAAAGACCGCGTGTTCTTGCAGCAGCAGCAGCAGCACAGGGTATCGTGTCTACAACAGTGGAAGAAACGGACGCCATCAGTTATCTTTTGTGCATGGTACCGTGATGATTTTCTGTTGTGGAATGGAAGTGAGTGAACGTGCCGAAAAGAGTGAAAGTCGATAAGCTTTTTTTTGCACACACACACTGTATACTTGCACAGCCGGAATGCAATGCCGTCGTCGTATGTGGTATTGTATATAATATCATGAGATCACAGGGTCAAGTACCCGTCGCTCAGTTTCACACAACATACATACATACATACTGATGGAGCGATGAGAACAGAACGTGGCCAGATCGCCAGTGGTTTTCTCATCTTCAGTCTCCTCCATGGTATGACAAAAGACTTGCAAAAAACGTGTTTATTTTGAGAGCAAGGAGGGTTTTGCGTGAAGTGGGTTTATTATTACTGTTGTTGCTGTTATTAAAATGAAGATGGCTTTGAGGATACCTTTCGATCTAGTAATATATCGTAGGAAAAATAGAAATAGATGGCAAATTTTTGGTTTGTTTGTTTGTTTTTGTTTTTGTGTGTGTGTGTGTGAAGAAGTGGGGGATATTTTTGTTTTTTTTTGAAATTGAACATACAAATAATAGACGTTGATAGTTAAGTTGGTGGCTGGCCAACCCTGTTAAATTACGATAATGATGGATGATGGTGATGCGGTGGATGTAGATATGATGAGAGAGGTCTGTAGTAAATAGTAGTGGTTGATATAAAGAAGGAGGAGTTAGATAATACATCTTTTTGTGTGTGTTGAAAAAGGGGGGGGGGAGAATAATTTTGTAGCTAGCATGGTGGTAGTAGTAGTAATAGTAGTTGTGTGCATGAATTTTTTTTTTGCTTCTGTTTCTTGAGTTCGGTCTCTTTGAGTGTGTGTGTGTGTTTTTTTTACATAACAAATGAGGGAAGAAGGAGGGGGTAAATAATACGGGTTGTGTCGTTGTCGATAAAGAAGATACAGGACGAGTCGACACGATAAGAAGAAGAAGTGTTGTTTTTGGCTATGTGTGAACGTGAAGGTTTTGGATGAACAGAAGAAGTAGAAGAAGAGGAGATATTATAAAGAAGAATGATGCTTTTTCTTTTTGTTGTTGTTGTTGTTGTGGGTAATTTTGCTGTTTTGTTGGATGCTGATTAGAAACGATGACCTATTGCAAAATGTGATAGGTGTGAGACGACATTAGGGTATGTGTATACTAGGTGAAGATGGAAGACAGAGGGACATTTACTTGAGCGACTACAGTCAGGACACCAGCTTGTTTCAAAGTAGCGTCGATGGATCAAGCAGTAGCTCCTGCCACGACCACTGCACACTTTGGATATATCGATCACATTGGCGGCAGTGGCATTACGCAGCGGGAGGCACTTGAATGTTGATTGCATTGTTTGTTGTTGTTGTTGTTGATGTTGTTGTTAATGTGTATGCTCTGTGTGTGTGTGTGTGTGTGTAGGCACCCGTACGAGTAGTAGTAGACAGTAATAAGCTGGAGTAGAAATAAGAGAGAGAGAGAGAGAGAAAAGAGGAAGAAGTTGATCTTGACCTTGGCTTTTTTCCTTAGAATAAAAAGGGGGCCCTTTTTATATAATCTAAGAAAGAGAGACAAAAAAGTGGAAAAAGAGAAAGACAGAATAACAAGGGGGGGTGAACAGACTATACCCAGGTTAGTGGCTTAAAAGATGGGGTGCCACTACCCACTACCACCACCACCACCAGCCGCTGCTACCTACCTTTCACAAGTACACATTTCTTTTTTTTTTTCATGAGAACGGATCCACAGACTGTGCTTCATCACCTGCAAGAGAAAAAAGAACGCGAACGGGGAGTTTTTTTTTCTTTGCGGGCAGCGTACCCGCGCTGTTACTCTCTCTATCTCTCAAGTATCACCCTCTGGAGATATCACGAGTCGTCAACCCCCGTTGGAACCCAAAAAAAAAAAACAAAGTTTTCGTTCTAGTCATGGGAGCTTTCCTTTTGCTTTTTTTTTCCCTTGCTCTCTTTTGTATAAAACTTATTTTTTACCCCCAAAGAAACTCATCAGAACAAAGAGACTGGTCATCCAAAAAAAAAAAAAAAAGGATGAAAGGAGAGGGGGGTGTGATAACGAGCAGTAATAGCAGTAGCAGCAACAGCAACAGCAGCAACAACAGTTAGGGAACAGCAGAATGAACCAGGAACTCGGGTTATTGCAACGTCTGGGCCTAACGATTTTATTTACAGGGTCGATCGATCAGCTACCAATGTCAACATCTTTTTATTACTGCAAGGTTCGGACTACCATCCTTTGTCGACGTTCTTCTGTATCGTTCTATCAATCCCTTTTTTTCTCCGGGTAAGGACGGGAGAGACTTTTTTTTTCTTTGCGTGCGGATGCTGAAAAAACGCAACGCTATGATCGAAAGAGCATCGTTTGATTGTGGTACGTCTACCAAGGCCCCCGTGACCTGATGTTACATCGGGGGCTATGTTGCTTATTTTAAGTTGGTGTGTGTAGCTCTCTTTTAGAAATAAGAAAAAGCTTCAAAAAGAGGTTGTTCGAATAATATGAAACCCCGCAGTGTGCTGCGTACTAAGTCAAGGCAAAACATAGGGAAGAAGTGAGTATGTAGAAAGGGCGATTGCGTATAATAGACACATCGTTTTTTTCATGCTGTCGTACCAGCAATGCAACAACAATAAATACAATATTTATGCCTGGTCCGAGCGTCTTTTGTTTACGCTCAGTTTCTTGTATAATTGCGTCAAAAGTTAGAATTGGGAAGATCCACTAAAGAAACGAAAAAAAAAAAAAAGATAAAGTATACAGGCGCGTCTTTCTTATACTTACTTAAAGTGGCAATCACTCCTATAAGCTACTACATACATACACTTAGAGAGTCATTCCCATCATCTACTAAGCGTAATATGTATCCTAGATACTCATGTTGTCATGCTGTCTCTATAACCATGACAACACCCATGCCTGCCAACCTATTCCCCCTCCCTCCCCCCCCAAAATAAAGCATTCTCGGCCAACGTTCCGTAAAGCGATAGTTACACACCTCTGATTATTCTTGAACAATGCATTGTAACCGGGTTACACATACATCTTCTTTATACCCGCACATCCAAACCCCAAGACATACACACACACACACACACACTTTTCTCGTGTCTCCCATGACCGTGCACCCCGACCAAACTTTCAATGACGATTACCCGTCATTTTGGTAATAAGCTGGTGTGGGGGGAGGGGGTGGGGAAAGTATATACGTAATAGTGGATAGTACTCTGGATTGATTGATTGATTGATAGATTACAAAGAAAAGGCGATCTTGTTCTCCTCTCTCCCCCATATCTAACTAGCACATCCTTTCCTCTTTTTGCTCACCGCGTCCTCCTATCGCTAAATGATGTTTGTCATTACGTCCTTCTGTTCCCATGACAACCCATAATGTTTTTTTCACGTAGTATTATGTAGAACCACGACATGTTCTTACTTGTATTCCCGAGAAATCATAAGGATAATTGCGAGCCCCGCGGCGGCGGTAGAATACTTTCTTTTTTGCATGTATCACCTGCTTGCTATCATAATAGCTCTATGATGCTATATGTACCTGTCTTGCTCGTTACCACCAACGAACGACGATAGGCTTACATCCAAACCCCTGCTTACTATGCTATGTATTACACTACCGTTTTTATTCTTGATCCCCATGATCAAACCAGTTGTTATTGTCCCACCCCAACGTCTTTTTCTTCTTACTGACTTGTTCTTTATTGTTGCATTACATGCATTTCATCCATCATTATCAGCGCCAACAACAACAACAACAAGATCACGCTCTCTTCCTAGGAGCGTGCGTGTGTTTTTCTGTTTACTGATATCCCACAAGCGTTTCTTACTCTCACATGCTTTTCAACGTTTTCATATCTCAATAGAAATTACTATGTATGTGCCACCTTCGATGTTTAGGAAAGAGGGGTTTAATGCTGGAGTCACTGGTCGCCGTCTCTGTTCCGTTGTTGCTTACATGTACTACTACTACTACTAACCTACGTTCTAGCAGCGGTAGTACATTCACACACAGACAGTGTTGTGTTCATGAGGAAAAAAAAATCCATCATTGGGGGCCGCCCCGTGACAATTGAGACGCGTACAACATCAAAAATTTTGGCGGTTTTTTCCGAAATAACTTTCATTATGCAATGGGAAAGATAGAAAGCATGATGTTCTCTTTCTCTTTACCTCCGTCACTCAACGCAAAAAAAAAAGAGATAGAATCATCGGTTGTTAGTTGGCGCGATCACCAGGATCGGCAATCATTGTCAATGAGTCTCTTTCTCTCCTTTTTTTTAAGGGCTCATCTCGTGATGAGAAAAGGCGGCACGACCTCAAAACAAAAAAAAAGACGACCATGACCATGAATGACGTTTATCTTTTAACTTTCTATATGCTTCTCACTCTTTATTCTTTTTCATTCTTTCCTTCTTCTTCTTCTACTCTCCACGTATAGCTACTTGGATGACACAAATTCTTCTTCTAGTAGATGTAATAATATGGCAGCCATAGTGAGCTCTTCTTTCCTTTTGTTGCCAAACACGAAAGAAATCCCAACCAACACTCTGTAATTATACGCTGTTCGTGTGTTGCATGGTCTTTTTGGGGTAGTGGCACAAAGGGAAAAAAAATTACAGTAGGGCTCCCAAAGTACTAGTGCGTTTCGCGGTTGTGTTTTGTTGCAAGTATACGCATGAACTAACCTAATCCGCCCTAAATAAGAAGTTAATCTTTGACTTATCATGGCCTCTCTTCGTGTCGTCGCCGATGGGTGATCACCGAACACGTGCTGTTTCCCATTCTTCACACCTAATACATTACATACATGGCAATTAGTTCGGGTGGGTCCCGTTAAGGTCTGGTTTGGAAGAGCTTCTTTCGCGGGTACGACAGTGAAGAAAGGGAAACCACAGAGGCAACAGCAGCAGCTGGAGCATGACGCTATGACAGTGTGATAACTACTAGAATGACAATGCTGGTGTTCCCCCTTGTAGTGTTGACCATTCCTCCGTCAGTTTTTTTTTCATTCGCTATAAGCTTGGATCCCCCATGATAACTCTTCTTCATGATTATCAAATGTGTGTGGAACAACATAAAGTATGCGCAATCAAAACAGTCCATCCAACTCGCCTCCACAATCTGTTGTACATATCCACATGTTGGACACACGATGTCTGTACTACACGCGTTGCTCACACGACGCGTTTGAAAAAAGAGTCCCTGAGCTTTTCCAAGGTGTGTCCAGCATTGAACCCTGGACAATTCTCCCTTCACCTCTTCTCTCAGACACATATAAGTTGCTAAATCGGACCCCGCATTCCATCATTTCCTTTGACTGCACTTTGAGATGTATATGTATGTTTGGGAAAATTAGACACATGTGCCCAACATCTCGGGCATATAAGTCGAGTCGTTGCTTGCTCATTCAGTATGTCTGCTCTTATTTCGTCACGAGCTAATGCTCATCATGCGGCAGCCTTTTCATTAGATGATGTATTGTATGCAAGCATACAGCGGTGTGAAAAACTTCGTTATCGATGTTGCAACAGCATGACAGAAATACAGTACACTACGTAGTATATGCTAGCACGGGTAACATTAATTTTTCGCTACGCGGATTTCTATGCATCATGCATCAAAGTATCGACATAGGGTTATGCATACTACTACAGGCTTACAAAGTATCTGTAAAAAGAGGAAATTCACATTTTTCAGCGATTAGAAAAGCATACTCCCTTTACAATGTTAACGCACGCGCCTATTCACTTTTATAAAGTTTCAACAGCGCTATTACGGGCATGAACAAGCGGGAGTCACCTTTTGTGAAACTACACGTTTTTTTTGTCTCTCTTATCTCATTTTCACCAAAAGAATAATATATGTATATGGATAGCGGTCTATGCACAAGCATTGATGTAAAACGACCAGTAGCTACGTGTGTGCGGTTAGCATACTCGGCATAACGAGTATCAGATGCCTTGAAAAAACCAAAAGTCCAACACATTGTCTTGTTTAGCACAGTGTACACCTCGCCAACACGTGACGATCGGATTCAACACGTTGTATTTCATATGTATAACACTTTAACTCTTTGTTCCGTCATCGATGATTACTCATTACCTTGTATGTGTGGACATTTTACCCCACCCAGACACGTCTCGGTGTTATGATACACGGATTACCTATGCTTAAAAAGAAGTTGTCACTGATGGATAATCATCGACTCATCCGAGGCACTTGTCCGGATGGACCTTTTACTTACATATTCTATATTGCTCAATACTCGTGGACAATCATTTTATATCCACACCCCGCTCAATGCACACACTGTGGCAGTTACCTAGGATAAGCCATCTCTTATGAATAGTGAGAACTTGTGTTATTATAACAACCAGGAGCTTTCTTATATGATCGGCCACAGCAACCGTTGCTTTCGGAAAGCAGCGTGTAAAATGGGCGACACTCATCATCGTCTACACAAGGCTACATTTACAAAGCTAACACGACCTGTTCATTTGCTATTGCTGAAGCCAGGCCATTTAGCAAAAGGGCCGGGCCACCATAATACATTGCTATAAACTACGGTCTTGAACCAAAACGCCATGCTATATTCACAGCAGGATAGCTAATGTCACGCACAAAGAAGAGATTGTACATTTGTATGGTCTTTTTTAGAACTTTGTAGTTTCTGATCGCCTTCTGAAGGTGTATAGCTGTTTTTTTTTGTAAAGTAGATGTTGCATCACTTCTCCTCGGAAATTGTAGATTACTTAATCGATATTTCATAGGCTGCTTTGAGAACTATCTTTGATGCTGATTGTTGGCAGACCTTCTTATTAGATCCAGCCACTTAAACCACCCTCCCTCAAGGTGTACGTGAGGGTTGTCAATACAAAGGAAGCCACTTATCACATCGCGTAACACATAATGAACTGGACGCTGTACAATTTGAGGATATTATCTATTTTATCATCATGCAATGAATGGAGAGATTCCAAAAGAAAAGTGTGCTGTCAAGTATGGAATAAATAGATGATGACAGCTTAGAAGGGTGGGGTTTATACAAAAGTAGTATAGAAATTTACATATTCGTGCATTCATAAGTAGAGGAAGAGGGTATATCGGTAAATTAGAGGATATGCGAGACATTACCAAAGGGAACACAGAAGAACGACTATATACAAGATGATGTTAGAAGGTATTTATAACGGCTTGGGTGGCGTGAGAAGGGAGAAGTGTTTTGATATGGAGCAATTATAAAAATAAAGGCTTTGTAGATGGCGTGAATTGGAATGGTGCGCCGTCACGACCAATGATACGGTCGCACACGGGATTGAAAGTAAGTTTTCCAGCAAACGCCATGGCAATGACAATCTAATAAAGCAACGAAACGTTTAGAAAGACAGGTTGCTATTAACTAGTTCTTTCCCTTTTTACCTCTGGAGATGCTACAAAGGCATGCGTGTTCGGGTTACCAATGAACCGCAGTTCCTCATCCAAAGCACTCGTACAAGTCGACAATACCGAGTTCCATTCGGCGTCGCCCGCGATGCTACTTTTATGTTGTAAAGCGGCAATGCCACCCACCCAAGATCGATGCTGCGAAACCACGGTTGCGCCAATACTTTCGAAAAGAGGAACAAGCAACTCGTTCTCAGTTTTCTGACCATCATCGTCATCACGTAACAACACAACCCGCAATGGAAGCTTCACGCGAAGGCCTTTGCGTCGGGCTTGGTTGACAACACGGGCGACACGCGAAAGCGTATGACCATCCTTCTTCTTGCAAGTGCTGGCGATAATAGTCACGCCACTCACTTGTTCAGGCCATTCCTCTTCAATGACAGTATGCTTGAACTCAGACAATGGGGTCACTCGATCCAGAGTGAACGGACCGTGCACATGGGGTTGCAGACGATCGAGTTGTAGCTCAATGAGATCATCGTACACGGCGTCTTGATCCGGTTGGAGGTAGACATCGGCAATGGCGCTTGCTGCATAGGCCAACGAGCGTTGACCGGTCGTACATAGGTAATCGAATGTTTTGTTCGTGAATGGAAATAATGCTGTTGCTGCATTGCTGTTGGTGCCACCACCACCACCACCACCGAGAAGCTATACCACATGTGATAAGCATCCTTAGCAAGTCTGTTTCCATAAACCACTCTATCGCATTTCAAAGGCTAGTATAGCCCCCCCCGGTTAAAGTATTACCTCGGATGTCATTGTGCATATTTCTGTCCTGTCGTTATAGGAGACGCTGTCTGTGCCTGGTCCATGGTACTCCAGAATAATAGGATGGCCTTTGTTATCTTGATTTCTCTTTTTAAGTTCTTGAGAGATATGCAAACAAATATCTAATGGACAAGAAGAAACTGGGTTAGTCTTTTGTCTATATGTACCTATTGCAAAATTCTTGATCCTCCCTCGAATTTACCTTTGGGTGTAGCCCATCCAGACAAAGTTCCTTGTAATCGCACACCAATGATTCGGGGGGGCAAATAAGAAGTTTCTTGGTTTAGTTCTGTGAATGCTACCTGCTGTTGTTGTTGACGATGGGTCGTTGCTGCTGAGATGGGATCTCGATGGTTGACACAAAGTGTGCTCAAGACACCGGCGTTACGAGACGTCGTCGTATGGGTGCTACCACTAGCCGGTAACAACGCGTCCATCGATCTTTGGCTCGTGTTGTTTGTGATCAAGAGTCCTCCTGGAAAGGCATAGGTTTCCATCATGGTTGGCGATGGTGGTGGTGTTGCTGTAGCAGCAGCAGCGGCAGCAGTGGTTGGGAAAAACTCTAAACCACTCCTTTTGTCATGTGATGATACAAGACCAGCTAAATCATGCACGGAATTATCTTTTTTGCTTCTTGTGTCACCACAACTCCCGCTGCCGTTATCAGCAAATGACGCACCACTCGACACAGGCCACGACGACAGGTTGACAGCAGGAGCAGAGGAGAAAGAAGAGGAGGAGTAGTGGTCGTTGCTGCTTATGAAACATGTGTCCTTATCCAATCCATGTCCATACAGAATCTTTTCCGTCAACGATAAGTTTCTTCGCTCATTGTTGTTTGACCTGGCGGGAGGGGGGATGACAAAACAAAACGTGCAAAATGCATGGTGGGAAAATTAGAAAAGCTTATGTTATCTCTCATTTTCTCTTTTTGTCTGCAGTGTCACTATCTCTCTTTTTTTTTTCTCTCGATCGTCCGCTTGTCTTGCTGCCACTGTTATCTGTATTATATAATCTCTCAATAACAATGAAAAAAAAAACGCGTGTCATACCGCCTTTTTTGCACGTTGTAGATGAGTTTGTCATAATGTGCTAGAAAACGACTACTTTGTTGTCCAGCCGAAATGGGTGGGTCTGACGTTGCTGATGCGGTCGCCATGGGCATCCGCGTTGCCGCCAAAGAACTGAACGGACGACTTGTTTGATAGATCGTAGAGTGCTTTTCATCATCCAACAAGTAAAGGTGACCTTTTTTTTTAGCTCAGCCATTTCAAAAAATGCTTAAGAATTTCCTCTCCGCTCGACAGCCGGCCCCGCCGTGTTCCAAACTTATACCTGAATGATTTGACGTCGTGTGTTTATGGCAGCAGTTGTTGTCATATTCAATGAGAGATGATAGCGAGAGGAGGAGGGGGGGGGAAGAATAAGGAAGATGGGAGAGAGGGAAGAGAGAGAGAAGAAAGAGAGGAGCTGGGATGGGATGTTTTTCCACTAGCCAAGTCGGATAAATACGGAGAGAATCAAGTGATTGACATGTTGTTTTCTTGTCATGGCCCAACTTTGCTCGGGCTTTTTACGGCCTGGTTCGGTGAAAATATTAGGAAGAGGTCAGGTTCGGCAGTAAATTAAGAGATGGTTTTTTCTTTTGTAAAGTGTAGTACTTTTATCTTTTGACTTGCTAACAGTTACTTTTGCTACTGCTACCACGTACTGCTACGACGACCATGACTGCACTCCAGAAGAGCCATTCTTTCTAAACAGTTACGGTTTTGGAGTGAGCCGGCATAATGTTTGTGCCCGATCCCCGCTACCAGCCAGTCAGGCACACATCATAATAAACACGCGTTCATTGTTTCACAATCAGAGCTTCTTTTTCCAATGCCCCACACAATTTAGTATGTCTCCTTTTCACTGCAACTTGGAGAAATCGGGTCTGTCCCCCGTCCATTACCGGACCGCCGACCACAGCACATGAAACACACGCCGACAGCGGTCATCAATTATCAATTATTAAAGTTTTGCAGGATCTACAAGTGCTAATAACGATAAAACGCCCTTCTCTAAGCCCATCTTATGTTACTACTACATACCTAGAAACTGGGAACTTTCTGTGCAATCAAAGATAATATATAAAATGGCTATATTCTACCACGCGTGAGTTTTATGAGATGCTGTCCCTTCCCCTGCCCCTTCCCCTGCCCCTGATTTAGCGAGTACCTATACAAGCCAAACAAAGTGTTTGCTTTGTCGAAAGACATTGGAATTACATATCCGCAAGATAACAAGCACTGAATACGGTACTAGCAAGATGTTTTGTCAGAGCACTGCTGCGTTCCTCTCAAGAATGGGGCACACGAGCAGGTGGGGATTGTATATCAGCTCCATAGTGATGATTCGGTCCATCTAGAAATTACATAAAGAAACGGGCTGCGCAGAGTGGAGTCTGTAGAATCAGCTGAACTAGCTGGTACTTATTACTGCCAAACACGGGAATTTTTCTTTTGTTGTTGTTTGGTTCCCCCCTTTGCTGCTGCACATAGAATTATTTTTAGTCAAATTCCGCATGGCTGAACACTAAGCACGGCCCACTTTGTTATTCAGTGGCTACTCGTACACTATTTCCATTACTTACAACTACTAACTTGGAGATATTTTCGAATAGGAATGAGAGAGGTGAGATGGAAAAGGAGTAGTGGTTGGGACTTTGGCCTAAAAAAATAAATAAAGATGGGCTCAAAAGCCAAAGAGAACTATTTTGATCACAGAAACTTATTTTCGGAATCTCCTCTTTCTTTTTTTTAATGCGAGGCAAATCCCGACGCGCATCATTTCAGCTTTGCCTAGAAAAGAGACTATTCATTTACGTATTTTATCTGAACTGAAGCACGAAGGGTTTGTATTTGAGAAGACCCCCTTTTTTTGGCCTTCTGGTAGGTATAGAACCCAATCCATTTGCTTAAGACCAAGCGTGTTTCGCTGTTGTATGAAACGCTGTACGAACTCCAAGCCAGAATATCTAAAGATGCGTTCGATTGCCGACAATGCTTTCGTAATGTTCTAAAGCCACGGAGTACACTCCATGCATGATTGAGTCCTCACTGCAAAAGAGAGGTGGTGGGAAATTGCACCAAAACTTTCTCAGCCGAGCAAAGCAATACGTCCGGATTGATCAAGCACCTGAACAAGGTCCATAGTATTACATTCGAAGCCCAAACTTGACTAATAAGGCTGTAACAAGCTGCAATACGACTGGGTTGCATGAGTTCTGAAACGTCTGACGGTAAGGTGTCGACACAGAAAATGAGTCTCGATCATAGCGGTTGGAAGCTTGACAGCTCTTTTTGAGAAACTTTTTGTTGACAGTGTGTTGAAATTATAATCATGATGGGCGGTAAATCACGTTCCGGGTTTTTGGGCTCCAAGACCATGTCAGATCGGGTTCCAACTGGCCATTCGACATTTCCCACAGGTCTGTGATGCCCTTAGATGTTCTTGGCCGCACGCGCGCTACACTGACGAAGGCAGCGAATTTATAACCTTTAGCCGATAGGTCTGAGGTAAACTTTTGAAGCTTCATCGTGCTTGGGATAGAGATTAGTCATTTTTCAGTTTTTCTTACTTGTGATGTAAGGATGTTCATTACGCTGCGGTCAGTAACGATTTGCCCTTCGACATCAGGTCGGATCCAAGGACGCAAATAAAGTGGAAGGGCGGAGCTGGACATGGTAGAAACCAAAAGCTTACCAACAAACGCGGCTTTTCAATCGAAACGGTCCTTGTACCACACGCGTAACTTTTGCGTTATGTACATTGTACCCCTCCCACACTCCGTGAGATGCCTGATTGGGTTTGCTTGCCATGAGGGATGGTGGCACAAAGGTTTCTCGTTTTTCATCAGCAAAAACCGACTTCATTATTACCATCTCCAAGTATGGTAGCCAGTGAGTGGTACCAGCCGCCCTAGCCAGCCAGCCAGCCAAAGAGAGAGAGAGAGAGAGAGTACGAGAGGTACCACCCACTCTCTTTCTCTCCCTTTGTACTCTTTCTTCTACTTCCTTTCTCTTCACTGTTTTTTTTTCTTTTCTTCTTCTTCTTCTTTAATCCTATATTTTGTCCAGCCCATATGGCTGTACATTTCATACTCGATCGATCTTTGATAAATCACAGCGACACCTAACAACAACAACTCGACCACACGCTCTTTTACTCTATTTCGCCATCCAATTTAACGCGATCCCGACCATTCCACTCGTTTTTATTTTTTTGAATTACCTCTTGACTCGAAATCATGATCACCAACAAACGTCAAAATACCGCTGGTACTACAAAAAAAGAAACACGAACAAAAAAGCGAAAAGAAGAGAGGGAGAAAAGAAAAAGTATTAAAACGAGTGTATTATCCAGAATACGAATGTGCCAACATGGGCAACCAGTATCCCGTATGTGCACCGACACATGGCGAAACGTGGTATCAAGGATCAGAGTACAAACTTATTTGGAATTACAAGTAAGCCGATGATGATGGGTCGATGGGTTGATGCAAATATGCAGGGTTTTTGCTAAACCTTTAAAAAAAATCACTGGTTTTCTTTGTATGGCAGTTATCCTTACTATATCATCAACAATGTACGAGCAGCCTTTTATCATAGAGTGTGTGACCACAAAGAAAAAAAAAACTAACGGAAATGGCGTTCTATATAATATATAAAGCCCGTAGAAGACAACCAGCTCGACTTTTACTTGTATTATCAGAAAAATTACGCCTACCAGCACATTAGAGCCTGGAACAATCTCTCCCTCCTGACCGGCTCTCTTTCAGTCACTGTCAACAACTCGTGGTTCCCGACAGCAGCCCCAGAGGGTCAAAACCAAACATGGACCATGTTTGGCTGGTTCATACCGTCTGGCAACAACGCGACTCAAATGCTTGTTGAAACGCAAAGCACATATCCACGTCCATTCAATTGGACGGTTGTCCGTAAGTTCTTTTTTTCAAAGTTAAAATTTACGAGTACGCCACACATATTGAATGTATTACCACTCTCTCAAATGTAGAGGCCTACGATCCTAATTATACCAACGAAAACCCTGACGGCAGCAGCAGCACCAACAACAACAACAACAACAGCGATGCAAACGACGCTAGCAGTTCGAGCGATGGTGACGGAGGCCTTCCAGACTGGGCCATTGCCGTGATTGTGATTGCCTGTGTTGCATTCATAGCAGCACTGGGTGCGCTTGCAGCTGTCATGTTGATGCGACGACGTCAAAAGCAACAACGACAACAACAACCCATGACCATGACTGAAGCAGCAGCGATTGCCGCAGCACGACACAACAAACAACAACAACAACAACCACCAGGAGGAGGAGGAACGACCAAATCCGATGGCATGTCGATTTATTCCAACACACCCATGGTCGCTGCCGTCGGCAGTCAATCACGGGACTCGGCTACCACGGACGCTTCGACATCCACAGCACAACACCGTGGTTCGCCACCGGCAGACACCTTTCGCAACCTCATGTACACCGAATGGAAAAATCGCGGCATGCCGACGCATCAGCCAGCCAGTAGCAGCAGCAATAATAATGATGGCGAAGAGCAACATGACGAGGAAGAAGAGTTACGACGACGGCGGTTGGGCGAAGCGCTGCTTCAACGCGAACTGGAAGAAGAGGGTGCAGCTGTCAAACATACCGATCGACGTCCAATGACCGTGGCACCGCCAGAAGCTTTGGAAAGTAAAGCGGTTGTTTTGGAGCGTCAGGACGGCAATCATCCATCACCGCCACAGTAAAAAACTTACTGTCCCTTCCGTTTTTTCTCTCCTCCCTCCAGCAATGGCCCTAAACTATTACTCTTTTTACATTAACATCTCCCCTTCACACACAACACACACCCATCGTCATTCCTGAACAGACACCTCACACGCGCGTCTAGTAAACCGAACAACAACCTGTCTCTCTTTTTTCTTTTTATTTGTAATAACAATCCCGCGTTCTCTCTCTTCTCTCATATTAATATGTATATCACTCTAAATTAAACGCAGCACATACACACTACATAAGAAAAGACACATGAACCGTTGCTGTTTTCATACAACCGCTCATACACATGTGATTACTGGCAAGAGCTCGCTGTGGCTACATGAGTTGCTGCACTTTGTGCGTTCTATTATTGGGGGTTGATAAACAATGCATGAATTAGGTTGTCGTCTTGAAAGGGCTATTGGATAAATTGAATGATACATATAGTCTGTATTGATTTCCAAGAGAGGTCGTTGCCCGTAGTACTCCCAAAGTCTGGATCGCTTACCGTAACTGTGTGTAATGAATATCTTTAAAGTGCGTGAATGAATGAATGAATGAATAGGTTGCTGTACAAAAAGACCCCAGTAAAGAAGGATGCAACTCTGTAACTCTCGCCCCTCTCCGTCTTGAGGCCTTCCCCTTGTAATCAAAATGAATGGTATCTTCACCACAGCCAACTTTATGATGCTATTTGTGTCTCGTCTCACGACACGCTGTTACATTGTTCTTCAAGCAATGTATGCTTGAGCAATAGAAGGAGTCCTCTCGATTCATTACTTCGTACAATTGCTTCATTATATATATATACATATATATATTCATTGCCCAGAGTAACACATTGGTTGCACACTATCAAAAAAAAAACCTTGCATGTTACAATTTGTAAACTAGCTAATAGACTGATAGGTAGCAACATCTATCACAGCTGCTCAACACAAAGGAGCAACTCTATCCCCTCCCCCTTTAGACCCAATATATCACTAGAGGTAGTAAATCAGTCGCCATGCATGTGTGTGTGTGTGTGAACCTCTCTCTCTCTCTCTCACAACTTTTTTTTTTCTACGTGTCTAATGCATGCTCACACCCCGTCCAAGGGGGTCTTCATCCCCGCCGAATATTTTTGTGTTTCCGGGATGTAATAATCCGAGAGAGGGAAACTTGCTCTCTCTTTTTTTTTTTTTTTTTCCTTTTACCGTCAAAAAAACTCGCCTGGGCAGCTATGAATTCCTTTTCTAACTTGCAAATCCCAGATTTATGGGAAGTCAAGGTAAATTAAAAAAAACCAAAACTGTTTCCGAGGGGATGTTAGAGGAGGGATGAGAAAGAGGAAGAGAGAGGAAGGGTATGTGCGCGTAGGATGAGGGGTCCCTGCTTTGTTGCTATGGAGTGTAAGAACCTAACCAACCAATGTGTGTGTGTGTGTGTGTGTGTGTCCACAACACCTTCTATTGTTACTATGCTTAGGACGTTATAAACAAAGTGTAAGCGATTCCCCTTTCTCTTCCATTGCCAAGCGGTCGTTTTCTTTTAGGGGAAAAAAGTGGAGAACTGATGAACGACATTTGTGTTTTGTTAAACAGGAAAAATGTGGTGCTTAACTACACAGAGATGGAAGCCAAAGTGCATGAGGCTACTAATAACGAAGCATGGGGTGCATCGAGCACACTGATGCAAGAAATTGCTCAAGGCACTTACAACTAGTAAGTCAACAGGACTACTATAGATGGAAGAAGCGTGAGAGAGAAAGAGAGAATCGAATAAACTGTTTGTTTTATAGCCAATATTTCAATGAAATCATGCCAGCGCTCTACAAGCGGTTTACTGAAAAGGAAGCACGACAATGGCGCCAAATTTACAAGGTTTGTTGTTGTTCCCTCAACTCGACTTTGCAACAATCCACACACACACACACATGTGTATATATGCACAGCCTTTCCTCCGCTCTCTCTCTCTCTCTCTTTATTTCTCCCCGAAAATTCTGTCGGCTTTTTCTTTTTTAACGTACCTCTTTCATACAGGCATTGGTGCTTCTTGAGTATCTCGTCAAGAACGGTTCGGAACGTGTTATTGATGATGCGCGTGCCCATCTTTCGATGATCAAGATCATGCGAAACTTTCATTATATTGATGAAAAAGGCAAGGACCAGGGCATCAACAGTAAGTATATATATATATGCAAAGCGGGCTCTTTTTCATTTCTTACGTCAATTACTATGGGTCAACGGATGGTGTGGGTAGTAGTTAGTAGTGGTTGGACGACACTATCAGAAATAGCGTATGCATCTATTTAACCCTCATATATAGTTCGAAACCGAGCCAAAGAGATTGGCGAATTACTCAATGATACCGACAAAATCCGTACGGAACGGAAAAAGGCACGCGTCAACCGTAACAAGTACCAAGGCGTTGGCTCAGAGACCGTGATGATGGGTGGTGGTGGTGGCGGCGGCGGTAGCATGGGTGGCGGTTCGCGTTTCGGTGGATTCGGTAGTGATAGCGTTGTTGGCAGTGGCAGCTTTGGATTCAGCAGCACCAGTGGCATTGGTGGTATCAGTGCCAGTGCCAGCAGTGGATATTATGATGAGGATGAACGATCCAGCAACCGATACGAGAGTAGCAAGTATGATGACTTTGATGACCTTCCATCCGGTAGTGGAGCGAGCAGCACAAGTCGTTCGTCGCCTTCGGCAGCAGCTGCTAAGGCTACATCGTCGGCAGCGGCTAAAAAGGAAGTCAATTTGTTTGATTTTGATGATGAGCCCAAGGCTTCTTCTTCTTCTTCGGGTGCAGGAGCAAAGGAAGATGATTGGGGAGATTTTGCTTCGGGAAGTGCTGCAGCCACCACAAGTGCAAATGGTAAACGAGAATCTATATGGGGGAAATTTGGGATTAAGAAAGAAGAAGAAGCTAATACACACGCTTTTATTCCTAGATGACTTTGACGACTTTCAGTCAGCACCACCAGCAACAACAACAACAACAACAACGACGACGACATCGACCCATAAGCCAAAGACTACCAATGACTTATTTGATCTCTTAGGCAACGATGTATTCGGCTCGCCAGCATCGACGCCATCAGCAACAGCCCCTCCTCCTCCTCTTGCTGTTGCTGCTGCTGTGCCTTCGCCCACGTCCATGTCGCGTCCACTTTCACCTTCCAGCAACAACAACAACAGCCGACCTGCATCGATGCAAAGCTTTGCCCCTGTCACCCCCATTTCTACTACGACGACCACTACAAACAACAACAACAACAATACATCAGGAACGTCAACACCCACGGGTACGGCTAACACGTCGTCGCAATTGCCTAGCGGTATGTGGTCACAAGCATCAGCATTTGTGTCGTTGGATTCGCTCGGCAAGGCCAGCGGACCCGCCAAGCCTTCGGTCGGTCCTTCGATGAACTCTATGAAGACGTCGAGTGCCAATGCTGGCTGGCAAGCATGGGCATCCTCGAACCAGCCTGCTACACCTACGTCTGGCGCCCACAAGCAACAGCAACAACAGTCGCCTTTTGATGATCTCTTGGGCTAAATTATATATATAATCTCTTTTTCTTTATTAATCCTTCTAGAACAACCCTCTTTTTTTTTATCCCTTCACCCCCACTGTCTGCCACACACACACACACAACAACAACAGCAACAACAAAATTCCCTTTCTCTTTCTAACGTTTTCTACTTTCTTCCAAAAATGCTCAAAAGACACATTAAAAAGAAAAAGAAATCTTTGTATATCCCTTAAAAAACAACCCTTTATCTACACACACAAAATTCAGAGAAAGTTGTTAATTCGCAAGGTTTCCTTTTTTTTTTTTATAATCAAGCTTAGGAAAGAAAAGAGTGCGATACAATGGGGTTGGTAATAAGAAAAAAGGTATGCAATAACAGGAGTGCGCTGTTGATCAACTTTGGTTGGTTAGAAAGAGAGACGAGAGATATGCATGTATGATAATGTTGTCGTTGTTGCTATATAAGTGGTTGGATGACGGATCGTTGGCGTGTAGATTATAGGGGCGAGGAGGAGGAGGAGGAGAGGTTGGGGATTGGGGGTCAAGGAAAGTAATACCGAGGAGGTCGAGTAACGGAGAAAGGAAGAAAACACACGTACACGTACAGAAACGAGAAATAAGGAGGAGGGGAATGGTGTGGAGATAAAGAGAACAAGGCGATGATGATGATGATGGTGCATTGGTTGACGAGAAATGAAGGGTAAAGAATAGGGGTGGGGGGGGGGATATCGTCATCGTCATCATTCAATTGATTCATGCTATGATAGCATTGCTATCACTACCACCACCACCACCGTCATCATCTTCATCATTCTTATTACTATTATTATCCACCTTTGCCTTGTTCATGCCATCACTTTTAGCAATAGTAGTAGTAGTAGTACTGCTGCTACTGATACTACTGCTACTACTGCTGCTACAACAACCACCCTCATCATCATTGTGGTTACTCAATTGGATCATGTCATGATGTTGACACCAATCCAAAAAGTCTACATACGAATGGACATGACCCTGAGCCACCAGACGCTGAAACGCTTTCAATTCTGGACGGAACCGACGCTTCTGGTTCGAGAACCAGTAGGTGATCTTGCGCGATTTGAGTCCTGTCTGCTTTTCAATGCGGCGCCGTTCCGGTTTGCTGAGCTTCCGGCCGTTGCCGTACACCTCAAAGAACATGGTCTTTAGATAATGCGTCGTCTTTTCGTCGTACGATGTCTCTGTCCGCCTTCGCGTCGCTCGTTTCTTACTGGTGTTGTTGCTGCTGGTGGTGGTAAACACAGAGCAGGATGAGGTGGATGTGGTCGAGGACGAACATGGACTTGTTGTCGTTGCCATAACAGGTGATGAGGATGACATCTTTTTTCGAAAAGGTTGACAATGGTGTCTGTGTCTGTTGTTGCGATCTTCTTGGTCACTGATACTCAGATGATCCATGTCTTCATCGTCGTCGTCATCTTCTTCGTCTTCATCATCCGTCATCATTAGTTCGTCTTGTTCTTGCTGCTGCTGCTGCTGCTGCTGATACTGTGGGACTTGCTGCTCCTCTTCCTGTACTACTTTACGTTGTTGTCGTTGTACTACTTGACTGGACGAAGGCGTGGTGGTGGTGGTGGTGGTGGTATCATTATCCGTAGTGATAGTAGTAGTAGTATTACTCAGTGGTGGTGACAAAGATGGTTGTTGTTGTTGTGAAGGTGGGGTAGTAGTAGTAGGAGGAGGAGGAGGAGGAGGAGGCGACAAGGACGGAGAGGGCGAAAGTGGTCGTAGTGGTGGTTTATTGCTTGTGGCAACAACGGGTCGTCGTGCGACGGGCTTTACAACAGGAGGCATATTGCAACGACAAAACTCCTTATCGCGAACGTTAGAAATGACGCCTCTTAAATGAACTCTGGCTAAAGAAGCAGATGTGTCCATCAAGTCAAAAAAGAAAAAGAGGAGAGAGAGGGAAAAAGAGAGATGGGGTTTTTATAAATGTTGAAAGAGAGCCCAAAAAGTTAGAAAAAAAAAGAAAAGCGTTTTCGTAAAAAAAAAGGGGGGGGGGGCAGATGAGAAGAAGAAAAGCTTATGTTGGCATATACAAGTTGTGTGAGAAAAAGAAAGGGAGAAGAGCACCCGTCTTCGGGGAGAGACCCAACCCCACTGACGACATTCTATAATAAGGATTTTCCTTTTTTTTTTTCTTTTGCCCATTGACAACATGGTCGTCCATTGCCCCAAGTCGTGTGTGAATCCAGTTCTTCGACTCCTTTTTTCTTTACTGCTGCTGCCCATGCCGAATAAAAATAAAACAAGGTTACTATTTATATTGGCAACAGTTGATATAGCTAGCTTTATTATGACAATGGTTTTAAACGAAAAGGTGGGGGAAGGATGATGACTCGATACAAAGGTGTGTGTGGTTTGGTTAAATTTTACTCAAAGTCTTCATCAAAGACGCGCACGCCCCAGTCTGGCTTGATGAAGCGCTTGCCGTGAGTCTTGTGAAGCTCATTGATCTGCTCAATTTCTTGTGCCGACAGTTCAACCAGGTCGGTGTTGGCCTTGACTCGCTAGATTAAAGTTATATATGCAGCCGAGGGTTATTATTTTAGTCTTTCTTTTTGAGACACCCCCTTTCCCCACTAATCCCAAACCCTAACCCTAACGTACCTCAGGGTTGACACTCTTGGGAAGAATGCTGGAGCGAGCCCAGCCCCACGACAAGATGACTTGTGCTGGCGACTTGTTGTGTGCAGTTGCAATTTTGTTAATCGTCTCATCGCTCAACAGTGTCGAGTTGGTTGAGCCCAAGGGTGAGTAAGCAGTGCAGTGGATGCCCTTGGAAGCACAGTAATCCAACAACTTTTGTTGTGGGTTATAGGCTATATTTACCAAACTTTTCACTTTAGATTCTCTGGGATTTGGGGGGGGGTTTCCCTGAAATAATTTTACTTACGGTGAAGTTCGATTTGGTTGACGGCAGGAACAACCTTGGCTGTCTTGAGCAAGTCTTCCAAGATGGGGATGGAATAGTTGGACACGCCAACAGCTTTGACCTTGCCAGTGTCCAAGAGCTTTTCGGCAGCAGCCCAGGTGATGGATGGTGTCACAGTGGTGTCGATATCACGCGTACCATCGGGCTTACGAGGAATGGCAACGCCTTGCTCAGGGTTCAATGCACAGGGCCTTTACATTTTTTTTTAAAATGTAAAATTGGGTTAGATGAGGTGTACATTACAAAGATAAAGTTTTCCCAGTAAACGTATATCCACACACACACACACACACACACACACACACACACACACACACACACCAAAAGCACCCAAAATACTCTATTGTACTACACGCGTCTTTTTCCTCTTCTTACCAGTGCAACAAGAACAAGTCAATGTACTCAATATCGAGACGATCGAACGAGATCTGGAAACCTTCAGCGACCTTCTCGGGACGGAAGAAGGTGGGCCAGAGCTTAGTGGTTACGAAAACATCCTTGCGCTCCAAGTTGTTTTCGGCCAAAGCATCACGGATGGCCTTGCCTACTTCGGCTTCGTTGCCATACTAATGTATCGACACGTAAACACACATGTCAGAAACAAAACCCAAGAAGTATAAACAGTTGGGATGGGGAGGGTACTTTACACCAAACGCGGTATCGATATGACGATAGCCAGCAGCAATAGCGGTCTTGACAGCCTTGTAGACTTCTTCGCCAGGAGCTTGCCAGGTACCGAGACCGATTGCGGGAATCGAAGCACCCGTGTTGCTATTACATACGTAGCGACAGAGGGAGCATAAGTTGGCCTGCCAAGGTATACAACACACTCACATAAAAGCCAACACTTACAGCTTATAGACTTTGTTCAAGGCCATGTTTTTGGGATATAGGTTTCAAGAGAACGATAGAAAGAAAAGATGTGTTAGAAAGAGAAAAGAAAAGGGAAAAGATCTCTCACGGAACTCGCGTTATATCCATCTTTTTTTTTTTTTTTTTCGGCGCCACGGAAATTTTCAGGACTTTGCCGTAAATTTTATATTCTCCTTTTCTTTAACTCTAATCTTTCTCATACAAGACACATACAGAAAACCCACACTATAAATTAAATACAGCGCAGAATTTTTTCCAAATCACTGTCTCTAACAAGTAGCTACTACCGTCGTTGGTTTTACCCGGAGTGCTCATCGATGACACGTTGCACATTCCATCCTTTCATCTTTAGCTGACGTCGTGCCTCCTCCAGACTAGTACTGCTGCTGCTGTTGCTTATATCAGCAACATAGCGGGCTTTGCATTCTTGTACGATCAACGCCAGCTTGCTATCCCACGCTTGAGCAACCACCTTGGCCGTCTTTTCACAGTCCCCACGACGCACGGTCTTGACAGCCACCTCGAAACCAGCACTGATCGGCCGATGGTCCGAGGCTTTTACCTCATGACGACGATAATATTCACAAGATGTTGTGCTGCTGCGGTACAAGATCCTGTCACACCACGCAGGCACACGCTGCTTGTCCGAAGTGTCATACTGGTCCGTGCCTGGATCATACTTGTACGTGGGATCAAATCGGATTGGTGCTGCTTCACGAAACAGGGCCAGTTTCAACAATGGATTCTGCTGTCGCTGTTTGTAAAGCTGATCATGCAGCTGGAGTTCACGGTACGCCATACTGCGGCGATTGTCTTCCTTGAGCCAGTCCAACACATCCTGACGCGTCCATGTGTCGAGTCGGTAGTTCAAATCGCCGCTGACAAAACAATGCTCATGATCCAGGATAATGACATCATCGTCATAATGGCTCTTGTTGTTGTAGACGAATTTGGCCGTTTTGAAGATTCCGTCTGCGTCTGCGTTGCGTTGCTCGATCCGGGATTGGCCTGCTGCTAAATGACAGTTGACAAAACATAGACTCGAGTCGTCGAGCGAGAGTCGGATCGCTGTGGCCCCCTTGTTGCCGTGCCAGCATTTGTTCATCACCTTAAGTCCGGTTTTCACAACGGTCGAGTGGCAGTCTTTGGCGCGCATCTGTTGCTCGTGTTTGATGAATACAAGGCTAAATAGGCCCACCAGATGCTCGGTCTTGAGAAGCATGTATTTGTCTTGTAGCACCCCTGTGATATAGTTGCGCCAGGCACTGTATTGAGGGGTAGCGGCTGCAAGTGTTTCGGCATCCATCATACCGCCGTAGTTGTTGCTGTTGTTATTATTGTTATTGCTGCTGCTGCTGCTGCTGCTGTTGCTGCTAGTGCTGGTCGAGTCAAGCTTGTTTTGCTTTTTCCGTGGTATAAACAGCGATCCTGGAGCAGTCATTTTTTAACAGTCAGGATCAACACACATTTCCTTTACCCGCGAAATACTACAACTTACGTGCTGTCTGTCGCTTGGATTCAAGATCAACAATTTCTTGTAGACCCACAACAATGATATCAGCGTCACGCATGCTCGATAGCCATTCATCGAGCAGAGCTTTATCTTGACCCGTGATGGACTCGGGACTGAGCGCATCGATATTCCATGATGAAATCTGTATTCGTGTCGGGCGATAATCACAATACGTTTCCTCAAGTTGTTTCATGTGTTGATCTAGATACCCAAAACACGTACTGAAAATAAGGATACAAAAAAAAAAAAAAAAAAAAAAGTCGAGCCTTTTTGCTTTCTTTTCTCTCAAAGCATACGTACCTCTTTGATATTCCGCCAATAATCCATCCCATACAGTAACATTGCCTTGTTGATCCGCACTGACGACCTGCATCAGTGGCTTTTTGTCATCACAAAGCAAGCCGAGTTCATCCACGGTAAACATGGTGATGGGCCCATGATGTGCTTCCCACATTTTCACGAGAGACCATTGTTCATCCGACGAAATATCGTAAATGTAAATCATGCCAGTACGATATCCGGTCCATAAGAATCGATCAAGAGACAATGCCATGGCCGTAATACCATACGTGGGAACAGCGACTTGCAATGTCTGCTCCCATGTGTCGTTGTTGGCGTCCCATACACTGATCCGACCATTGACGTGAGCACATGCCAGTTTACCTTGGGGTAATGCCACCAACTGCGTTATCTGGCCCAAATCGCTGGGAATACGTACAACGTGGTAAGGTAGCTGTACTTGAATTTGCGGCATGGCGGATGAATAGAATGGAACAAAGCGATATGCATCGATGGTATCGCCTGTAGTCATGGCCAGCACATGATGCTGTCCCTGTCCTTGGGTGGCGCGCAAGACAACAGCCGATATGGCTTTGGGCGTCACACGATGATGATACCCATCATACATGATCGTTTCTGGCATACTGTCGTCATAGTCATGCATCGGATACCGCAAAAGCTGCCCACCCTCATCAATCGTCCACAACTCAGTATTTGCTACTCTTAGGATATGTTTGACGGCATATTCGTGATGTTGCAGCTCAGCCAAGATCTTGGCCTTTTGCGTATCCATCACAACGGTACATCCATCGTCGAGACCTGCAAACAAGTAGTTGCCCGTACATGTGTATGCAAGTGAGCTCACACGGTCGTTTCCGGTGCTGTCTGTGCTCGGCGTTAATGTAATCGATGCATTTTTGTTGTTGCGGTGATCGTCCCATGCTTTAATGGTATAAGACGCCGTGGCAAGTCTGCCTTGACAGGCTGCGATCGCCCGTAGGGTTCGTCGATGGTGTGTCGGGTATGTTTTGATGTGAGGTGGTAAACGGTCAAAGTGTTGCATGTCGGGGTATTGGCAAGTGTTGGTGGGAGTAGCAGCTGTGGTATGGCCGTTGTTGTGTAGACGTGACGATAACATGCTGCTGATGGCGGATGCGGTGCCTTTGGATACGCTACGGACTGGCATGGATGGTAGTGGTGGCATAGCAAGTTCTTCTTCTTTGAAGCCAGGAACAATATTAATTGTGCGTGCTCGAGGTCGTTGTGGCAATGGTGGCGGTGTTGTAGGTCGCTGTGATACTATGTTGGGCGTCGTCGTCGTCGTCGTCGTCGTTGGAAGCCGAGGGACCGTAGTAACACCTGGGTTTCTCACAATTTTCATGCAGCAAAGCTTATCAGTATTCTTCCACCAACTCTAATAAAATTTTCATTCAGAAGCACGTACCATTTGTTTCATGCTGTTTATCTGAACCCACTGCTGTTGTTGTTGGCAGCGGTTCCTCTGGCGGGGTTATTAACTGTGGGTATTGTTGATGCTGTTTGAGCAACAGTTCATGGCTACTAGCACTACCATGGGAATGCGAATGCAAGGACCGATTGTCAGGCAGACTAATGCGATTGGTTTTATTGTTGGAAATTTTTGCTGCGGCCATGGTCACCTAGCGTAGTCAAATGGTGGGTGGGGGGGGGGTGTATACAATTAAACAAAAAAAAGAAAGAAAGGGCTGTTTTGAATGGCGTTGAGTGTACGTATAAAACGTATAAAGGAAAAAAGAAGCTTCGCTTTGTGTAATACTCTTCCCCTCACCGGCAAGCTCCTGAGCAACCTCCATGACCACCATCGCCCGGTAAAATGGGAATGGACCAGCAGAGAGTGTCGGTTGGACCGGGCCGGTTCCTGTTTTTGCGTGGCACGTGGCACAAACCAAAATGAAGGATTTCCCCGTTTGCATATATAACTATTTATTGTTACTCTGTTTCAAATATACGTTCAAAGGCTTCTTATAGCTTTGATTATGCAGAGTCCAAACACAGAACAATAGTCGAGTATATCCTGCTGGTTTCCTGCCAACCAGAGAAATAACCTTCAAGGAAGAGCCAGCTCGGAACAATCCTCTTGGTGAGTCTCAGATGATGCTCTGCTATGACATTTTCTAGCATTTCGCTCTTTATGCATCTTGTGCATATGTACTAGAAGAAGAACCACAGTACTGCACTGTGTTAGCAGCAGCACCACCATCAAAGCCTTTTTTCCTTTTCATCTTGTATTACATTCTTCTTGCGAAGTTTTATCATTTACATCCATGCCAAAGTGTCAGATCACATCGTCGATATGGCGAGCTGTGTTCGTTTACCCAGCTCTAGGATTGTGAGGTGGCCAAGGAAATGGCATCAACAAGCGTAGATTCCCGATACGAGCGATATTCAAATGCACCTAAGGATGACAATGTTTTTATCGAGTGAATAAATAACGCCTTGATGTTTTGAAAACTCGTAGCCTAGTGGCTTTTATTCTAAATGTCATTCCTTTTCTGACCCTCCCCATTTTTAAATATAAAAGAAGATACAATTTTTATTATTCTATTGATAGGCGACCATATGACCCTTTCGTTGCCTGTGACAGTAATACCATCATGCACACCAAATTAAAGTTATCATAAGATAATTTTTCCTTTTGGGTTTGCTGCTCAAAGAACTGTGGTATGTTGCTATTTCGGGTGGCATACATATAAAATGTATACCTTCGAAAAGTACCCAACGGATAGGGTGAATAGTACCAAATGCCAATTAAATATGGACTATAGATGATTTTTTTCATATTCCATGAACGTTTGTCTACCTCTTGCTGTTGTTGGGTCACCAGTAGTAATGGCTCGACGTAATGTCGCTGACTCTGTTGCCTTGTCAAAAACAGAAACAAAAAAGCTACCATTTGACACTTGCACATACAATAAAAAGAGCCTTTAATATCTTTTACCTCTGTGTGTCTTTTTAACGACATGATAATGTCCACTATCAGTTCCATCTGGCAGAGACTTTCGCTTTCCATCTTGTTGTTTGTTGGTGATGTTTGGTGCTCGGTTCTGTGCGGTTTCCGTTGGTGCTGTAGTAGTACTTGCGACAGTTGATGATGGTATTCTTATTGCTGGATCTGGATCTATAACATAATAGTAAATTACTTATCTCTCTCTCTATTATTTACGCCTAAGGTTTTTCTTGTGCAACACACTACAGTAATTGTTGAATCCTTGCTTACCTTCAGGCTTGCTTTCTTGTGAGGAAGGAGAAGGAAGAAGAAGAAGAAAAGTACCAATCGCTACGGTAACAGTAAGACAGGAATCTCGTTACAGTTAGATCGAAGGATGCTCTTCTTTCGGTCGCGACAGCAATGGTCTGGGTAATACTACTTTTTTTTCTTGCTCATAACTAATATAACTGCAGTCGCATCTTCTATTGTAGCGAGTTGTTCTTGGCGTCCTCAGAAAAAAAGAGAACTGAGAGTTTAAAGAGAGCTAGGAGGAATTTACCTTTTGAAAAAACTGCTGTACCAAGGGGGTCGTTATTCTTTGAGATTGATCGGGGTTGCTCATTGTTATTTGAGGTTGAATGGGGAAGGAGTGGGGCGGATAGGGGAAGCAAATTGAAAGAGATTTCAATGATATAGGTAAGTGTGTGTGTTTACCAAACGAAACTGCTATTACGGAGCTGATTGGCACATGGAAAGATAAGCTGACCGGAATTTTCCTACCTGCTAGTGTAATTATTGCCTTGCCACAACCACGAGAATTGGAGTATGCATATAAAGTTTGACAATGGGTATAGTTAAAAGTGTTTTTATTAAAGGGCAATGATGAGCCGCGTTAAGTACTCGACATGCTAGCCGAAACGAAAGAACAATGGTAGTGTCACAGCTAGCTGCATAAAAACCTCTGGTGTACGGACGTAGAGGGAAAAAGGTGATATGGGGTATCATAGTAGAAAATTGGAGACCAGTGACAATGGGTATAGGAGCTGTGTATTCGAGGTATCTTTATGTCACTTTTACAGATGAGTCAAGAGACAGGATGAGTAAACTTCTTTCTTCTGCGGTTATAGACGTTAGCTAAGTGCACGATATAGTAGCTATACCAGCCATTACTTATTGTGATATCGTGAAGAGGTTTTTTGAAAACTTAATAAAAGATAGTGGCAAAAGAAAGAAAGGCTGCTTTAATAACAATGCGGTGAGGTGCATACACTATGAATGCTTATGCAATTTAAGCTTCATCATCTGAGGTTGATTCATACAATAGTTTGTGATTAAAACAGTTAATTCCATGACATAAGCTATACATTATATATAATACTATAATTTCTCCATCTGGGGTTCGTACTGGAGCATATGCCGAAGGACAACAACGTTTTTGTAGTGCTTCACCTCAGGGGGCAATGTAGTAGGTCCATCTTGTCGTGTCTAACATTGGTAAGTTCATAATGAAATGAGTGGACTACAGTCCAAGTTTAGATAAGGCCATTCTTAGCAACGAAATGACAACAACGTATGAAACCTGAAATATCTTGGATCGTAATATAACATTATTATACCAGTGAATCATACCGAACATAATTAGGATAAAGAAAACAGTATAAGAAAATGTAGTATTTACATAGCATAGAAAGACATCTGGATTTTGACTAGACAAGTATTTCAAAGGTTTCATCTATTATCTCCAGTTTTATTTATTGCTATGATCATATTCTACGGAAATTACACATCCTTCTTCGTTTTCTTTGACAGCACGACAGTGACTTGTTGGCGTTGAATAACTGCTTCTTGTAGAGCAATCTGATATCCATCTCGTCTCTTTTAACGACAATGGCTTTCCTATTAGATGTTTATGATTTAAGGGACTGTACTAAGAGTGCAGCAGATGCAACGTTGGTGCAGAAAACCAAGCTCTGGTTTGCAAAAATTGCGCTTACACGGAGACGTTTCTACATTACCTTCCATAGCCAGTCACAGAGGTGGCAAAACGCCAAAGGGGTTGTCAGCAATTTAGGGAGTGATCTGTGAACTTCAGCGCCTTTATTTCACATAGTCATCGTCGCTCCCATTCTTTCCAGTATATAAGACAACAGTTATGAGGGTGTCGGTGCCAGAACGTACCAGGAAGAAAAGGTAGGATCGCAGCTTTTCTTCAGATGGATGTTTAAGAGCATATATAATAGCCTGTGTTAAAACGATACTATTACAGAGAAGAGCTTGCACCCAGCAATTATAAATACCAGCCTTGTTGAGAAAATACAACTGTTGTCATGGAAGCATTCTACTCGAATGATCCAGCTTCAATGTGAACAATAAATCTACCAACAGGTACTGCAGCCGCATACCACCCTATTCCACTAAACTATTTAGGGTCAGTTCTTTTCGTCTGTTTTCAGTCGCGGAAGAAGTTCTCTTGGTGCGTATGAATCCTGGGCAATAAGACTTTATATCCAACTCTAAATGTTCCTACTGAGGCAGCGCATTATTTAAAACCTTAAATTTCACAAAAAGAGTAAAACTGATGACAAGCATAGTTTGTTGCATATGCGAATACGTCTCTACGGAAAGTCTATACAGAGCGTATGTAACCAATGGTAAAAACGACAATCAGTTCGTGTAATCCCCATAACTTTATCGCAACTCAAGCGGCTAAAAACTAGGTCCTAAATACATGTGACATTCGTTGTCAGAGCTGTTGTCATTATGGCAAGCAGCATTGTCTTTTTTTTTATTACAGGTAAAACGGAGCTGCAAGCCAAGCAGTGTACAATAGAAACGCAAGAAAGAAAAATTGAACTTAAAATGGCCATTTTGCCCATACATAGCACAAAATAGCACTGTTTGTTGTTTGAGGTAGAAAACCTAACAACTGGAACTTTTCAACGTACGTGTCTTTTCACAAAGCGACAAAATAAGGATAGGGAGATATGCGCAATAAGAAGGGAGTGGTCGGAGAGGAAGATCTCGACTGCTCATTTGCCAGCACAACAGAGGATAATACCAACATAATCCTAGATGGTAGTGTGATAGGAGATTTTGAGATGAATGAAGGGGAAAGAAAAGAAAGAACTTGGATATACTCACACAGCTTGCTAGAACGAGGTCTGTTTTTCTTTCTCCACTCTTGTACAACGGTGTAATGGTAGTCTATCTAGAATGATGAGCGAACGTACAAGATATATATTACACTCCCGTGCTCTTTTTAAGTTTCTTCTCTTTTTGACTCTGTTCCTCTCATTTGCACTTACTTTGGTATATCCAAACTACCAATACATCCCTTTCTCTCTCATATTTTAAAAAACAGACAGTAGAAAGCAATTGTTTGTTGAAGTGAACAAACAGACAAACAAACAATAGTAGCGATAATGACCAACAAAACGACCACGACGACGCTTATCCCGTTTCTCTGCTGCTTTATTTTGCTAATGATCAATTCGCCGCTACTGCTGCATGCATATGAGTTGTCTGGGACAGGACTGTGCGAAGTTGAAGGCGATTCGACCGGCTGTGCGGAGGCTTGCTCGATGCTTGAACAAGGCAATAATGGTATCTGCGTCTACGACAACTGTTACTGTACCGATGTCGATTTGTCTAGTTGCAACAATGAAGAGGACCACGAAGTTTGTGATTCCGTTTGTCAAGATATGGGATCCAATAACCTTATTGGCTTCTGCATGGATGGCCAATGCAGCTGTCTAGATTAAACAATAGTACGCACCACATAACAGTGGGGAATCACATACTTGCTCGCTTTATCGTTGTTGATTTTTCTCCTTCATCATCAATCCGTACTCTTCGTAAAACAACAAAAGCTCTTTGAATCTTGGTACCTACCCGTCCTATTCCATCATTCACTACATACATACAATCACTCTTTCTCACAAAATGTACATAGTAGTAATAGTCCTCTTAATCAAATAATCTCTTCTCCTTCTTACGCACTGAACAACCAGCTGATGTATATGCGAGTTATGTAATTAAATGACGGATGCCAAAAAAACAGTGCTTTTGGCTTTCAGCAAGTTGTATGCACTTGAATTAGTCTTGCTGCATTGTGATATCTGCCTCTTTTCTTTTCTCCATTTGCGGGCAGACCAATATATATCCAAGAAAGCACATGAAGAGTGGTTTGTTTTTAAGGGGTCGCTGTACCTCATATTAGTAGTAATGACACGGGTCTTTTATATATCGAACGTTTGGTTCAGACGTCTTTATTTCTCTCTTTCTTTCCCGCCGTCTCCTTTCACTGTCTTGAATCTAGCTTTTCCAAAATCTCGTTCAATCCCAAAGTCTTCTTCTCTACATCTCAAAAGAAAAATGCGTATCTTCCGCTCTCCCTTCTCTTATACTACCACCCCGCTCGTCGTCGCCGTACCCCTATGGCTTGCGGTTGCTGCTATAACAATCATGATAATATTCACACCGGCAACAACATCCGCTGCATCATTATCAGGTCGAGATACTACTACCGCCGACAATGATCTTATCACCAACAGCACAAGAACATGTCGCAATCCAAAGGAACAAGAGCAGTGTCGCGCAAATTGTGAAAAAGTGGCATTGCAACCTTTGTGTATCAACCAAAAATGTATCTGTGCGTCTGTTGGTGACGGCGACTGTTCAGCAGATAAGAACAAAGCCTGCATTGTATTCTGCAACGAATTGGGAGAAAAATTCACCGGATGTTACAAGGATGAATGTGTTTGTGATTATCACCACAAATAGAATTAATAAATTTTATTTTTCTGCTACTTACTCCCTGCTTTTTTTTTACATTAAAAGGTCATCGTGCAGAACGAAAAAAGAATTTTTTAGTTGATTGGCGAATAAAAGAGGAGGAGCTAAAAGAGTAGGAGAAGGGAAAAATTTGAAGGGTACTATTGTAGAAGTCGATCTACTAGTACAGACTGTACATACCAGAGTCCTACAAGGAACGAATGCTGAGAAGAAAATAAGGGGCTTGCTGGTTTTTAGTGAAGTGATAATGTACATCAGAAGTGCTATGAAGAAGGGCTCAATTGACCGATAAAAGTGTGATGTATGCAGAAAAAAGGAAAGAAAAGAATAAGTCACGAGACTACTGCTGAACACCTTGATACGGCTGCAAGATGTGTGCGAGTGGTGCGTGTGTGTTTATTATCTCTGTCGTGAAATACGTCAAGCAAAAGTGGAAACGAGTAACTGTGTGTGCGTGGTGTATGTTGTATAAAGGATTGGGGATTAGATTGTGCTGTGTGAGAGAAATGATACAACGATATTTTATGATGAGCGATGTAAATCATATTGCTGGGGTTTTTGAACTGATATTGAATCCACTGTAACAACGGATGGACGACGTCTCTCGTCCATCACTGGTCCACCACTTCCAATAACAGTAGCACCAGTAAACGGCGGTGGTGACATGCTAAATTCTGGCATCATAGGAGGGGAGTAGCGTTTGCTGCTACTGTTACTATTGCTGGTGTTATAGGGATGGTCGATCGGGTAAATATCTCTTCCACCCCCTCCGCTAATCACTGTTGCTGAGGGTGTTTGAGTATGATAAGCTGTATTAGATGATGATGAGTAGCCGACCGACGACTGTGTATCTGAGGCCATTGAATAGCGGTGCGACGGGTGTCGTTGAGGCATAAGCATGTTGGCTCCTGGGGACGACGAGTGATGATGGTGATGCAGCGGTACTACTGGTGTAATAGGTGATAGAGGCGATGGCGACAATGGAGACGGAGATAAGGGTGACATTGAATGACTTGGTGGTGGATAATGATCATAATCCCATGACGTGTGTTTATCCTGATACGAAGTTGCTGTAAAGTGTGGAGGTGGAAATAATGGGGATGACAGTGGAGATTGATGGTGATGCATCAATGGTGATAGTTGTGACGCTGCTGGTGGCTGTGGGGACGTCGCAGTGTAAGAGAACAAGTCCGAATAGCGATGATTATCTGTAGTCGTTGTTGTTGTAGGATGTGTAGTAGTAGCATTAGATGACGGATTGACTGTATTAAACAAGTCGATTCTATCCATGAGTGGCACCATGGGTAACATGGTCAGCTGTGGATAATTATTATTAGAAGTGATGCTGGCATTGTTGTAATAATGATAAGGAAGGTCTGGGGGTCCATCGTAATAGTTCATAGAAAGTCGTTTGCCGGGGCCAGTACCACCGCCGCCGTAAGATGTGGATGACGTTTGGCTGTCGAAGGAAACGTCGGATTGCGGATCATAATAAGGGTTTTGATGGGATACTACAGAGCCATGTCGTGGAGGAAGGGGAACGACCGGCAGAGTAGCAGAGCGGAGTGATGGTGGAGGTTCTGGGATGTAGCGACCCCATTTTGGCTCCTTAGCCGGAGCAACGGCCACTGAATTAGACTTGACGACTGGCCTAGCCCACATGGTAAGACACAGCAATAAGATCCATAATACACACACAAAAGCAGCTCCAAGCCATGTTCCATCTGACAAAATACATCTATAAAAAAATCAATTCATATTGTTAAGTTTCCTGAAAGTAATATGAAAAAAAAGGTATATCTAATGTTGGTGGCAGATAACGCATACACACGCTCAAAGCACTCAACCACGATATCCCTTGATTTTCTATTATTCTGTTTGTTTATTTCTAAAGAGGAAAATTAATGATACAAACCTTTGGTAGAGTATGGGATGCTGTTGATCTACTGATTGAGAGTCCAATACTGAACAGGATTGGAAAAAGCTAGTGTGTGGCCGATCAAATTTGACGGTACCCGCCGTCCACGGCTCCGGCCCGCCAACAAACACATCTGTCACGAGCGATGTCAACAGTGGGAGAACGCTCAATATGCTGAGGAATCTGTCGCCTCGGAATATATGCGCTCGTTTGCAGCAACACGCATGAACGCACACGGCAGCTCCGCTTATAGTCGAGATTGAGAGGGCTATGTACCACGACAGATACTGTTTTTTTTTTGGGATAGCAGTAAAGATGACTGGGCGTTAGAAAAAAGAGCTTCTTTATGATAATATCATTATCGCTGCATAAATGTCGTAATCATTATTATGGGCCGCAAGATGCCTTTAATTTACCTGCCAATGACCTGCGCTGGTCCAGCCGGGTATATTTGTCTGGTAATATAGAGATTATTGTTAGTACAAACGTCTCTCATAAATCAAATATAGTCGAGAATGTGCACGTGAGTGTATGTACCTTGTCTTTATATACTGATAGTAATAGACATTGTATGACGTGGGATATAAGCGCAAGTATACTGACAACGAGCACCAGAAAACGCACGATATTAATAAAGAGGACGGTTCGCATATCGCTTCTTGTAATCAAATAATAAGAACTGTAAATTCGTTTGTTTAATATTAAAACATATAAATGGCAGGAAAAAAATAGATCAGACAGTGGTATAAAAAATAGCAAACGGGCGCGAACGAGGAAAGAAAGAAGAAAAAGAAAACAGATTGATGTTGTGTAGTGGTGATGATCCGTATATGCGAAGTTTAGGGAGAGAGAGAGTCAAAAGAGACAGTTGGCAGACGGTGTATCTACATACCAAGATTGCGTAAAGGGGCATCTGTACAGAAACAGAGTATGTGTATGTGTACACCTCCTTTCGCTTTACCACGCACTTTAGATAGATCTCATACATATACGACGACTGCAGAAATGAAACTCCTTCCACTTCCTCCCTCCACCTAGCTTTTAGCTCATGATGTTATCTTTGTTGTTTGTTGTGATATTGATTACATATATTATCACATACACTTCAAAATTATGTACAACGGTTTTATTTATTCCAAATTTTACGTATGTGTGTGTGTCTAAAACAACTCCTGCTTCTTAATATGAAAGCAATAGATGACAATAAGTCATTGTACATAGAATATATATTTACATCATGAATTGTCATTATATTACAGCTCCTCGGATTCAACCGACAATCCACATTCTTGGCAAGTTTCTGTCGTCAGGCCCGTCTCTGGGTCTTCTTTAGGTGTGCCAAACACATGCTTGTGTGGACCTTGTTGTCTTTTTCTTTCCCAAGTACTAGTCATCGTTCTCCTCCTAAGATCTAAGTGCCCATTGAACATTTTTGAGTTTGTATTATAGTTCACTCTCTTCCTCCTTTTTCTTTGTGGACTATTACACCTAATACATATACACGCTCACGCTGCATTTCCTTGTTTTCATTCTTCAACTTACCAGCTAATTTTTCCTTGAACTTTTTATCCTTTTTATCATTCTTTTGTGATTCACGTCGCTCGTATTCAGCATCTAATCCTTCTTCGCTTCCCCATTTCTTGAACGCATATTCTTCTACCTATCTCAGTAGTTAAGTGTAAGCTTCACATGCATTATAAACCTTAATATCGAGCTATCTCCATCTCACTTTTTCCCATGACCAACACACATACCATTTCACGAACATATAGCATCATGTTGTTCCATGTCGATTTTCGTGGATTGGGCTTTGACCAGTGAGGGAGCAGATCGGGATCCCTTAATTCAGCTAATATAAATTTGGGTGGGGATTAGCGCATATCTATGATTTGCCGGTTATCAAGCATATAAGAAGCATAATAATACTTACGATCTGTCAGTAAGTAATCCTGCATAATCGGGTATTCAGCACACAAAAAGGAAAAACAAAAAGTGAGTCTGCTTTTCTTTTAAACCAACGTATTGATAGCGTTGTCGCGCGAAAAAGCTTACCTCCTTTGCCTCAGTCTTGGTAATTAAACTATACCTTTCCGGAAACTTTTCCTTGCACGCAACACATACAGACAGTTTAAACACTTGGTAAAAGATTGGGTCGATATCCATTGATCCGCAGTCTCGGCATTTTGGATTTTCAGCAGGATCGGCCGACATTGCTAATAAAAATATAGAACTCAATACATTTTTTACGCAAATCAAGTACAAGTTAAGTGATTGATCGAAACTTACGTATAAATGGCGAAAGTTTAGTTGCTTGATCTTTTCGTTGTTGAATCAGCTTGTCTTGTTTTGTTTCTTCGACTATAAAACCGCCTTTGGAATCGACCATGTTGCTCAAATCATAATCATAGTACTTTGTCCACCGTGCTCGTTTTGGTAATGGCCGTTGTTGTTCATTACTTGAACTGGATCCTGCAGCTGCGGCATCATCATGAGGTCGTTTCGATCGTAATCGTTCAAGTGCTTTAGCCTTGTTCTCTTCAATTCGTTTCTTCTGTTCTGCTGTCAGTGAAGAAGCAGTGTCGCTGGTACTACTGGGTGTGGCCATATTGTATTATGTAGTAGAAAAAGTAAGAGTTTATTTTCTTTTCTCCAGTGCACAGCATGAATTAGAATTTGTATTCAGCAAACCGCCGCAGCAGCAAGTCGGCTCCCGAAAACACATACTGAGCTGCTACAACTAACTGTATGCTACTCCTACAACAATCTTTCTTGTATTAAACTTTGCGCACGGATTGAAAATAATCTTCCAAAGGACCTTTGCTGGGGATAAACTTGACATAGCTTCCATCACGCAAGACCTTGTTTTCGCGACGAGCTTGGACATACTCTTCACGAGTCAATGACGTAAATCCCCACTTGTTGGAAATGACAATCTTCTGCTTGCCCGGGAACTTGTACTTGCTGCGACGTAAAGCCTCAATCACCGTGGCCTTGTTGTGGTCCCTGGTGCGAACAGAAAAGATGATTTGGCCAATTTTCACACGAGCAACCAGTCCTATTATTGTAAACGCATGACGGTTTAATGTGTAACGAACCAGCATTATAAATGGTATAATAGTAGTAGTAGTATAGAGACGCCTTCTTCTTTCTATAAATTACCAGCAGGCTTTCCAAATGCGTGTCTCATTCCAGTTTGCAACCTAAGAAGAACGGTGTTGTGTAATGAAGTGTGAAAACATTGATTTCTGTATAGAAATGTGCTGCTTCTCAATAGAGTTAAAATAAATATGTCTTCCGAGTGGAAAGAAAGATTACCTGTCTGCACCAGCACAAGAAAGCATCTTGTTGATGCGAACGACATGATATGGATGCACTCTCACTCGCATGTGGAAAGACTCCTTGCCAGCGCTCCTGACGATATGCTTGTTGCAGCAAATACGACCCGCTTCAAGCGCTTCGGCTGAAAGTTGTTCGTATTCGTTAGAGACGAGATGGATGCAAAGAGGGAATTCGTCCACATGTGCCTTCTTGCGTCCCAAATCGTAAATTCTCAACTTTGGGTCAGGCACACCACTGTGGAATATAGTTGGTAATACGTAGTATTAGTCAGCTTGTTGGTGTACATCGTGAGATGTTTCTGTTCAATGTAAATGTATAGGTAGTTAGAAGGGAAAGCCTTTGGTGTATACTTTACCGGTTGAATCGACTTTTGGGATAGGGCTTGTTTTTACAGTACCGGTAGCAGCGTGCAGGTCGTCGTCCCATATTGACTAACAAGGATTCTTCGTATCTGGTAAAATTCAGTCACCCCACGATCGACGAGTTAATGGACTTACTAATACTTCCTTGGCTCACGAACTTACAAGAGGATTCATCCAACATGACACTACAGAATATAATACTTACTTATTTTAAAGAAGGTTAAGTACAGAAAAATTGAGTGAGTAAAAAGAAACAGATGATTGCCGAGAACTGTTCTGGTCAGTGCTGTCCTCGCTTTTTATACCTTTGCAAAAAAGAATTCGATTAGTCCCATGTCGCGTGACGATTATACTGGTATCACTACTACTACGACTACTCAATACCCGTCTAATAATTTTTTTTCTGCAAACGTTGGACGAGTGATGACCTTTATAACCTTATGGAGCAATGGAGGCGATAAAATGTGACCGAATGGATAATAGGTTCAATGTAACACATGTGTTCTTTTACTACGCCAAAGTAATAATATGGGGTCATTATACATGTATAAGATGAAGAGTGATGGACTGTAAGACACTTTTATTCATGCGTATGGATTAATACCTGGAGGCAGCAGGCTTAATACGTTAAGGTATTTTATGCCAGAATTTTCTTTTGCTCTGTCTCTGCACGAAGAAACATACCAGTAGAAAGATGGAGCTATTATCATACATTGACAACTCTCAAAATATTTATCGTATTCCGCCTTAGTTTATGTATGCGACGGCTAGAAATAAATATATTCAATGAGTGCAATTTCTTGTTCTAACCCGCAAGTGCGGATTACATCATTCACCGAATAGAAGCATAGGGATTCGATAACACGTGAGTCCGTGTCATGCCTCTCTCTTTATAGCATGATCCATCTAGTAACCTTTAATTTTCAATCGCAAACTTCGTTTAAGAGAAGACTAGCATTTGGATACATCAGTAAATGACAGTCGTAATAGAAAATGGAGAAGAAAAGAAAGACAACTATCAACGCCTAGTATGCCAGCCATCCCATGATCAAATCTCATCCAAATTGTCACTGACACTAGTGAGTATAATGTTGAGCTCTCTCTCCCTCTCTCCCTCTCTATTCTCATGGTCATCGAAATATGGAACGGGAACCGAGCCAAAACAAACAGTCGGTCAGAATGTGTGCTCAAGTACAAACCACTTTGGAAGAACAACCATCGTGCTATATAGGGTATAGCAGAATTCACACTCACATCGTCCAGGTAATACAAGCCAAAAAGAAAAAAAAACCCTCAACCGCATTATTAATAAAATTTCTGTTCAAAGGAACAAGAGAAGCCCTTTTTTTATTTTTCGCTTTCTTGTACGGCAAATCATAAAAAAAAGTTTACTCGCGGCGGCCACGACCTATACATTATTCAATTCAATGAGAAAATCAATAAATGATGGTCCATCTTACACCTTTCTTTCCTCACAGGCAAAAAGAAGCTTACCGAAACCACCACGGAATTCAGGCTTGAAGTCACCGCCAGCACCTTCCTTGCGACGGTAGTCATCACGATCACCACGGGGACCACGGCCACCCTCACGGCCCTCACCAACTAATTAAAAGTAGTATTCACGCGTTAAATCCCATATACGTTTCATCTTAACAGGCCACACACAGACAAGCGGACAAACATGTATTATACTTACAGGCACGACGGGGAGCAGCGGGACGAGCAGTCTTCTTCATGGTGGCAGGGACGATCTCCTGGGGCAAGTGAAGGTCTAAAAAAGAGAGTACGATTATCTCGTGCGTTAATTATTCAATGTTCTTTCTTTTATAACAACTTGGAAAAAAAAGCCAAGTCGTTCTTACATTCACGGAGATAGTCGATACCCTCGTCGGTGAGGGTGTAGTAGTAGTACTGCCACGAGAACTGGGTCTTGACGTAGCCCTTGGAGTTCAAGGACTGCATCATCTTGATGACCTCAAGGTTGGAGACATCGATATCGGGATGCTTGGCAAGGTTGAAGTCCTTGGCAGCGACCAAAGCACCGTCTATTAATGAGTGTTATATATATAATAAGTATATATGTGGTTCGAGTCATTAAGAAATTGTCGTAAAATTTGTTTGGTTGTGGTGTTGGTGTGTGTATGTAATGGTTGAATTGTTTGTGTGCATGTGGGCAGAGGTTTGTTGGAGCTGTAAATTTACCCTTGAAGAGCGACTCGTAGATGAGCTTTCTGTTTTGCTTCTGAACAAGCATGGTGCTAATTGAGGTTTAACAATTTGATTATGAAGAAAAATCAGTATATCATATTTCCTTTCAAATCCATCCATCCATCCAACCATCCATCTTCTTCATCCATCCATTTTTCTCATTCAATCCGTCTTCATATATCGTTCTTCTGTCATCTGTCTATCACTCCTTTTCCATTTTCCCCCTTTCACCACCGTCGTGGTACTTACAACGCGCGTGGAAAGAGGAGGATTTACACTTCGTGATACTTGCCTGGTTATCCGCCCGCTCTCGGGCGAGGATGTTCCAAATTTGGTAATCAGTTGATGTTCCGCTTTTTTCATGACAACCGGACCTGTTGCCCAACACTAGCGATGCTTTGGGTAAAAAATTGTTTCCAAACATTTCTACTAACTTTTGCTTATAAAGGTGATAAGAAGTGTATATTTATTGTACAGCAAAAGAAAATAAAGGATTACAGAAATGTGATAAGCAGGTTGTTTTCTCTAATATAAAAAAAGGGATGGTTTCTTTTTGAGTGGTGAGAGAAGGTGCTTTTCTTTCTCTCATGATAGTAGATCGTTACCCAAGGCAGCCATGGTGATATTGTATATGATCATAAATACAACTGCAATACTAAGCACAGTGCTAACAACGACAGCAAAAAAGAATGGATTCAACCATGGTCGTGGCCGGAATGCCATGAAGGGTTCCATGTCTTGTTTGTCTGGCCCTAGCTGTTGTTCCCGATGTAAGCCCAATTCTTCACCCACAAGAACTGACGAATTGTTGGGTGGATTCGAGAGGTTACTGTTAATCCACATGGATCCTCGTGGTGACTCGCTTAGTCCTCCTGACGAGTGTTGTAGCTGTTGTGAAGAAGGCGTAATACCCAATCCTTGAGCAGATCCAACAGCTGTGGATGTGGCCACTGTGCTTCTGGGGGAGGATTCAACAGGTGGAGGCACTTTGAGTGCGTTGGGCGAATTGTGTGTTGAACGGGCCTTGTTGTTATTGGTGTCATTATTATTCTGCGCGCCTAATGTCCCAGGCGGGCTATGACTGGCCTCAAGTGTTGTTCCTGGTAATGGTGAACCGTTGACTACGAGGAGCGACGATGGTGGTGGTTCCTCCAAAATAATGGGTGGAGCTGGAGAAGCTTCGTATTTGGACCGTGGTGAGCGTGGTGACAATTGAGATCGCGGTGATAGCGGGGATCGCATTATGGATTGTGGAGTCCCGCTAAGAATTGCAGATTGTCGACTAATACGCGATACGCGGGTAGCTGGGGATCGGCCTCGCACAGCAGATTCTTCGGGATGATGCATTGTCACATCGGTGGGCTCTTCAGGAATCTTTTCCGTTGTATTCTCTTCAATGACACTCGCTTGGAATTTGCGTGAGACAAAGTAGAGTACAAATGGCAGAATATAGTTGGTGCTCTAAGTAGATAAAAAGAATAATAGATTAGTCATCAAATGGATACATTACTAATTTTCTTTCAGGAAACTATCATACCGATTGGAAAAAGAGGCTGATCCAATTTTGTATGGCATTCATCCAATTCTTGTTCATCAAAGGGCTGTCGAGAATTATAGATGTAAAAATGAAGATGAGGTAAGTATAATTGTTGATCTACCTACTTCGCCACTAGCAAGCGCTATACATTGCAATAACCCTACCGCTACTGTTTTTGTTAACTTACATTGAGATAATCCATGGAAGAAGATTGGACCAAAAAACGGCCCAGCGTCTACCGCACAGACCGCCACGCAACAAGTTGCATCGAATGACAATCACATACACAGGGATCGAAGTAACCAAAGCACAGATCGGGAAAAGGTACGTAGTGACTTTAGACGCCACTGTACTTTCATTACTGAGAAGGGTGAGGATATTGTCGGAGACTGACATTGGATATGCCATACCGCCAAAGACGCCTAATGTGTATGTATATCCCAGAATCTCTATCAGTACAACAACTACAGAAACGTAGCCTTTTGTATTGCTTACCCAGAACAATATAAATGGCGGTAGTAATGATGATGGACCAAGTAATGCATTTGTGAATTGATACGTCGGGATTGATACTGTTCACCCATGTCGGCACCTAGTATAAATTTTCCATAAAAACTCCATGTCTTCTTTTTACAAATCATGTAAAAATTGAAATGTTCAACTTACTGTAGTCACATAACTAAAGTTAAAAATTATAATACCCAACACCATACCGGCGCTTGGTCCTGTCGCTGGCATTAATTCCGTCTTTAACCCTTCTTGGCAGAAAGCAACGACCCATTGGATTGTAACAACTGCCATCGTGATTAGCGAAGCAATCATGACGCCCATATTGTCGACCAAGTCAAAGAATCCGAGAGGCATCACCATAACCATCGTGAGGAGATATCCCATTGTAAAGATAAAATAATCACTCTCACTGAATGGAGAGCCGCTCTGTGAAGTGCCTTGATCAACGCAAATCCATCCTCCTGGATAGATATTGAGACCGCATGTGCCCTTGAATAGAGTGATGATGAGGTTATCCATCGTCTACGATAAGATATTAGTGTCGTGGGATAGTTAGTTGCTGAGATAAAGGCTTGATTGGATTGGAAAGTCAGGGAAGAAGGTAACTTTGTATATTGAAAACTTACTTGTGATGATATGACAATAGATGCGATATTGACGGCTTGAAGCGCTATGTATAAGATAACTTGGAAAAAATAATGATATTTCTTGCCCAGTAAAAGTTGTGCCACGGTAGTGATTTCGACTTGTGCCTTTAAGAGGTTATTTTGTTTGTTGGTAAGTTTGAAGATGGTCATAGAGTCTCCCATCGCTCCTCTCGACATAAGCTCTTTTAAAGTTTCCTTTCCCCACCTGAAATTTCTCGTTTCCTCGAATACTGGCAAGAACTTCACATATGAAGAGTGAAGCTACTCCCGAGAGAAATGCAACGGCGATAATGACAATTGTAGGTGCAAGCCATCCTGCCTAATGATAATTGACGGTGGAGTTTCTGTTATCAGAGATCACATAATAATGGCAAATCATCACGATGCTTTTAAACACTTTGAAAAACGTACCTGTTGATACAAAGGCGGGATCATTGGCAAACCTGGTCCCTAAGTTTTTTTTGGAATAAAATGATACGTATTAATGTTGTGGCATGACATGTTTCTGTGTTATATCAGCACTTTTACTGATCATCAAACTCGTTACTGATTTGATTGTGCGTGTATACATACCGTCATGGACATTACTAGTAAGGCTACACTACCGACTGTGCCAACTCCTTTAGGATTCTCTCCTCCTCCGGACATGATGGTGGATGATGTGTAGCGTAAAAAAGGAAAATTTACGTAGAGCAAGAAGAGGTAATGTGAAAAAGAGGAAACGGAAAGAAAAGACGCTGTGCCATCTGCTTTGATCAGTGTTTGATTCCTTTTATACGAAAGGCTACACAGCAATAAATAAGAGTAGAGAATGATCACCATTGCAATATATATATACTTGGGGGAAGCCACATTACTGTTTCAAACAAAAATTTGCTACTATAGTGTGCATTCTTGATTGTGAATATTGTGGCGATTTAAAATTGTGCATGAGCATTTTTATTTTTCTTTCTTCAAAAAGAAAAATCTTTTTAGTACTTTCTAATATTACGGGAGTAATGCTAGTTACTACTGCTACTAGAAGTAATACTAACGAGCTACTACGGTTGTCTTCTTCGTTCACCCCTTTTACACAAATTGAGATTTCTTTTGACCAAGCAATAAAAAAAGAAAGAAGAAGCAAGGCGGCCAAGAGTTAGTATGTAGTAGCTATCGTGGCACCGCTCCAAATATTTAGCATTGATGGGTAGCAAGTAAGGAACGGCAAGAAATCTTTTTCGAAACAAGCCAAATCTTAAATATTCATTTTGAGAAGACAACCTTTTCCAACTACTAGCAGCAGCAGTAATAGTAGTGGTAGTGGTACTAGTAGTTGTAAAATGTGGGGGTGGATCGGCAGGTTTGGAGAAGAAAAGGGGGCAGATTCTTTCCTTTTGTGCGATTAGCGCGCATCTGTTAAAGGAATAAAAGGCACACGTGGTACACAAAATAATAAACCCAACTAGGATGTTTTGTGTGTACGGGCACACCTTAACTGAAAACTTGAAACAATCCACACACGAAAAACCGGTCAGTGCATATTATCCCCTTTCTCCGACGTTTATGCTCCTATTGTAATGTGGAGACATGCATCACATCATCAAAAAACAGAATAAAATAGCGATAGGCTTTTAAACACGCACTACACTTGCATGCACGCATCCAAACAATGACGGACTTTTACGAACATATTCAAGAGATATACATATCTCAAAAGAATAAAAAGAAAGGTCAGTGCATATCATGTGGCACGGCCATAAAGATTAATAACTTGAATAGTCATACTCTTAAGAGCATACTTACAACAGAGCAGTAATACAAATAAAGAGGAACGAAAGAAAGATCCGAGCAAGAAATAACCACTCCGAGACAACAACAACAAACATATAACAACAAAACACGCCGCCGCTACTACCAAAATAACATATATAAGTAACGTAGCGTCTAGAGAGCAAAAACGCCATCCTTCGTGCCATGTACTACATCATATTTTGATACTTACCGTAACGCAACTCTACTAGCTAAAAGATGTTGTTATAATTGCAAAAGACGACTAATACTTTTGTCTTCTTAATACATCATTACCAAGAGCGGCCATAGCAACATCGTATATAATCATAAATACAATGACTATTCCGAGCACACTGCTTGAAATTATAGCGATTTAGCCAAGTCTGTGGTTGAAACGCCGCAAGGCGACACTCTCCTCTTCTTCTGCTCCCTTGTCGGTGCTCGTTGCTGTTGTTAATGTGTGGGTCTTTGCTTCTATCCGTTGATATTGACAGAGGCACGCTGAACTCAGAGGGCCAACTTCTAATAGTGGCTGTAGCAGGTGTCATATTGGCGCATGTTGTTTGTGAAGCAGCAGATAACGGAAGTTTATTGTTGTTGATATTAGGAGTAACTTTGTTCTTATAAGCGTTTTCGGTACAAGTTGTCGGTCTGTTAAGAATTGCATCTCTTATGGTGTCATGCGCTCCGCACTGGTGCTCTTGTTTTCCGGATTTGAAGATAGTGCAAAGGAGGAAATGTCGGGTCGTAAGGACTGTTCTACTGGATAGCGACTTTGCCGTTGTTTATGATATGATTATAATTATCATCTAAATAACCACGACGACGATGGTGGCCAACAACGTCATCATTGATTGGCGTTGTTGCTGTTGTTAATAGTTCTCGAGACTACTCCACGTCTTTTCTATCCCTCATTATGGTTGCTTGAGCGCCTTCGCGAGACAAAATACAGAACAAATGGTATAATGTAGTTGACGGTCCATCCATCTTACTACAACATACTTAACTTTCATCTCTCGTTTCATTGTCTCTATTGTCCGTCGCTGAGTTTGCACATTGTTGTATAGTGTTTACTTACTGACTGACTGATAAAATAAAATTGCATGTCGTTCACTGAGTTCTTGTTCGCAAGAGGGGTCTATTCAATTTCAACAAGAGAATCGATGGATACGTTCATATAAATGATTTTTTTATGTGCTCAAAAGCTTAATTACTAGTATTATACCATAGCAATTGATTCACTACTACTACATACATGATTACCAGCCATAGAATAATGTTAGCCCAAAAAGTTGCTTATCGTCGCTTACATAAATCACCTCGTATAAGATTAGACCGAGTGACAATCACCATAACCGGAATTGAGGTTTTAAGAGCTGCTACTGGAAAAAGGTAGCTAGTGACCTATGTTACCGCCGTGCTTCTAGTGCTAAGAATTGAAAGAATAATTGTCGGATGGCTGCATTGGATAAGCTAGTGCATCAAAAATGCCTATATACGAGAGGTTTATTTTTGGTATGATTAAATGACGGTAGAATCTCGTACCTAATTAAACTCAATATTGATTAACTTATATACTGCGTACCAAGAACAAGATAAATTAGCGTGTTCAGCGCGAGTGCATAAGTTAAACACTTGTGAACGGACATACATGGTTTAAAATAATTGACCCATGTAGACACCTATGCACAAGAAGCAAGGTTGGTGGCGCATGATCGCAATTTGGCGTTTAATATATAACATTATGATAGATGAAGTTTCGTTTAGCTAACCGTAATAACATAGCTGGAATTAAAGATGATTATCCGTAGCACCATTTTTGCACTTGAACCTGTAGCAGGTACCAACTCTGGTGTCAGGCCTTTTCCTGACAGAATGCAACCACCCATTGAATCGATACGACAAGTAGCACAAAAAATGACGCAACAAGGACTACCATGTTGTCGGCCAAGTCCTAAAATTTTAGCGGCATAAGCAAAGCATCGTAAGGATCAACCAGCAGTGAAAAGATAGTAGCCATTTTTATCAAATGGAGAGCCACTTAGAGCTGTACGTCGCAGACGCATCCTCCTGGTATCTTGACTCCGCATGTTCCCTTGTATAAAGCGACCATCAAGTTATCCATGGTCTACAATAGTGAGATAGATAATTTATCTGAATTTATTGGCGCTATTTGTTGTTGCCTTGCGTATAACAGATTCATGCATGATTTTACTTTCATAAATTGATATATATATACCTGTGCTGACATGACAATGAACCAACATCAACGGCTTGGAGTGCGAGATATAATACCATTTGAATAAAATAATGACACTTTTCACCGAGGATTACATATCTTTGCTAAAGTTGCCAATTGAAGCTTGGCCTTTTTACAGTATTTACGGAATCCTTAATAATTAGTTTGTTTTCATCATGTCATTCCACCATTCCAAGTATGTTTTTTCGTATCTGAAACATTTTATTCCCGCGAACACTAGAAAGAACCTCACGAAGCAATTGTTGAGAGATGTATGATAAAGCAACGAAAAGAACAAGGGTCGGCACAATTCATCCAGCCTATGGTAGGATTTTGGATAGCCATCTTTTCCCTCACAAAAGTATCTCGATGAGAAAATACGGTCAGAAACAGAAAAATGAAAATACTTTCGAGAACTGTAGTAAGCGTCACCTGTTGAGATCTGGTCCTATGTATACTAACATCATACAAATTTTTCTAGTTGTACACTAATGTAGTAGTTAATTTCACAGATGAAATGTGGTTGTCTTTTATATAGTTTACAGTCATGAATAGTACGAGGATGATAACGCCACGCTTCCAAGCGTTTCGATTTTTTTCGCCTTTTGTCCCTCTTTCGTCATGTAATTACTGTATAAAGCAAACGTTATGTGTAAAATGAAGAGAAAAAATGTAAATTGTTTCGTATTTATATGATAATTGGTTGACGATCTTTCTATCTATAGAGTATAATAGCACATCTCTCAGATGTTGTCGAAACAAGAAGACAAATGTATGTGCTTCCAAATTTTGCTTCTGCTCCCTTTATCGACTTTATGTATTGTACTTGTTCTTCTATAGTACGATTTAGGTGCTCTTCAAATTAACGCTAGAAATTATGGAAGTGAGTGGTCGTACGTTATTCCTGGCACAACCAGAGTCATGCTTGCTAGCATATATGTTGTAAACGTTCAACGCTAAACGTATATTAAATAATATATATTGTAGCGATTTGAACATGTCACAAATATATGTGTACGTTCATTTGCGATATCATCTGCCAGCCACTATCATACGACCTATGAAATACCCTCCATATATCACATAACCGTCGCTGGAAGAATAGGGTGCCATTGAAAAAGAAAACCAAACAAACTACACGATTTGATATCGTCGTCGTTTTGTACACGTGCTTCACTTCTTAATGGCGTCTTCAATGGGATATCATAAAAGTTCTTATAAGCATTGCTGTTGTTAAAGAACTTTCCTGCACAATAGGACCTGGTATCATACAATGCCTTAAATAATGACAGGAGAGATGTACATTGACATTTAGCATGTTATCCATCCTTGTTGTAAGGTCTTCGCATAGCAGTATTGGGAAATCCTTTTCCTTTTCCCCCCTTTCCTCACTCAGTGTATTTGTTTACTGGACACAACACAGATAAAGACTTACACGAACACAGTAACTATCATCGAAAGACATATGATCTCTACGAACCTTCGATCGAAGAGTTTTGCGCGGCATCAAAACAAGATGTGTATGTACCAAATGGTGTTCATACCCACACCCTTTTGAAAGAGACATTAGTGCCATCGGTCGGTATCCAAATATTTGTTATCATACGACACTATCATCGCCAGAGTTCGGGGTTTACAATTGGAAAAAAAAAGAGAGAGACAGGATGCTGTTGTCGCGGTCAAATATTACCACAGCATATTCGCATATGTAGTCTACAAAATTGGCATCATTTTCCAAGCACTGGTACTGTTATCTCTAGAGCGGCAACTGGGTAGCTACGCAAATTTGAGCTAAAAGAAGATTCAAAGCAGCATAAAATTTGTAGTAGCAGAGGACGCTATCATCAACACCCCTCCCCCCACACACAAAAATCTCATCTTCTACTATAGCACCAAATCCACGAGATCGTGTAGCACCAACATGAAACATGCGAGCAAGAAAGTAGATCGATATTTCCATTATCGGATAAGTACAAAAACTTTATTGGAAAAGAAAAAAAGATAAGCAAATATTCCAAAAAAAAATATTAAACATACATACAAAAACAATCACACGAAAGAAAAAGGTCAGCTAAATACAACGGACAATGTGTTCTTACATACAAAAGTAAAAGTATTACAGATACAAATAAGAGAGGAAAGATATGAGGGAAAACGCTGACGAAGGAGGAAGAAAGTGGCCCTTTGTTTTTTAGTCAAAGACGTTGTTGCCGAGACCAAGCATCGTAAGATTATAGATGATCATAAAGACAATGGCAACGCCAAGCAATCCACTGGATACAATGGCCACATAGAAAGGATTAAGCCATGATCGTGGCTTGAACGCCAAAAAGTGTACAGGAGCATTATCATCTTGAACAGGTTGCTGATCATGGACCGTCATTGAAATATTTTTCTTGTCGGTGCAGTCGTCGTCGTCGTCATCGAGACAAGCGTCGCTCTTGTTGTTCAACCGGATAGCAGGTGACGTGGGTGCAACAGCACCATGATGGGTATTGTTGCGGAAGGAAAAGTTGCTCGAAATCCAGGATGTTCTTTCTGGCTTTTTATTCGTGGTGGTGGCACCGTTCCCATTAATATCGTTGTGACTGATGCCTTCTTCTTCGGTGTTGCTGCTAAGTTCATTTGCTGTTGTGGATGGTGTGATACCAAGACCTGATCCAGCGCTGGTTGTACTGGCTCGAGGTGAGCTTTCCGGAGGAGGGACCTTGAGTATATTCGGTGATCCGGGTGCGCTGTTACTAGTGGGTTGTTGTTCATGTACTTGTAGACGTGATGCAGGAGAAACACCTGTCTCATCAAACATAATCACTGGGGTTGCACCAGGTGATTTAGGCGATCTTGGAGAGAGCGGCGATCGGAACGTGCGAGGTGATTTTGGTGACCGTGGCGATTTAAGCGATGGTGATCCTCCCACTTCGAGTCTGCTGAGATGCGAAGTACGACCCAATCTTCGAATCGAGACTGATCTGTTTTCGTCTGGATAATGCATCTCCACCTCGTTCTGTTTTTCTTCTTCTTGATCTTCGTCATGCTCTACGTTTTCAGCTTCAGGCGGATGCTTTTCTGAGTTAGAAGTGTGGGGAGCAGACGTTTCTTTAGTTTCTTCAAGAACAGATGCTTGGTATTTTCTCGAAGCAAAGTATAGGATAAAAGGAAGTATAAAGTTGATGGTCTGTTGTTGTTGTATCGAAACGTAAATGTTTAGGTTAGAAATTTCGCCTCATCCCTGTTGTGCTACCGTACCACAATAGAGAAGAAAAAGAATCCTTCAACCCCCCCCTTTCCTCTTGTGTTTCATAAAACTGCTACTTACCGATTGGAAGAATAAGCTACTCCAGTTTTGAATCGTGCCGACATAATCCTTAGTTTGCAATGGGCTATGTATTGAGAAGCATTAGGCACACCGATAATACGTCAGCACTTTTCATACGTTAATGTGGAAAGAAAGGTTGCAAAAAGCTTACATGCAGACAAACCATGGAAGTATGTTGGACCAAAATACTGCCCATGGTCTACCACAGATATTACCACGCATCAAGTTTTGACGGATGACAATGGTGAATACTGGAATGGATGTGACTAGTGCACAGATAGGGAATATATAGGTGGTCACCAAAGATGCAGTTGAGCCTTGAGAACTCAATATGGCAAGAATGTCGGCGGTAGGTTCCATGCGATACGCCATTGCGCCAAAAACACCTGTACATGTGCATTTTTATAGTCAGTCTAATACTATGGGGTGATACACAAAGACAAGTGTCGCTCTAGTTATTTTACCCAGTAGAATATACATGATCGTCGAAATGACCACAGAGATCCAAAGAGACTTGTGAATTGATACATCAGGTCGAAGGTCGTTCACCATCGTAGGAATCTTTGATAGTTTGATAAGCGGTAAACACATTGTTAGAGTGAACCTTTTACATACAATAGGCAGTCATATAGGTGTAATAGTTCGACAGTTATACAATACTTTACCGTTGTAATATAAGCGTAATTGAAGATGACGATACCCAGTACCGTAGACGAATCAGGGCCAGATGCAGGCAAGAGCGAGGTATCAAGACCTACCTGGCAAAAAGCGACAATCCATTGGATGAGGACGCCACATAGCACGATGAATGAAATCATTTGCACGTAGATATTCTCGACCAGACTGAAGAAGCCCAAAGGCATCACCATTGCCGCAGTGACAAGATAACCAAAGGTAAAAATGTAGTAATCATCCGCAGAAAAGGGAGAGTTTCCGAGAACAGAACGTTCAGAGATGCAGAACCACCGTCCTGGAGATACTCCGAGCCCGCAAGTTCCATCGAAAAGAGTGAGAAACATACTGTCGAGAGTCTAATATAGAATGGCTGCGCGTAAACTTTTATGCAAACAATGGATCAAGTAGAGCTGATATTTATTACTATGTAATTATTTCCACATTTACCTGAGCTGACAGAATGATGCTTGCTACGTTGACAGCTTGTAAAGCAAGATAAAGGACGATCTGGAAGAAGTAATGGTACTTTTTACCGAGAATAAGTTGGGCAACCGTTGTGAACTCGACATTGGCCTATAGTTGCGCAGTAAGAAAGAAAAACACGAGAGGTGGTGACCGTGAGGATCATGATGGAAACTTGCTTTTAGCTCTGATTCTGGAGGAATCTTTCTTTGGAGAAGGATTGACGCGCAACATAGCGTCGGTGTTAATGAGTTACCTGAAACTTTTCATTGCCTTTGATACTGGATAAAACTTCACAGATGAACAGTGCAGAGAAACCCGACAGAACTGCAACAGCGACAAAGACGAACATGGGGGCCAGCCAACCAGACTAATTCATTTTAAATTAGTCTTATCCATTTCAAAATTCAAAGGAGGGCGGGATCACCAGAGGATATAAGCGGCTAATCGGTGTCGTGCAAAAAGAGAAAGAGAGAGAGAGGTTGCATCCTCACGGGTATGGAAGGCTTACCTGTTGGAACATTGGCGGAATAGTAGAGAGACCTGGACCCTAATGAGATATTGGTGATGAGTTAAAAAGACGTACTACTACGCACAAAGATGACCCAGAATGCCGAATTACAAAGCAGCGCAGGCAATGCATCCTAACCGCTGAGAGCGTATATAGTTTGCTATTGCCGGAACATTAGGAGGGGGAAGAACTAAACAGGTAATAATGGTATCAACGAAACTTACCGTCATGGATGACACTAGCAAGGCGATGGCTCCAAATGTATTAATTCCTTTGCTTGGCATGGTTTTTATCTTTCGGTCTGAATAGAGAGGAGTGACCCAAGCAATGTGCGCAGCTAAGAAAGAGAGAAAAAGGTGGTGAAGTTGTGGGCAGTCTTTATTTCTTGTGCTGCCTTTTTATACGTCATGCAAGAGTAGCCGATCATCCTAATATCGCAGTTTCGAAAATGGTAAATAGAACCTTTTATGGTAACAGAAATTAGAAAAGATTGGCGGTGCGTGCGGTATTCCCATCAAATTTAAGCCTAGCGGTAAAAAGGGAACGTGCATTCCGATCATCCGCCGTCGCTTATTATTCTTTCTTTATTTCTTTATCTTGATATATAGTGGCGTACGTGCTCAAGCAAGATTAGGACCAAGAGCCACCATGATAAAAACGGGGCGACAGCTGTATTACATAAAGTATGGATCAACAAAAGAAAATTAGGGTATGGCAGCTTTTTTCGGCGCAAGCGAGTAGTGTGCTTATTTGTTTATTGTGTACGCAAAGTTATCTCTCGCTCTCGTTGATGGTTACATACTGGTAGGTTCGATAAGAATTGTATTTGTTCATGATTCTTGCTCTTTAATGTGATCAGAACAAATAAAGTAACTCTTCTCGGCGTTGATGAGCACCTTGTTTACGGTTCAGAACGACAACTGAAGTGTATGCAATGAAGCGAGCATGTGTGCGACTCGCGCTGAGGACGATATTGCTTTTCCTTTCGGCGCGAAAACATAGCTTGTGGTAATATTTGTGTTCTGGATCATGCTATAACCCATGGGCAACCGAGGTTCCTCCGTCTTTTTCTTGCAAAAAGTGAAGATTGCAAATTACGGGGTTAACCATTCTGCTTGAAATAAGTATTAGATCAGTCATCCTTCTATCTACACTACCTCGTTGTTTATCTGCCAAAGACGATGTACGATACGTTCCGTGGATATATTATCTACTACATAGGTCTTAGGGTGACCTCATTCAGCTACCACTTCTAATTCTTAATTTGAACAATATGCGTTTTTTTATATCCTTATCTTGCAGTAACTACCATGTCATTCCTCGATTAAGACGCAAAGCATGTTTCTGTTAAATGATATTGCACAATTGAAGCTATTTCTACCGCGATAATCCATTTGGAACTTGTAAAATTGCAGATATACGAGGATTTGTAAAACCCGGGATTGCAAAAGCCAGTATCAATAGCTGAAGTATCGAGATATGATACTCAAAAAATGAAAACATAACTCGAAAAGAGTTACTTTAGCAGTAGAGTTGATAGGAGCAAGCTGGTATGCGTTACGGTTGCACAAGATGCCAAATCGTTCGGATCATCGTTATTATGGTGAAGGCCTGTGACTTGATTAAACCAAGTGCATAAACGCAAAAAACCATTGTTTGTTTATTGCTTTTTTTTTAAAATGAATTGTGGTGTACCCTGTGAGCTTATTAGGGAGAAAACACCCGTCCTTCCCCTGTAGGCGGCGGCAAAACCAATCCGAAAAACGAACGCACACCAACCGGCAAGACGCCTATAACTTATCTTATATGACTAGCAGCAACACACAGCGCATTAGACTCTTAATCTTTATTGGAATCACCGTGAATCAAAGGAACTAGTCTAGAATAGTGATTGTCTATATAGCTCGTTCTGATTGATCAGATAGGTGTTGCTGATGACGATGAAACTAAAAGATCGTTCTGAAAAAACCATCACAACCACAGAAAACTAGAATTGAGCTGCTCGGGACCCCTGGGGCCATGCTTATTTTGATGCGATAGTGACTGCAGTGCATCTATGATACCTGCGGAATAAGAACACGACCATAGCACATTTTGAAGAACAAGGTCACTGGATTGTTTGTTGTTGCTGTTGTTGTTCCCGATCCTTTATTAAAATTCAGACCTATTTGCTTTACTGTATTTGGAACTTTACCTTTTCAGGTAACAATAAAAACTGTGTGCTTTGAACACCACATACACGTGTACGTCGTCGCCTGCAATCGCACAAGCGAATTATATAAACAATGGACGAAAAGATGACCACAAAGATATATCGAGTCACTCAAAAATGATGCGCGTTGCGTCGGGAAAGAAATAGCTTTTGTGTATATCACACGTGGACCGCCCATCAACAAAATATGAATGAATGCGCGGACAACAGTGTGGAGTACACTGGCGTTCACTTTATGATGGACAGAAGTGCTGTGGGATCACAATTGCGCGCCTTTGCTTATCCTATATCGTCATATACATTTCTGAAAGAAAAACCCGCTTGACGACAAGCACTTGATTGCTAGCATGGACCTGGCCATTGGTCACATTGTGTATACAACATAAGTCATAATACTGGTGCTTCCTTACGTCACATTGTATAAACTTGCTTATATTTGATATATGTTCTTGAAAACACATGTTGCGTAGTACTGTAGCGATGGCGTAATTATCAGGTCTCTCTCTTTTTTTCTTTATTTATTTCCCGGAACAATGACGCCAGAAACTACCAAGACAACAGCAGCTAGACATAATATACTCTAAATGCAACAGTTGAGGATAATAGGAAAAGCACTTCAGTACATACAAACATCCTCCTCCGATGGTTTAGAGTATACTTTGTGCACCAATATAAAAAAAACAAACCTTTCTCCTCGAAAGTCAGGCGGTAATAAGGAAGAAGACAGCTAGCACGCTCTTAGAGCTACAGATTTTGCGTACTAAAAGGAGATGATTTCAAATATAGTATCCAGGAACGAAGCACAAAGAAGGCGTCATTGTGTTTTGGGTGCTGGTGCAGTGTACCTTAGAACTTACACGCAGGTGGAGTAGAGTCCCCTTAAAAAATATAGTACAATGTAAATTATAGAATGACAAGGAAAAATATATTTATGTAAAAGGAACATATGATTTTCATACAACAACAAATTATACTTAACAACAAAAAACAGAAAAGTAATGTAATGGGAAATATGTATAACTATACGTGTGTATAGTATGTGACGAGCGACTGATAGGCTGGAAGGGAGCTTCTGGAGGCGGAAACGCGATTGTTACTGTTGCTACTACTACTACTTTTGCAGATAATGGCGTCGTGTGCCGTTGGGTAGCACTACAATGGGAGTTTGGTGATAACTGTTATTACAACGGAAGGTGGATTTGTTGTTTGTTGAAACAACCACAGGCGATTGGTGGACGATATGAGGCGGCTGAGAAGATGTTACAGCGTAGATTGGTGGTGATGTACGTTGTTGTGGTTGAAAACAACTGCCACTATCACTACTGTAATGACGAGGCAAAGGGGGCAATGAAAGCGTTGGTATAGGCTCCTTTGGATGATGTCTGCTCTTTGTGGCCATTGTTGCTGCTCGAGTTGGTGTACTAATGCTTGTTCCCATAAGTCTCTTCTTACTGCTACAGTGCTGCTGCAATTGTTGTATTGGTGATCGCTGCTGATGATGTGATGGTCTACTTTGGCCGTAAATCTCGGTTTCTGTAGCACGACAGTGAGCAGGCGTCAATGTAATACGAATGGTCATTTGACGATGGTTGCATAAGCAAGGATGACTGATTATAATTTCGTTGTCTTCTTCGTCCTCGTCGTCGCAGCTTTCCTCTGTTACATCGTCAGTAATTGATGTCATGGTCGAGTAATCGTCATTGCTGTTGTTGTTTCGGTGGTAAGCGTGCTGCAGGTATTGACTATCGTCAAAGACATCATCTGCTGCAGTGGAAGCAGGGTTGTTGCTGCTGTTTTTCCGGCTATGCAGTGGACACATGGCAGAGAATCCACTGAGAAGCATTTCATCGAATCGATTAGGTTTCATAGCTTCATGCAAATATTTGCGCACATGCATGGACCCGTAATAATGTGCAGTGACAGCTGGATGAGAAATTTGTAGCGGAGGTGTTGTTGGAGGCATCAGCATGCGGCGCATAAGCGAATGAGGTTTCTTGGGTAACAACGTTGATGAACTGGATTTGGATGTCATGGATGGTTCTCGCGTTGATGGCGGTGACCAAATACCGTTACCACTGTTATCATGATGCGACATTGCATTTGTTGTTGTTATAATATTGGGTGTACTGATTTGCTTGATCCATCGAGGAAAGCGTGGACGACCACTCGACGTATTGCTGTTGTTGTTGTTGTTTCCTGTCATTGTAGGTGAAAGTGGTGGTGATAAGGGCGGCGATGCCGGTAGCAATTTTTCTTCCGATGTGATGCTCTTTGTCGTAGTAGTAGTAGTAGTAGTAGTAGGTGACAGGGCTGTATCCAGAGATCTTGGCGGCGACATCGAAAATGCGGTATATCTGTCATAGTCATCATCCTTGGCTTCCTCTGTCAAGATCGTGCTGCTGTCATCTTCATCATCTTCTTCGTCGACAGTAGAAGAGATTCTGGAATAATAATACAGCAAAAATTCTTCTTCTGTGTCTTCCGTTTGTCGAGGCGTGGTATTGATTATAACACCGCTACCAGCAGCATTGGTGGTGCTAGTCTTACGCTGATTATGTGCTGTTGCAAATGATGAAAAACCTCTTGCTTCGTATATGCTATTATTGTTGTGTTCAACTTGCTGTGGTGCTGTGCTGGAGCTATATTTAGCTGTTGTTGGAATGGGCGAGAGAAAGACGCGGTTTGGCGACAACGACGAAGGAAGTGTCACAGGTGACGACGATGCAGCTGCCGCCGATGCTGATCGTGATTGTCTGTTTGCTGCTGCTGTCGTGGCCATGATAGTAATGTATAGTGTATGTATGTATTGGGCTTTTGAAGGCTATCGTCAGTGCTGTTATGTTGTGAGATTAGCGTGAAAAAAAAAGTTTCTGAAAGGAGGGGAGAAAGTAGGAGGATGAGGGTGAGAGAGAGGAGGAGAGAAAAAAAATGTATGTACTTTTTTATGTCTTGTGCTCGGGTCAAGCAAAGGAATGGAAAGAGAAGAAAGCAAAAGAGAATGTCTAGCAATTTTAAGGTGTGCTTTCAGGGGTGAATAGTAGTACATAGAAGAAAAATAGAGGGCAAAGGATGAACAACGACAAAGAAGAAGGTCTTCAATAACTCGAGGGGTAACAAAGGAAAGGGAAAACGAGGGGTGATTGTGGGAGGAGGAAAATGACGGAAAATATAGCATGTGTAGGACTTTTTCTAGTAATTATAGTAGTAGTAGCGATGAAGGTGGTGGTTGTGGTTGTGGTTTCAGCGGCAGCGGCAACAATTCCAAGAGTATCATCAGTGTATCTAGGAAAAAAGGGGAGTTGGTACGGTCACAAAGGAAAATAACAAAAAACAAAGGGGCTTGTTCCTGCTTGGGCGCGGGGATGTGCGCTGTTAACTCTATATGGTACGTAGCTCATTAACAAGCACGTACATTCAATCACTCTCTTAACGCACATGCCTTTTGAGATACAAGAATAGAAATGATATCCCCTTGATCTTCGCCACGCAGCAGATGTACACACATTCCCTCTCTCTGTATGTGTTCTCTAAATACATGGGAATCGATTAGCGGGACAACAATAAAGACAGGTTCTCTCATGCGGGTCTCATTGTCATTGTATACTTATTGCATCATTGTTGCGCTTGATCTAGTCTTCTTTAGTATACAGAGAAATACTAAAAGTAACTACATTTTCATTGTTATAATACACACCCGATATTACTGCCGCGTACGACAATGATAGCAAAGCTTCATATGAAATCGCGATATTTCGAGACGAAAACGAACGCAAACGAGGGGCAAACCATGGCTTGTAGGCACGATGAATCAGTAGGTTGCACAATTATTATGATGGCAGGAATAAAAGAAAAGGGGTGTGTGATTCTACTGAGAGTTTTCAACCAGCCGCCCAGTATTCCAGATGGACACAGCAAAATACTTGCGGTGGTATCCGGTGCTGGAGAGGCACATACGTCCCAGTGTTCTTCTTGCAGATCTGTACACACTCTTATCATGTGGTTGCCCTGGCCCAATGAAAGCTTATAGTTTAAAGAGTACATTATACAGCAGCACCAGATTGCCCCCCAGGTTCACAAAGAGACGTATTTTGTGGAGCTCATATAGCATCCTTCCTAAGCACCACACTCCTGCTTGTCCTCTCTTCTATCCATCATTGCAATCATTGCATGCATAAATGTTACTGCTGCTGATAATGGTAGGGGGATAATATAGTATGCATAATCACTATTGCACATTGTGATATCGAAAAGCTTTCTATGCAGTATCGAAAAGAACGAAGAAGGTAAAAGGAGATTCACCAAGAAGCGTTCTCTTTGTTCTTCCGCGACCATCATTCACTCTACATGACAGATGTCATTTTATGTAGCCCAACCATCGTTGTTTTGCTATCGATTCCATCAAGGGTTTGTCAAGAAGAGCCCATGCTGCAAAGATCGGCGATCCGGTTTGGGAAATGACATTAATTATCGAATCAATAATGCACCAGGGATCGCAGATATCATCATCACGATCTAAAATAGCCTCTCTCTATAGATTTATTGCCGTGTGCTACTCAGTATTGTACCTAGAATTATTACACAGCACCTTGCGTACTGTCAGTTACAAATCCATGACAGTAGCCTTCATTATATAGAAAACGATCCATGTATTTTTCGTGCATAACTATATAAGCATATATATGTACAGCAGACGCTATATATATTTTGCAGACCATATACAATAGTATCATATGTGGGTACAAGCCTAATCTTTTCCACACATTAGCACACATAAAACAATATCTTTGTTTCCCCGGGTTCAAGCAAACTGCTTGCTACGGGCTTCGCATTAATTCATCTACATCGATGGTAAAAAAAAATCAGTACTTCAACTGCATAAAAAAAGGCAAGGGGCGAGAAAAGTGATAAATGTATAAGGACGCACATATCATGTGAAGAAGGCAAATTAAACTTACATGTATTAGGATCTGTTCTTATGCATGTACAGCAAAAAAAATTATGTAGCTTAACAAATGCTGCTGATGCATACTGCAAAGCCCTTTGTAGGGAAAAAGAGAAACAAGTGCCAGACAAACCAACAAAAGCGGCTCACTTTTTGATGTTTTTAGACCTGAGGTGCTACCAGGGCCTACCGCTTGCATCAGCACAAGTATCGAGCCCACTTCGTATCCTTTTGCAGGCAGCAACATTGTAGTATCGTATCACAAATTTATGCTATAGAAATACTAGGCTTTGCGTATGTTTCAATAAAACTGCCGCGCAAGCGATGGCAGAAGTCTACAAATACAAGCCTGTGTCTGTTACACTACAGATCTACTACTTAAATCGAATATGTACTACCAACCATACAAATCAGATAACGAACCACAGACACGCTCACGTAAGCTAACGGAACATCTTTATTTGACAATCACATTTAAAATAGCTGGAACGTACTTTTATTTACAACTTACTGTCTCTACAACTTACTGTCTCTACAACTTACTGTCTCTATATAAGCTACTGATGATATTACAATTTTTTTAGCCTGGTAGGGCTGCTGTTCTTACTGATCGGGTTCAATTAAAGCTACCGGAGACATTAACGAAAGCATATGCGTTATCTTGCTTGTGGATAACCGACAACGCGCTCTACAGATTGATACTTGCCAGATTGTCACCAGTGTGAATGATTAGCTTGGTTGAGACTACAGTAATGTTAGCCCCAACCCAAAGGCAAGTAGAACAGAAGACGGTAAAGCTATTAAAGTCCATAGCGTCGTTAGAAATGTACACAAAGACAAAAGCACTATATCGGGAATGTTGGCACACACTTCAAAAACAACCTGAAAAGTATCATTACCGTAAGTCTCTGGGGTGTTGGCCAGTAGTTAATTTCGACTGCACTCTCTTCATGCTTAAATAGCAACTGGAAGTCTGGATCACCACTTGATGTAGTCAAGAATGCCATCAAGATTTACTCCGGTTTAGTTTGTAGTGAAGCACCTGTCATGATATCTGCTCAGACAACACAGTACCAGTAGCTAGGCCTTCAGGCGTATCTATCATTGCAAGGAGTCATTGGTAAGTTTGGCTTGGTCAAAACCACCAATGATCCGTTTATGCTGCTGGTTGGCTGTTATTGGCATTATTGAGACAGCGGTAAAGTTGATAGATGGTGGGCTAAACGCATGTTTTTTTTGGCATTCATCGTAGATGTCATACATCATGTACGTCTGTTCACACTGTTGGATTTGGTGCCTGCCTGCAAGAAATACAATCGAAGTGGAGGAGCGAGTGATAGCATCAATCGTAATGCCAAGATGATACTGTTGATGCTCGCTGATGCTATTGAGTTGGAGATTGAGCAGCTTTTTATGTTGTTTTGAATGCCGTTTCTGTTGTTGTTGTTGTTGTTGTTCATGATTCTGCTTGTACGTGTCACAAATGCAGTAGCAAGAACAGGTGTCAATACTTGGGAGTCCTGGCTTTGTTGCCTGTGATTAGCCACGTAATAGAGTGTTTGTATACTTTGTTGTGGCTCATATAACTTACAGACAGAAAAGACATAATCGTTGCGATAGCAAATTAGTTTGAAATAGATCAGTTGGGCTATATACGATCATCAATCAATCGGTTAATTATCGTGTCAACTGGGAAAAATATCAATGATTTAGCGATACAACAGGACACTTACGTTAGTTGATCCTAAAGAACTAAATCTCAAAGATATGTCAAACTCCTTGGCTTATTACCGATAGTAACCTTTGCACATTGGATCTGCGGGCTTGTGTGTTACGGTATTAGTCGGTGTAGTGTTGAATCACGGCTGAAATAACAGTTCGAGCGATATGTCTCGAGGAATGGCAGCTCCAAAGTGTCGAAACGAGGCTATTGTTCTTGAAGTATGGTCGTTGATAAGGTCGTACTTTCCAATCGTCAATGGCTGTACCACAAACCGACCATCTCCACAGATTATTATTGTTGTTGTGTTGGGAATCAATGAGCCAATCCTCAATGATTATAGAAGAGAAGGTAGAGTCGGTTGGCCAATATAAGCTGGTTTCTGCTGCTATTCTTGTTATTACCGTTGCGATTGTTGTTGTTGCATGAGTGTAAGTGGAGTTTTTAAATGTTTGTGCACCGTTCTTCAATGCAAGCTCGTAGGTCATAGGAATGCCGGTGAATCGATGTCTTGGCGCTCATTGCGGATATGAGTCATATATATGTGGGCGTAACATGATGATGGCTGTGCGCGAGGACCGCCTTTTGGATGTATGACAATCGGTTTCTCTTCAAATGAGCATTGTCTGGCATAAATCGATTCATCCTTGACTTCGAAGACGGTTGGTAAAATAGATTGTAGCGTTTCATCCGATATGAGCTGTCGAGATAGGGCGTTTTTGCTGCTGATGCTGCTGCTGTTGTTGCTTTGTTGTTTTGTTGCTGTAGATGAAGTCCTGTGATTATTGATTTAATAAAATAAACTAACCCCCGACCTGATAAGCCGGGGGGTAGGGGAAGAGTATTTGCTAAAATTGTAATACTGTAATAATTAAATCTGTAGAAGTGACTGAAACAATAGAATCTAATGGAGTAATTACTCCATCCATAAATTCTATTGTTCTTAGAGGAACTGATAAATCATTATTACCAAATTCGTTATTAGATAGATTATTAGATAAATGATCAATATAGTTTAATACATAGTCATCTCTTAATCTAAAATCTACTCCTCTAGACGATTCTCTAATAATCCAATTGTTTTCTAGGTAATTAAAGTATTCATTCATTAGCCTATGAATGTAGTATCTAAGAGAAGACTCATTATTGATATGGTTCATATATAATCTGATATTACCAATAATTCCTAATTCAGGTTCAATCCTTAAATTCTGGAAATTAACAATATGATTTTGTAAACAGTAATTAATATCTACATGTGTAAAACTAGTAGCATCTCTTGTAAGAGGATCCATAGTTAAAATATTGATATTTTGAAATAACCTAATTGAATCATCAATTGGTTCTTCTTGAATTAAATTCTCTAATGTTTGAGAAGATAATCTATTAAATTCTTCTCATGGATTAAATGAATCAGAAGAAATGATTCCTCCAATATTTGAATTAGAAATAATCATTTCATCAATATTAGTGTTACTAATATTATCATTATTTAGATCAATATTATTAACTCTGAGATAAGTTAGAAAATTATACTTTAATCTTAAATTTCTAATAGTTCTATAGATTCTTACACCGAATGATTCTGAAATTGGAAGAGATGAATTATCTTCAATCCTCATTGATGAATATCTAATTCGATCAAAATCACTATCTCTATCTCTATTCATAAAATAAGTTAATAAATTAAGAATACTAATATTTTTAATATTAATATCAGGTCTAACCCTAGCCATATAATATTGAGCGAATCTAAGGAAACTTGCTCTTGAATTAGTATTCAATTCTGGTTCAATATTAATAATTGAATCCTCAGATTCAGAATCAGATTCTAAATCATCATCTGAATCTTAAAATGAATCATACCATTCTACTAATGAATTAAATCCATCAATACCTGAATTAATTAACTCATTCTTTAATAATGAAGTACTTACTGTATTATTAATAATACTAGTAGTATTGTTATTCCATTCAATACTAGAGCTAAATGGAGCAGTGATAGAAGAATAAACACTAGTTGTAGTAGAATTAATCCATTCAATACTTGAATTAGATCCTTCTACCCGTGAATCAATCCATCTATTAAGATAATCATAAGGAGTTCTAGCATATGCATAAATATAAATTGCAGACAAGTTGTATAAGTCTTATACAAAATGAAACCAGTAATCATTAAAGATCCTGAAACATAAATAACATTCAAGTAATGATTCCATTCTTCAATTTCTGAAAGAATCTGTGGGATTGAACTCCAATCAATATTACTAACTTTATTCTTACATAGTTGATTCAAAAATACCATTACTACTTAGTGTATTATCTAGTAATTTAATCTCAGGATATTCAGACTTAGGAAATTGAATACTTGGTAATTGAATTGAAGGTAATTCAATAGAAAATGGATTAAAATCATCAATAAATGAATTAAATACAGCTGATTGAGAAATATCTCTTAAAAAAAGAAATTGCTAAAGTTATCCTCGAATACAGAGAAAATAGGATTAACAATAGTTTCAGAATTTGAAGTTGGTTGATACTTTTTCAAATTCTCGAACAATAAAGATAAATAAATAAATAACATAATCAATTTGTATAAGGCCTAAAAGATGCCATAGATTTATTTTAAATTATTAGAATAGTATAAGCTATACTATTTTTTTTATTTTAGATTAGTAATAGCAGGGCTTCTACCCATTCTAATCTCTTCGTGTGTAAGATCTTTGTATAACTTCAGGACTTAAATAAATTATGAGTAAAATCACTAAATTTATATACATTAATATTTTGATCTTTACAATATTGCAAGTAAATTCCAAACAGAGTCTTATCTGAAGTGGTATCTTTCTTTCCTAATCGAGTAGAGGAATTATTAGATCTTTCTACATTATTATCATACCAAGTTCTAAATCCTGATTCTAATGATGCTTCCTTAATATTAGTTAAAGAAACATCATTCTCTTGAATTACAGGTTCAGTTCCAAGAGAATCTTGAATTACAGATTCAGTTTCAGTGGAAGCCGCACAAGGACCGATGTTGGTGACTTAGGCTCCTTTGCGACCCACTGGCTTCTTGAATTCATGGTCATCAACCGCGGGCTGTTAATTTTGTTGTTGTTGTTGTTGTTGCTATTGAGCAACGGGAAAAGCAGTGGTAACACTAGTGGTAGTGGCTTCTGGGCGACGGATGCGGCGAACTGGTTTCTTGAACGCACGATCCTCAAGTTTGAGCTGATGAAGCTCTTCTTCTTTCTGATGTACCAAGAGCTTTAACTATTGAAGCTTTTGCTCTTGTTGCTCGTTCTCATTTGTAGTTTTATTTTCCAAGACCAGCTTTATTGCTTGCCAACTTGCAGTGAAAGAGCTCGCTAGAATCATGACATCCGCAGTCAAAATGCAATGACGAATGAGTAAGCGGGACCGGTCGAGGTTATAATGATTATGCTCTGGTTTACTGGTACTAATTGGATGAATAGCCATAATAAGTTGGTGTAACTAAAATAACTTTTATAAAATTAAATTATGTATGTATGTCTTGGCATGCATATGTACATTTAAAAATTTTGAAAATATAAAAACTGAATTTTTTTTCTTATATAAAAATAACACCTCATAATATTAAACATGAACAACACAATCACATTCAACAATGACAAAATTGTCCTTGATACAAATAAATTAAGTATATTTTTAAATAATAATAATATAAACATCCAAGAATTTGCTGAAAAAACGATTTATGAAAAATATGATATAAATTATAATATTAAAAAGAATAAATTATTAATAAAACGTAAAGCATCAAAAAAACAAAAAGAGTCATCTAAAAATAATTTAAGTAAAGCGAATAATGAAAGAGATATTATTTCTGTTAAAAAAAGTAAAGAGAACAAAAAGAGCCATCTAAAAATAATTTAAGTTGAAGCGAATAATGAAAGAGATATTATTTCTGTTAAAAAAAGTAAAGAGAAAACATTAAAGGAGAATGTAAAACTAAAGGAAAAATTACATAAATATGAGAAAAACTATGAAGATCCCGATACATTACCTCCAAAAGAAATAGTTGCTGAAAATTTTAAATTCTCAGCAAATTGAAATTCCTCCTATTTCAAATACCCAAATAAAAGAAACATATGCTGAAAAATCAAATTCTCAGCAATCCTCAATTCCTCATATTTCTGATGCAATGTTAGAAAACACCTCTGGTGCAGATGCCTCACAGGGTGATTCCGATAACGATGAATGTGAATCAGGTGAGGGTGAATATATGTGTATGATTGCATGTAAGCCCTGTATGGATAAATTAAGTGATACTTATAATTGTAATTTTATTGAAGAACTTATTTTAAAACTTAAAAAGGAAAAATATAAGTATAAAAGGTTCTTTAATTCATACTTTAGATATTATATTGATTTAATAAAAGCAAAAGAAATAAATAGGGATGATATTATGCAAATGTGTCAAGAGCAAATGCAGAAGTTAATCATTGAATATAGTCAGATATATACAGATGAAAATGGAAGTGAAGATGAAGATAGTAATGATTCTGATTAAAATTATATCGGCCATTAATGGCTATACCGGTTAGGACAGGCTTATTAACTATAACAAAATCAATAAACAACTAACAGCTAGACAACTAATAGCAGGACGCCAAGGGCATGTGGAAAGAATTTATGCGAAACATTTGCAAAGAAATAACATGAATGCGCTCCACTGACTCCACTACTCTTTACTTACCAGAGGCAAAGGGGTTTGTGCTTGAAGCAGGTTGAGCGTTGTTCATGGTTGTCTTCTAGCTTGAGTAATGAAGTCAAAGGTCGCCAAAGTATGCAGTAGAAAGAAATCAAGAAGAACGAAGGCAAACGCGAAATCAAAAGCAAAAAATTTTATTACCCATTCGATCATGTGCTTTTTCTTACGCCCATATTTTGTTAATGTTTAAATAACCTGTCACGACTATGAGAGAACAATAGTGTTCTCAACTTGCCCTAACTCTTTTACAACTTGGATTCGAGGAGGCATTTTCGAGCGGCGACGATAATATGTTGTTAGCCAACGAAACTGCTATTCATGCAGAGTGATCATAAAAGGTCGCCCTGCCATATGCTTAGCAACATGTAGAGCCAAAATGTCTAATTATAGATGTCATCAATGTCATTTCACTAGAAAAATACCTCTAAAAAATGTCCATAGAAGAGAGAGGACAACATATACAGACAATTTCAAATGAATTCTTCGGAAGTTACATCTGCCTTTGGTCCAAAAGTCATCGATCCTTCTTTTCTTTATAGAAGACATTCGTATTTTGCAATCTCTCAGTTATCGCGCCTCTATAGCCTGCTCATTTTTATGACACAAATCTTGGTTGGGACAATTGAGTGGCCTGCACGACCTTTCCTACAGATTTTTACAGGACAAAACAATATTTTTTATCGCATATCATTTAGCCGTGTCTGAATTCATTGACAAATGTTACTGTACATAAATATTTTGTACGTAGACATAAGGCTGCTTCCTTGATATCTTTATTGTCGACGCATTTAATTTTCTGTATGAATTTGATTTTACATACCATTTTCACTGCATACTCCCACCATGCGCTGAGAAGAACTTTGGCCACTGACACTGCAATGGCTCTGCATGTTGACGCGCAGCGACCTACTTTTTACTAATAGTAGCACCATGGATTATTATACCTCAAGTTTGCTGCCGACAATACCAGCCCGTATTGTAGCATTATACACTGATTGATGATGTGTTGTTCAACCTTGTTTCCCGCCATCGATTACGTGTCCTTCGATCGTCGTCGTCCTCGATGGATGCTGTTTATCTTCCCTTTACCAGTTCTCTATCACACCTGCGTTTGCTATACGTCCTCCATTATTAACTCCTTTCGACGAAAGTAGAAGTTTTGACAAGAAGGAACCAAATGTCAGCATGTTATTTGGCGATACATTATAGTCTTCCGCTATAGACGTAGTTGTGTCATCTGGTATAAAAATATTTTCGTTTTATATAGCGTGGGTCTTTAAAGATCTTGAAGACGCCATTGCATTACTGGAAAACGGTCGTAAGTAGCAAACATGGTCTCGTTGCTACTTAAGGATAATTGGGCTAAAAGTGTCCACACAATGTCCTACACATTGTTTCAAGAGTAGGTGAGCAGAGGGTCTTTTTCCAACGAGGGGAAACTCTTTTTCAACAAAGATAGAGGAGTGTGATGTGGAGGAAATGTTGAGAGTACGGTAGTGCACAAGCAGCAGGAGAGAAAGAAGCAACAGAAGCAAGTGAAGGGGAACAGGAGGATATCGATTCTGGAGGGCAGGGAATAAAAGGAATGGAAAAGGGAAAGTGAAGAGCTGAAGCCGAGAAGAAGTGTGAGTAATGCGCAAAGCAGAGGAGCAGCGGCTGTGAATATTGTCAGTAAAATGAGTAAGTAACCAATGTAGAGGAGCTGTCGCGGCGTGCGCTGGACACCTACATTATTGGGATTAGATTCCAGCGGTCGACTGAACGCTGCAGAATGAGTACTAAGCAGCATTCCAGGGCAGTTGTAAGCATGATGCAAGTCTATTCCCTGCAAGTGCTCGCTGGTAGTGCTTGACTTCAGTTATTAGTCGACGAAATAGACCCAGCTTATGCTGCTGCATATTTTATAGGAAGGACCCTGGAGTTTATTACATAAGCTTCTTGCGATGTATGTAGAAGAACAAGAAATATGGGGAAAGAAAGCCACCAAGTGATCTTTTCGTATAGCGATTCCACATTGCACAACAGAAGTTTTATTATTCCTTCTTCTGTAAAGCATAGTCCCTCAATCCTTCCAGCCAATCTTGATGACCATTGATCATGGGATTCGGCTTTTGTTTTGCCAACTTGACAGCAGCTGAACCGAGCTGTGACTCCTGCGTCAGAATACGAACACGATCTTGAGGCAAGTTCTCAAAGAGCCAAGCATGCATGACATCCAGCTCTGGCAATTGTTTGGCGGTCCAAGAGATACGGCCCACATCACTGCTTCCACCTCTGTTTTCGGTAGGCGGTTGAAAATCGATCACGCGTGCGTCTATAGACGGGAATCCAAACGTGCCAAACTTGAAATTCATGTTTGCTCGTAGGTGCGGACCGTTGTCACCATCAGGGAAAGTGATATTGCCCACATTGTCATAATACTCAGCCCATTTCGAAGTATCCGTGATCAGTGGCCAGACGTCTTGGTCTGTCAATCCCTGTACGACAATTTCATTGGATGCAAAATTGTCGGTTAGTCCAGGCAAGTATTTTTCGGGCCAGCGGACCGATGCGAGCTCGGCCATGGTTGTTTGCATATGGCAAGAAGAGATGTAGACGAACAAAGATAAGAATAAATGGAACAGCATCGCGCGCGAGAGAAAGAAGAAGATGATTCTGTGTAATGTTTGAATCGTCTGTGAATCAAGGAAAATTGGCATTTATCGTACTGATAGAATCAATAAAGCGAATGTGCATCAATCTCGGTGAATTTTCGTTGCTTCCAATTTTTGTTTGTGTACTATGTTAAAACACAAACAATGCAGGACAGTCATGTATCAATGAGACCAAGAGTTTCTGTCAAAGAAGCAATGACAGCCTCTCTATTGGATCAAATTGCTCCTCATAAACAACACTGTACAATAATAAGCTGCCATTACCAATTTACAGTAAGAAGGTATAAGAAGCGACATTTATTCATCTCTGAGTGTCCATGGATTATCGGCGAGGCCAGATGTCAATACTTCTAATTGACCCTCTTCGTTCACGACCACAATATCCTCCAACCGGATACCGAATTCACGGGGCACGTAGATACCCGGTTCCACGCTAAACGTCATTCCCACTTCCAGAGCCTGATCCGTGTTGCCTTGGTTCATCTACATTTACACATTTTTGTTCTCACGTACATCAGTATTTGCTTTCAGCAGATCAATTTCCCAAAACAGCTTAGAGCTAAAGCAGAACTTACATAGGGTTCCTCATGCATTTCCTATATTCGCATATCAATTGTTCGCCAAGTTAGTACAAAACAGCCGTACTTTTCTTTATGTGCTAAGATATCTTTTTTTTAAACATACCATTCCCAAGCCGTGTCCAAGACGATGAGTGAAATAACGACCGTAGCCAGCGGTAGTAATGATACGTCGAGCACTCAAATCGATTTCAGCACAAGAAGATCCAGCATGACCGAGATCGAGGACGTTTTTTTGGGCACGTTTCACAAGGTACCAAGCATCCACAATCGTCTGGTTGTGATCCTCTCGATTACCTAGGAAGAACGTGCGGGTCGTATCCGACTGATAACCCAACAACTCGCCTCCGGTATCGATAAGCACCGTTGAATCCTTGCCAACTTTTTTCGTAGTGCCCGGTTCGCCGTGAGGGAAAGCAGCATTTTCGTCGACCAGAGCAAGCACCCACGTATTGGTCAATCCAGCTGTCGTAAGTGCACGTGTCATCAAGGTGGCAATATCACTTTCGGTCATGCCCACATTGACATGAGGGCGGACCTGTCTGATGGCTTCCTCCGTGGCATGATTGACGCAGCGCAGAATATTAAGTTCAGCAGGTGACTTGACCATTCTTAAGGTTTGCAATGCCCGGGACGCGACCTGAACCCCTTTTCCTTGTCCGTTCACGCCGTTCTCCAATACCTGAGAAAGTCCATCAAAGATGAATAAGCGAGTTGTCGGCTCCACAAAGACTGTTGAGATATTGGCAAGCACTTGATCGGCCGTCACTGTGTAAGGCGATCCATGTTCGATCCATTCAACGATATCGGGCTGGATTTCATCAGGCAAGTTGGCGTCCTTGACAGCTTCAACAGCGCGCGTTGCTTCAAACATGGGTGTTACCACGGTTGTTTTGATGCCTCCCGGTTGTGAAGCATCTGCAACAAGCACGACCAAGAATGGCCGTTCGCTGAGTCCCCATGCAATGTTTGTGTAGTACAGCATGGTCGGTCCCCCTTCCATCACGTAGGCCGATGATTCAGGTAATGTTGCGGCGAGTTTCTTTTGACGCTTGATATATTCATTGGGTTGGATCGCTTGTGTGTGCGCACAATAGCCGCGTAATGAAGAAAAGTCCGGCAAGGGTTTCTTGGTGATGGGACTTTGATGGAACAAGTGTTGTAAAGCCCATACGCCGCCGGCTAAAGCAAATAGTAACGACAGTGCCAACATCGAACGCATCAACTAAATATTCATGGATAAAATTATTGTTATCTTCTTGCTAAAAAGGAGTAGCAGTTGCGGAAGAAAACACTTTTTAAAGAGAGGGAGAGTCTCCCGGAAGTGATTCCTGGTCATTCAAGTAATTGTCCTCTCACCATTGTCTTTTTCTTCACCTTGCCCCAATGGCGGTTTTGGCTGGCATACTGCTGATGCTGTCCAACAAGGGGAGTGATTTCCTCTTGCGATGCCATTGTATTTTTCCGTGAGAGAAGTGTGTAAGTACGGATCGATAAAAAGCACAGAAAAAAGCAGAAAAGTGAGAGAAGAAATATAAAAGACGTGAAGAAAAATAATAGATCGGTCACCTGTAGACCGTGACACCAACAAAGCGGAACTATCCGGACTATTCTCACGATGCAAAATGTTTCGTCAAAAAAAAGATACTAGTTTATCCATTCCACCAGCTGGCACATTATGCATGCCTTAATAGATATAGACAGTAGCGCACTATGTGCAGATGTACATACTCTATGAAACCGGTTGTACTGTCAAGCATACGATTTTCTGCTTATGGGTCATGTAGTCGATAATCGAAAATCATGCATGACGGTGATTGATGTGCGCTATAAAGTATTACCATACACGCCATTCCAACGATCAGTAGATGCTGAACCATCAAATCTTCGCTATCTGGATGCTATGTACTTGACGACAAACACCGAAATCACATACCCGCTATCTACGTATGTACCCTGGAAATCTACTCATAAGACTTGGCGCTTCGAGAAGAAGAAGAGTCATAAACTATTTTGTTTATTTGCTTTGGGGCGCTGATTATACCTTCAACAATAAGTGTTTCTGGCACGAGTCACATCTTTTTAACAATGACTACTGGCTAGTAGGTTTACTAAGATCTGGCTCCTATTATCGTAATTGTAGATGGTTTAAAAAACTTCATCAACGAAACCAACAATCAAATGTTCCAGTAAAACCGTCAATAATCACCGCCATGCGAAATGATGTAGGTCTGTGTATGTTATTGTCCCTTGTCTTTTAAGCTTAAAAAACGCCAGATTTATCAAACATTGATGTAAAGAACAACAAACAGAATAAAGTTTTAATATAATAGCTTATTACATTGCCAATAATGATCAATACATGTCAGTACAACAATGTGTGTACATGTAGCAGCAGGGACCGACACACGATTGCAATTTGCAACAAAAAGGTTAACACATCAGTGGCAGTTCTAGAAAAAGCTCAAACATGTTTTATACCGGCTTGTTGTCATAGTAATCAATGGTACATGTGTTACTGCTCATTTTTAAAAATTATGCGAGCAAACACGATTCTGAAACAAGCTGCCTAAAAAAATAGGTGGCACAACGCGTCCTTTATTTCTATCTTAATCCGAACGCCGAACGAGTAAAAAAAAACCGCGTTTCGCGTTTTCCCCCCGCGAACGCGTCCCTTCTTTTTTTTTTGCGTACTTTTGGCGCCTTTTACTTCCATTCAGGCACACACACACACCCGCATTTGCCAGTTCAGAACCGTAATGAAAACAAATTACTCTGAGCACCTGGCTCGATTTCAACATGCTTACCGTCCAAATATTCGTCGACCGTACGACCCCAGTTATACCCTCCATCCAAATGATAAAGCAGGAGCCAATGGTCAAAATGCTTCTTACAGTACGATAGGTACGTGCTCAATTAATTCAGTTCGTGCATCTCTTCTCGTTTTTCACACTGTGCTGTAACCTAAACGACAACTGAATTTTTTTTTGTTGGCATTGTTATAACCACGGCTGCAATACGATCGTTTCCAGCAACTTTAGCAACACCATCGTCAACTGGGAATAGCTTACCACGCAAACGACAGCGAGTAGGGGAACCTACAACTACTACCACTAATAATAACAGAAGCAATACTATATATAATAATGACGATCACGACGATAATGATGACGATATAATCGACTTGACAGCGTCACCGAGAAGAAATGGCGGTGCTACTTCTCATGGCCGTCTCAGCCTCAAACGACCAAAATCAGCAGCACAATCCACATCGTCCGCAGCAAGAAAAGACACATACACCACCTCCACACATTCTGATTTTCCGTCGCCTTTATCATCTTCAACTACAGCAGTGCAAAACAATAATCGTCAGCAGAGACAACAACAAACGCCCTATGGATGGACAGATAACGCTGCAACCACAACGGCAGCAAAACTTGACGACGACTTTGGACTGGATGATGATTTCTTTGATGGCGTATGTAATTTGTTTATTTAGACGGGCACAAACGGGGAATTGTAATTTAAAAAAAATGATGTGCTTTGTGTAGATGGATCCAACGGCCCTCGAAAACAATTTACTTCGCGAAGAAGAAGACATGGAATTCTCGGATTTGATGATGGATGACGATATCACGCGGATGATGGAAGAAGTCGAGACGGATTATACTATGCGCGCCCAGACTACGACACCATCAACAACAACAATGTCAGCACAAGCGCCGTCAGCACCATCAGCATCGCTCCCTGAGATGGAAAAACAACTCAAAAGTCTCATGCAGCAGGAAAATGTAATGAACTCTAAATTCGTCACTATTTTGCTGGATGACCGGGTGGATCAAAGCAAAAGGAACCAAATCAAAAAGGAAATGTAAGCTGAAGCTTTCTATGGATTAGTAAAAGAAGGGGAAAAAACCAATACTGATAAAACTTACTTTATACTTTGGATAGAGAGGAGCTCAAACGTCAGAAAGAAGAACTAGAGCTTGCAATTACACTCGAACGATCCAAATCCGAGTCTCCTAGCAACAGTAGAACCAAACACGGCCCTACTACTACTACTACTACTACAAGAGATAACTTTGGCGATGCCATTATCCTGGATGATATGGATGACATTGTTGATGACGATGATGACGACATATTCCAAACCAGTGCCAAATCCTCCGTATCGAACGTCGAAACCAGCAAAAAACACACCACCCCCGTCGTTCGTTCACGTTATTTCGATGCTAGCGCATCACCTCCAAATCCTCCACCCACACCTAAACCATCATCCGCAACTGCTTTCAACAACAACAACATTAATCCGACTGCGTCTTCATCCTCATCCACCCGCAATGCTTCGCCGCCAAAGCCCATCGCTGAAGGCTACCCATGGTCCAAAGATGTGACCAAGGCTATGCGACAAGTCTTTAAACTCAAGCAATTCCGCACCAACCAACTAGAAGCGATCAACACAACACTGAACGGGGACAACGTCTTTGTACTGATGCCCACAGGCGGCGGCAAATCCCTATGTTATCAACTCCCCGCCGTTGTCCGAAACCACAAACGCAAAGGTCTCTCCATTGTTGTTTCGCCCCTCCTATCACTAATGAGCGACCAAGTCGATGCACTTGTGAAAAAGGGTGTGCCAAGCTACTTGCTCAACGGCCAAACTACAGTGTCTCAGCGTCAGGATATTTATCGCGAGCTCAAAAGCTTGACTTTCCAGACGTGTCTCTTGTATGTGACGCCAGAAATGATTCAAAAATCACCCGCCTTTCGGAATGCAATGGATAATTTAAACAGACGCAACATGATTGCACGATTCGTTATTGATGAAGCGCACTGCGTATCCCAATGGGGTCATGATTTCCGTCCTGATTACAAAATGCTTGGCGATCTCAAGATCTCGTATCCGAACGTACCCATCATGGCACTCACGGCGACGGCAAATGAAATGGTGCAAAAGGATGTGATACATAACTTGCATATTGATGGTTGTAAAGTGTTAAAGCAAAGCTTTAACCGTGAAAATATCCAGTAAGTGCTCTGCCTTTTGATTTTTTTTCTCGATGGTGTGGGCTTTGCTATTTTCCTCGAAGAGGATGGCACACACACACACACACACTTTTTTTTACTAAATAGCGTAATTCTCTTACTAGATATGAGGTGGTTGCCAAGGGATCCAGAAGCAATCTATACAGCGACATGGACCGGTTTATTCGACAATACCCTAACAAATCAGGAATCATCTACTGTATCTCTCGAAAACAATGTGAAGACGTTGCCGATGTGTTGCGGAACGACTTTAGCATTAGTGCCACGCATTATCACGCCGCATTGGACCCAAACGAACGGACGGATGTCCAAAGAGCATGGCAAGAAGGACGCGTTCAAGTAATTGTGGCAACGATTGCGTTTGGTATGGGCATCGACAAGCCGGACGTCCGCTTCGTGATCCATCACTCGCTCCCTTCATCTGTTGAGGGCTATTATCAAGAGTCGGGTCGTGCGGGACGAGACGGATTGTTGGCTGTCTGTCGACTTTATTACTCTTTTGCGGATACGCGCCTGCATCGAGTCCTGATTGACAAGGGCGAGGGTAGCTGGCAACAAAAACAACGATTGATCGAAAACCTCAACAAAATGGTGCGATTTTGCGAGAACAAGTCGGATTGTCGTCGTAAACAGCTGCTTGGCTATTTCGGTGAGGTGTTTGATCCTCGTCTGTGTCGCGGCACATGTGACAATTGCCATGTCAACAAAGACACAACGATCGAGACCATAGATTATACCAAAGAAGCCGGAACGGCACTTACATTATTGGAAGTATTAGAAGAGGAAAAGGTGACTCTGATACAACTGATCGACATTCTACGTGGCTCGAAGTCAAAACGCTACATTGACCGTGGATACCACGAGATTGATGGCTTTGGCGCGCTTAAAACGGTGACCAAAACTGACGTCGATCGATTATTGAAGCATATGTTGTTAAGTGGTATACTTAAAGAGCGTACTGAAACCAATCTGGCAGGGTTTACAACGGCATTTGTTGAGGTAACGTTTGTAACAACGTACCCTTGGGTGAAGAGGAGAAAGCTTAGCTAATACAAGAACAATTTCGTTAATATGTATAGAGAACAAACAAATCATTGAAAGTTTTTGATGGTAGTCTGAGAGTCACACTGGATGTTCCCCGGCCTGCAAGTAGTAGTGTTAGAGTAAGTGCAAGATAAGAAGAGTTATTTCTTCTTTCTTATTATATACTAGTTCATAGACCTTTAAACACACACACAATACGTTTAGAGTGCTTCTACTAGTAGAAACACAAGTGGATCATCGTCATCCCCTTATACACCAAGTGCTTCCGCAAGGTCGACCACGACACACCCGACTGCATCATCATTATCCGGCTATAGTTATAATGGTAGTGATCGACTACAAAAGCCAGATGCTTCATCCCGTGGCAACAGCATGTCCTCTTCTTCCAGAAACAAGCAAGTCAATCGCAAACCTGAAACGGATGATCCTCGTCGAAAACAAATTGTAATGGCCTGCTTTCAAGAGATGCAGGAGGAGCGCAAAAGGGTAAGAAAGGGATCACACAATGAGAAGCTGAAAAAGGAACTAATTGTTTGTTTATTCACTCACTCACTCACTCTCTCCCTCTTTCTCTACCTTTTTCTTTAGATCGCTGCTCACCAAGGCATAGAACAACCGGCAACCACGATTTTCTCAGATACCGATCTCAAGATCTTTGTTTGTATCTCTTTTCTTTTTTTTCCTCTTCCTCTCTAGCCACATATATCAATGACCAATATTCTTCCAATGTTCTAGGCCGAAAGATTACCAACAAAGATCACGGACTTCATGAACGTAAGAAGCATGACCGAAGAAAAGTATGACCGATATGGAAGCAAATTCAGACAAATTGTTGCAAAGTATGCGAGACAGTATGAGGCTCTGGCTGGCACTACTACGGACACAACAAACTGAACCCGACCAGCATTGTAAATAATATACACCTCTTTGTATAATACATCCCTATGTTCCTACTACCTTCTCCAACTACCTGTAATGCCTTAATAACTTTTCTTTGATATTCAACATGTCATGTGTACATATAGCATACGTTATTTTTCGTATGGAAATAAATAATTAATGAAGCATCAATCACACAGATATATGGGATTATAATATTTACTACTCAATCGGAGAACGATCAGAAGAAGAGGGAAAGAGATACCGATGATTGCATTATGTATGATAGTATCCGGATCATACAGTACTGTACTTAATGTACATATTGTTGATCAAGATGATCATAGTGTGTTTATATACACTACAGTATGCTTTATTTACGGATGATATTGTTGATTCAAAACCACTACTATCGCGTCAATGAAATCGTAGCTACAACTAACTTTGCCTCAAACATTAAAAGCGCACATGTATACAATTGGACACTACGCTTCGAGCATCAGTATTATGTATTCGTGTGCACTCTAGGTAAGTGAGTATTTTATGCTTTTTTCCTTTGCACACTGACACTCGCCATATACAAAAGATTCCTTCAATTCTATTTGTGAGGGACTCTATAATAGAATAAAAAACGAGCAGCAGGAAAGGCGGTCTGATACATAGTATAAGAGTAGCACATGGCACAGACATCTGCCATGTGCTTTTTCTTCGGGTGTTGTAGGAAGCAAAATTTCACTAATAATTTGTCTATGTTTGTAATCATCATCACCATGATAATGATGATCATGCTACATACATGTGTACTCAAATAATCCGTTTGCTTTATCTACTATTGATGAGACATTGAAGGGTAACAAACAATTGAACATGAAGGGGTGTGATATTTTCTGTATGACCATGGCTGAGATAATGACCCGTGATTGACGTAAAATATAAATAAACCTGAGAAAATGGGAGGTAATTTGATAAAAGTGTGAAAAACCAGGCATTAATGCCTCTCGTTGTTGTGAATTATGTTTATTACTAAATATAATACAAGAATATTATGTATTAGCATGACGATAAAGTAAAGACAGATGACGATGTTGATGATCCATCATCCGGTATTAAAACCCCATTAATGCATCAAGCAGGCAAACTGCCGATCCCGATTCCTTGTTTGTATCACTATCGCTGGCTCAAATTAGGCATTTCTTATTGAGGCATTCATATCATAATGATGACCTAGCATATATATCTTTACTTTTCTCTGTAATCAATGAACGACGACACACTGCAACCGTGGAACATAATGATGGGCCCTACAATCACACATCTCGTGGATATTATATCAGCAGATTCTTTGACGGTTATTACATATACTTCATTGAAACGGGAAAAAGATAGTATGTTTGACAACGATTCTACTTGAAGTGATTGCTGTGGTGTGTGTGTGTGTGCACGAGTTACAATTCGAAAGATCGGAAGTTTTTTTTGATATTGACAAAGTTGAACCAATCGTTCGCAACGATTTCTTAAGCATAGTAATTTTTACTGATCTGTGCCTGACACCTATACATACGTACAACTTCTCCGATGTATTTCAAGCCCCTTCGCTTTCTTTTTTGTCCCCCATCTTCAACACCCCCGCACTCCTTTATGTGTATTTGCATATGTACTTTGTATGTATTATGCATACGCATATTATACTATGGAATAACACTATAACTCCGCCCTCGATCAGCAGGTACAAAGTTGACCTGAATTCTTTCTCCTGCCAAGAGAATAGCTGTAGTTAGAATGGTCCATATAGACCATTCTAGGTCCAGGTGCTCCTGAAAGAAAAAATTGCAATATTATGATGATACGTATATCGTTTTTTGTGAGGTTTATATATGGGTGCATTTATCGGTGTGTGCTGTTGTGCTATATGTTGTCGGTAGCGTATGCGTGTGTGTATATGTGTGTGTGTGTGTAAGTGAATATTAAAAGGGCTGCTATTTTACAAAAAAGAGAAGAGTAATGATAAGAGGAAGTAAAAAGATGAGGTATATAAGGTATACATAAAGTATCTGAATTAGAAGTGGAAGTGTTGCTACTTGGTTTTGCTGATTCTCTTGTGTGTAATAGCAGAAGAATCTACCGCAGCTTATACAACCGTAACTTGACAATGGCCCATGTCAAGACAACAAGGCACAACAGGGTGCAGCCGATGCCCACAATGTATGTTTCTCTGAAACATACGGTACCCTGGCATAGATGAGCACCTTGCCGTTGGGCTTCACGATCGTACAACGCGCCAAACAGAATGTTGAAAATTTGACTACCGAACGCTGGAGCATAGAGAAGCCAACCCCAATTACGAGCAAATGCCTATACAGTAGTAATGATATCGTACAATTATTAGTATATAAGGAGCAAGAATAAGATAAGGACAAATGGTGATGATGATAAGAGAAAGAAAGAGATAGTGTGTTAATATCAAGCTACACGCGCGCGCCTTACCTGAGTGCCGAATTCAGTGGTTGCCGCCGGGGCAACTCCAAATACAGTGCCATACATGACAGCCATGGCTACAGTACACGGCAGAAGGGCCTCAGCTGTCGACACGCAGGTGATGAGATAGACCATGCTAGCCAATAATCCAACAGTCGCACCGACAAACACCCACAGACGATGAACACCCCAACGACTCTTGAGCACATCGCTCAACGTACCGAACGCCGCACGGGCTGAACAATTGGCCAAACTAAACACCGACACATGAACGTTTCGTAAATGTTGTGGTGAGGCGCTGCCGACTGCAGGCAATGCCAATAAGATTTGACCGACGCTGGCGAGGTACACATAACCCAGACCGAGAACGACAAAGAGGGCGACAAACAATGCAAAACCGGCAGGATGGCAAAAGAATTCCATACTGGATAATTCACGGCCGCTGGTATCGCTTGCTGCGATACTGTTTTGATCAGTATCATCACCGACAGTAATGGTAGCAAGTGAGTCGTTGTTATTGTTGTTATAACGCTGTTGTTGTTGATGATCTTGAAGTAATGGCTGGTGTTCTTCATCATTCTTAGTAGTATTCTTAACGGGCGGAATATCACTCGCAACGAGCGGGCCCAAAACAAAGGCGCCGATCGCCATGCCGCCCGACATGGCGAACGCCATGAATATGAGTAAACCATAGGCGTCGTCGCCATCATCCGGGGTGGAGAAAATGTTATCGTTGACCTGAGAAAAGACAACTCCACAGAGGCCCAGGCTGGCGCTGGTGAGGCCCATACTCATGCCTCGGTGTGCCTTGAAATTGTGCGACTATAAAGAAAGCGGCATATCAATGTTTTGTGCCACTGGGATAATAAACTACTACATCATAGCCATGTACTACAACGGCAAGAACTCTCTTTTCTATTTACTAAGCTACTTACTTGAGAATCAAGTGCGCATAGATAAGCAGCAGCGCCGGCAATGCCTAGACAAGCGAGATAAATCGCACAAAGAACAAAGTGACTAGGGAGCCGACCCGCATAAGTTTGTGCCAACAGGAATGGACCAGTAAATGCCAAAAGTCCCGACACACGCAATGTTCTATTGAAATGTGGGCATGTTGTGTGAGTCAGATAGTAATAATGATGTGTAATGATGACGATAATAATGACGGATGGTTTTGCATTTTTATTATCTTACCCTCGAATGCCCAAGTGTTCGACCATCCATGCACACAATGGGCCTGAGAAGGAGACACCGACGAAGCTGGCAGTGCTGACAAGACTGTTTTCCAGAGCAGACCAGTTGAACTTGGTTGTCAATGAAGTGCCGAATGCTGGATAGACATATTGAGGGCCAGCCATATTGGCCACCAAAATTGCCGTGAGAAACGACACTGTTAATGCGAATTGTGTCGGTCGGTGCAGCATCTTATTCTTGTTGTTAATGGCTCTGTGTAGTCCTTCGTTCTACTTGCAGTAGTTGTATAGAAGAGTGGTCTGGCTATGATGCGAGGAATAGAAGGGTGAGAAGGATGAAAGAAAGGCGTAGGGAAAGGGAAAAGAAGGAAAGTGGTGAAATAGAACGAAGATATAGGTCTACCCTTATATATCATTTTCATGTTGCACGCTGATCTGGAAAAAAAGAATCTCGCTTGTCTTCCATCCATCACAAGGGCATTGAACCCCACAGCCTACGCCATTCAGTCAGTCAGTCAGTCAGTCAGTCAATTAGTCAATTAACGACCAACAAAAAGCCTAATAAAGGAAGCAAGCAGAAAATATCAAAGGCCCGCTCTCACCTTCGAAAAAGATTACCCGGGAAAGGGTTAGATGCTCAGAAAGGGGAAAGACTTTTTCTTCTTGGCTATGCTTGTCTAGAGGCAGCACCTACTACACACGTGTAATGCGAGTTCCTTTCCCCCAACTAACACAGTCTCCTCTCAGCAATCTTCCCCCACACCATATAGCCACCAGCACACATCCCTTGATTTATTTTGCTCATATTTACTGTAGGTCTTGAGATTCTTTCAAAAAAAAAGTAGTAGTTGGGCCTAATAGTACAATGCGCAATTTTCGCTCGTTAAACAACGACAACAACGAAATTGCCTCTTAATAAAGAACTACATGCATTTTTTTTCTTACTCACGAGGTGTGAGCTGCTATATGACTGGTCCATCGGCAAATAAGGGAAGAAAAAACAGCATGGAACGTACAGACATCGTTTGTCAGTCCGTCCGTCTGGTCGGCCGGTGAGTCGGTCTACCGCCACCAGCTCATCATCATGCTTGCGCTACATTGATGATACATAATTCGTGATCTGACCCCGCCATCCATGGTCTCTTGTAATACCCCAGATGGCACAGGAGAGAATATATATACATCATCAGCAGGGCAAAAAGAAACATAAGGGGTACGGGATAAGGAAAAGAATGGTTGGACGGATAGTATACGCGAGCGTGCGTGCGGGGTTTTGGGGGTGGGTGCTAAGTGGAGATGGAGGGTTTACTTTTTTGGGGGTGATGGGTGGGGAATGAAAGTGAATGTGCGTGAGCAACAAATGAGTGATGTGCTGTGCGTAGCTTCTTGACAGCCATTGTACCTTTCCCTTCGATTCCATTTGCGACATGCAAATAGCATACGCTGATGACAACCATAAGATCTCCCTATGTATTTTCTTGTTTGGTTACCCGATTTGGGCTTTCTTCTACTGCTGCTCTCTCCTTTTCTTTTTACTGAAGGAAAGATGGATGATGATGTTGATGCGATCATGTCAGTTTGTATAATCTTTTATGGAAGATAAAATTGCATCATCAATCGACGAGATATCAATCTGCTTTTTCTTTTTATCGTAAGCCGAGGACGACTTAAACTACTACTACTCCTCCATACTACAGTCTATAAGCAACTACTATAACAATGATGCGCGTACATAAACAACGTAAAAATTATCTTGTTTTATCTTCAGCCAATGTTGTTGTTGTTGCAGGTCACACATCATCATATGGTTCTTTATTTTTATTTCGCATATACTTGCAGGAGGGCTATGCGGTGGAAGATAAATGAAGATGATCCCCCTTCTTCTTTATTGTATCTGGTGGTTATGATATTCGAACCAGCGAGTCTTCTGCCGTGTGCTGTTAGGAAGGTAACGTGGTACCTTCTACTTTTAAGCGATTTGAGAGGTGCATCTTTGTTTCACCAAGAACTTTTTTTTTCTTCCGTGCCCGGATTACCTGGTATGCAATGAAATAGCGGGAATGGTGTGTGTGCGCATGTAAAAGCCATGGCAACCATGTATGTCGCCATAGTTACCGTCGTTCCATTATAGTACAAGAATCATGGTATCCTGGTTTGAAATCCATAACAACGGACACGTACTCACCTAAGTTACCCACTGCAACAGCCACCGCCGCCCCCACATTTTTCTCTCACTTAATTTCAGGGTAAATTCCATGGTATAACCTATTGTAAATCATTTTTCTGTACGACTCCGGAGAAAAAAGTGTAGGAAATCTCAGACAATACAATAATTTTTAACTTGTTTGTCAACAATGTCAATGAATCGATTATGGAATCCAGTACGATCATTTGCAACACGATCTGCATTGAAAAACAATAGTGTTGGAATCACGAACAACAACTACAACAAAATTACGAACACTACGACACAAGAACAATTTGCGACGATGGAAAAGCAAATACTAGACGAATACATGATACCCGGCAAATTCCTCAGATATTTCAAGGCGCAGAAAAAACTACAAAAATCACTAGCAACAGCTAGTACTGATACAGTTAGGGGAAACCAACTTTTTCTCTTCTATTCCATGTAGTACTTTGAATTGACAAAAAATAATTTTACTGTATATAGTCTACAGCGGCAGCAAGTATAAGTGCAGGGTTGGATCATGTGCATAAAAAGAGTGCACGATCTATCAACATGGACGAGACTGACTCGGCACCCACAGTTGCACAACAAAGACTGGCTCAGCGCATCCAGCGTGGACTCACCAAAGTGTTTGCGATTGAACCATTGCCCACACGATGGGTGACTCCTTCCTATGTTTCAATTCACACGGTAAGAGAACGATGAACTAGAGCCCTACACACATTATCTCTACACGTATTACACACACACACACACATGATATTGCATGATATTAAAAGAAAAATGATCATACATAGGTTAAAGCATCACGCAATCTACGGAAATGCCAAATTTTGTACGAACCAGCTACTGAAAAGAAACATGAAAGGGTAAGGAGACGCGAGGATCAGTAGAATCTCGCCGCCATACACCCACACTATCGGAACGATGAAAAGAAACCGTTGTTTCTATATTTGGCAGGGGATGGCGAAGAAAGAGACTAATTTGTAATGTACATGCAAACATGTGTAAAATGAAATATTTATATTATGTTGAAATTTCTCTAGGGCCACGTCCATCGTGCACTACAGACACATGCTAGTTGTCTTGAGCAATTGATACGAGTACATGCAGGCCTGCAAAGACCAGTGTCCATAAAATTTGTTTCGGATACCCAGACGAGTGAGCTAGACGCTATTTTCAAGAAAATTTCTGCAGAAGGAGAAGAACAAGAAGAACAATAACAATAACATGGTCTCTAACAGAATAACTTAATTGGCTTCTGCAAATCCGATACGGTTGTTGCCGACATCAAACACCTAATGCAACAAAACCAAATTGCGACAAGACATCCAGTTAGCATCCAACTGTATCATGTACACTCTTTCTACAATGTACTCATCCTTCTCCTTTCTTCCTATCCTCAACATCCAATCATCATTTTCATCATCAGCACCACCACCATTTATCAAGCAATAAAGACACACAAACATATCACATATCATACAATAATAAATAAAAGAAACACATTACCGTATAGAACTGTTTCATAAACACATCTCCCAAGATCCAAGTCTCGTCTTCACTGTCCTCGTCGTCTTCATCTGAACCCAAGGACTGGCCAGAAATGCCTGATAAACACATGGAGCTCGTGTGACCTGTGGGCCGGAGAACATAATTGTGTGGGGAAATAGCGAGGGTCTTGCCGCCGAGGGTCAACAGCAGTTCTGGAAGCGAGTCCACATGACGACAAGGGATAGACCACGTTGCATCCCCATTGTTGAGCGCGCCCGGGATGACACTGTGAATAGCCGCAGCGTCGTCTGGTGTCGTGATAATAAGCGTCGTGCCACTGTCAATGATCACGTTGCGGGACCCGCCCTTGACACCATCCGATCCTAAAGCGAATTCGCTCATCTCCACCATCCAGAACTTGGTATCGATCACGTCCACATATTGGATCGAGCCCTTGTACCGCGACGGATCAATCCCGCCAAAATCGATCTCGCCCGTGTTTGCTTGTGTGTAAAAGGCAAACACAGGCTCATCCAACACACCTTGCTCCATCATGGAATAGAACGGTGGCGTATACGAAGGTGAGGAAGACAAGTCTTCTAATCCCAGCCCAAAGATCCCGTCAAAGGGCGAGCCGATAAAGTCGCGCGACAATACTGTCGCGTCTGCAACGATCTGGTCTGTGATTTGTAATGCACCGTCGGCTAAACTGACGGTGTCGTGACCAAGTCCTGCGCTAATGTGGCCAGTGCCGTACCATACATTGATAGGGTCTTCGTCGTCGTTGTCGCTGTATGTCGTTGAGTCAGCTGTAATGTACTTGCGGTGGTTGTAACATATGTCGACCGTTGTGCACTTCGATGATACTACCCAGAGGTCGGCACTGCCTGTATCAAAGACCACGTTGAATTCCTGGGGCGGGTTACCTAGTGAGATGGCGCCATAGTAACCTAAAATAGTAATCCATATTACATTGTTTATTTTCTTTTGATCTTGCCTAACCCTTTGCTTATCACTACTTTCTTTGGTATTCTTCGTTGACTGCTTATGTTATCGACAATTACCACTGCCATTTTGGTATCCCACTTGCTTTTCTTTGCCTGATACAATGAACGAAGATGGAAGTGTCCCGTTTCCGAACCGACGCAAACGGACCTTGTGCTTTGCCGGGTAGGGTGCTGCTGTCACGTAGGATATCCAGAACAGTAATGCCGATGCTGCTGATAGATATGTCGATTTCATTGCTTCCTCTCCAAAGTCGTTGTCGTACCAGTCGTATATACCACAAGAGAACAAAAGAAAGAAAAGAAGAAAGACTTTATTGCGAAAAGTAAAAAAAAAGAAGAGGGTAAGAATCGTAAGTTTTTATATATGATACAAATCTCCCATGATATTTATACATTCTACAAACAACACCTTTGATTTGGCGGCATATATGCCACAATCATTGTTCGGATTTGTCTGCATGTAATGTCCCTGGGCTTATACACAATTAGAGCCCGAGGCAACAAAGTTCGACTTGGACAAAGTTGAAGAAAAAAATTCTTAGTTGAGCTGGGGAGAGAGTCTGCTATTGTTGACATCTCTCGAAAATTCGCCGTTTGTTTACTTGAAATGCGGGGGGAGAGGATCAACAACGTTTAGACTATTGTTGTTGTTGTTGCTGCTGTTGTTATAACAACGATGGGTCGTCTTGTTCCTTTTCAACTACGTGGAACACCGGGGATGCCTGGTGGTAGTAGAAGCCGATGCCCATCTGATATGTCCCTGGTTCTATCGAATCATCCACTGTCCAGTCGTATTCAAACTCGGTGAATAGCAAATGCGTCTCGATATTCCGAATATATCGTTCCGTTTTCGGTGCATTCGGCGGTAACAATCCGGCTATACACATATAGAAAACGGTATTTATATTTAGTATACTCACCTTTCTTCTCACTACTCTGCCACAAACCCCAAATCCCTCTATCCAACTTGATCCCTCTTCCAAAATAAAACATAATCGAATGTAGAATGAAAGCATGTTCTCCTTTACCAACGGTCCGGGATGTTCGAGAAGCAGCGTAACCGTACAGAGGGTATTTGGTATCCGGAGATAGTTCCCTTTTCACAGGAAAAGAAAAAAGTATTTAGATTTACACTTGATAGCAGAAAATAAGAATAACCTAACAGAGGTGTCCAAGAAAGAATAATAGGGCTTTCTTCTTGTTCCTACTGCTTTCCTTATTGTTATACCACTTTACCAGGTGATTTTGACAGCGTCACCTTGTTTTACGATTTGGCCATGCTTTGGCGATGTTATAACAAAGGGTGGGTATGGTTCATTCATATAGGCATTGACAACGCAGGAGGTTGTTGCCAAGGCAATCATTGCAAGTAAAGACAAGATGGATTGTGGTAACATGCTTTGTACAATTTCGTTATTGTTTTAAATTGAAAAATAAAAGAAAGGAAAAAGACAAGAAAAGAATTAAAAAAAGAAAGAATTGAATGGTTACACCACTTTTTTTCTTTACACGAGGCGATCCCCTCCTTCTTTTTTTGGATCTCTGCCACTATACGATCAATCGTCGCCAACACCATATCGACTAAATGTAGAAGAAAGAATGAGTATGATCAGATATTCAACTTTTCATTATCTCCACGACAAAGAAAGAACCACATCCCTCCTCCTTCTCCTCCTCCAGATACGACAACGAAAAAAATTGGGGATACGTACGTTTTCAGTTCTTTGAGCTCCTCTTCCTTCTTTTGAAGATTCATTTTTTTCGTAACCTTATTTTGTTGGTAGTAAAGCACAATCAGGTATCGTCCGAGAATGTTAAAACCTTGCAAGTGTTCGCAGGCATTTTTGGCGTCGTAAATGTCTTCGTATACTACAAATGCTGTTCCTCGTGTATCTGGTGCGTTGCCACTACATTCATTATACATTGTACATGTACATGTGAGTATATTATATTGGAATAAGCGTTTATATTCGAATGGTGTGGGCGTGTTAGCATTTACAAGGAAAAGAGAAACACGTACACTCGGATCTGACGTATAGCACCATATTTGCCAAACACATCGTACAGTTCCTCGGCTGTAATTTTAAATGGTAAATTCCTGTTTGTAATCGTAACGTAATAAGAGAGCTTTGTTTAGTCTCGGATCTCGTTTCATATAGATCTATATTTCGTAAACGGAGTCGCTTCGTCGTCTTTGACATTAAACAATTACCTTACTAATAGTGCTCGATTGACTTCCGGCGGTAATCGTGCCTATAATAAAAGAGATTGTTAAGCTTTCATATTATCTTGTAATCTGCAACAATCAATGGGTTTACAAAGTAGGATCTTTACCGATCGTGGACCCGTTGGTGCACTCATTTATGTATGTTATGTATAAAGTGTACGTGAGAGAAGTGTGAAGGACTTTGAATTCGACTGTCCGAACAGAATTTGAAGATTGAAGTCTATGCCGCAGCGACCTTTTTTGAAAGCAAAGAGCATATGGCAATAATCACTTTTGATATGAGTGAATTCGCGAGCATGCTGCTAGTCATGCAGCTATTTGAGCTGGGGTAAAGACGAAAGTATATGAATAAATGTTTGATTTGACGCGCTTTAGTATCAAGTGGAAGCACTGGTCCATCATTACCCGCCGCTACTACTGCTACTACTGCATCGCCTCGTTTTTAATACAATTCTAAGGTTATCCATCCTTGACAGATTATCCGAATGTTTGACTCTGCATATTTGCTTATTAACACTCTTTGCAACTATCATATAGCATCTTTACTAGCCAGAGTAACATAAAGTGAACCTGTCAAACAAGAGGACAGCAAGGACGTGACAAGGAAGAAGCCTTGCGGCAACAGTCACTATTTCCGAATTTTTGCAACTCTGCCCTTTTCTCCCGCGCAAGAAAAAAGGTTCTTTTTCTCTTCCATTGAATTATATTACCAAAAAAAATGGCATCGATTCCCGATCCCAAAAGGCAATTCAAAGAATTTCAACAGTCATTTTTCAAAGCTCTTGTCTCTGCCACTGCAGCCAGCAATGCGATTCCAGTCAATGACGTCGGTTATTTGAGATCGCTCGATCGCCAGTTCGCCAAAGATCTCGACACGTGTGGATCTCGACTTTTGAAAACGTCGAACCAGTTACTTCAACATTGCAGCGCTGACACAGGTGTCGAAGCCAGCACATACGAAGACGTGGACGATGTGAATGAACGTTATGGCGGTGTTGTTGACGTTGTTGACGGTTTGCTTGAAAAAGCTGTAAGTCTTGGCCACACTTCTGCCCTCTCACACTTTTATTTTATCCTTCTGTATATATTTCCATTGGGGGAAAAACACTCATCTAAAAAATGATTATATAGGATGTCTGCTTGGATGAAATGTTAGGCCGTACTGGCAAAGGCAATGATCAAATAAAGCAACAAGCGGCCGAAGTAGCACAGGTGTCCAAGGGCAAATTGGAATACAAGCTGTTGCACGCAAGCAATATCGTCCGTCCTCAGATGAAATTCAAGGATGCTGTCGATAACTCAAACAGCACTCCGTTTATTCGCAAAATCAAGCACAAGCCCCATGCCCAAGTGCCTTTGGAATATGGTGTCACTCCCGACATGGTTGAAGGAATCGAAGGAGGCAAACTGACACACTCATTGCCTCATCCATACGAATACGAGATTCAGCACATCAAGTACCCTGACTTTATGTTTCAAGCAAAGGAACGCATCATGTACGAGCCTTTTGATACGACCACTGCAGCTTGGGTAGACGACGATGCATCGTTGGAAAAAATGATGGACGAGCTAGCAAAGGCACACGAAATCGCTATCGATTTGGAACATCACAACTACAGAAGTTACCAGGGCTTTACGTGTTTGATGCAAATCAGTACCCGCGAGCATGACTTTATTGTGGATACTTTGCAGTTGCGCGACCGTCTTTGGCAGTTGAACGAATACTTTGCTGATCCCAACGTCGTCAAGGTATATTGTGTTCTGATGTATAGCCATGCGGTTAGATAATAAGTAACTACTCGTTTGGTAATCAATGTCTTTTTTTATCTTGTATTACAGGTGTTACACGGTGCGGATAGTGATATCATTTGGCTGCAACGCGATTTTGGATTGTACATTGTCAATCTCTTTGATACGTACTTTGCTTCTCAATTGTTGGGTAAGTATTTTGTACAGGATGTGTTTCTCTTGATGGCGTACTTTTGTTCTCTAATTCAATATCGGCTTTTCTCATTCATTATAGAATTCCCACAAAAAAGCTTGGCCTATTTGCTGAGAACATACTGCAATGTTGAGGCCGACAAAAAATATCAGCTTGCCGATTGGAGAATTAGGTAAGGGTAAAACTGAGTAATGCTCTTGGATGATAAAGCGGGTACTGATCTGGTGAATATCTATTTGGTACAGACCTTTGCCTGAGGAAATGCTCAAATACGCCCGGGCAGATACGCACTACCTTTTATACATTTACGACTGCGTACGGAACGAACTGATAGAACGATCGGCCGCCAACGACAACTTATTACGAGCAGCACTTCAACGGTCCGCCGGTGTCGCAGCACAAAAGCACGAAAAAGAAGTCTATGATTTGGAAACTGGCGAAGGACCTAATGGTTGGAAGGGTCTGTTACGAAAATGGCAACACCCGATGACTACTCAGCAAATGGCAGTCTTTAAAGCATTACATCAATGGCGCGATGTGACAGCACGCGAGCAAGACGAATCTGTACGCTTTGTCTTACCTAATCATATGTTGTTTTCACTCGTTGAACGCATGCCATCTGATTCTGCCGGCGTGATGGGATGCTGCAATCCGTGTCCACCACTGGTTCGAATGAACGCACAATCGATTGGTATTCTGATACAAAAGACGCGCATGGATGCAGTATTACCATCATCAGCACAATCATCAGCAGCAACACAACAACAGCCGATAAAGACCGAAACACTTACTGAAAAGAAACCAGCAACGTCAATTACAAGTATACCAATCAAGAAAATCAAAGTTGCAAAAATGGAAGTTGATCCTTCGGCATTCGATTTGTCAAAGGTGGATCACTTACGACGAGAACATGCAGAAATGGTTGGCAAGGCCGTGTCGAGTTTGTTTGGTGAAGCTATGGATGACGCAATTGATGATGCTTTAAACGAATCTACGCGTGCCTTAGTAGATGAAATTCGATCCAACTTGAGATTGACCTTACCTTTCGAAGGATTGAAGTTCAAGCAGAAAGTAAAGGAAGAACCATTGTCGTCGCCATCCGCAGCAACAGCCCAGGCCGAACAATCATCCAGCAACCAACAGCAGCCAGCCGAACTTTTGTATGTGGCGCCTGAAAAACGCGAAACAAAGAAGCGAAAGGCGGTAGAAGCATCATCATCAACAACAACAACAACACAACAAGAACACGCTGTACAAGAAGAGCAAGATGCTATCGTGCTAAAAGATACCATGCGCAAGACGAAAAAGAAGAAAGGTAGCAAGAAAAAGAAGAGCAAGACTCCTCCTCAAGAGTAATACATAATCAACATAAAGCCACAAAAGCACCAGCAACACACCCGCGTTCTTGTAGATATAAGTAACATAGCAAAATAAATTGTAGTGGAGTGGTTTCTACTCTTGTTGAACATGACAGTCTTTAGGCGGTAATGTCATCCAGTACATATGCAGCAACTTGGTTGCATAATTGTCCAACGGAGAACGTCACCATCGTCAAAAGAGACGATGTGGTTACGGATAAATACCATACATGAGTGGAGGGGGAAATGGTATATGGGTTAAAAAAATTATGTTTATTCTGGAAGACTAAATGGACCGGCGCCTATGGCCATGTGGTCGGTGGAACTGCTCTTGATAGTCCAAAAATATATGCATTAACATTACCGGCAAATTAAGTCAAGCAAATTTTTCATACCTTCAACAAGCGATTTCTTCTTCTGCTCTTTGCAAACCGTGGAAAGCGTCATATGGTGCGTTATCTACTATGGGGCAAATGATATTCATACGAAAACGGAAACGACTGTCTTTTCGAAGTACTTTATTGACGTCGTTACTGTAATCTTCGAAGCCTGCATATAACGTTAATTATTTGTGTATGTCAGTCATGCTATACGATGAGAGGATACTACACATACCAAAAACAGGTCCAGCATTGGTCTTCGTGTTGTAGGACCTGAGACATTTCTAAGTCTGATTACGTGCTGCTTGTCTCTGGTCTGCGAGATTCTGTGTTTGATTGTGGCCTAAAGAGACGATGTTTGTAATGAGTTTATCTCTACTGGCAGCGCACTAATGAAAGATATTACCATTGCCTTGGTGTTTAAAAACTTGATTAATGATATCAGATATAGCAATAGCAACACGCAAATTCTCTATAGCTCTGCATTTTTGCGCAAATCTGCTGCTGCCATCTTTTTCGACGTTTCTTTTTTTCGATTCAGCGACGTGTCTATCCCAATTCTCTTCCATCTCTTTCATTGCTTCTTCATCATTGACATTAACGCCCGACTGTCTTAGAGCTTTCAGCGCATCTTCTTCAAGCTTGAGTGTGCGTACGTATCTGCGGTGGATGTATTGGCCTATAAGAGCAAACGTTCAGTGGATTTGCTGCAATTTGCCATGTTGGTGCGATTGATACACCTAAATTGTCATCTTTTTGTTGGGCGTAAAAGTTCAGAGCAATCGTCAGCGCGAGTCGTCTGTTGAGGGACGACATATGTCGTGTCATCGATACAAATCCGTTGAGGAATGACCAGAGTCTTTCCAGATGTTCGCCGTCTTGTAATCCAAATCCCGTCTTTAAACGAGGGTGAAAATGAACCTGGCATTCGGGATTATGCCCAGTTATATGGAAAATGCCGATAGCAATATCAACATCCTTGATGCTGTGTAGACGAGGCGTTTTCTGGGTAATAGAAAAGAACAGTTGGCATCCCCCACATAGCTTTGCAAAATGGTTTTCAAGGATTGTCGATTACCTGCAGAGTAGTACGAAGCTTGCAACCGACATCGTACATGATTCGGATATTTGATCCGTACAGAGGTGTGTCAATCACTTTATACAAGCAGCTGAGCATGTACGTGTATCTAACATCATTCAGCATCGTTTAGATAAGATCTGATACATTTAATGTATACTTCAAGAAACTCACTGTTCGCCTGGCGTATTCATATCCATGATGGCCACCGGATGACCATGACCACACGTACACGCGAATGCTCCTGTCTGGTCCAGATGGCTTGTTTTTACTCTCTTCTTCGAGTTGAGAGCTTTTGCCAAGTCTCACATCCGTCAGTTGCCTGGGAATTAAGGTTATTCAATATAAATGCACGCTCCATGTATGTCCTAAATATTCATACCGAGCTTTCATAGTGTATTACCTGCTCCGGCTGGACCCACCACAGGCGATCGACTTCCTCTTGGCCTTCAAAGGCGACTTCCTTCGGGTCCTTTGTCTTGGCAAAACGACGTAGTGACTGGTTTCCATCTCCAGCTATGATCTTGGGACCAGACTAAAAACAAACGCTGGACATGTTTAACTCCTTAATATAGATAATTGTTTCACAGCACATAAATTAGAAACATACCGCATATCTGCATGTAGGACATGCGTCATCCAGGTCACACAGATTACGATGCTTCTTCTCAAGATTGAGCATTAATCTCCCATAAATTGGGAGAGCTTCCGTCAGTCATTGCTTGAACGATGCAGGTATCGGAAGCTAATAGAAAGTGTGTAATCACATGAAGTGCATCCTATTTACTTATCTTTCCATCTATTAAACTAATTATACCTTGAAGTGATACTCTGCTCGAGCCCATTCAGCGATTGCATGGATCGAGACACGGCAAATGTAATGCGTATTATGGAACCTGCGCATTTGTTCATTGTGAATGGCGTGCTGCGGATCGGATGGTGTCAATGGAAAGAGATGACGACGCATCATGACAACTGGCAACGAATGTTTGGGGCATTTTTTTGCAGTAAGTGATCTTGTCAGGGCGAATTCCTAATACATATATTGATCAATTGATGGTCTACTTTCTAACTGTTTTTCCTTTTTTTATTCGTAAAGTTGAGGAACTGCTTCTATTCATACCACACTTGTAAACAGTCATGACGTAGGTCGACTTCTTCTCTTTGCACGCGCACGTCAAGAAAACGTCGTCGGTGGCCTTAAGTGACTGAGGTACTGGGACCTGAACACCATAGCCTTGAATATACGCCTCAGTGAGAAAAGGTAAGAGCTCGGCCCATTTCTTGGCACGTTCGTCTGTTCTCTTCCTTTTACGCATGACGAAAGGATTTTCAATGACGTTGACCCAATCATTTTCGTTGGTGTCAGATGGTGTAATCTGAGCTCGCGAATTGGAAGCATTACGTCCGATCAAAGAGGTCGTGTGTGTAAGCTTCTTCGTCCATACTTGTGAACTACTCCAAAAGTTCTTTTGCGTTTTTCACCAAGTTCAGACATCTATTGTTTGATAAGAGGAGAGGGGTAATAAACTACTGGCGGTAACTGCTATAAATGGCAAGTGTCATGTAGACCCCGCAGTTGCGGTTGCGGTTGTCGAGCTCTTCCTCGATAATACCGCCGACTATACAAGTCGGCAGCTGGGTATGAGAAGCAATACTAACAGCTCGTTTTTAATTGTGCCTACGCCTTATTCTGCTTACGCTTTCCGCTGGACGGCAATTTCCACTCAATTCCTTACCGTTTTCTTCGTGTATCTTACCCCAATTCATAAATGATTGGATGCGTACATGTTTATGTTTGTCAACAATTGGATATCCTGAATCATTACTTGAGGAATATTGGTGAGTGCGTAAACAGGGAAAGGCCGGAACACGCAAAGCTACTGCATCACATTAGGCAACTTCCAGTAGCCCGTGAGATTGCCTTTATCGGTTCTGCGAAGAAATTGCGTTTCGCTTTTTTCCGTACCTTTTTTTTGTAAAAAGCGTGCTAACGTTGGAATTAGCGAGGATATTATTTTGTACCGTAATGAAAAATACAACAGAAACCTTCATATACTTATCTCACAATTTCTGATTGTGCGAGTGAAAAGATTTACAGGTCACTATCAATCTTACAGCCATGCATTTTTTAACGCTTTCAGCGCATTGCCTTGGAGCGCAAAACAACATATAACACTACGATCATCATAATCATATGATAATGATGTGATGAAAAGATGCATTAAATGATCCAATTTCACTGGCACCTCATAATGTGTTTTGTAATGGTACGTCGCATAACGCTAAGTGGTATTGTAAATGACCTAACCAATAGCAAATCATCGATCAAGGTTACATAGCAGTACACAACATATTACCTTTTTTCGCACGGTCAGCCTGCGTATCAAAACGAGAAGGAGATATATCATATAAAAAACCATGGATAGTATGTAAACAGTGGAATAGCACCTTCAAAAGCTTTTTTTATAATGCAGAGGTATTTTAAACGATTACATCATCCAGCATGTAATGTACCGTAGTGGAGTAGTAATGACAAGAAATTGTTTTCTAGCCGTGAGAAGAAAAGTAGTGTATGTGATAATGAAGTAACAGTGCATGGACAATTGCCGCCGCTGTCAGTGCATTATTATCCTATCTGAAAACATTATGATACCGAAAAAATACAGTTCATGATTCTCCCACCTTTTGAATCTTTTTTTATCCGAATATGTTACAAAAAAGCACTGCATACACGTAATGTACTGGAGGTGGTTATCGGCCATGTCATAATTTTTTAGAAATATACACTGCTACTACACAGTAGTAAAACATGTACAACACAACAGTAACTGCTACATATAGATTTTTGAGCAAGATTCTCGAAAGTATGTTACTTCTCAGTGAGCAAAAAGGATGCTAATATATTTATCATCTTGCCTACTTTATTGACTCAAGTTAAAAGTCAACTGAGGTAAAGACCAGAATCAACAAGCTTTGAAAGAAACATTTATATCCGAAGGGATTGCATAAAAAGGAAGCAGGGGGAGACAATACTGTATGTGAGTGTATATAAAACTAGGTGCAGTGATATTATAATTATCAATGGAATTGTTGTCACAGCATTAGTGGGTGGCGGCTTATTATACACTTAAACGCAGTAATTACGTGACTCCGAGTATCGTCATCGTACAGTACCAGGTATTGCAGTTCTTAGCTCATCCTGCTCGCCACAATGCACGAAAGAAAGCGGTTTACTCTATATAGCAAGCCCCAGCATCATTGTTATACATTATTATATGCCTCACCCCCCCCCTTTCCTCCGTGAAAAAGAAACAAGGAAAACACCTCAACCCTGCTTATTAGGATGATGGCTTGCATATAACGTCGATGTGCAAGACACACATATAGAATTGTTTGGGCAAGTTGTCATACACTTCGGGATGGTGGTGAGGTGTGAAAAAAACTCCATATGCGCATGCATAACACGCACATATGGGCAGTTAAAAATTACACACATGATGATAATCCAATCAACATATACACGAGCACTCGTACGCACATTGTTATTACTATTCTTGATAATATTACGTATTTATTATTGTAACCACATCCCTCACTCTTGCTTTCTTTTGCTGCACAACTAGAGGATGTACGAAGATATGTGCTCCGTTGTACAGTGAGGCAAACTCTGCTACGAGCCGATCGCTCGGATGTGCGAGACGAGGCAATTAGACTACTATGATAACAATGATGCTGAATTAAAAGGGAAGGTGAGTTTATTAAAGAGGGCAACAAGTCTCATACTGTAAAAGAACATTCCTTTCATGTTTATATTTACAAATGCTCTTTGCAGCTGTATTTCTCTCTCTTACTCTCGCATTACATTATGATAAACAGTTTAGAGCGAGATGCAAAAAATAAGAGGAAGCAATAGTGTGCTTCCATGCGCATTCATAGTTGTTGGATGACACATCTAACATTGCTGGAAAAACGTCATGTGGACATGTTAGGAGGCGCTCTTTCGGGTAGGTTACATAGTAGTAAGTGGTAAAAGAAGAAGCCATGGGGTCATGGACCACGCTTGCATAAAACGAGAAACGAAAAAGGGTTGACATCCGAGTTTCCCGAGAGATCTATTTGCCCTCGTAAAAGGAGATAATGAGTTGGGGCTGACGACGACGACGACGAAAAAAAGCACATCTTTGCTTGTGCTACCTGAACTATAAACTCTAATCTACTCATTTGAAAAAGAAAAGACGCATGCTATAGTACATTGATGTGAATAGCTCCCACCGCAGCATATCTAGGTAACTTTAAACTGTCCATCACGTTCAGGTCCTTGAAAGGTCCGAAAGGGTCCGAAGCACATGAATGCAAGGCAGCCACTAAAAATGTGCCCGAACAGATTCAAAAATATAAACGCTTACTGTAAAATGATAGAGGAATAACAGTGGCTTTCACTTTCCTTCTTTCTCTCCTTCTTTATTTCCTGCCACACACTTGTGTCGATTGCAAATGACTCAATACATCTTGATAAGCGTTAGGACAAGAAATCACAAAGAAAGTCTTGTAAAAGAAAAAATTGGTCTCATATGCAAACTACGATGCAGCAGCATGAAGAAGCATGGCCCTGCAGCATTAGCGACTTATGAGAAAGTATCCACTTTATTAAAGAGCGTTAAACCGCAGCAACATTATCCCTAATACGAACTAGTGTGGTGAGTACAACATACGCTCCACTCGGTCTATGGACAAGAGAAGAAGCTGATCGATCGGGCGTATTTTACATCCGCTGTGTTGTTTGTTGTTGTCATAAGGACAACCGTTCTTTCTATCGAGAGAGAAAAGACCACGTATATTATCCGACCGCACATGTATAACAGCGTCATCATCATCATCGTCGTCGTCAATCATCACCACCTAGTACTATCGGAGCGTAAGAAGCTTAGAGGAAGTACATATGCGCTGCTAATATTGATAAAGCTTAAAGTATCTTGGTTACTACAATGAGCTATTCATTACATGGCAGGTATATAAAACTGATCAACCGGGTATAAGCTCATGACCAAAAAACACTACACTAGTTTGCAGTATCATCTAAATAAAACGGGCGATCTTTTTTAGATCGTTCGTAACAAACCGACTACTTAACTACTTTTGTAGTTGAGCAGTGACTGATTGTCGGTTAACAGAACAGAACAAGCAAGACACCGCCACGTGTTTACCATACATGATGTTTCTTCATACCTTCTCGGCAGCGTAAATTTCGAGGAGGGTTATTTTACGCGCCACAATGATATCATCAGCCCGCCGAGTAATATCGAAGCTTTTCATCATCAATGATAGAGTTTTTTATATCCATGTCATATATTCACAGTGTATGTTCTTATAAGAGGTAGAAGCTAGACAGATGCATCTGGATTAGCTCCAGACCTTTGATACAGAAACAAAACAAAAAGAGAAGAAGAGGAGAACTGGTGATCTGGTAAACAACAGCACTTCGTATCCGAAAAAAAAGATCGTTAGCTTGTCTATTCTCATATTTGGTGCGTCCAACGTGAACTCAACGTGGACAACTGTTTCTTCACTCCAAGGTTGTACACACGCTCAAATGGTACATGCAAGAGGATGTGGGGGGAGAGAGAGACGCATATAATGATATATTTTTTTTGGCATCGGATGCTACTTACGGCAACATTGGTATCGTATTCCGCAAACGAATAGCTGCTATCACTTTGATTTCGACTACTCGGAGTCAAAGTTGATATGTACTCCGCCTTCTCGCTTGCTGCTGTGTTCAGCTTATTTTCAAAATAAGCAGCACGTTTGGGGGAGGAGTGTGATTAATATTATTAGCCATGATAAACTACTCGATTACTTGGGCCCATGACATTAAGTGCAGAAATCCCATTTTGATGGCGTTTGGCCGAACGCCCATTTCTCACGTTACCCTCAGCAAAGACAAAAAACAATGAGACGCTCTTTGCATGTGTTATTGACTCATAGAACAATTCATCATCATTTTTCGTCACTTTCTCTCACGACGACAACGACAAGATAATTCGGAGATGGTGAACGGTCAGCTTCCGACTTGAATGTTCGTATTACGTACGTACAGTATCAGACAGACAGAGAGTGTGTGTCAATTAAAGCTATTTCACCATGGCAACAACAGCATTTGTTTCCATGACAATGGGATGCTCCGGGCTAGCAACAAATAACAACACTGAACAGGGCCCAAAGTATAGTAGTTTTTTTTTGGCTGTGTGTGCCACTCCTTCGATCCACCCTTTGAAGAACCCATATTGTATTTGGGTCAGGAGGGGAGGGGAGAAAAGGAGTGTGTTTCCCCCTTTCCCATACGTTCGGACAGATCGACGGTTCCGCTGGAGTAACACCCCCCTTCGTCCCCTCGCCCGCTAAAATTCTCCTTTTCTAACTTGTCACCCTTATATTTCGCTCACTCATCCGTCCAAGGATGGAGTACAGCTACTCAACGCCGCGAATAGAAGCAAAACAATGAAATAGGATATGATCGTCATTCACCACCATCTGCCACCAATACCCTCCTCCTTTTCTTTGAAAAAGCACTCTTCTGGTTTACCTTTATTACCGCCTCAAAGTACTATTTCAGGTGACAATGTACGTATAGTGCAAAGAATGTTTGAGGGATCCTCCCCCCTTCCTTTCAGTCAAGTGACAGGTTGGCTCCCTAATAATAATAAGGCAATCAGAGCAGGCAAAAAATATGCATACATATTTTTGGCGCGCGATATGATGACAACTAGATCTTATGCATTCGGCATCGCCGAGACTTTATACTGGCTGCTGCTGCTGCTCTTTGATTGAAGCTGCTTGATTGAATTTTTTTGGCGGCAAAGATCGAGCACCTGCAGAAATTCACCTACCCACCATGCCCTTTCAAAAGTGCAGACTTGCTTTTATTTTTCTCTCGCTTGCTGTTACTATGCCGCTGCTACCAAATGCCACTGTTACAACGTCATTTCTCTCTCCGTCTCCTTCCCAGCACACAAACATGCACCACACATCACACATCACAGTTGCTTGTACACTTCTTTTCGCGCACCAAGGATAGCGAGCACTCGGCTCTAACAAATCTTGATCCCTCGTCCGTCCGTCCACCCGTCCACCCATCCACCCTCGACACCGTAAAATTATATGATTGATCGCTTGGCAAATTATTCCCAACCATTAGGGGTCAGGTTAGGCTCCGGCGTAACACCAAGCCCACTTGTATCTTGTTGGAATGACAGCGATTGGCAATGTTTCATACGTCAAGGTTCGACCCACGGAAAACAAGATGCGCAGATGTGTGAGAGTTATGTACTGGTGCAGGTTCCCTTACTATCACTACTGCTATTACTACCACATTCGACGGCACGACTATTCCGCGAAAGAAAGAGAGAAAGGACCCACAAATAAGAATAGTCGCCCCCTTTTTTTGTTTCTCTTTCTCTTCTTTTTTTCTTTCTTTCTTTCTCTCTTTTTCTGTTTCCCTGCTGTTACGCTACCATATCCCGCTCGAGCCTCTTGAACACCCTTTTGTAAAAAAAAAGACCTTTTAGAAACAAAGGGTAAATAAGACCTCATTCTTCTTCTTGTCGTAGACTCTAGCTGATAGTCTTTTGGCTTAATCGTCATCCCTCAAGCAGTTCTCTTTTCATATTTTTGATAGTAACATTTTGAAGCGCAATAACAGAGTCAAAGGTAATAAGCAAGAACCTTACACATCCAAACAGGTGAAAACTCAACACACGTGATCCATATATCATAAATCCAGTTCTTTATACGACTCGTGCCACTCTCGTTGCCTCATTGCGTAAGTCATTGTCATCCCCTTGCCATTTGACATTGCGGGTCCAGTTCACTCGTACAAGCTGTCAAGCAACTAACAAAAGAGTAAAAAAAAAACCGCTAACGAATCGTTTTGTCCCCCTCATCCATTTTTTGTCACACACACACCAGGTGATTTTTATTTATATTTCCCTTTAACCCACAATGGCATCACAAGCTACTGCTGCTGCTTCCAGCAATGCGAATCAACAGCAGCCATCAAATACTCTGGTAAATATTACAGAAGGAGAGAGAGAAATCCTTACACTTTCGTCCCTGTTTTTCTTTCCAGATCTTGTTTATGCATTGTAATTTGGGGAATATCACTGACTGATCTTTGGATGATCACAACCAGCTCGAACCATTCTATACTGATCTGCTGGAAAGCTCATTTGCAACCAGCCAAGAAGCCATTGAATTCTGTCGAGACTTGTGTGCCCAATACGGCTTTACAGTAAAGCAAGAATCGAGCACCCATCGTGTAAGATTTTGTCCCAAAAAACTAACAAAATGGGCGCACAGACCGCCCCATAATTCTAAAACATAGTGTGCCTCCACCACCCCCCATTATCCTTTCCCGATGACGCTCACATCAGTATATATGGCATATTTATATTATCCCCGCCTTTGTTTTTTTTAACTACAGAACATTTACGTCTACTGCTCCCGCGAAGGACTTCCCGACTCTGTCCGCAACCCAAAGCGAAGTCCCAAACGCAAGAGGCCATCTAAACGCTGCGACTGCAAATGGCGCGTCGTGTTGAACGAAAACAAAGAAACGCACACATGGCGATTCCGCAAGTCCAACAACCCCGATGCCATGATCCACAACCATTCGCTGATGCGGCCCGAAGAAATCGAGCGCGGCTGGCCTAAAGAAGTGCATGACGTGATTTGCCGACTGGCTCGCGAACGCATGACTACACAAGAAATCCGACAGCAGGTGCAAGCACAGTTCTCTAGCATTACATGGAACGAACGGCGCTTCTACAACCGCTTATCGGAAGAACGACAAAAGATTCGCCAGCAAGAGACGGTGGAACGCGCGCATCGTTTGACGGCGACCTGGACTAAAATATGCATGGCTGCTGCCGGCTGTGATGAGCTCACAGAGTATGCGCAGACCCATGTACTTGAGCTGCTGCATACAATTTGCGACATGGCGCAGATTTCAATAGATACTCTTGAGAAAAATGTTCCTGTGCTTATCCCTGATTCGATCCCGGAAGAGCCAAATCTCTTGTCTGCCTCGTCATCGCCATTGTCGTCCTCCGCTTCGCCTGCTGCAGTTCCTGGTGCTTTACCTTCCACCAATACCACTGTCGCCGGTGGCGGCCCTCTTATCACTAACGAACACGATGAAGAGCTCTACAACAACAATAACAATGACATGCGCCGTTATTCGTTGTCAGTATCAGAGCCAGATGTAGACATGATGAAGCCGCCTTCTCGCCAAGGTTCTTGGCAGGCCGGTGCCGACATTCCTTCCACTCCTACTATCACCGACAGCACCAATAACTCGCTATCTACAAAATCAGCATCCCAGTCGCAACAACAGCAACAGCAAGAAGTGCCCAAGAATTTCACAATGGTCGTAATACCAAAGCACGCTTACCTTGTCAAGGTCCACAACCAACGGTCATTGAACGAAATGCAAATTCAACGCACACATCGTCGTTCACGATCAATTGGACCCGGAGATGATATTGCCGATGCACATATGCGAAAGCATACTAAATTCAACAACCATCATCACCATCAACAACAACAACAACAACAGCAACAGCAACAACAGCATGTGATGTCAATGAACAGCACCATGCCTCCTCCACCTTCCCCTCATCGCTCTATGATGCCACCGCCACCACCGCCACAACAACAACAACAGATGCAACCACCAATACCACAACAATACCCGCATCAACATCACCATCACTCTATGGTCTATCCGCCACCGCCGCCTCCACAACCACATCCTTCCAATAACACGACTACAACCTACGATCATAACACCATGTCCCTCCCACCTACTACTACGACTGCCTATATTCAACAAGAAGCACTTCCATACACCATGGCACCACCTCCTTCTCGACAAGCTCCACCACATCAACACCATCATGATTGTAACGACTTGTCGGCGACAACAACGACGACGACAACACAGGAAGATGCAAATATTGCATTCCCACCATTGGATACATCAAGTTCCACAGTAGCGAGCACACCTTCGCCAGTTTCAACAGGTACACCTCCTGCAGTTACAGCTTCGGTTATCCCGTTCGGTAACCCAGTAACAGCAGCTACTACTACCACGATGACGACAGCAACCAGCAGTAATAACAACAACAATCATAGCATAGACAGCCCGTTTATGCCAATGCATCAACAACACCATCGGACGAAAAAATCACACCGACGCCATTCCTACAATAATGTCCACCCACCTTTTCATCAGTATCCCATGATGTCAGGGCAAGCAATGTATCATCAAAAGCAGCAACAACAACAACAACAACAACAGCAAGGTAATGAACATCTCATTCTCAATGATGTGGCACTGTTACTAATGTTTTTCTTTTTCTCATCCACTGGTAGTAGTTGGAATACCTGCTGCTATGGGAGGAGGAGGAGGAGCAGGTCGACCTCATGATAATAGGCACCATCACCATCAATATCAAAGAGTTTCCCCCTCAATGCCAATGCCAACAGCAGCAACACCACCACATCAGCAACAACAACAGCAACATTCAATGATGGTACCAACTGTTCCAGAACATGGGACACCAAGACCTGATCAACAGGTAAATTGAAGAAATGCACATAAGATTGACTTTTTACTTTAGCGATTACTTATCATAACGATTATTACGAATAATACTAGATTCCTTGTTATGGCACTGGTAATGGCTCGTATTGGTGAGAAAGCTCTTGATCATACCAGCATATACTTCTTTCTGTGTTTTTCTACAATTACTACTACCCTTTTTTTTGACTATGACCAATTTTCTTTTACTTTTATTTTCTCTTCGACTTGTGCAATGTATGTAAAAATCTCATCCCAAACATAACCCGTATGCTTCCATCCCAAAGGAAAATGAAAACTAGCAAAAAAAAGTTTATACGAGAAAGCACAACATCCCCTCCCCACCACAACCTTCTTGCAGCGCTTATTAGTTCCTTTTAGCTGTTTCTGTTCTATTGTAGTACGTTAATCAATAAAAAAATAAGAGTTGTTACTTATACTCTTTGATGGATAATAATGTTAAGATGTCCTTTTGAAATGACTTGGTGGCAGATTGCGTGTGCTGCGTCCTATTTGCGCAGGGTAAGTGAAGTCAGTCAGGTAGCCAGGTACTAAGTCTATTTTTGGAGAATAGAGGTCAGTTACCCAGACAAGAGAGGAGTGTGCTTTTCATGCGTTCGATATAAACAACCCCCCAGTTGCCAGCACCCCCTTATTACAACAGCAAGCCAGACATCAAAACACTGCGTGTCTCTCCTTGCTCTCTCTCTCTTTCTTCTTTTCACTCTTTCCCTACTCCTCTTCTTTAACTCTTTTTCTCTCTTATTGAATATCGCATACAAAAAAAATGACGTTTGATTTTGAGGAACAGCACGACAGTTTATTTGACAGCAGCAGCACATCAGCATCGTCACAAGAAGGACTAGCAGTTTGCCTAGGAGAAGACCTTCGTTTTGGCAAAGGTACGTTGCTGTATATTACTTAGGATGTAACAAAGCAAATAGCTAATAATGGATGATATAACAGGCGTGGCATCTGCATTCAAGCAACGGTTCGGAAATCATCAGCATCAACTACAGACACAAAAACGTGTTGTAGGACAAGTCGTTCATATCACCGTCGCCGGGGCTTCTTCACCTGTGAAACGCCACGTGTTTTATCTGATATCGCGTGCAAAAGTATACAATCGCACCAATTATGCAGACTTTGAAGCATGTCTGGTACAGTTGCGCAAAGCAACAGAACAATTGGGCGTGTGGCGCTTAGCGGTTCCTCATGATTTTGGTACGGATGGGTTACAGGAGAAGCATATCAAGGAGCTCTTGTTCAAGGTCTTTCATGGTAAGGACGGATGAGTGGTGGCAAAAAAAAAGAGTTTGAAGTTGCAATTCGAAATGACCAACAATTTATTCTCCATTTCAATCGTGGGATGTTACCCATGAAACACACAGGATGGCAAGGCAAGATGGTAATGTACAACGGTGACAGTGTTTAAAAGTTGCCAAAGACTGTGCACCCCTTGCACTACACCCTTCTATATTCTTTTTGTTTCGCGTGTATAGTACACTCTCCATTTATAGAAACAGCTCATTCATTGGTCCCTAAAACCCCAATTTACAATATGCATTTCCTACAACCATGCTTTGCTTTTTTTATACAGTAAACGTAAAGAGTACGGCACCATCATTCAACAATAGTAAACAACGCTGTGAGAGTGAATCTAAATTGTTATTTCTATGGAAATACATCGTATATATATTACATCCGGTGTGAGTTCGTCCGACTAGGCTTACAAGGTAGCAGAATAGAAGGACAGCTCTTTCTTACACTATTGTACCATGGCCGCTTTATATTTTCTTGAAGGGTATGATGCACTACGCACAATTATGTGAGACGATATAATGCAGTACAGCGTATAGGAAGTTGGGCTGGGTCATACCTGAGTATGTTTGGAAAAATGGGTCGCTACTATCATATATATCCTAAGTCGAGTCCATCCATTTGAGAGAACTCAATGAAACCCTGTGGATTCACAGAAACCTGTACTGTATATGTTGCCGTCATTATTTATTCATTCGCTGCAGCATATTTTCTCAAAAGCAAAGGTGTACAAAAAGAAAGCATCGCTACTGCTACACTTTGCCGTGACTGAGAGAAGAAGCTGAGCGCTGCTTGACACGCTTTCAACTATGCATAGAACCATTATACTTCGAGAACATGTACGACGACTTTCTTCAAATACTATCACATTGCTCTCAAGTATTATATACACAGCCCGTAGCATTGAAGAGCTTAATGTATCCAAGGAAGCAGAGATGGTGAACATAATGAAACACCACTAATATGATTGCAAATAAGCTCATAATAAATATTAACAACGTATATCATATTTAGTCTTCGCATCAACAAAGGAATATACCACTATAAAATATAACAGACTTTGCACAGCTTAGCATTTACATTTTTATATGACAATTACAGTAACTTCCCCTTTATTTCACATCCGTCAACTTTCAACCCTCTATAGTTTCACCAAATCTCTGAGATTGATAAAATAATTCACTGGTACATCAGTTCTACCAGGACCCCAGTATCTTCCGCTTCCGCGCTTCGATCCCTTATTCCTTTTGATAGGATAGCTGGGAAGGGGGTGCACTGCTACAGTTTCTGTTTGCAAAGAGACAAGAATCTCAGAGTCGTTAGGTTCGGTTTCAACCATGACTTCTACGATCGGAATCTCGACAACTGGTTGCTAAATTGTTGGAACTAATTGTTGGAAACGGCCATTATTGGAAGATCTTGCTTGCTCTTTTGCGCGTTTTTGTCTTTTATTAGGTGGAGGCATACTTGAATAATAATAAACAATGAGTAAAATCTTAATAACGCGACACGCGCCCTAGCAAAAAAGTGAGGAATCCTGGGAGCCACTGAAATTTCGCGTAAACCAAATCCGGCCAATAGTTTCCCGATAAGAAACCCCACATTAAGGTCCGGGCAAATAGTTTTACCGTTAACACATATACCATCAGGCACCGCTTTTCTGCGGCTTTTCATATAGACAATGCATATCAATACTCGCCAATTTTCTTAGGTTTTTCCATATAGACGATCTATATATCAATACGCGCCATTATTTGAGGTCTTTTAATAGGCAATGTATACTAAGAATAACCATTTTTCGATGTTTTCATCGCTATTCTAAAAAAGAAAACAAGATATGGAGTTTAAGTTTTAGTTTTGCTTGCCCTGGCAAAAGAGGTTCGCGTTTTTCTGTTTCTTTTTCATTTCCACCACGGACACTACTCAAGCCACCACCACTACTACTACTATTAATGCCTTCGCCAGTGGCACTGTTGCTTCGCCCGAGATCGTGACAGTTCGCAATGCTCTTGATGCCGGTGTTTTTACCAAGCATGAGAGTACAAACGTACTGATTGCCGGAAGACAAGACCTGGTATCTCTTTTGTTGGTCGCGTTGGGACGTTCGAAACTTGTCTCGACTGTCGTGAACACGCAAATCCCCAGGATTGCGTTCCTCTTGATCGAATGAATTTTTTTGGATTATTTGGCCGATCAGTACCCTTTTGTTGAGGATAACGGAACTGTACGTTTGATATGCTATAAAAATATTCAGTTAACTTGATATTCATTCGTTTGCCCATACTCATATGTTTACTATGCAGCACTATCAATCTATGGGCTATATCTGCATCGAACCCTATATGAGAGGCGAGGATGCGATCATCAACGCTGTTATTGAAGGTGTCCAGCGCTTAATGGATTCCGATACATCAGGAAAAATACTGGTGATCCTCAGCTTTCGTCTGATATATCTTTTACCGCGTATTGCTCGCGTTCGAGAACGTATCAAATTCAGATTGAAGATGCTCAACGCAGACGGGTGACAGATCGTATGGAAACATACGATTGTGGTGGCCGTATTCAAGGAAAGGTCAGAGAAGATCTCGGTTACGTGGAGCTGATTATAACCCATCGCCAGCATGCACGCTTCGGAATTGAACCTGTGGAAAGAAACCTGGTTCCAGACGATATACGCGAGTACATTGCAAGAAGAACTCGGCAGTCCACGACTATCAGCCCGACCATCCTGTACCATGAAGTGATCCAGGAGTTTCCACTCTCGGATATCACGCCAGAACAGGTGTATTACTGGTGGAGCGAGACTTTTAAACACGAGTATCGCTTGCATGAAGATCAGATGATCTCGACGCGCATGCTTGTTCGTAGATACAATGATCAAATTTTCCGAGAGGTGTGTACAATATAAATTGCTAACAATGAATTCAGTCTTCTCTTTGTAAAAAAATAGAATTATTATAATCTTATGCAGTTACAATAAATCCTAGGTTTTCTGGAAACGTGAAAGAGGCATTGCTGTTGCTTATGGTTTCATTACCCCCTTTTTACCTCTGCTCGTGACAAGTGATCATGTGGAAGAGTACTGCATTGATTCCACTTACAAAACCAATCGTGTCGGCTCTGAATTATATGGAATCTTTGCAAATGTAAATGGTGTGGGATTTCCGATCGGATATCTTTTAGATCTTGCATCTGATGAAGCTGGCCCCAATACAAAAACAGATACCCTTATCGAGTTCTTTGAGGTGCTAAAGGGTGATCATTTCGATCATCTGTTTATGTTCTCGGACAAGGATCAAGGGCAGATGAAGACTATCAAATATGTGTGGGGCGAATCGCGATTGCGTCTTTGTCTTTGGCACATGCAAAGATCGGTTGAGCGCAAGCTGTCCAAGCAGAGAAGCGCCTATCCACCACCATATGGTAGTGCACAAGCTCATCGCGGTTTTCCTTCTGTTAATCCGGACTGTACACCGTCTACTGGTGGACGTAGTGGCGTTATTTGCCAAAAAGCAGACCGCAAACATATAATCGAATTAATGACAAAGCACTGCCATCAGCACCCTCCCGATGGTAACATTACTTGTACTTACAGCAATAACTTAAATGTGACTTGCTATGCTATATGTTATAACTAAAGTATGCTAATGCGAGAATACTCTGAATAGGTACTACAACACGTACGGCCGAAGAAATTCACCAATTTGCCGTAATATGCAAAAGGGTATATCGACGCCTGGATTTATTTGTACGAGCGATGGTACAAGCCAGCAGCATGGAAGCTATGGGCGCGTAGCAGCATCCGTGATCGCATTCCAGCTGGGAGAACAACAATGCTGATCGAAGCGCACTGGAAGGTTTTAAAAGCGCATTCACTAATACCAGTTTAACCGTGCACGTTTGGATCTATTGGTGTATGTTATCATTACGCGTCATTGTCGCGAGTTACGGCATAAATTTCGGCGTGATGTTGTTCGGTCTCGTCGTAACACACGATGGAAACAAATGTTCGTCCGTCAATGGAACAAGGATGTCCTGATGGCAGAAAGCCCGGATGCAGTCACCCAGTTTTTAACCATCAGTTGAAAGATAGACCTGCGGTTGTCCGGCTTTTTTGCGAAGTCGATTTATGATCTGTGAACACCTTGCTCGCCGTTCTGGTTATGGCCGCATTGTCGCTAAACAACATTTTATTCAACGCCAAAGCATTGCTCCGTTTGTGCGTATACAACCAGAAGTAAAATTGATAAATAAAACTACTATGTCTACGAATTCTGCCTAGGATTAAATATGTGCCATTGTACACTTAGATCAGTGAGTACTGTATGTTTTCCGGAACATTTTAGACACTACCCATGGTGGCGGCAATGCCACTGACAACGATGATGATGTTGAAGTTGGACTTTTTGATGATGTCAACTGGGATATCGCACCTCTTGTTACTACTACTACCGGCATTCATCCCCGCTTCTCTCCTTCTCCTTCTCCTCGTCCTACTACCAGTACTACTACTACCGCCATCACTGTTCTGCTGCAACTAGCAATCCAACGGCTCCAACATTGATCGACCTAACCAGTGACGATGACGTAGTTGATGTCCATCAGGAACAGGACCGTTTGCGCTGGGAGCTTCACATGCAGGCGAATCGAGCAGAGCGACGTGCATTGATTGAACAACTATGATACAAGCAAACCTAGAGTCGTTTCGCGATGCTGCAGATGAATATCAACAAGTTGTATCGACTACACAATTCGATGTTTTTCGTGCAGCAGTTCAAAATAGCACTGTTGATGACTATTTGTCAGAGAATATTCAAGATCGACGTAGACGCACTATACCAACTACATTCCGCGAGACAAACCAACATACACGACATATATAATACTCACCGGTTCTTTCTCTCACAGATTCTTTTACAGTTCTTGCTTCGTATGCATCCCGCGAGAAAAAAAAGCGTTCACATCTGCACATATACATCACACATACTTATTTGTTACAGCACATTACTATTGTCAACAAATTACTCCAGTGTTTAATTACTATTATTATCGCAAATTCCAACATTATTTCCACATTTTTTCTTGACATATACACTTATTACTTTTTCTTTTTTTTTCTTTCTTTCATCTATGATTATAAAAAATCCTTAATCTTTTATTAATTTAATAACTTTGTCTCGCGAACAGAATTCTTGAAGCTTGAATTCTCGTTAATTTAAAACAGTATTACCGTGACAAGTTTTTCTCTTGTCTTCAATGGTACTGCTGGGCGGCAAGCAGCCTCTGTTTCACTGGGTGCATCTTGGTCGTCCATCGTCTCTACAACATTTGGTGTGTATTTTAATTTATTATGTATGTAGCTAAAAGGTCATTTTGGCCAGGTAAATGTATTGCATAGCAGGCTATGTGAATTACGTGATCATTACAGTGATAACATCATGAGCGTTGGTAATATATGTAACATCGAGATGTGTCTAAATAAAAGAATATCCGTGTATGGTAGTTTGTCCTAGTATTTGTTGACTTTCACAATCCAAAGAGATAAGTTTGAAACTAAAGCGGGACCACTGTGTGCGCTATAAACAATACAGACTGGTTGTCCATAATGTAACAATCTGTTGATGTACTCGAATTCCTAAGACCTTATCACATCCATCGCCAATTTTCCCAGTCTCTTACGCTAAGGCTACCATCTGTACAAGTTTGATACACGCTACCATTATCGTCAACTCTTCGCTGTGTTATCAAAACTTTACCAATTTTAATATTGCTATCGATGCATACTCATAATTACAACTACTTTAGGTCTCTTGACAAGCTGATGGTTTTCGTGTAGTATCGATAATTATGGCAAGTACTGTATTGCCTTGGATTTTTACTACTGTACTCTCGGCAATTATTGCCAACCCTTCTTCTTTAGAATAGGGTCAACTAGTACTTTATGAGACACTTTGAGGTTGACCGGGAAGCTGTTCAGTAGACTAAGCCGAATTTGACAGCTGTATATCACAACAGATCACTGACTGGCTCGTATAACTGAGTTGAAGGACTAACAGCGTAGAGCGCATAGCACCTTTCCACGTATTTTTTCAATTCAAAGAACCTTAATCATTATGTGGTATTGTGTCGTAGATCCAAAAAAAAGCGAAGAGAATATCTGTGTGCGTACAGCACCTGAAGTATAGTATCATCGGCAGGAAAAAATAGACACGAGCGCAGATGAAGAGTGATGTGTAGGACAAAACGACACTGGTGATTCGCATCAGGTGTTTGTGGGTAGAATGTAACATGAGTCATAACATTATCTTTGCACGAAAATCAACACTACTGTCGTTGCTCATACATCTTGGATTTTCAACCTGCTTTGGCTGATCTCATTGCATGATAAGTAACTGTTTTGAAAAGAACCCTGTCGGCGGGCTTGACGCCGGCTGCACGAAGCTTCATTTGAGGTCGCACAGGTACATCGTCGCACCGGAACCGACGCCGGCCGGTTAACGATGTGCCCGCCAGATCATGAAACCTCACCCCCTTGTCGGCAACTTCCAGTGACCACCGAACATTGTGATAATACTACATCCGTAAAGTGATTATCGAATATTACTTCTTGGAGGCATTTATATCTGAGATAAAGAAAAGAAAAGGTCTCCTCGCTGGTTACATGTACGGAAAACTTGGGCACGCGCAGTGGCAATGATCTGGTAAGAACCAGTTTCTCACGTGGATCTAACAGATCACACACTTCATATGTTCTTACTGAACTAGAAATCTTTTTTCTTTCGCCTTTTTTCCCTTCCCCGTCATCCCGAGACTTTTATCGACATGGAAAAGACGAGCTTGATTCGTGAAAGCTTGTATGTGTACCGCTATTACGTAGGACTGGTCACAGCAGCGACTATCATTTGCGGCCAAGTTTACCGACGTTATTTCGCTGTGCCAAAACAGCTCAGACACATACCGGCCATAAGTTATTGGAAACACATATATTCCTTGGTGAAGAAAGAGCCTATGGTACCTCGGACACAGCGACTTGTTTTTCCGCTACTTCCAAAAGCTAACGGCCTTTATCTCGTGCGTGGAATAAGTTTATTTTTCCTTCTTCGACGAGCCTGATCGATGATAGAATATGATCCATCGTATTTCGCTTGCTTACTATTATTTTTCCCCTCTATTCTCTTGAAATCAGAACAAAATGCCCTTTGACTGGACAATTTATGTCGCAAATCCGCTCTTGGCCAAAACTGTTTTGTTCAAGCCAGGTATTATTTTGGTCTAATTACTATATGCGGAACTGACTGGTCTGCTGACACATTACATTTGTTTGCGCTCAATCACCATGCCAACAACCTTTTCTTTGGATTTTTAGAATACGCTACCAAGACAACGTTTCTCATGGATTATTTTGCGGAGGACAGCCCGATTATGCATTTTTCAGGAAAAGATAACATCGCTATAGTCAATGGTGAACAATGGAAAGAGCAGCGAAAGGTAAATGAAACAGTCGGATGTTATACACGTACTCCTTAGCTTGTTGGGACTATAGCGAATCATAAATACATGAGCGCTAATCAGTCGTTCCCTAATCGGAATTTAAGATTATGAACCCTGCCTTTCATCGCTCGATGCCTGTGGGTGTATTTGGAAGTCTGATGCCCAGCGTATTCGATTTGATTGAAAAGATGCAAACATCAAGCAACGCCACCGGCGCTGAGGAGGGAGTGTCAGTCATCAAGTTGACGCGTCGTTTGACTCTTGATGCCTTGGGAAAAGCTGCATTCGGTATGTATATTTTTCTCTTAGATTCCATTGGCTTTACGATGGCGATGGTAATCACAAAAGTGCGATAGCTAATATAATAGTCGTAGATTTCGATTTTTGTGCACTCATCGATGAAAATTCTGTATGGGTCAAAACATACAATCAAGTATTGGAATCCTTTTTGGAAGTCATCCCTACCTTTTTTCCAAATGTAGATCGTATCTATCGATATTTGAGTCCAAAGAGACGGGAGCGATACAGTGCCGCGTTTAGACTGGTTGCGTTGCTAGATGATTTGGCGGACAAAAAGCGTCAAACTTTAGAAAGCCAAAAGTCCAAGTTGGATGAGATTCCTCAAAGTGAAAAAGACCTACTTACACTGATGCTGGAAGCTGAAATGCGTGGTGAAGGAGCATGGACAAAAGAAGAACTACGGGTATGTGTTTACATCAAACATAATTTTTATGTAGTGGGGTTCATACACGAGCTTCTATACAGCTGCATGTATACTAACTACTATGCTCTGCTGTCACTTCGGGTAAACGCAAGCATAACATGGCAATTTTCTTTCTTGCAGGTACAACTTCAATCACTAACTCAATCATTTATGTTGATTTGCCACTAAAGATCTCTCATTTGCATGATAACGAATCAAATACTAAAAATTAGGCCACGATACGACAAGTAATTCGCTAGCCTTCTGTTTGTATTACCTTGCTGTCAATCAAGTAAGCCTTCTATGTACTACAATGACAATGCAATCTGATTGCTTAAAACGCTCTTTCATCCTCATCTATGAAACGCACAGGATATTCAAACAAAAGCGCGGGAGGAAACTCTACAAGTTCTGGGGAAAGAGCCAATGGATATTTTTCCAACATTGGACGACTGCAAAAAGTTTTCGTATCTCGACATGTGTATTAAGGAAGGATTACGACTGCAACCGCCTGCGAACGAAATTACTGCACGCGTTGTATCCAAGGATTTAGACCTGGGAGGAATACTGATTCCCAAGGGAAGCATGCTGAACGTAGACATCCAAGCACTGCACTACCGCCCAGATCTATGGCATGATCCCGAGAAATTTATTCCTGAACGATTTGCTGAAGGTGGTGAACATGATTCCCACGAAGGAATGACGTACGCTCCCTTTTCCGGCGGATCAAGACAATGCATTGGCATTAACTTTAGTATGATGGAACAGCGAGTGATCTTATCAATGTTATGTAAGTCAATGTGCTTATCATCTAATGTTATTTTACTTTGTCATTTGGACAATTATTGTACTCATGTATAAGCCTGTGTGTATACTTAGTGAGAAAATACGAGTGGCAGCTCCCCGCTAACTCAATCCATCGAAGCGGTCTCGTAATGGATCAGACATTTAATTTGGCACCGGAATCCCTTAAGATAAAGTTCAAGAAGCGATATTAACTAGGAGGAGTGCAATCAAGCATTGAGCTTTGCAGTACATGTTAATTATAATTATGTGTATATTATGGAAATATAAATATGGGTAAATAAAACAGCTTATGGATGTAAAGAAATGCACTTTCTTAGTCTTATGTCTTATAAAATAATGTGAAGACACATACTTGCGCAATTACATTATAAAGCTATGATTCTACCAGTCGGAAGCCATCAAAGCATAAGGTTTCTTGCTATTTCCGCTGCCATACACAATACAAATGAATGAAATAATATGCGTCATAGCGCACATTCCATGATCCCGAGTTATTTTTACCATGATTGCTGTGGCCAACCTTCCTGTTATTGCATACCTTTCCTTCAAATTATTACTGTAGCTCACCAAGCAGTACATCATTATACATCAGTTGTTCGGTATTACAATTTACCGCCCCGGCGTCGTCTCCGTTTTTCAAACGCTCGACGAGGAGGATGGTGTGGTGATTCAAACTTTCCCGGCCTTCACTTGCGGTTGTACTCGGAAAGAATCTCTCAAACAACTCCATAATCCGAGTTTGACTCATACAAACGGATCCTCATTAATATATAAGCATTGTCTTTTCTCTGAAGAGTTTTTTTATACCTCTTGATCTTTTTAAACTCTTTACCAGCAAAAAAACCATCATGAGCACTACTCGCCAGGAGCTGATTGGAAAGCAAATATACTCTTATCGCTACTACCTAGTGCTGGCAGGCGCTGTCACCTATGTTTGTCGCAGAATCTACAGAGGATTCTTTACAATTCCAAAGAAATTTCAACATATTCCTGCCATCACCTTTTGGGATATTTGGCGATCATTAGCAACCAAGGAGCAATTGACTGACCGGACGAAGAGACTTGTCTTTCCTCTACTTGAAAAAGGAAACGGTATCTATATGGTAGCTATTTTTTCTGAGTCGCAATTCACTTGAATAGTGTAATCGATACACGAACAGCCACATGCATGTGCTGGCCTACAAATTCAAATCTTCCTCTCTCTTTTCGATTTATAGAACAAGTTCCCGTTTGATTGGACGCTTTATGTCGCCAATCCTATATTGGCCAAAACCGTTCTTTTCAAGCCAGGTAAATAAGTGAAAGTAAATAACGAGACTGACTCTTCGTCATTTATGCGCAACCGAGGAAATTTTCATTTTTGCTTGCTCTTTATATATTTTGCTCTACAATAACTCAAATGCTTCTTTTTTAGAACTCGCATCCAAGGCACAAGCTGTCATGGACTATTTTCCGGATGAAAGTGCTCAAGCTCAATTATTCGGCAAGGATAATCTCAGTATAGCGAATGGCAAGCAGTGGAAGGAACAGAGAAAGGTTGATACATAGATTTCGTTAACTACATTTAAGAAGCTCACAGACACCCATAACCTAAAGCTTATGTTTACCAGATTATGAACCCGGCATTTCATCGCTCAATGCCAGTTGCCGTGTTCAGTAACCTGATGCCACTCGTATTTCAAGTCATTGAAGAAAATGATGGCAACGCAACTTGTGCTATCAAGCTTACAAAGCGGTTGACACTTGATGCAATTGGAAAAGCTGCATTCGGTGATAACTAATTTGTCTCTTATTCCTGCTTGTTATTGTCCAAGCCCGTCTTCTCTCACTAATACCTAACGTGTACACTATATAGATTTCGATTTCGAAGCGCTTAAAGATGAAAACTCTGTTTGGGTTCAAAAGTACAACCAAGCCTTCAAAGGATTTATGGATCCAATTCCTATTATTTACCCCAGACTCGATCGCATCTACCGGGCCATAAGCAAGACACGCAGGGACTGTTACAATGCTGCATTCGAACTGATTGATTTGCTTGATGATCTCGCCAACCAAAAGCGTAAATTATTGACTGAAGCGTCCAACAACAAGGTTGACGCTCCACAAAGCGAAAAGGATTTGCTTACATTAATGCTGGAGGCAGAATTGAATGGAGAAGGCTCCTGGACCAGACAAGACTTGCGGGTATGTTGGTTCTATCTTATTTTATGTAAACACTGAGATGATGTCAGTAATCACTGATTTGGTTTCTCGTATTTATAAAAAAATAGCACAACATGGCACTCTTTTTCTCGGCAGGTATGTAATTCTTTTTTGTATACACATATGGAGATATATATATCGCTTACCTGTGCCACTGTATAGGACACGATACTACCAGTCACTCTTTGGCATTTTGCTTATATGAGCTCGCTGCTAACCAAGTATGACCACTGCTATTTTTTTTAAAACATTACTGTTCTTCCCGTGACTACTAGGTATTTACTACTAAACTCATGTATGATTTTCTTCTACCTCGTCATAGGACGTTCAAGAGAAAGCACGACAAGAATCATTTGCCGTTTTCGGGGACGAGCTTATTGATGTCTCTCCAACTCTTGAGGATTGCAAGAAGCTTCCATACATTGACCAAATCATTAAGGAGACTCTACGAATGCACCCACCGTTCAACGAAATCAATCCACGAATCGCCGAAGAAGACCTAGAGCTTGGCGGAACACTGATTCCCAAAGGGACCATGGTGAATATTGATATTGAGGCACTGCATTATCGTCCTGACTTGTGGAAAAATCCAGAAAGATTTGATCCAGAACGGTTTGCTGAAGGTGGCGAGCATTATTCGCAAGAAGGCATCACATGGGCCCCATTTTCAGGCGGTTCCCGCCAATGCATCGGCATCAACTTTAGTATGATGGAACAGCGTATAGCGTTGTCAATGCTATGTAAGTCATTCTCTTCATACCATTTCTTAAAATATGTACAGTATTTTTCTTCAATTGATCTTGTCTACTAAAATTCTGTAGTGAGAAAATACACTTTGATGCTCCCTGAAAATTCGAAACATAAGAGTGGCGTTATCCTTGATTTGCCAATTAATTTTGCACCTGAATCATTAGAAATACATTTTGTGAAGCGATATTAAATAAATAACACACTACATAACTTATGCAGGTTACACGGCAAGTTTATGCACTGCAGAAATGACAATTCAAGTGTCGGTTTAGATTATACAGAAAGCGAATTATGTACGTGAGACATATAATATACAGTATGCGTCAAACCCAGTAGATAAGTGTTCTGTAGATGCTCTTAAATATGTAGAGGGTAACATAGTAGTAACAATTACGCCTTTAAGGGAATCCCAACAAAAAACCATCAATATGGGGTGCGCGAATTTTTACGTACTTCCATTTTCGGCGATTGCAGGTAAAGCAGTCGCTCTGGCAGGAAAACCGGTCTCTTTTTTCTGAGCGCGTTCCTTGACTACTTACACTCACTAGTCATACAATCATACTAACACCAATTTTTACGTACATCAACCTTTACGTACCTTTAAAACATAGTGTGGGCTTTCTTGCCCTTCCGTGAAATTTGATTATATATACAAAATCTTCAAAGTAATAACAACAACATGTATGGTCCTTTTAGCGCTCAAGGTACTTAAAAATCATATACAGCAGGTACGTAAAATCGGAAGTATGTAAGTCCAAAATGAGAAGTACGTAAAATTTTATAGGTTAAATATACAGCGCGAGAACTGATTTACTGTAAGGTGCGAACAGGGACAAGACAACACAAGGCCAGAAACACCGGAAGAGAATGTGCTAGGTGCTTTCGGCAAGAACAGGACAAGACAAGAAGGAAGCCAGAAGGTAGGAAACCAGATAGTGAGGAAAGAAACAAGAACAAGGTATAGGGAGGAAACAAGATAACTGACTGATGCTTTATCGTTCAAAGACTATGATATATATATATATATGTCTTTACTATAGAATTCAATGATGTGAATAAACGGAAAGATTGGTAATAAGGTCGATAATTCGGATGATGATGATAGATGGGGATTTAATATGTCATCAACGAGGTTGAGGATGATCACTTACTAGAGGTCGAAGAATGTTTATAACATTTATGTACTTCGGTGGCCAAGTACGTAAATTTTTGCATAAAAAGTAAGGTGAAGTACGTAAAAAATTTACAGTAGCCATCGTAGCTGCACGGTTAAACAGAGTCAAAGTATGATAGGCTACATCAATGGTAGCTATTTGTATGATCTACTCAAACGAGGCACAAAAAAGACAAGAAGTACGTAAAATTCCCAAATAGGAAGTACGTAAAATTTTATAGTACAAATATACAGCGTCAGAACCGATTTACGTACTTGAGTGGCTAAGTACATAAAAACTTGGAGGCTAAGTACGTAAAAATCCAAAAAAGGAAGGTGAAGTACGTAAAAATTTACAGTACCCATCAATATGTGGAAGATGCCGCTTCGCGCGCTAGTATATGATACCTCGCATGAAAGTGTTTCAAAGTACCGAGTCAAGTAGCATGGTATGAGTGGCATGGTGAAGGGTGGTATACCTCCACATAGACTACATGCTGCAAATATCGCCACCTCGACTTCCATAGGGTGCTGGTAACCATAACTTAACAAGCTCGCAGATCTCCCAGCACTATTTGCTCAGGTCGTCAAATGTGCTATCTTGGATCTTAGCATAGCTATATGGAAATACGCTTGCTTCAGCACTGAGAACCGTACTTCCTTTTTTACTGTACACGATACTCTCATATCCGACTTTTACCTACAAAAGTAGCGGTTCTTCTCGGCCAACTGGCCAAATAGCGTAGTGTCTCCGAGAAACAATCAGGAAGGAATATCAAGGTGTGCCATACTTTAGTTTACCACTTCCTATGTTCTGGCTGAAAGAGTGGGAGGAATCGTGTATAACAAGCTGCCAATAAAACATGGTGTTATGTATCGATCTGTAATGTAATGTTTAAACGTTTCATATATGTACCTGGAGTAAAAAAATATGGTCCTGTGACATGACGCGATGATGACAGGTTCCAACAGAGATAAATCTTTTTAAAGAATCGACAATTACAATATGTCAAGTTAGTACGTATTTTACGGTTTGTAAGACTGATCACGGCAAGAAAAAGACACACATGCTTGTAATCGATTCATTTTAAAAAGTTAATTTAGTACACCAGTAGCTTAAAGTCCTTAATAATAGCAGCATAGCAGATCACCCAAAACCAAAGGAAGATCAAGTGAGAAAAAAAATATAAGCAGCCTAAAAAAGAACTTATGTTTCAAAAACAAATAAATGATTTATTGATGCAAAATAATGCTAAGCATTGAACTTAGTTGTCAGATTGGATCCATTCGGAGTTAGCCTGGGACCACTCAACAAGCTCACCAGCCTTGCCGAACCACAAACCGATCTCCTTCTCAGCAGATTCGTACGAGTCAGAGCCGTGGACAATGTTACGACCGACGACCTGGCAGTAGGTGTTACGGATAGTACCAGGTGCAGCTACAATAATAGGGAGGTTGTTTAGAATTATAATCGTCATCATTTTAAGAGTTGTGATTGGTTATATTTTTACCATCAAGAGGGTTGGTGGCACCGATCATAACGCGACCCTGCTTGATAACATCTATCATGCACGCAAACGTGTTAATTTACCGGATCATTATGATATATACACACGATATAATAGACTCTTCCCTTTTGAAATACTTACCCTTGCCTTCCCAGACCATGGCAACGACAGGAGCCTAAAAGTAGTATCCCAACATGCAATAGTCAGTTTTAAGATCAGCATATCAAAATAGAATAGTTCACACCCGTTCTCCCTTTCGAACATTACCTTGCCGTTGGTCATGTAGTCAACGAGACCACCGAAAAAGGGACGGCTTTTAAGATCAGCATAGTGCTCCTCGGCCAAGTCCTTGGAGGGGACGACGGCCTTCAAACCAACAAGCTTGTAGCCACGGTCTTCGAAACGAGCAATGATCTTGGCGACCAAACCGCGCTGAACACCATCGGGCTTGACGGCGATGAAGGTACGCTCGCTGAAAGTTCCCCTATAAGTAACGCATATCAGTCAGTCAGCCTCCAGTATATATTTGTTGTATACGCATGAGCAATACTTTACTTGACACCAGCAATGGGCTTAGAATCAGCCTGGACGGGAGACTGGGCGTCTATTGGGAGGTGGTGAAATTTATATATTTTAAGATATCGTTATAAATATCGGAAATTGGACTTCACGTGGTGGGGGAGGTGGGAGGGATGGGTGCAATTAGAGGGAAAAGAAAACCTTACTCTGGAAGTAAGCATACGAGGCAGCACCAGTGGCGATGGCACCAGCAGTGGCGAAGGTAGCCATGCGGGAACCTGCGGCAGCAGAGGCACGGGCACCAGTCGAGAAGGCGCGAGCTAGAGAACGGGTTCACGTTAGTTAGTTACTCCAAAAATGAGGGCGCGCGTGTGTGCGCGTTGTTGATTTTGTTGCTACTGCTGTCATTGTCGTTCGTCAATAAGCGTGTTTATTTTTACCCTTCATGGAGGAAGCAGCGGGTCTAGCTGTAGATCATTTGTAAGTAAATCAATCACGGCAGATAGGTAGGTACTTTAAGCTGTTGTTTAATACGTACCGATACGAGCAAAGGAGCGAGCGAACATGTTTTTTAGGATAAGAAGAGTGAGAAAGGAACTGGATGGAAAAAAGGCGGATGCACAATTTTTTACGTTTGATGAGCAGGGGAATAGTGACTTGTGTTGCCACGGTGCGCGAGGATGGCTCCCGTTTACTCCGAAAGCATTCCGACAAACAAACGCTCGTTGACGGGCCCATGCCGATAATCGGTGAATCCCGCTCGCCATTGAAAAGGGGGTTACCGCGTGTATGTTATGGCTAATACATGTTGACAAGTGGAAGATGGTACACTACCTTCGCAACAAGCCCATGGTATGTCGCTTGATGTTAACCATGACAGTTTTGTTAGTGATACACGACGCAGTAGTGGCTGCGTTATATTATGTACACCATTTGGCGTTGCCAAGGTGACACAGCAGCCGTAACACACACCGCACTTCACAGCAAGAGGACATGGCGTGCAGCTGATGCACCCATGTGGTAGAGTATATATAATGGAGACAGCAGTGAGAAGAAAAGAAGAACCACGGAGAAACCTGCTCTTTTTGGTTCAAGGTATGTTAAGAGTAAGTATACAACTTTGTGTGTGTCCAAAATGTATGTCATGTGTGTGTATGTGTTGTGGCGTATGGTGTGTAATAGGGATATATGCAGATGCTCGTTTTTGAAGTATTGACGGGAGGGGGGGGGGAACAGACAAGAGAAGATATATAAGTGATGTGACTCTAAAAAAGAAACAATCAGGATCCATCCATCAGGAAAACGATGACGATGGCACTACTAGTGTGGTACTAACTAACACATTATCGTCATCATTGTATTCGCGTGTCGGTGCATTTGCAGGTACTTCGTAGGTCCTTGCGCACCTCCAGTTTCTGCTTGACACGGTCGACAACAAATGCAGACACGGCAAAGCAACAGGAAATGTCGATTGTGCGTATAGATGTCGAGCGGTCCAGAATATCCCAGACGCCCTGATCCGTGACGTTGTCGAGACACATCATTTTCATGTGCTGTAGACTGCTGATGCCGCTTAGCGCTCGGACCGCCTTGTCGTTGACACAATCCATCTTGCACAGTTCGAGGTTCTTGAGCGAGTTGGAGAAACTCAGCTTTTCCGAGAAGCGTGCCATGCCGGCCGTGGTGATTTCGTCACAATCGCAAAGTCGGATATACCGTAAGGTCTTGATGTCTGCCAGCATGCATAGGGCTGGATTCGTGAGGTCGACGACGTATTCCAACTCAAAGACGCGCAGGGGTGAAGCGTTGCCAAAGGCTATATGACTGTTAAAGAAGTGCCGTATGCCTGTATCGCTGATTTCGTCAATCGTGGCAAGGTGTAGACGATGGAGCTCGGGTAAGGTGATCATGGCGTCGAAAATATCAATGCTAATCAGCTCAGAGTCCCAAAAAGAGATGTCCTGCAGCGTGGTGGATTGTCGTATTAAGCCTGCAACAACTGAGTGCATGCTACGTTTCACCTTACAACCGAACTTTCGTAGTCGTTTCGTATCGAAATTGCAGAGCAGATCGCGCCACTGTCGACTTGGGCCTGGCTGATCGTGCATTGCCATGTATAGTTCTTCCAACGTGTTCTTGTCGCCTTTTCTTAAAACGTCTGCGAGGTATTGTGCTGTGCTTCCTTCCACATCGCCAATGTCAACGACGCGAAGGCCGGCAGGAGGAGGTGCGTCTTTTCGAATTGTTGGTGTTGGTGTTGGTGTGTATGTTGTCAGTGTGTTGCTGCTGCTACTAATACTCGTGGTGCCACCTCCACGTCCGTGCAACGAGTTGAATCGCAGTCGCTCGAGTTCAGTGCAGTATCGGTTGATGACTCGCATGCCTTCTGGTTCGCATCCATAGACTGCAAGGTTCCGTAGTCTCGGACAGCAGCGTAGCACTGCTTCGAGGTCCGAATCAGTAATGTCGTGCGCATTCAAGTACAGAGACGTCAGTCCGCTGGCGTCTGGAAAGGATGATCCATCGTGCACGTCGGGGAACCGTGACCCACAAAACTTTAGCTCTGTTAGCTTTGGACACATGGATAAGATTGAGCCAAGAGAAACGGGTGTATACAGTGCATACTCGAGAAGGAGCGAGGTCAAGGTTCCTCCAACCTGTTGCAAGGCCATGGATAGTTCTTCCGAGCTGACCTTGTAGCCTATGAACACAACGTGTCCAGAAAAAGAGCATTAGTCTTTCAGATACTAAGAGCAATGTGGAAACATCCTTCTTAAGGGTAGAGAGAGAGAGAGAGAGATAAGAGAAAAGTTGTTGTGATCCTTGCCCTGTAGTTTCAGGGTTCGAAGATTGGTGAATCCTCCATTTACCAGCTGACTGGGGATCCGATTGGGCGGGCTACTCCAGGACAAGTCCAGTGACATGCTTCGTACGTGTCTGCTGAGCGATCCAAAATGATGGTACATGCTTGCCGCATATTTCGATGAAGCGCTCAGTTCGATTTGATACCACGCCGATGCACATTGCAAGATCCTGTCGCGCCACAGCTTCGAGACAGACATGCATCCAAATAACATGTCCATGGAAAGGTACGAGAAGATATTGGCTTGCACATCATACGGCAGTGTGGCCACAAAGTTGATGCGTCGTTCCTGCTGCGCTTTGGCCGCCTCCTTGTGTTCAGACAATAACGTATAGCCGGCGGAATCTTGAATGGGTGACACAGCTCGTAGACCTTGTTCGTATATGTCGATCGCTTGACCTGGTTTACCGCGAATCGCATACAGATTGCCGGCTCGCAGATATCCCGCAGACAGTGTTGGCACATGCTCAATCATTTTGAAAGCATCTCGCAAACCCTGAGTGAACTCGGCTTTTTTGCCATGGGCTGCGGCTCGAATGTCGAGAATGGCCACAAGTGCTCGAGTCAAGTTTTCGAGAGCCATTGTAGATGCGTCAATGGCCTGATCGTATTTGGCATGGTGGAATGCGGCTCGACTGTTTTGCGATAAATCTCTCCAGGCGTAGTCTTCTAATGCGCTGCTAAGCTGCTGCATTTCATCAGCAAGAGTCGTGAGAGGACTGGAAACAGGAGTTGCGTGAAATGGTTGCCATGCAGCAGCTGCTTCTCGTATTGATGATTCAGGATCCGACGTAATAGGCGCTATTGTGCATTGCTGCATTTGGGGACACAATGGAAAAGGGGAGTTTTCTGGTTTGTCACAGAGAGAGAGAGAGAGAGAGAGAGAGAGAGAGAGCAGCAAAAGTGTTTGTGCAGTTGTGTTTATCTGCAGTTTGTGGTATGGGTTATGGATGTGTGAAATGGTGAGTGTGCGAATGTTATATTATTAAATGACACTCTATAGCAGCAGTGCAATAAGTGACTATTATTATTATTGTTGTTCTTGTTATGCAGGGTTGATAAATAATGCAGATTAATTGTCTTTTCCGATGAAAACTTCAGAGTAAAATCTATCAATTTTGTTGGCATGTCAGCTATTTTGTACTTCTCCTACTGACTATCGTCACTCTCCTTTTTCCGCTATATTCCCCTCGGATATATTTGTTGTTTGCTAGCTACCGATGAAACTTACTCTGAAAATTGCTGTTTGCTACGGTGGCGATGTGCCATTTCTTCAATAAATTGTTTCCGCATGACATAGGGACGGGTATACGTTTCTGTAACAACCCGGCATGCTTGGTGTGCAGAAATTGCTGTGTTTCTCACCATCGCGCCGAGTGCATGTCGACTCACAATGATTCCGTCCACAAGTGGGCCGAATATCTATATAAAGTGTAAAGGCCTGATAAGTACTCGTTTATGATATACAAGAACAAACCCTACTCCTCGAGGAGGGGGGGGTCAACCTCCCCTTCTCTCTCTCTCTCTTTATTTCGCTACTACTTACCAATGCATTTTCATTCAGTCGCTGGCTTGCCATAACCGAAGTAGCGTTATTACCGATAGACGGTATTAAGATTCGGATCCAGTACAGCCCATTGCCACTGTTTTTTAAGGGATTAATGAAGATAAAGACCATCGATTTGGCATTATTCGAACTTGACATTTTGATACGCCGAGCCAGCTCGGTATAGTTTGTCAAATCCTCGATCCATACTATACAAACATGATCATCCGATGATACTTGTTGATGGATTTTTGATAGTGTCTGTGTGGTGCCCCATACACCATTGTCTGCAGGTGGCGTCTTGAGCAAGTAAGGCACATTGACCAAAAACTCTATGGTTCGGTCGGCATAATAAGGCATTGTGTCGCAAATCGCTGGATCCAATTTTCCTCGAAAACCTTGATGTTCGGCAATCTCTACCTAGAATTCATGTATATTGTCAGTTTTTGTTACCTTATATACAGGCATTATCAGTTCACTATGCGTAAGAGAATAATTACCGGCCAGCCCAAGCAATTGAGATATTGTAGAAACTGTTCGCTGATAGCAGCTGGTGATTCTACGAGCTCGGACCAAGATGTGTTTCCGGATTGTGCGTAATAGGCAGTGACTGATATACAGTCGCGTCTATAGGAACAATACATTGTACATATATGTGTAAGAGACAATTCTTGTCGTATAAAAAGCACTCTTTTTCTTTCCTTTCTGCCAGCTACATACTCGTTTAGCATATCCAAAGTTTCTATTTCAGTGATTAGGGTATCAGTAATTCGTAACGGGGTAATATGTGCACGGTTCTGAGGCAATAATAATCCAAGTTCGGAGAGTAAGAGTCGAAAACCTCGTGCACTAGTGGCATATATATATCACGACCAACATGAGCAGCATGTGACAATGTTAGTTGAAGCTTAATTTCTGTCTTGTCTGGAGCAATGAATTCTTTTACCTGTCTGTGTTGATGTTTTCACCCGTTGGTAGTGCACTGTACCGATCCAGCGGTTTCTTCTTTGACTTTTCAACTGCAGCCGTTTCAGCACTTTGTTCACGTTCCGCGAGTGATTGGATCGATGCCCACTGTTTCCAATTATCCGAACTCTTGTCGAACAAATTGTCAATATTTGGAATTGCATCTTCGTTGACTGCTTGTGCAACAGGTACTTGCAGGACGTTATTATTTTGCTGTTGTTGCTGTTGCTGCTGTCTTCTTGCATTGTTGCTATTGTTGTTGCCAGTAATGGTTGGTCCGCTACCGTCTGTCAAAGGCGAGTCGCCGTTATTTTCCAACAATGCAGGCGGAGAGGTGGTCCCAGAAGGCGATGTAGTTGGTGAAGCTGTTGTTGGTGAACCATTGGCAACTTTTCGAGGATCCTTGTATCGAGTTTCGACTGACCATACATACTTGCCCGTAGTATCACGTATAATGGCAACAACAGCAGGTGTTTCCTTGGGCCCAAACGTGCTTTCAACGTCATACACTGCTAGAATCATCCTCTTGTCGAACAAAAAGTATCGAATCGAATCGCGCGATTCCCATGTTGAATTATTACTATCGTTTATCGTTGTGTTGCTCTTATTATCCGTTTTGCCTTGTTGATGTTGCTTCCAGCGACGATACTTGACCTGCTGTAGATCACTCATAATCATTGCCTTTCGATTCGAGAACCGTTGTTCGTTCCACATAGGAAACTTGCCCAGCTGGTTGACAAATTGAGACATGCAGTATTCTGCAGCCATCCGTACGGCCACTTCCTCCTTTTTATACACCGTCGAGTTGCTTCTGCCTCCACTACCACTGGATGATTGTTGAAGTGGATTACTTGCTGTGTTTGATGATGTGGTTGTTGGCTTGTTTGCTCTCGGTGGTAATTGGAACAATTGTTTTGTTGGTGGAAATGTCGTATCGCGTCGTTTCTTTTTTTCGGGATGCTGGGATTCAACGGTATTGGTGGTGTCGGTTTCTCGGTCAAAGATGGTAATGCCTTTGCTCAAGGTCGCAATCACTGCTTTGTAGCAATCTTGGTCATCCATGATCCATTGGCTCACCAATATCCATTTAATCATACAATCATAGGCTTGAACGATCAAAGGGTACGAATGGATCTAATATGTATCACGAGAAATGTATGGTTATAATCCAGTAAGGATCCTTTTTTGCGTAACCATAGATTTTTACCAGTTTGCCAGCATTAATCAATGCATCAACATATCGACTTAGTGCCAAAACCAATTCTCGTGCAACGTTCTATATTTTCAATATTGTCAAAATCAGCATGCATGAAGGTCCTGTAAGCAAAGACAAAATATCAAGAGAGGATTGTCTGACCTTACTGTCCCTTTTTACGTAATCATATAGGTCCACGAAGTCGATCAAAACGTCAAAAGCGACCAAAGTTACATCGGACGGCATTTGCATAGTCAGGATCTAAGTGCAGTTTGGTTAGCATTGCAGCAGCTACAAATATTATATGCAAACTATATATATGCTCTCTTTACCTTCTCTTCGATCAATTTGACTACAGTTCCAACAAGCCCTGGGCAGAACGGGACATCTTCGATTACATAGACGTTTATAAGATGCAACAAGTATCTCATGTTATATGAAGACGTCTCTGTGCGTAAAGACATGAGCAGTAGTTCCAATATGTAGAATTTGAGCTATTGAAAAAATCGTTAAATTTTCAGAACTGGATATACTCTCATGCGGATACAGTGCTTTTACTTACGCCTGTGAACGGTCGTTCAACACTACCATGATGCTGATCCGCATACAAAACGCGTATCTGTTGTAAAAAGTGGAAACAAATTCTTTTACCATCCTTCAAAATCAAATATTTCCCAGCTTCTGAAGTGTAGAACAACTTACCAATTGCGTCACAATTTGTTCTTGTTCACCCAAAACAGATGCATTATCTGAAGCACATTGCATATCCCAGTCCCATCCGGGCTTGAGCTCGACCTTATCAAAGTGGTTTGGCAAACACATGATGGTGCTCACCACTTTGATTGCTGCAAGTCTCAAGTCGTCCACGCCAACAAATCCTTTACAATCAATCTGTAACTTGGGCAACACCATCTTGATAGCCGCGATAAATTCTGGTGCCAGCATCCTGACTCCGTCTAAATCCGTCGCAAAAAGCTCTGTACAATGTAGCAAGATGGTAGGCAGACAAGCGTCCGATTTAAGTCCTACGCATAAGGCAGCATAGAATCTTTCAATATAGGTTCGCAAGAAGGGCGTGGATCGCTGCGGTCGACAAAACACTTTGCATAAAGATGCAAAAGCAGCAGCACATCCACGTTGAGAATTGACGTCGGCGGAAGGAGCGGTGGAGCTGGCATCAAATAGCCAAGTCCCGAATATGTGCAAAATGGTGTTGCCGTCAGGTGTGTTGCTGTTGTTGTTATCATCGATACTCGTTGCTGCTACTGAGACATGGCGTTCTCCGACTTTATTAAATAAGTCGACCAAGTGGCCAATGCCGAGCATCATCAAGGTGAAGTTGGATGGTGGGAGGTGGAGTGGATGCGGTGCGAGGTAGAGGATACGATGCCATGAGTAATAGACAAATTCGGGCGATAGGTCGAGCTTGACAATGATGCCGTTAGCGGATAGTATAACAACATCGGTTCCTTCATCCGAACCATATAATAAATTAAGTACGCGGTTCGTCAACGAAAGTGAGGTCGAGCTCCAATGCTGGATAACTTTGGGCCGGTGAGACCATCGCATAAAGCAATCCTGGATAAAAAAAATAATATAGCCAGCAGGATGAATATATTTTAAGTGGTGTCAAACTTTTTTTGTATATAGCCCGTTGCTAGGATTTATTACGCATTTATTGAATTTGAAAACTAAAATTAATCAACGAACATTACCTTGAGTATATCCCACATTTCTACTTCTCGTATCCGTGATCGTAACCAAAGCTCAAACAATACCTAAGCTTTGATTAATAAATGCATTCGACCCTAACACCTCTTTACTAACCATCATTCTCACTAACTTAGATACAGTTGTTTTTCCTTCTTACCCGTAATAAATGTTCGCATAATTCATCGCCCATATTGGCAACGCCACTAATTGTAGCATCCGCTACTGGTTCCTTCAAGAGAGAATCCGAAATACCCAAGACCACCTTTAAGAGAACAGTCCATGTCTCGGCTGTCATTTCCAAAGTTCTGCCTGCCATGGCCAGCACCGTCAGCGTCTTTTTACAGAGCTCAATATGTCGATGGACCATTTGAGATAAAGTTTCCTTGAGTGCAGACGCAGCTGAAGCGTTGGCCGCTGCAGCACTGGGCGCACCAGATCCAATATGGGGCGAGGCTGCATTGGTTGGAGATGGTAAAGTGACTGGAACGAGGTTGGCATGTGGGTTGATTGGCATCATATTGAGATAAAAGCTATTGGGACGTCCACTACTGCTTCCATGCGCGTGTATATTGCTACTACTGCTACTACTACCATTATTACTATGATGCTGTTGGTGTGTTTGATTGTGAGGTGGATGTTGCTGCTGTTGGTGTTGATTTTGTTGTGAATGCTGTTGTTGTGAAGAAGACTGATGCTGATGTTGTTGAGGGTTATAATTGATTGTACTATTGCTTCTATGATTTGAAGAAGAGGAGGTAGCAGCGGCAGTTGTCGTAGCAGCAGCAGCAGCAGCAGAAGGGGTTTGTGTGATCCGTGGTTGAAATAACAGCGAGTATTGATGGAATATGATCTGGTAGAACTCTTGTTCAAGCCCTTCGCTGACAACAGCAGATGGTCTCATGTGCGGTTCAAACAGCCATTGCGCATATATGCTCACGTCGTTGCTGGTAATCTCCATGTCTTCGAGCGGTAGACTAAACCCTTGGCCAAGGACTTCCATGAACCATTTGACGTGTGCTGGTGATGCAAAGATGCTCGGATCCGGTACATGTTTTCCAGGGATTGGTTGAAGGTAATTGGTGATTTCCGATATAAGCGCTCGCCGTATGGATAAAGGAAGCGATCCAAGAATGTTTGTCTCTACACACGCATGCACAATGAAATTAAAACACGATGACAATAGAATCCGTCGTTAAAGCGCAACATTATAACCATTCAAAAAAGAGAGTCTTATGGTTTGAATGGGAATTGAACATACGAGGGTCATGTTGCAGCAGACGAAGCTGCGCTATCCAATCCAGAAACATGAAAAACGGTACACCTTTCTCTTAAAGCTGTTCAACGCACGGACGGTATATATATATATATACGGGCTTTGCTGTTTTTCAATGCGGTTTAATAAAAGCGGAAAATGTTTAAAGTGAGCTGTTCAGGGCAGGATAAGCGGATGTACAGGGCAACCCAAAGATTTTGGCCCGCTTTGGGTCTTTGCGGGGGTGTGTATTTCAGCGAATCAGGCTTTGCATTTACATAATTACACGGTAAATAAGCCAATGGCTGGGCCTTCTCTGTTATCTGTTCGCATGCCCGTTCCTTTTACATTTAACTCTTTTTCCTTCTTAAACCTTTTTCGATCTAAGCTCAATAAAAGTTGGATATAACCCTCAAAGCAAATAGAAATTGGCTAAAAAGAAAGTTGGTACACAGCAGCTTAGAAATCAAACAAAGCTGTTATTCCTCAAAGTGCCAACTGGATCGGGCAGAACGGTTGTCGTTTCTTCCACCTGTAGAATCAGTAAATAATAGATCTCAAGATCGCCAACTCCAAAGATGAACAAACTCGAATGAGCAGGTATTGCTACATAGTGGTACTACGAGTACAAACAGAAAGTGCGTGTTCTGACGCCTTTGACGATGGCGAACCATCGGGTTGCGATATCGCAGCTGCAATTGACGATATTAATGCAGCGGAAACAGCCAACAGCCCGTGCTGGCAGTATTGTAGAAGAGCACGTCGATCGTACCAAAAGCCATAATGAAAGAAACAAACGTTCTGAGGAGTGCAGAAATGGGTCGTACTAGGTTTATCCGTCAATATCATTGTTTGCGTCAAACCCAATTGTCCCGCGGTGCCACTGCCGTTAGTCGTGATTCTCTTTCGAGTAGTGCTGTCGTGACCATCGCTCCTGTTACCCAAGTATTCTCTCCTACCAAGTCACTCCCTTTCCACTACAACCGTACCATCCCAACGCTCAGCATATTATACGTTTTTACCTGACTTTCTGCAACATCCATCTTGTCATAGTAACTTTAGACATGGTGTGCTTGTTTGCTTCCATGTTTTTTATCTCCTGGACCTGTTTGTTGCGCGCTCCCCCTCCTCCCCCAAAATTCGTATGAGTGCCAAAATTTTGTACTACCAGATAGTGGTCTTTTTTTTTTCTCTTTTTCTTGAAGGGCGACACGACTCACAAAATAAACTACATTTATGCCTGAAAGTTCCCAAGCAGAAAGCTCCAAAGCGGCAAGTTCTACAGCAAAATCGACGCGATCGCGCGGTGCCGGTCGCGATACTGATCGCTTTCTTGAGCAAATGCTGTACGGTCCAGGCGTGGGTATGATGGATCTAGACGATCTCGAGGAAGCATTCAAAGACCATGAAGGCAAAGGCAAAGGGGTTGGCGGTGTCGACGACGACAATGAAGACGACAATGTATATATACCAGAAGAAGACGAGGAAGAAGAAGACTGGGCAGAAAATGTCGAAGAAGATACTGAAATTACGCAAGTGTTTTACTTTGTATTCTACTTGAATCACTCTTGCTTTTTGCACCCATTGGATACTTAACGTTCTTCTGTCTACGCGCGTGTACGTTTTATGGTTATAATTATATATAGTCAACTGCTGGACAGTACAAAAACGAAACGTACGGAATTAAAAACGGGTGGTCTAGACGAAATCGCACGAGACTTTGAAGAGTTTGAAGACAACCTCATTACGACGACGGGTATCGGCAAAACACGACACGGTAATAAGCGTCGAATCACGAGCGGCGAAGCGCGCTTACCACCAGAAGTCAAAGAAATGCTTGGTCAGGCGAATCAGCTGTATATCTCTCAGGATTTTGGCAAAGCTATCGACTTTTTGCAAAACCTTATCACAAAGCATCCGAATGTCTATCAAGCATGGAACACGCTGGGTCTCGTGCATGAAGAAATGGGCCATCGCGACAAGTCACTGCAATTGCGAATGGTGGCAGCACATATGAATCAAAACGACGCGATCCTATGGAAGGAACTCGGTGTAAAATCCATGTAAAGCATCCTTTTTTCCTTGATGAGCATGTCAATACAGGAACGCGGAAGGATATGGGAATTTAGCAATAACTGACATGCCATAAAAAAATAGTGAAGCCGGTGCCACTCAACAGGCCATCTACTGTTTTTCTAAAGCTTTGGTTGTTGATCCAACGGACGTCGACGCACTTTGGGACCGCAGTTTTCTTTACAGAAAAACAGACCATGTCGAAGAAGCGATCGATGGCTTTGAGCAAATCCTCAAGATCACGCCGCATCATTTCAAGGTGATTAACGAACTGGTGCCATTGTATCGAAACAAAGGCATGATCAAAGAGTCGATCGAGTTATATGAAAACGCAGTCAAGTATCACATGGAACACGATACAGATGAAGAAGAACGACAGCGACAACAGGAACAAGAAGACGACGACGATTTCAACGATCGACTTGGATACACTGAAGTCAACATGTTGAGTGAATTATACCTGATGCACAACGATTATCGACGTGCCCTCGAAACAATCAAGTCGGGTATCCGCTACGTACAGCATCGACAATATGAAACTTACTGGGATGCCTATGGTGATAATGACGAAGAATATTTCGAGGATTCCGAACATGAGGAACGGTCTGATTTCCCTATTGAGTTACGCGTTCGCATGGGTGTATGTCGTGTCTATCTTGGTGATGTCAGGACAGCCGGCGTAAGTATCATTTATAGTCTTGGTTAACGAATCTTAAATATACTGATTTGTACCCCATCTTATATATAATCGTCTTTAGAGACATTTTCAGTATCTGCTGAAATACCCAGCAACGACTTATCCGGATTTGCATCAAGATATCGCCTATGCTTACATGGATAAGCGACATTACGACCCGGCTCTTAGCGTTTTCCAAAAGATCATCGATGTTTCAGAGGTAATAAGAATACCAAAACATCTTAAGCGTTAAATAGTGATGAATTACTTAAATGAAAGATATTAGGAAGTCGACGTTGATTTATTGATTCGAACTGCCGATTGTTATCATCAAGTTGGCGAACTTGAAACAGCTGCTTTATTCTATGCTAATGGTAAAAAAGACCCCCACTCGCTGTGAATAGGATATGATATGCAATCTCTGTACTGAAAGAGGGCAAACTAATACTCGTATAGTTCTGGAAGAACATCCCGATAATCTTGATGTTATGTTGTCCTTGGCATCTGTATACGAAGAACAGCAAAAAGAAGAGGCTGCGTTAGAGCTCGTCGATTATGGTAAGACTAAATAACTATGTTTCTTTTATCCAATGGGTAGATTTCATACTAAAAACTACACATTTTCTTTCGTATAAATAGTGATGCAGAGAAACAGAGATACGCGACGCAAGAAAAAACAGGAAGAACAGGCGAGAAAAGCTGAGGAAGAAAAAGAAGCAGCTAAAACAGACACGAAGAAAGGCGGCTCTAAAAAGGGGAAAGCATCCATCTTTGATGAAGCGAATAAGCCTATTAGCCGTTTCGAACGTTACAAACGAAGGCGTATCGAGTTTGCACGACAAGAGGAAGAAAGGAATCGAAACGCGCTCGCATTATTTGCAAAGGTTGCAGAGCTGGATAAGTCCATCCCACCGAATGTCGTCGATACGGAAAAGGCTGTCATGCGTGAATACATCCATGTTGCTCAGGAGCTTTATCGCGAATTCTCTCAAACCACGGCATTTTATCCTAGTGATCGGGTAAGTCAAGCGAGAGAGGATATGAGGGAGATGATGTGGTGATTGTACTGTTTTTCTTCAACGTGTGCTCAATGATACACTCTGTTTAGTCTCGCCGTTTCACTGGATTTTTCAATCGAAAGAATAAGACAGACAAGCGATCTTTGGATCGTGAAGCTCATCAAATGGCTAGACGTCTGCGTACTCTAGTTGATAAACCGGCACATCAAAATGAGGATGGTGAATCTGATGAAGAAGAAGAGCGTATCAAGGACGAAGAAGAACGTGATGAACAATTACGTGCTGCAAGTATGTACCGTGGCGCTTCTTTCGATGTATGGTGCGATTTGTTTATCAAGGTAAATATTTTCTCATTTGCTACTTTACCACTGTCAAACGTGATCACACGAATTTCTAAAAGACAGATTTATATATTTAGTTTGGCTACATGCTTGCTGTAACGCGGCAAGCTGAAGCTTCATATGATATGCTGAAAAGAGTAAGCGAAGCCAACGTATTCTACCACGATTCAAATAAAATCAAGTCTCTGAAATTAGCTCTGCTCGGTAAGGATTATTCACCATCCTGAAAAGGACGAGGAGGACGGAGAAAGTAGCATATAAAATTGACAATCTTTTGCTTGGAATTTGAACCTAGGATGCGCGCTCATCAATGATAATGATGCCATCAGATATGAAACACAACGCTGGTTCATCACTAACAACAGATTCCAACCATCACCATATCACCTGATGTTTGCCACACTCACTAGGTGAGAGTAGCAATAGAGGGGGGGTTGGGGACAGGGGGAGAAAAAAAACCGGACATGTACTTACACACTCTCCTTTGCGGTATGATGTAATAAAAATATAGCGGACTAAACGGTTTACAACAATATGCTAACCCAGTGCATATGAAGCATGTCATGAGAACTGTTCGTTTGATTGATACGGTAAAGATAGAGGAAAGCAAAGCAGCGGCAGCAAATGCAAAGGACAGTGATGCCACAATACAACAACAAATTGATGAAGCAGCGGATGCCATGGAGGTTGATCCATCCACTATTAACTTTGGTGAGCTCTTTGCAATCCCAAATGAGCAAGATATCAATACCATCCGCAGTCTACGTTCACATAAAGTGCATATACCCGACGAACCAAGTCCAATCATTCTCTACATGTTTGGCATGCAGTTGACTGTTGGTAGAAGTTTTAGTGGAGCGTGCTGTAAGTTTTCTTCTTCCCTTACATTTGCCTGGATGTAGGCTTCTCATATCTAACAATGACCTGCTGGCTGCTGCCGAATATGTAACCAGTGTTGATGATGCGCGCAAACGCACTTGAATCAAACGATCCAATCACTTTGCTTTCTCTGGCAGTGAATATATTTAATCGGGCAATGAGCAGAAAAACATCGAATCGTCATTTCCAAATTCTACAGGTACGCTGTGTGCTTTATTTATTGGCATTCTTGAAATGATGGCGATATTGATTCACTATCTTCCAAAACAAAAAAAAAATAGGGATTCTACTTTTTGGACAAATATCGTAGATTGCGTGGTAAATGTCAAGAAACCGAGTTCAATTTTGGCCGTGCGTTCCATCTTCTTGGTAAGTTTAAAAGAAACTAATTATATATATAATGGATTTTTCCGTTCTAATGTTAATACCTTTCATTTTTGGTGTCTCCTCTTTCACAGGCTTGACACATTTGGCAGTACCACACTATGAGCGTGTGTTGGTCATGCCACCATCATCAAAACAAGGCAAGGTCCCAGAAAAAAGCCTTGATTCCATATACGAGTTTGATGATGACGCGGAAGAGGATAGTATGGAAGTGGATGTTGACGAAGACGATGAGGGAAGCGATCTTCGGCGGGAAGCTGCATACAATCTTCAATTGATCTATGTGACAAGCGGTTCACCTCATTTAGCAAGGTTGTTACTCGCAAAGTACTGCTGGGTATAGAGAGCTATATCCTACACACACAGCAGCATCATCACATTTTTTTTACTAAATCATCCCTGTCACTGTAATAACTATAATATCAATCACATCGTTATACTGTTGTTTTCCATGAATACAATTCAAACCTTTTTTTTTGCATGATTATATTGTGTGTATTTTGAGAATTAAATAGTATTAGCTAGCATTATGTAAGTGTTGTTGTTATTGTTGTTGCTTGTGTGATGTTAATAATATAAATATGTGTGAGGGTGGAAAGAGTAACAGCAGAACGGGATTCAATAGCTAATGAGATAAGAACCACATAGAATCCCTAAGTAGCATGCATTTCCAAAGTTTCACGATCGGCGCTCATCAACCATGCTTGATCTAAACTGTTGTCTAAAACGACTGCATTGACACCTGAACCGCCAAGCGACGTTCGATAACAATCAAATCCTTCTGCAGCCAACTTTTGAGCAACCAAGTTGGTTGTTTCCACATTTACATCTATAGTATTAAGGGGGTAAGTTAGCCGATCTCTTTTTTCAAAACAATGCATAATGTCTCCTTAACAACAGCAACAAGCGAAACCAAGAAAAAGCCAACACTTTACCATCGCGAATGATTGACAGCGCACAGCCACCGCCTCCTGCGCCAGTAAGCTTGGTCTTTACACCATACTCGCCGGTTACAGACCGGACCTTTTCCAAACTGCCATGGCTCACACCAAGAGCGTGTAAAAGACAGTGGTTCATATCAACAAGATCCTATACACACATACAGATTCAAAAATCAATTGGTTGATATAAGCAAAAACCACACGACTTCTTTGAGCATAATCCATCCTTTTTTTTCCTACCTCCAATTCTTCGGCAAGACTATCCTTGTTACTACGCTTAAATGCTTCACAGCAACGCAGCGAGATATTGTCGATTGATTCCAAGATGGGATCAATCACTTGTGGGTATTTTTCTTTCTTGGCAGTAACACCTGCCACCAAGGCACTCGTAGAACGAGGGACCTTGGTATTTGTCAAGAGCAATTGCAATGATTGAAAACCTTCGAGCGGCACGAATCGTTCGCCTCTTCTGAATGACAAAGCACCGCCTTTTTCATCAAAGATAAGAAAAGATATATATTAGCTACTCTGCAAACGATTGTTCTCGTAATATTACGTCCGGGCAAAAAGGGCAGCTTCAATCCTCCATCTCTGGTGGAAACCCCCCCCCGGTTGCCGACTATAGCCCCACCTAAACTGACGCGTCACTTACCAAAAGTGCAAACAGAGTTATCGAGACCACTCGGATTACCATGAATGACCTGCTCTGCCTTGTACGCATAACGATTCACGGTGTCGAGATGACTTTCTCTCTTTTCAGACTGAGCAAAGCCGACTGGGATATGATGAAAGAGGACAAGCAATGCAGTGCTAATGCAGGTGGCAAAACTGGCCGAGCTACCGAGACCTGCACCGACAGGAAGCGTGGACCGGGTACTGATTGTAAAACCAAAGGAGGTAGGCTTATCGGTCTTGAGGACAAAGAAAAGATACAGGAATGCAAGTACGGCTTGTCGCTGTGCTTCTCTTTGAGTTACGCCCATCCATTTCTCAAACTGTTTTTTGATTTCCTCGGGAATATCCATTGGATGGCCAGTTTCTAGATTGATCAAACCATAACCACTCTTGCTTTAGCAAAAGGCGTGTTCTCTTAAAAAAAGATAAAAGATGATTGGGTCCTTTAGAACTAAAGGTCAAGTTCGTTACCTAAAGTGACGCGATCAACGTCAAGTGTCAGATCAGATAGAGCCCAAGTCAAGTCAATGTCGACATCAGGAAGGTGCAATCGACATTTGCCCGTGTCATTTTCTTCGAGATGCAGATAAGTTCGAAGACCTAGTGAAGCGGCAACGGCAAGCTGTCATCCCTTCCGACGTGAGTGAAAAGCTCCGGGGAAAAAGAAGTGTTGGGAACAGTTTGCGCGGGTTTGTTTTATTACCTTTTTATGTACAACGGCATGTTCACCAAAGAGAATAACTTTTCCGGGAGCAGAAATGAGGGCTCGTTTAATTCCTTGCGTCATAGTTTGTTAGTAAAAGTGTAGTGGGGAGAGTACGAACGAAAAAGAGAAAGGGTAATAGAGTCAAAGCAGTAAAAAGTAACTCAAACCAAGCAGCGGGGGAAGGAGAGCCATTGCCCGTTCCTGGGCGGAGTACTATTCTTTGGGTCGTCACACCGGTTTAAATTTTTTTTCGACGTGCAAATGTGTGATCCTCCTCTTTTTTCTCGCATTCACCATGTCTGCTGTCGTACGTACATTTTCTGTCAACATTTCATAAAGGAACAAATATACGCGATGTCCTCCTCATGGCAAAAGTAACTCATGACAATATATGGAAACGGATGTATAGGCTAAGTCCTCTGCTCAGAAGCCCGGTTTGGAAGAACAGGCCCAGGTCAAGTACGTATAACGAAAAATTGGGTGGCTTTTTTTTTTATCCTGGGTTGGTGTGAGGGCTGTCCAAGATAAAGATCGATAAAAAAGAAACAATTTTATTAATATAACGCGTGTTTGTTTTCTCGTCTGCTCATTAGGATCCACCGTATCCGCATCACCTTGACCTCCCGCAACGTCAAGAACCTCGAGAAGGGTAGGTTCAGTTTCTGGTTGTGGCTGATAACTTTAAAGAAAAGCGAGGGTGTGATGATATTAACATGCTGCTACCATTTTTAGTCTCTGCTGATCTTATCCAGCGCGCCAAGGACAAGCAACTCAAGGTTAAGGGTCCCGTCCGCCTTCCCACCAAGGTCCTCCGCATCACCACCCGTAAGTCCCCTTGCGGTAACGGTTCCGAGACCTTCGACAAGTTCGAGATGAGAATCCACAAGCGCTTGATCGACTTGCACTCGCCCTCTGAGGTTGTCAAGCAGATCACCTCCATCTCCATCGAACCCGGAGTTGAGGTAAATATCGCAATCAATGTTTTTCTTTGTTTGGAACCGTTGGGAGGATATCTGTTTATTAATTGCCTTTGTTTGCATACGATTAGGTCGAAGTTACCATTGCTTAAATGCGACATGTACTTTAAATTTACTACTGTACTAAAGCATATTAATAAAAACAGCATTCAAAAAATAACGTCATGCTATATCTCGGTGTGCTCGCATGATCTTGAAATGCTTATCTGTACAATGATTGGCGACGTTTGAGTAGCGGACGGACATTGTTGCTATCTGTACTAGTAGCTGGACCGCTAATTGCGTTATCGCCCAATGGTAGGAACAGCATCCTTTGTGATCGATATGTCAAAATATGCTTAGCATGAGTTATACGTATTTCGTTGATGGATTTGGCAAATGAAGTCGTTTCCAGGGCACATTTCCATGGAAGGGCTATTGGGGGCTATCTCTGATTGTTGTCAAATAGCAAAGTCGCTAATTTTGAGTTGTGTTCAACGTGTTCGCCAAGTGACAGGTGTTATTTACAATCTATTTTATAGACATATGGAATGATTATGCAGTTTCTCAACGAAGATGCACAAGGACATGGTGAGCACGGAGTTAAGTCGATGGATCTTGTTGACGAGGAGCTATTTGATATTGAAACAATAAGTTCTCATACTCAATTCCTAATGAATAAACCTACGGAAAGTTTGTAAAGCACTTGGTTAAGCACAATAGTAAAGTACGGCAAAGCCCACACGTAGATTGAATAATTCCTTTTATTTTTGAGACAATTTTTAATTATGTTGATATGTTAAATGACACGATCGTTTGCGTTCTTGGATGATGAAAAAACGCCATTGAAGGCAGACGTTGTGATCGTTGGGCGCTTTCGGCTACGCATTGCTTGATGGACTGATGGTTTGCAGATGCGATTGAAAGTGTCAAGAACGCCAGAATGGTACAAATAAAGGCCTTATGGTCTTGAACACCTACATGTGCTTGGTTCTTTCTACGGAAAGGTAGGCTTTGCCGGAAACGTGAGGCATATCCACAATAAGTTTAAATCATCCAAGCAGCTAGATATCTTCATTTTTACCAGCTTGCACATGACATAAAGTCCTGTTGATGGCAGAATCAAGACATGAAACGTAACCATTCTTCCCAAAATCTGCAGACCCAATACACCTTTCATGTTTTGTGCATCGAGAGCATTCTTGCAGAATAGATCCCGACAAATCGAATGATTGTTACCATCTTGAGCAGCCGACTTAGCTTCCCCATAGCCATGATTCGACGCCATGTGGAGGTCATCCCATGTAAACGACTTGTACACATATCGGGACGTTTTTGGTAATATGTCCTCGTCCGGATCGTCAAATAAACCAGTAAACAAATGGTCAACGTAACGAGTGCTAAGTTCGAATTCGTTGGTGTCTTCTGCTATAGGTACGGGAGGAAGCTTCCGCATCAAATCGATTATGCATTTTTTGAATTTCTTTCGTTTGGGGAGGTCCAAATCCAAAAGATGTACAATCCCTTTATCTCGTCGTAATCAAGAGGCGGAAACGATAGGCATGATGGATCCAACAACTCAGTTCCAAGGATATTGCCTAAGCGACGTTTGTTAGGCTGGTCTTGGCTGTTGTAGTTTTGTTGTTTCCCTGTCGCTGGTTCTTCTTGCGATGTCGTCTGTGATTGTTCTGGCAAGGTTTCTAAATGGTTGGCATAATGATGGGTTTTCAACTCGTCGATCTCCATATAATGAGCGATACATGCAGGGCAGGCAAAGTGCTTTTCAATGTAATCGTGTGAGTTGATAGCCTTAACATAGGTTATTCATCATTACCGAAATAGTCGGACGAAGAATACGCCAAAGCCATAGAACAAACCGCCGCCTTGCTCAAGAGCGTGCCCAAAAATTTTCCTGCACTGTCGACAGCTGGACCAGTCTATTCCGGCAAGAATTTCTTAATGTGACAGCACACTGGATGTGCAGATCGACGTGGACTCTGCAAGAAATTCGCCTGGGATTCCAGCCTTTGGAAGGTCCCCATACTGGAGGAAACCGTGCCGACGCCTTTTTAAAGGTCTTGCCTGAGTTCGATCTTTGTTCCAGGTTCTTTTACAATTACAAGTGACAACGCATCGAAAATGACCAAGATGATGACCGTAAGCGAACAATACGCGAAAGAGGAAGATCGGTAAGTTACTGAGATTATGCTGCTTTGCTATGATACTTTTAAAAACTATGTGCTCACCTACAACTTATAAATCAAAGGCCGTTTCGGAAAGACATACATCATATCCCCTGTGTTGGACACATCCTCAACTTGGCAGTTCAGGATATCCTGCGAATTAGTCTATCAGTACAGGAACCAAAAGAAGAAATCGTTGACGACGATGAAGAACAAGTGCCCACCAACTCTAATGTGCTGGTCAAATTACGAAGAGGCGTTACCAAGATAAGATAGTGATCAGTACTTCAACATCACACTGTTTTTCAAGTGATTAATGGGGTTGATCTATTACCTTATATCGTCACTGCAACGCTTACAGAAGTTCATGCGTACCTTGAGCAACCAAGGCTGTCCCAAACTCAGGCTCATTTATGATGTCCGTACTCGTTAAAACTCGACATTCGTAATGATTACGCTGGCTAGCGCGGTCGAGGCTGGCAACAACGCAATGTGCACCGAGGTACTGGCACCGTATAGGTTGACTGCACAAGAACGGAGCGCCCGAAGCAGATCTGTGCTCTCCCTTGAGCCATTGAAAAAGTGATCAAGAGATTATCTGTTAGCAAACCGCATGCCACCCATCAACCTCACAATCATTTGCTACAACCATCTGATGGACAGGCTTGAAGATTATAAGGCCAGCCTATCCACACCCATCGACCTATGCGAAGCTGCGGAAGTCTGAAAAAGTTTTGTGTAAACTGGCTTTTGACCAATGTCAAGGTCAAACACATGTGCAAGGTATTCAGCAAGGGCAGCAGGAGCACCTTGCACATAATGTCGACACCGTCGCCCTAGTTGCTCCTTCTTTTCCTTCATCTTTTCTAACGACAAGCTACATCACGGCAGCGCTCCTGTTGTGAGATGCAACAAGACATAAACTAATGCCTCGAGGTAACTGTAGACCGATTGCTCTATATCAACGCAAGTAAGATTGTCAGTGATGGAAACAGCCAGAATAGCAAATGACAGTAGAAAATCGTTGCTACAGCTTCACTCACCCCTCTCCGATGTCGGAGTCAACGCTTGAGGGTAATGGCAGGCCTACAAATCGTAGACCTTCCCTCCAGGCAACATCGGTCTTGTTAAGCTGCGAAAGAAGACTGACACGTCGAACGTTTATGCGTGCGCCACTGTGTTGGATCCTAGCCCAATGTTTGTTTGGTGGGCTATAAGCGGCTGGGAAAAAGTTAGGAAATTGAATGAAGGATGGAACGCGATGATCTTCCATCTCGATCGAACTTGTATAAATTGAACAGAAAGAGGGGAAGTGGCTGTTGGTCCAATAAGAGAAAAGGCGCCTTGTAAAAAGATAAGAATACAGCGTCAAATATATAGTTTTATTTAGGAATGGCAGGAGTATAGCCTGCAAAGTGTCCGGGATACCTGGTCGACGTTCAAGAATCGCGCTGATGTTGACATGAAGTGAGCGAGCAGCTACAAGAAGTGTAGTTTGAACTGGATCGACCGAAGCCAAGACGATATGGGCGAACAACCGATGTTGCCAATGGTGGAAGCGGGCAAAGCACACAGCGCTAGTCTTCTGGGAGTTCCAGTCACCGATTTGACCGAACTTGAGCAACTTCGAATCCTTCTGAGCGTTCTTTCGACATTTACTACCCTAAACTTGCAATCGTTATGTCCGAGGTAACCATAAAAAAGTTAATGCTTCTGAGTTCCTGGTTCTCCACCCGTTTCTTTAATAACGAATTTGCTTACCATGTCTTGGGCTGCGCACACCAAAAAAAATCAAGGACCGCTCCGGTTTTGGTGCCACCTGACCCTAATAAGCCCTTGTGATCGAGGTCGACAGCTCTGACTTGGATAATTTCCAGTGTTGGATTATTCACCGTGAATATTCGGAGAGTTAATAATCACGCCGTGAAAAAGTGAAAAATGTACGTGAATATTCCAGCGTGAATAAACCTTCATCAATTGGAAATGCTTAAGGGAGAGCAAGAGAGAGAGAAAGCAAAGGCTCCAGAGTCCATTTATAAGTATATGAAGGTTTATTCACGCGTGAATATGTACATTCTCACTGTCCGTGAAAAATGATCAACGTGAGTATTGCCAACACTGATAATTTCAATTCTTATAGAAGAAATAAAAAAAAAGCAACTTCACTCGTTTCTCAAACCACAGTTATTCTTTCACAGTCAATGTTTTCACTTGCAATGACACTACGAATCGATATTCGGTTCCTCGGTTCTCGGTTCTCGTGAGGATGCTTATGCTTAAAAATAATGCTTAACAAAGTGCTCAACAAAAGTGCTTATCAGAGTACTTTCGTACTCATCAACAACATTTCCTTGTCGATCTTCGCCTAAAAAAATTGTATATGTCTATAAATTAAATTGTAAATAGGAAAAAAGAAGTAAAAAAAGGTACGAAATTCGTCACTTGGCGAACACGACTTAATTACCGGATCATAGTTGGATACGACATCAAAATCAATATGTGACAGGCCCTAAAATTCTTACATAAGCTGCACTTGTCATGTTAATGTCCCTCGTGACCTTTTCTACTGTTCATGAGAAAGGATATGGATTTCACACTAATAATACTGTTATAATAGACAAAAACAACAGTTGATGTTGATGATATAGCAGCATGTTTTTATTATATTTTTGCCGTGAGAGAGAGATCCTTTTTTTAAATAATAAGAATAACATGTGGTGAGTGTGTATAGTTTGATTTCATAATATGGAATAATCTCAAGTAAAAGAATTACTACAGATATTTAAAAGAAAATAAAATAATACAGAATATAAGGGAGAAAGGCGAAGAAGGAATTTTCGTAACCAGTACGAGAGGAGAGAGAAAGTATTACAGTGCGGAAGAAAAAGGTTTGGTTTGGTGGTGGGGGGAGGGGAAAAGAGGAGATGGTAAAGTAGTATTAAATGATGTGATGAGAGAAATACAGAATCGAGGCTTTATGCCTTCTCCTCAGAGTTGGCATTGTAGCTTTCGTTGACCTTGACGCCAGCTGCTGCTGCAGCGACTTCGGCACGCTTGCGTTCGATTTCTTCCTTGTGAGCTTCCAAGTAGCCACTGTAGTCGAGCTTGGTGACAATGATGGGGCCATGGAAGACGACTTCCATCTCTTCCAGAGACAAGCCCTTGGGCTCGGGAGCAAACATAATGATCCAGACCAACATGATAACACCAACGACGGCATAGATGAGATAGGTGCCCCAGGTAATGGCGTCCATCAACACAGGAGTGACTTGACCAACAAGGATGTTGGCGCACCAGAGCAAGGCCGAGGCAAAGGCGAAACCCTTGGAACGGATACGAAGAGGGAAGATTTCGGCAATGTAAATCCAGGCGACGGGAGCCCAGGTGGTACCATAAAAGGCGACAAAGATGAAAATGAAAGCAATGACGGCGTTGGCAGCCTCAGGGTAGTCGCTCATGTCAACGACGTTCATGAGCTCGGCCTCGCTGTATACAGTTTCACCGCAACCACCGTACAAACCAGCCATCAAAATAAAGCCGACGCACATACCCACAGAACCTATCATCATGAGCTTGACACGACCGAGCTTGTCGACGAGCCACATGCCGGGGATACAGAAGATAGTCATGACAACGTAGTTGACGCCGTTAGCCATAAGCGACATGTTGCCTTCAAGACCGGCCTGTTGGAACATAAGTGGGGCATAGTACATGATGACGTTGGCGCCAGTAAGCTGTTGGAAGAGGGCAATGGAACATCCGACCCAGAGGACACGGCTGTTGGCTTTGTCTTTAAGCATCGCATAGTAGCTGGTGACAGCAATGTTGTTTTCCAACTCAACGTTATCCTTAATTTCCTGCAATTCCATCAAGACGTAAGGGTGCTCCATGTTGTTGCGGCCGTGGATCTTGGCGAGCACACGGTGGGCTTCTTCGACGCGGCCCTTTTCGACTAACCAACGGGGAGAACGGGGCAAGACAAAGGGAGCCAAGCAGAGGACAATGGCAGGGAAGACCTGGACAAGGTACGGGATACGCCATGACCAGTCGTTGGTCATGTAGTTGGTGCCGAAACCGATCCAGCCAGACAAAAGCATACCAATGTCAATCATAAGCTGTTGGAAGCCGACAAGACGACCACGAATTTCTTTGGGCGCCAATTCAGCGTTGTACATCGGTGCTAAATAAGGTTTGCTTTTGTGTAAGATTTTGTAATCTCTTCCACGCCCTTGAAGATATTTGTCGGACTAAGAAGTTGCAGTTGTTGGATGTATATTAACTTACACAGCACAGAGCATGCACCGACAGCAAGACCCGCGATGAAACGACCAATAAGTTGCATAGAAATATGTACAGAGGCGGTTTGAAGAACACCACCGATGATAAAGACAAACGAGGAGATGGCAATACTGTCACGACGACCCCATCGATCAGACATCCAACCAGCAATAATACAGCCAATGACGGCACCGGTACCCATGAGAGAGTTTAAGGCACCCTAGTTTTTTTTATAAAAAAAAGAAAAGTTGTTGCTGGATTAGTATCTTTTTGATGTACAGTGCTGTCATGCATGTTGTCCAACTCGTTTAATAATAAAAAGACTTACTCGAAGACCGGGCGTCAGAGGCGCAAAGTATACTTGGAAAGGTTCCATAACCATGACACTACTAGTGACACCAAAGTCATCTGTTGCATAGGGAACATAATGATTTAGTTGGGTTTGCTATGCAACCAAGCTGGAGGAGCAGCAGGGGCATGAAAAGAAGAAAAGGAAATAGATCGGGTTGAATAATCCAGAACACTTACAGCCGAAAAGGAAACCACCAAGAGCGGCGAATGCAGTATTACTGTTATTGGATAGAAATTGTTCAAGTCAGTTGAATGAACAGAAAACGTAAATGATAATAATAAAGGAAGAAGCATTACACGTAAAGGAGTGCTGCGGCATCAGATTTGATATTGGGGTCACCCTTCGCGTCTTTAACAGCGATAATGGGAGCCATTGTGAATTATGATTAAGTGCTGTTGGTAGAAAAATATACAAATTAAAAAATGGAAAACGCCGTTGACAGAAAATCAGACAAGAGGTTGGAGAAGGGCCGTTTTATATATACTCGAGAATGGGCCGTCTGGGATCTATTTTCCCCCGTATGGAAAGCCTTCTTCGGAATGGAGAATTTGTGTGGGGAAAATCCGTACCAACTTATTACATCCCCCCCCCTCCTCCACCTTTTTCTTTTACCTTTGTGTTGCCCTTGTCTTTCTCTCTCTCCCCGCTCACTATGTTGTGCTAGGAACTCCGAGCGGCTTGCCCCACATTGTTTTTCTCTCCGCAAAAACTCTTGCAACTGGACTAAAAAGGCTGACCAATAACCAGCCGCTGAGATCATGGAATTGCGTGGGGGAGAGACATAGTGAGTAGATGGAGATATAGAGAGAGAGAGAGAGAGTGGGCAAAGAGGGCTCCAGGTTGTAAAGTTTCGCTGGCATTGAATTTGATTGCATTGAGCAGCACCGCGGATCATTTTGAAAACCACGAACCACAAATACTCCCACCAAGCTTCTTCTCTCTCACACCACATGATTCTGACTGGCGCTAGAGCTAGTGAGAGCGTCACGCGGAATTATTTTACTTTTGTAGAGAGAAAGAGGAAGAGAGAAAGGGTAGCACTAAGTGGGCAATATTCTCCTTTTGGATTTTGCCCTCTTTTCTTTGCTGTAGCATATCCTCGCATTGGTCCGCTCGCTTCAATATCTACATTTGATCACTACTATTCTTGCAACAAGATGTATGGTGAAATATAGCATCCCGAAAACGTATGCCGCGACGCCGTTGCTCGTCGATTCATCTTATTGTGGAACTGCCTTCAGAGCCACCCGCGGTGATCCAGGTCCAAAGGACGGCTAAAAGTTGGCTGAGGCGAAATTCCTCGATAGGGTTATTCCCCGTCTCTGTGGTCATACAAATTGGGAACGAGAAAAGCTTCGATTGGATGCAATTTTCCGGGGGACAGTTGCCCTTTTCCACTGTGAGCAAGTTTTAAGTGAGCGGATCAGACACGAGAAAAAGTGAAAATCACACACAGAGAGAGAGACACACACACAGCACACACACACAGACACACAAATACTTGGCGCCGTTTTTTTTCATGCGTGCTGGGCATAAATCATGAGGGTTTTAATGACGCTATAACATCGCTTTGTTCTACCAATACTTATTCCCCTCCCCAGACAGAAACAAACAAAAAGAATATTGAGCTTATGTACTCATCGGCTGATACCGAGCAGGGTTAGAGTTGTGATTTGTAATCTTTTTGATGGGTTTCTTTGATGGAAATAACGCCCAAATGACATGATTCACTAAATAGGTCACACATAATCTCTTATTCTCTTCTCTCTGGTAACATGCGGTATATGGTCACCAAGCAGCAGTAACTGAGCCTGAAATAGAGAAAATATAACACATTCGGGGGACCGGGTGACCCCGTTTCTCTAAAATACGGGCTTACTTCACTTGACTTAGGGAATCACAACGCCCGTGTCCTCATAAGAGAAGCAACAAGCGATTAGGTAAGATGCTTTGTGTAACAAATAGTCAGCTTTTTACTTGTGACAAATCTAACAAAAAGAAACGCTAGTAACCTACGATCCACGCACCCATGTTTGTGTGTGCGTTTATAGAGTTTTCCAGCTAAACCGCATCTTGATAAGCGTCCGAGCTTGTTCGCTGGTGATTTTTGAGAACATTGCAAATGGAAAGACAAAGAACAATAGGTATTACAGGAAGTTTATTGAGGAACATGGGCACACAGATTATTAGTAGAGCAGCAGCTAGTGGCGACCGAAAGATGAACCACAAAATCGAGCGAGACATAGTTACTATACAAATACAAAATCTCCTATTACATCATCAATAAAGTTCATTTACTTGTTTCCGGGCAAAGTGAACGGTGTCTAACGTATAGCCGGAGATCGTTCCACCTTTGTCACATCTTCTTCTTTTTCTCAGCTTTCTTGCTGCTGAGGTGTTCTTGACGCCAAAATATCTACGACCACCCACCCACCCACCCACTTTGGAAAAAGAAAAGTAGTAATATTACAAATGTACGCACATCATGGCGCATACGACATAAATGTTGTTCTCCAGTGCCAGAATTATTTCCTTAGGGTTTGCACATCTACACACTGTGGGAATTTAATATCTAGTGTCAGAAATCAATTGACACGATGACAGCAGGGGAAAAGCAACCTCACGGATTCGACGAACTTTAAAATGTCTACCATGGTTATTGGTTTATGGCTTTGCAGCAACGTTTTTCTTGGTGGACGAATCGGACAAAATGTCTAAATGCGTAATAGCAAAGTAGATCTGCCTACTCTTTCTTGGCCTTCTCGCCTTTCGTGCCTTACATTGTTTCTTCTACATATACTGTGTTCGTTGTCTTGGCCAGCTCCGCTGGTACACTGCTCACACTCGTTTTCTGATCGGCGGTTCAATACCGTAGTAAATGATTTGAAACATTCTGGGGAAATAACCCTTTTATCCATTGCCGATCACGATAATTTCAAGAAGCTCTCTTTTCAAAAATTTTAGAGTTTTTTTAGTGCAAAAAGACTACCACTTGCGCTACTACATATGCTCCTGTCGACTAACACGACTTTGTTAATGTCCTGTTTTTGCAAGATATCTACATGTCGCATTCAAGTAAACGAATTGGCGGGGCTGTACCTGCCATCATGGCGGAGAAGGGGTGGTTTTGGTTAACGCTGAGTTTTTTGTGATCGGGCAGGATGTGACAGAATGTGAAAATTACTAAAAGTTCATATGGCAGTTGGCAGCTGTGATTTTAGTCCTACTTTATGCAAGACGATGTATATAGCAACATGAAACAAAAAACAACTATGCCATCTTCTCCCCTTCCAGACAGCGAAAGGGAATGGTTGATCCATCTTTGACAGTTTTTGGCGGTGACTAAATGAGCAGAATTGGTTTTTCTTGACAACAATGTACTATCGGACGTGACACCGGCTTTCAACACGATCAAAATTCTTCTTCGATGGGTTGGGCGAGTATGGCGGAAGGTGCAATATTTGAAGGCCTTGGTTTGCGACCGCCTTGTTGAACGTTTTGTGTCTTGTGGATAGCAGCATCATCCATAACCAAGTATCTTCCGCTCATTCCGTTTTCCTTAAGCACCTTCATAAGCTCGATGATTTAGATGCCACAACTGCTTGTGGTCTTCTGAGACGCAGGTTTACTTACACCGTCACCAGCAGTGCCACCCAAGATTGTACTATTGACACCCGCGGGACCTTGTAACCGATGCTTTTGCAGGAGCACCTCTCGCTGCGAACGACCGGAATATTGCATGATGTGCATGTTGAAACCAGCCTCATCAATATAAACACGCTTTGTAGTCAATGCCACTGATTTTGCCATCGTAGCCCCCGAACTAATCCGAAGGCGGTGGTCTCGCCAGAGTTACGGTACTCGGTGCTTCATTCCAGCCTTTCTTTCTTTATAATCGTAAGACCACATTTGTCTTGACATGGTGTTTCAAGTCCACTTTGAGTAATGGCTATAACAAATAGAGCAAAAAGCGATTCCTGTGCTTCTTTGGTGTTAAGATTGGTGGAGGACTTGCTCATTGTCGTCAGGAGGTATGGTTTGCCATCAACAAAGCGTTTCCAGTAGCGTTGAGCAGTTTTTTCTGGGATCAGAAGGTCGCATCCAGCTTCTGCTGCGTTCTAGGTAACGTTTTGAGAATTCTGTCAATCAGTTGGATTAATTTCTGCGTCTCGATACACTCGATGAGCCCCTGTAGTATTAAAGAGCTTTGGGTTAGTATGAAAAGTAAATGAGCGTCCCCAGAATATAAGATAATATACTTTTTGCGACAATGGTTTTTCGCTAAGGGATTTTGCGAGGTTTTCCTCTGCCCTTTTTCCACTGGTTTGTCTGTCGCATTTTGAGTAGCTACGGTGACGTTCGAGGTCGAAGTCGGAGGACCCATTAGCTTGGATATGGAATTTGCCTGCTATAATCACGACCATCAGTTGGTAAAATGGCTTTAAGTACTTGTGATGTATTTTTTATGTTTGTAATCGATACAAGAGATTGCACATCACCAGTAAATCCGTGGCACTCGTCGAATATACTTTGATATACGTCGTTCATTTCGATTTCGTCTTCACACATATCAAACGTCATTGTCATACGGCAATAGAAGGTTTCGAATAGATAACATATAAGAAATGAATGAGAAGTTGAACAATGATGGGATAGAAGTACTGTTCTGCCTTTATTCTTCCCATTTTCTTTGTGCATCCATCACATAATGTATTAGTTGGGTTTTACACAACAAGTGTCCGCTAGATAATATCACACATGTTTATGCGATTAAACCTATATACAACATAACCATTACTGTATATTTCGTTAAGCAAAGACAGTGTCTGGAATAAAGTCAGCAGTAAAAACTGTTTTTAATAGCCTTTGTAAAGCTCAAAGCCAAGACGTCACTTTGACTTGGCTAATCATACTGATCTGTGGGGCAAGAGATCGTGGCCGTGGGGTGGTGCTGGCATTTTCGGATCAAATTTGCGGCTGTTGATTTTGGCATGTCCAATCTTGCACCAACTTGTTCAAAGGAAGCCCTTCGTAGAAATACGTGTGTAAAACCATAACAGCATCCTCCTTGGTATAATGGCGGCGTGTTCGTCGTTGACATAGTTGTAGTGGTGATGATGATGGTGGCGATGGGAGTTCTTCATATCATTCTGCAAATGGAAGTTCGTTGCTTAGTTCCTTTGTATTGCGTGCGTCTTGGTCTTGCATAAGCGTGTTTTCTTCGTATGCAATAAGGTCTTTGTGCATGCTTTCAATTCTTTGGTTTGTTGTAGAGTCGAGCATTACTTTTTAGATTATTCTGATCAATGAATCCATGGCTCGCTACCTATAAATACCCTAAAGTAGGATGCTCTCTTTGTAATGTTTACCAGTGATGCTACTTGAGAAGAATTAATCCGTTGATATATGTTAAGCAAAGCTTTAGCTCATATGAGAAGTTACCAAGCACTTGATGGGGATAATTTGAGCTCAAGGTAGTGACGAAAAAAAAAACCTCACTCTATAAGAGTATTTTTACAAATTAACAGAAGAAAAGTATACTTCTTGATGTTGAGGGAGCCCACTTATCCCTGATGGCATAATAGCACTAGTCATATAAGTGTATATCGTCATAGATTGCAACAAGCATGTACGTATAGACTGTCCATATAGCGGAGCACTGTTGCTTGCAATGTCGCTTTCACGCCATGTACAGTAATCGCGTTATCAGAGTAGTAAGTGCGTGGAGTATGGAAATAGACTCGAGTATTATTTATTCTGGATAATGAGTAGAATTCATTATTTTGACACTAGTTGTTCGTATGACGTATATAGACGATGAGCAGTATGTAAAATATGCTACACTACTGTTATCATCTGTATGCTGCTACTGTTTTTATTTAATGGAAAGGACCTTTTTAATGTTAGTCACCTGTTAAATTATTATATAAGCAAACGGTTATTGTAGCCATCCGACACGTCTCGCACTAACTGGCAAACTCACAGTTTACGATTGGCGAGATAGCTATGGCTCACCCGAAGTCTCAGTTGACCGTTTGGACATTTTAAAGGCTGCAAACGGCTACAAACGGTAGCAAACAGCAATTTGTATCTTTCGGATGGATAGTACAAATTTACAAGACCTAGCATATTGCTGGCGCCGATTATGCAGCCAATCACAACGGTCTATAAGCCACAGTCGTTCTATTCCATTTCCACACAGCACAAAAGTGCCAGGCCCGTTTACCGCGACTATTTAGGTGTTAAAGCATGTTTCGCACCACAGCTACACGATTTATCCAGCGGGCAGCAAGACGCAGCTACTCCAGCCAGGAGCCAACCGAAAAAGCTTCTTCAGCTGCACATAAGCTTGCACAAGAGGCATTAGCACAAAAGACCGGCGGCGGCAATCGCAAGGCAACATTACCCAAGGGTGACAAGAAGCCCGCCAAGGCTGCTAGTGAAAAGGACGGCCATTGGAAAGCTTATGCTTTGGGGGCTGGTGCCGTAGTTGGCACTGGTCTTGGTTTACTCTTCTACTACGGTACGTGTTTCATTGAGACAGCAGAAAAAAAAATGAAAATTAGAGGAAAAAGAGGGAAATTAAGGCGTTTTCTTTGTATTCGACTTATTTCCACTAGGTCGTCCGTTTAACGATGGTCGCGAAGACAAGGTAACTTATTACGACATACACACGCATAAGGAGACAATTAAATTTGAACTGTAATTGACACAATGAGCGTTACATTAGTATGTCAATAACGATCCCTTCTCAGCAGCTTACAACCGATGCTTCGATCGCTACAATGAGTTCCAAAAGGTATCGTGGTGTTACTGTGTTTGACATATGTCCGGACGAAGTTTGTACCAAGGAACTATACTAAACGTTGTTGTGATGAATCGATACTTAGAAAATGCACGAACCCATGTGGGAGAAGCTTCTTCCTGATCCTCTTCCAGAACCCTATCAGCGTCCGTATACCTTGGTTATCAATTTAGACGATACCTTGGTGCACTCAACGTGGGATGTAAGAAACTGTTGCTTTTAGTTCATAATTCCAAAAACATTGTTGCTCTAAAAAAATGAGGGGAACGCAAAGGATCTGATGTGGCGGTTGGCAACTTGATATAGAGCAAACACGGATGGCGTCATGCTAAGCGACCTGGTGTCGATTACTTTTTGGCGTATCTTTCCCAATTTTACGAAATTGTCATCTTTACTTCCCAAACATCCATGGTAAACACATAATACTTTTGCAAAAAAGAAAAAAAACTGCGTTTGTGTTTTTGATTCTTTGGGATGCTAATTCACCAGTAAACGACAAAACCAGAACGCTCAACCTATCCTCGACTCGCTTGATCCCTACCAATACGCCATGTACAGACTTTATCGTGAAGCGACGCGCTATGTTGACGGAAAATATGTCAAGGATCTATCTCACTTGAATCGTGATTTGAGCAAAGTTATCATCATGGACTCCAACCCAGACTCGTTCGCGATGCAGCCAGAAAACGGTGTTCCTCTGCGACCATTCACTGGCAAGCCTAACGATCAGGGTCTTTTGGAATACATTCCTTTCTTGGAAGGTAAGACTGGTGGAATGAGAGAAAATAACATTATGCAAATGTGTATATCGGTATATAAACAGTTAACATACTTAATGATTATATGAACCACGATAGGTGTTGCTTTGTTCAATGTTCCTGATGTCCGACCTGTCTTGAAGGCTATGGAGGGTGGTCATCTTCCTGAAAAATGGGCCGAATGGGAAAAGAAATACAATGATCAACACCGGTTACAGTGGGAACAGGAAAAGACATCGAAACCTCGTAACCTTGGTTCCTTGTTAACTGGTGGAGGTGCTGCCGGCCAAGAACAAGAACAAGGTCCTCCTCCTACCCAACTTGAACAATTGCGAAAACAGATGCGTGAAGGTTTCTCCGCCGAGCATGGTCAAATGAGACAGCAGCAGGATGAAATGATGAAGAAGGAAATGGAAGCACAAAAGGAAAAGATGAAGGATATGAAGATGACTGTATGGGACTTGATGACACAAGTATCTTCGGTAAGTTTGGATTTACATCCTGGGCCATTAGGATTTATTTTGAGCTGCATGGAGAGAAAGGGTGGCATACTGTATCTAATTTGTCTATTTCTTTTAAAACGGTTTTCATTTATTAGGGCCAACCTATTGTTCCACCCGGCGGTGAAGGCCAACAACAGCAACAGCCTTCCCAGCAATAAAAACTTTGTAGAAATTGTTTAATACTTTTGAAAATAGAATATTTCCCTTTAATCCTGTAACAGGTCTATGTCTATCATCTAATAAGTTGTATGATGAATTGCAAATTGGAAGCTTGTGGGTGTCGTCAGTTTAAGCAGTGAGGGGAAAGAAAGTAATTTAAAGCTACAGTTTTCTATGAAGGAAAGAGTACACGATGAATTACCCATATACTTTGGAAAAAGGCTGCATGCACGGCGAACATGTCCCATAGGATGCAGTACTTTTCTTCCTAACAATAATCTCAAAGCTACTATATTTGATTCCGATCTATGTACAACTTTTTAGACGATTCGACGTTTATTGGTACCTGAATTTCAAGTTTGATAACTGTAGTATCCATTGATGCACGAATCTAATAATATGCTTGGACAAAGGATGCAAGATCAAAAAGGCCGACTGTTGTAGTTGGAAGAAAGAAGAATGGAACAAAATTACCACACCTGGAAAATCATAGAAGCGATCATCCATGTTGAAAATCTATGTACAACGATACACAGAAAATATTTTATCTTAAGAGTCTCATAACAGTTGTTGTTTATAAATGTCTTTATAATGTTTCGAACGCATGGCAACGAGAAATGATTGTTGGGATAATAAATGATACAAGAAGGGAACAAGACGGGAACAGTAATGATATGTTTGCAGAGAAAAAGAAAAAAGGGATTAAAACCAGAGAATGAGTAGCGAACAATAAGTATGCGTATATATAAGATGTCAAGTATGTAAATGATAGGAGAATGGATAAGGATGAGAAAGATTTAAATTTTGGTGAAAACGCCGTGGGTCATTTTGATCTTCAATGAAAGAAGCAGTAAAGCGCCGACTATGAAACAAGCACCTGTGTACATTTTGTAGCTAAAGTATGGCTCGGCATCCAAAGCGTTCTCGATGGCACTTGCAATGTTGGGTCCCACAATGGAAATTGTGTTGGAAAGCATCATCACTGATAATGCTGTTGGGAATTTTTCAATACCGACAATTGTGGCAGTAATTGGGGAAACTATTTGTTGTATCAAAAGACCAAATCGTTAGATATACACGTCTTAAGCTAATGTGTTTGCCTCCTGCTTCTACAAGATTAGTTCTTTGGCGCTGTTGGAACTTACCCAGGGTATAGTATGCAGTGCTGAACGCACCATAGACAACAGCGAATGCCATTATTGTGTTGTAGTCAGTGGCTACCGTCCAGATGCCGAAAGCAGCAATAGCCGAAAGAAAGGATGCAAGAATTAGAGTGTTCAATCTGCCAATACGATCACCGATGTATCTGATAGCATCATAGGCAAAGTTTCATTTAGATTTCTGTTACTGATGGGTATCGAAAACTAATAACGTACCCTGCACTGATACGGCCAAGGCAGTTCGATCCAGCTAATACTGCAGAAAATGCTGTACCGTCATCGCTACTCAGCCCGTGATAAGAAGCATACGCTGTAAGACGAAATCGAATTGAAGATTAATTAGTATACATTTTCCATATAGCATCATATGGTTTTATGCTCGAAGACTTACATGGAAGGAAAAAGAACGGAGTGAAGCAGCCCATGGTGGCAACCACCGACGCAATCACCCACCACAGGAAAATTTTATCCTTGAGGATACTGAAATCGAAAATCTCATTGAGCTTGGGTGGCGTTACTGCAGGCTGTTCTTCTCCATCATCTGCTGCTTTGACTTTTTTATGTCGTGGATACTTTTCCTTTACCAGGATACATGTAATTGCATTCATGCCGAGGTAGATAAAACCCAAGATGCGGTAGGCCCTATAGTAAGTATTTATTGTCAGCGATATCTACTCTCAAGCGATGTGCAGTAGTAACTATATACAATTTTGCTTATATTCTAGTTATATAACATACCATGCGATTCCCACGCGGTTTGTCAAACTGGAAATGATGAATGGCAAGACGACACCACCAACACCACTTCCGCTGGTAACAATACCTAGGCCCAGTCCACGTCTGCGATTAAACCATTGTGGTGGGACACTTACCGCAGTCTATTGTACGTTTGAGAATTTAGTTGCTATTGCGTTTGTTGAACACTGCTGCTTAGAGAGGAAGTATTTGAATGAATATGGTGATACTTACCACATATAAGAAAGCCGCACCGATACCAAACATAACTCCTTGTGTGAGATACAAGTGCCAGATCTTATTACGAAGAAGCATTGACGAGCAAATTAGGAAAGGAAGAAGGCGTGGTTGTCGTACATAATAGCGAAAATCCAACTATGTGTGCCCGTACCTGAGTAGTGAATGCGGCTAGTTCCAATCCTAGAACCATGACGATGACACCCAACGCGATGATCAAGCGGATATCAAATCGTGCCGAAAGAATTTGGAAAAAAGGGCCTGCAATGTTGACCATAATTCCGATCAATGTACCCGCGAAACTAAGCTGGAATTGAGCATCAGGGACATCGTGGAACACATCTTTTTCAAAGTAGGCTTGGAACACACCTGTGGTATTATACAATCAGGTTATTGTTATTTGTTAGTATACAAAGCGATAAATAGATCGATCTAATACATACGTACCCCATGCTGTCTCTGTTCCGAACGAAGTGAAATAGCCGAAAAACGCACCGACAACCACGGCCCAGCCATAGCCTCCGTCTGGATCAGTGTCATATGCATCGTTTGTTTCCCACTTTTTCTTGCCACCTAGTGGATATGATAGTAAATCAAAAAGCGGCAATTATAAAGTTTGTCTACATAGTCATCTATCAATAGCAATGAAACTATTACGCGAAAAAGAACTTACGATTAACTGTGGTTTCTCCTTCCGGTTCAATTACGGTTTCGGCGCTAGTGGAGCAAGAAGAGATCGAGGGATCATATTCCGTTGAAAGATGAAGTGTTCTGGCGTCTTGATTTGACCGGTTATCAGGATAATCGATTACGGTGGAGGTCCCAACAGCTGCCATTAAATTGGATGGAAAAAGCTGATTCGCAACGACAGCGTTAAAAACTACGATCCTGCCGCGATAATTGATGACTCGTGTAGTGCATCGTATCTTTAATACCTCTAACAAACTAGAAACTGAACTGAATATAATTTTTTGCAATCAAATGCTGGCTGCTTTTATACATTTGCCAAAACTCAAAGTTTTGTGATTGGTCCTCTTTTCTTTTTGTTCCTTCTGTTTTTGTACATTAGCGTGAGCTGTAATACAAATCCTGGTGCATGAGGAGAATCAAAAATTTTTTATGCCATAATCGCATCATAATTCACAGTTCGTTTTCTTTACTTAACTTATGAGATTGGATTCGACACCATTACTTTTTGCTTTGAAATAAGGAGCAAATGGAATGTATAATGGATCCTAGCGAATACCTTCTGCTTCAGTGGTTTCTACTGTTATGTTTCACTCGGTAAAATGTCTAGACCTAAAAAACGACGAAATTTCAGACCAAAAATAATTTCATTCCGAAAAAACGGAATTCTTTTAGTGAGCCATTGGCTCTAGGAGTGTAATTTTTGTTAGGAGTTACAATGTTTCAAACAACTTACTGAGTCTCTCTTACTGCTAGGTCCTTGCTTTTATCGATAACAATAGGTCGTGGCCCCTCCCCCCACGGGGGGAGAAGCGATGTGAGAGACGTATCATTGATATCATGAATTAACCTTCTTATTGTAAGATTATATTTCACAACAAATATGCAAAATCCATGTTCGAAAACCACCGGAAAATCACGTAATCGAAATAGTACGCAGCAATTATTGCTAATATAGCGAGTTTCGATCGATTATCAATTTAGCGTTTCGTTTTCTTAGTGTATATCGAGCATTACACCAATCGTCATCTACGGCAATTTGATTTACCACTATCGCTATGAGTAACAGAAATCGAAGACTGTGACAAACGAAGGTAATCGAAATGTATGTGGAAGAAGATGAAGAAACACCTAGTAAACTAATGTAGACGAGCAACCAAAAATTTAGATTTGCCACTCATCCGGGCACGCTCCACGAACCAGAATTGTCACTTTGTACACAATTGTGCTCCTTTAAATATATCCGAGATAGCGGCATACTGTTTTTTTTGCAGCGTACTTTTTTCCGCTCTGTTGCATGTATTTACAAACATATAAGTAAAAAATTTAAAGGTGTTAACTGCTAGGTGATGTATAATCTACAGTCTTTACAGACTAAACAAATGCTTCCTCATGATGCACTACCGTTGTTTTTTCATGTCGCCACTTTCAATATGAAAAGAATAAAATGAGTCGTCGAAGATGATGTAAAAAAAGAAGACAATTAAAACGACGGTGTGCACGACAAAACTGAGGTGTGCTAGTTCGTGCATGTCCGTGCGCTTATATATCGAAGTAAGATTTTTCCATACTACGATGTTATAGTCATCTCCTTGACCGACGACATAATACCCAAGTCCATATTGAAGAATTCTAAGTCGTATTGATTTTACTAAACAGGAGAAATATACGGAGGAGTATATGCAATGAATGAATTTGAAACAGGAATACAAAATGTTTATGCATATATATGAAGGGGAATTACAAAACGAATTAATCAAAAGTTCTTTTTTTAAAAATTTTCGTAAAAATACCACGGGTCATCTTGAGTTTCAGTGCGATAAGCAAAATGGCACCAAGACCGAAGGAGGTGCCTGTAAACAATTTGTAGCTCAGGTACGGTTCTGCATTTACGTTGTTTTCGATAGCACTCGCAATGTTTGGACCCAAAATTGCAATGATGTTAGAAAGCATCATGACAGACAACGCCGTCGGAAATCTTCCAATGCCAACAATAGTTGCTGTAAGGGTGCCACTGCATATTGATATAGAAAAAACGAGCAAATCGTGTCAGTCAAACAAGTATTTATATGTAATCAATGTATATATCATCTGAGGAATAAGTTTGCCTCGGTTGAATGATTCGAGTAAGGACAGATACGTTGAAAATCTTACCGAGCATGTAATAAGCAGATGCAAATGCACCGTAAACTATCGCAAATCCAATGACCATATTGTAATCGTGAGCAACATCCAGATGCCGAATACCGCGATAGTTGAAATCAAGCAACTAATGATGTACGTATTTGGCCTTCCAATACGATCAGCAACAAATCTAAGAAGGAAAAAAAACATATTACGTCAATTGGTTTTCTCTTGCACGGTTGATGGTTACAAAAAACAAATACCCTAAGACGATACGAGCAACGCAGTTGGATCCAGCGAGAACGGCAGAAAAGACGGTTCCATCTGCGCTACTCAAACCGTTGTATATAGCATACGCTAGAAAAAAAAAAGTTATTATAAGCTGCTTAAAAGAATATGGTTATTCGATAATATCGCTCTGTCACTCTTACATGGAAGGAAGAAATAAGGGATGAAAACACCCTACGACGCAATCATTGAAGATACCATCCACCAGAGGAATGTCGTATCCTTCAAAATACTAAAGTCGAATATTTCTTTCAGAGTGGGTGCCGCCACTGCTGGTTGCTCTCCATCGTCTACTGCTTTGATCTTTTTGTTTCGTGGATATTTTTCTTTCACTAGAATGCACGTGATTGCGTTCATGCCGAGATATGTGAAGCCTAGTATACGGTATGTCCTGTAGCATAGCATATGGAGCAAAAAAAAAGAATTAGATGTAAGCACAAACTTTGTGATATGTAAAGCTTGATAACGTTTGTATATATGGTATCGCTAATGCCATCTTTTGTTCATACACTACCATGCAATCCCCGTTTTATTAATCAACTCATTATCACAAAAGGCAAAACGACGCCTCCGACACCAGCACCATAGGTAACTATGCCCAATCCCAGTCCTCGTCGTTTGTTGAACCATTGCGATGGGACGCTCAATGCAGACTATGTACACGTCACATCCGCATATGATATTGTAAAATAAGTATTCGTTCTCTCACTTAAAATACAGTAGTTTGTTTTCATTAATGCTATACGTACCACATATAGGAATGCTGATCCCAAACCAAAAAGAACACCTTGCGTAAGGTACAAATGCCAGATCTGATTTTATAATCAATTAGCCCTAGTGTAATGTATCAGTTATAAGCAACGATGGTATACTCTACTTACTTGACTTGTGAAACCCGCTAATTCCAGTCCTAAAATATGATAACGCCCATCACGATCACAGGTCGAACGCCAAAGTGTGCACTGAGGATCTGAAATAAAGGTCCTGTGATATTAACGATAATGCCGATAAGAGTACCAGCAAAACTAAGTTGGAACTGGGCATCTGCGACGTCTTTAAACATATTTTCTTCGAAATATGCCTGTAGAACACCTAAAATGTGGATTTTCAAGTAAGTAACACATATCATACCAAAAGAACCAGGCCGTTTCCGTTCCAAATGAAGTAAAGTAGCCAAAAAATGCACCAGCGACTACTGCCCAGCCATAGCCACCATCAGGTCCGGAATCATACTGATCATTTGCTTCCCATATTTTCACGGTATCTGCTCCGAAAAAAATGGGATCATTCGAGCACTCGTTCCGGGTAGTATGGAGTTCATTTAAGTTTTAATGCTAGGACTTACCATCAACAGTAACAGCAGCAGCAGCATTACTAATCACATCTCCTTCAGTTACTATCGTGTCAGCCTATACCGTGGATCAAGAATGGACGGAAAGTTCTTATCTTTCTGTCGTAAATTGTATGTTTCCAGTGTTGTGATTCACTCTGCTGTCAGGATGCTCGCTATATCTAGTAGACGCCGTCGCAATTGCCATTAAGAGATGTAGAAAGAAGGCTGACAATATCGTTCAAAAGATCAGATATCCCATACGAAATGGTATCGTTACTTTTTCATTTTTCTACCTTGTTTCGACTACTGAGTCAGATTTATATGTAGACATAGCAAGCTGCTTTTTATAGATACAAAGAATGATCGTACCTCTCTCGTTTGTGTTTGTTCATGCTTCCTTTAATAGTCGGTGGCTGTAACACAAGTACACGTAAGAGGCAAAGGCGAGAAAGAACAATGTGGCCCGTCCATGTGTCGATTTTCATGCATCAGCTCTTATATTTTTGTGGAATGTTCGCAACTAATCAAACACTCGGAACAGCCATTTTTGCGACACATCTTAACAGCAATGTCACCTCTTCCTCTTGTTTAAAACTTTAACACACTACACGCTACTCCGAATATGGTATTATTTGGGTGACTCATGATGCCTGCGGTACATGACAGTATATGAGAAGAACGAGGAGGGAACGAGAACTTTTTTCGGGAGGAGATACCAATTTGTTAAAGCCAAAAAGTACTACGAGAGAGAGAGGAAGAGAGATTTGAAGAAAATTTTTTCCCAGGCTCTTTATCATGGTGGCGTCTGCTTGATCTTATCTAATATCTAGTGATCAAGTGCAAACCGATCTGTTTATATTTTCTCGTTGGCCTCCGGAGCTGTAAAAGGCCAACATTACTACGTATTTTGTAGTGTTGTCGTCGTGAACAGTGCTGCTACGGAAACTAGTGGTACATGGCACTAAGTAGATCATAGTAGCATGCGTAATGATCCTGGCCAGTGATATCATGCATTGGGTTCGCGTGCCTGTAAATCCGCGCAAAAGCGGGTTGAAATTTTTAACATGGAAATAAGGATTTGTAAAAAAAGGATGTCAACAGGACCTTTTGGCGTCAGTTCGCTGTAACAACTGTGGTACATAGTGTTTAAGGTTTAGCTTCAACCCGAATTACAATACCAAAAAAAATTCATGCGGGCCACGTTTTGCACAGGTCCAGTCTAAAGATATCGTGTGCAACCTAGTGTTTCATAGTTGCAGTTCTGTGTGACATTACACGGGCGCGGGTGCTGAGGAGAAGATCGGCCGCTTTCGGGCGCGTTGTTTACAGTGATTTGTAATACAGTCCATTTATTCTTGTAGTCTCGAGTTTTTTTTTTTGGTTCGGCTTTTTGTTGTTCTTTTTCGTCAACATCGGGTTCGGTGCCATTTATTCTTCCATATACACTATCTATCCATGCGTGTATATAGCAGCAAATCGTAGGGTGCAGGGTAGTTAAAGGAAAATCACATACTAAAGAGTTATAGTAAAGCATCTCGTGAAATTATTGCTTCTCCACAACAAAGTTGAAGTTCGGAAAAAGAGTACGTTTCCGCACTGCAGCGCTTGTTATTTCATTTGATAACATATGGTACATTGATAAAATGACGAGAGATTAGGACATAATTGGAACAAATTAAGGGATGGAAAAGGGACGAAAGTAACAAAAAAAAAGAACAAGATGACAGTAGAATACAGGTGGTAAAATAAGATAGCGCAGAGAAGCAGCAAAAGATGATACGGATGAAATGGGCGATATAAAAAGATTGTGGAGCTTATAGGATTATATAGGAGAGACGTGGACAAAAGTACGTTATGTGGGTGGATAGTTTGATAGGCAGATGGTGCTTGCAAAAACATGTTCTAATTAGATCTTTGAAAGGACGGCTTTGGTCATCTTGAGCTTCAAAAAAATCAGAATGATAGCACCAAGCATAAATGTAACCCCAGTAAACATTTTGTAGCTGAAGTATGGTTCAGAGCTGACACGGGTTTCAATTGCACTAGCAATGGTTGGACCAAAAACCTATTGATGGTAAACATATTAGTTATTTCCGGAATAATACTAATCCCATACTCGAGTAATCACTTACTGGGATCATATTTGTGAGCAAAAGAACAGAAAGACCAGTAGGGAACCGGTCGATTCCAACAATGGTTGCAGTGATAGGCGACACTATAATAGATCAGTTCCAAAAATATTAGTATATCTAAATTTATAGTACTACAGACGTAGAAGAAGGAGCATTGTTTGCATTTTGTGTCTATGTGCAACTTACTCAGGGCAAAATAAGAGCTGCACACCAAACCAAAAACAACAGCGAACGCCATCAACACTCCAAAGTTATCGGCAAACACCCAGATCAAGAATGCAGCTAAACTGGCCACGATATGGCCAAGAATCAATGCATTGATTCGACCGATCGTATCGCTGATGTATCTATAGTGAATATGAAATATAGGCCTTAGTTTTTTCTCTCTTACGCAACTTACACAAAAGAAGAAATATTTATTTACCCAATGCCGATGCGACCAACACAAGTACAAGCAGCCATGACAGCAGTAAGACTGGTGCCGTCCGAGTTCGACAAGCCTAAATGTGTTGCGTACGCTATATAAGATGTTTAATAAAAATGTCAATGGTCAACATGCTGTAAATCGTCCGCCGTGAAAGACATATACGATACTGTTACTTACATGGCAAGAAAAAGAATGGTACAAAATAGCCCATAACAGAAATCATGGTGCTGATTACCCAGATGAGAAAGTTTGTATCCTTGAGAATTCCGAAATCAAAAATCTCACGAAGATTCTGTTGGGCAGCTGCAGGTTGCTCTTCACCATCTTCAGCAGTTTTGAGCTTTTTGTTACGTGGATATTTCTCTTTGATCAGCAAACAAGTAATTACATTTACTGCAAGACAGACAAATCCAAGAATGCGATACGTCCTATAAATTCAAATAGAAAAAAATTATAGGTTATTTTTTTTCCTTAGTTGTTTTAAATTATGTATATTCACATACAACGACTTGATAAAAAGCAACACACCATCCAGAATCAAGCTTCTTGTTCATTTCTGTTACAAGAAAGGGTAAAACTACGCCGCCAACACCGGCACCGCTCGATACCATGCTTAGACCCAAACCTCGCCGTTTATTAAACCATTGAGCTGGTACAGACATAGCGGCCTGATATACAACCAGTGGGTTAGTATATGCGAAAAGAAAAGGTTTTATAAGTGCAAAAGCAACAACTTACAACATAGAGAAGTGAGGCGCCAGCGCCAAACAAAACACCTTGCGTAAGATATAGATGCCAAATCTATGTTTGAAGCCAGTTTAGTTTTTCTATTACTCCTACTAATGTCTAGCAAGAATGATATGCACATTCAATCGACAAAGGTCAATAACCAACCTGTGTAGTAAAACCAGCCAATTCTAAGCCAAGTACACTGACCAACGAGCCTAGCACTAAAACGGGTCGAATGCCGTAACGGGAGGATAAAACTTGGAATACAGGACCCATGAGGTCGACGAATAACTCCATCAAAGTACCAGCGAAACTAAGCTGAAGCTGTGCATTGGGGACATTTCGAAAAACCTCTTCATAGTGATTTTGCATAACACCCCTTTAGATATGATTATATCCATTGTTAGAAAAAGAATTCATGCAAAATCAATGATATTCGAAGGAATAATAAAAAAGGGGGCATAGTAAACTTACCATCCAAGGGCAGGACCGAACGCAGTAAACTGTGCAAAGAAGGCACCCAAGAGGACAAACCAGCCATAGCCACCGTCAGGGCCATTGTCATAAGCATCGTTTTTGCCCCACTTTGGTTTTTCGTCAACTAGGAAGTGACATTATGCGTTATAGGTGTGAGTTTCAAAAAAATTTTTGTCGGAGAGAGCTACACATAGCAGTAAGAAAAAATTTCAGGCGGAAGCACTAACCGACGCTGATCTCAGCAGCAGTCGTAACAGAGGAGCCAAGTGAAGCAGCTGTAGGGGTAGAGGTGTATGAAGGTCGACGTGTGTCTGTTGTTGGTTGTTCATCCGGAGCAGCAGTAGCTGCTGTGCGAGCAGATATACTTTCAGTCGCTGTGGTGGACATCCAAGAAGAATAGAGAAGAGGAGATAGATCGAAAAGAAAATGAAGGACAGAAAAAAGAGAAGCAACGATGGGCCTTCAGTCGATCCTTTTAAATGTGGACAAGCAGTTCGGCACTCATTGGTTCGCTAAGCTCTTTCCCGTTATGGCTGTGATGAGCGCAAGCGCGCGGGGGCTTAAGCGACGAAGACGAGAGACGGAGAGCGGGACCACAAGGTAATCCGGGATTTATCGAATGCACCCGAAACACTATACTTATTTTATAACACTAGCGTGGAACAAAGAGATAGGGTAATGTAAACTTCTCTACATAGAAAGAGGCGAAGATCGGGCCAGGATTTGGAAAATTTCCTCTAGATCAAAAAACGACAAGTTCCTGTTCAACAAACATTTACTTGCTCTCTTCTTTTCGTACAAATAATTCGTACTTAATTGGCATGACCGCACTCGTTACATTCACAATTCGGAGAGTATATACGTGCTGCTTTGATATATGCTCTGCTTAATTCGATTCAAACAGTTGGAAAAACAAATCGGTCGCCGCCAAACTGTTGGGATTTCGGAGAGACTCCCGTGTAACGGTTTTTAACTCTGTCCCGACTAATTTTACCATCATCCGTGCGCCAGGGGCAACCCAAAAATTCTTTGGGAAAAATGAATTCACTGCGCTCTTTACAATGGCTTAAAACACACAAAGACTCGAAAAAGAAGGGACCACATTCCTTCATGCATCGCGTTCCTGTATATTTCTATTTTAAGCGAATGGCGCTGGCTGATCCAAAGTTTCGTGTATCAGTCCCACTGTCTCAACCCTTTCCCGTGCTAAACCTTAAACAGTCGTTTTCTCGGTAGTTCCTTTACGCGATCTGAACACAATCTTGGATTGGGACCCAAAAGTGGGTGCCCCGTGTAACCATAAACCACGCACAATAGCTCAGGGTATATTTTTTTATACATGCTACATATTCAATGCTTCTTAGCTAGTGTATTGATATAGTTGTTGTTAGTTCACATCATACAATGACGTTTACTAGGTGATCTTCTGCTTGTTTATATAATATTGATTGTAGCTAAATCTGGTTGATCTTGCAATAATAATTTTGATGTACATATCAGACTTGGCCACCACAAGGATCATGGTTATCCTATGCCCCGACATTCGCCACCATAAAATCTGTTTTTTCTGTCTGTTCATTCTTGTTGCGGGGTTGTTACTGCTATGTTAACCCCACATTCATTCGTGGCTTAAATTATCCGGTCACCATACAAATAACAAAAGTGCAATTTGTTTTATGTGTTACCAAAGACAATTCTTCATTTCCAGATCTCCACGAAGTTACATATATTTAAAAAGCAGAGAAGCAAATAAAAAGTAATGTAGTAAATGATATTATTTTTTCATCAAAACTTTCCTTCCAAAATTAGTTTTGCTTGTTTGATCATGTACTTTGTAACCAACGCACAATCATATATCCACATGGATTGAAGGGACAAGCTGGAGGAGACGAGGTCTGCTATGCTTTGATCCGTGATACTTTTCAACCGCACCAATTCCACATGACGCAAATGCTCCAACTTGCATAATCCTTGGATCGCCGTATCCGGAACAGCCTCCATATTATACAGCAGCAAAATTTGCAGCGCGCAGTCGGGTTTCAGCTTTTGCACGAATAGCTCAATGCCGTCCGCACTAACTTGATTGCATGCATCGAGTCGTATCCTTTCCAATGTCGGTATATCCGCCAGGCACGCCAGCGCTTCATCTGTAATGTTGGAATAGTCGTCCGTTTCAAACACACGCAAGGGCGAATGGTGTTGCAAAGCAACATGTCGTTCGAGCAGCTGGACCAAGCCTACTTCATTAATCTCGCTCACTGAATACGTCGCAATCCGTCGTAACTGAGTCAAACCTGCCAATGCTCCAAAAATCTCGTTGCCGATATATTCACAATGCTCGAACGTCACATCCTCGAGCTCCGGGCATTGGCGAACGAGTGTTGCAATGACATGCTGCATCATGGGTCGTACCTCGCATTGGAGCTTTTGCAATCGCGGAAGCGTAAATGTTGTCAATGGATTCCATAGCTGTACGGGTCCAACATCATCATCCATATAGAGCACCAGCTCTTCCAATGTATCGTTGCTCTTCATCAAGAGCGGGGCCAAGTTGACTGCGGCAACGGCCTCCACACGGCTAACATGAAGGCTCCGTAACCCTTTGGGTATCATGGACATGTTCGAATCATGCGAATCGATATGTGTGATATCATCCATGATGCGGTATAAATTAAAGGCCAGCGATCGCAATCCGGCCGTCGAGTATTGGTCGATCAGTCGGATGGCGGATGGTTCGCTTCGGTATACATATAAATTCTGGACTGCTGGACAGCATCGTAAAAGTGGCTCTAGTTGTGCCGCCCGAATAATACTGGTCGTTTCGAGCTCTAGTGAAACGATCCGTGTTGCGGCCGGTAATTTGGAGGGTCGGCTGATTTGGAGACCCATCCCTTTGTATTTGAAGGTCAAAAGATTGGTACAGATTGATAAGACAGCGTCCAATGTTACTGGATCGTTTCGAATGGAAATGAGTGCCAGGTTTTTGAGCGTTCCATTAATGTGCTCTAAGCCCTGGAGTAGATTATTCGCGCTTGTGATTCTGATACCTTGTTTTTTCACGATTAAACATTGCCGAGCTCATAACTATCCCTCTTCCTCTTTTACGGTACAATACAAAAAACAAAAGTATATAACTTACGACGTAGAGCAAGCGACTGTAATCTTGTGAAGCGGCCCAATTCCAACGTTTTCAAAAACTGGGATGGAACATATTCATCGAATCCTCTCAGTGACAATTCGCGTACTTGGTCACTGACATACGAGAGGTTGTTGTAAACTCTGGCGTCGTCATCGTCACTATTGTCGATGATCATCTTACGCCACACAGCTGAGCATTGCCGTATCCGGGCACGCCACGACTGCGACACGTTCACGCATAGCACGCACATGTGCATTGGTAGATAATACATGATTTTTGGAAGAATATCGAAAGGAAGTTCCGTGATAAAGTCGATTTTATAGTTTTGTTGATCCAGAGACAGTTGTCGTTGTATGGACAGTCGAGCATAACCCGGATCCGTTTCAGGCACCGTTCGTATGCCCTTGTTGTAAATATCAATTGCTAATCCTTGCTTGCCTTGCATTGCGTACAATTCGCCAATTCGTAGATACCCCTTGGACGAACTCGGCGCAAGTTGGACCATTTCAAACGCATCGCGCAAGCCTTGGTCATAATTGGCACTCTGTCCAAGTGCTGCCGCGCGAATGTCGAGTGTTGCGACCGTCTTTTGTGTTAATTCGTCTAGTGCAATTGAACACTGCGCAAGGGCATCCTCGTAAGAAGCGTTGACGAGTGATTGTTGGCTGTTGCAGAAAAGTTCTTCCCACTGATTAGGAACGTCATGCCGCATTGCCAGACGTTTGTAAAAGTAGTTACTGAAGAATGGAAAAAAGGAAGGTGTTGCGAAGAAATATAAAAAATGGCGCGTGAATCTAACCTTATATGGACTTTACCATGCTATTTCGAGGGTCTAGTATTCAGTAAATGCTTAAATCTACTGTTGAATATGTCATGCAGCTTGTAAATTGAAGGGACCAACCCAGAAGTCAAAAAAGTGAAAGTTTTAAATCGATAGGAACAAAACTTTTATTAGTGAGCAGGCTCAATATTACGTATTTAAATTACATACAGTGCATAGCGGGAAGGTAAGAAAGGAAGTGAGGATTATAAAGTACGGGTACGATACATATCGGTGGAGTATTAAAAGGATGGTATAGGGTCTACTGTTTTGATGACATTCCAGTGGTTGCTACAGCACCCTTTTCTATGTCGCTTGGCGGCTGCTGCACTTGTCGAGTAGCCCAATCAGGACCGCTGCGCAGGGTCAGCAAAAGAACGATGAGAGGTGTCTGAATCTCAAAAAAGTAGACCGAGAATGACAGAACGGGAAGTGGTTTCTGGATAAGCGGTTCATATGCTAACAAAGCATCTTGCGCCCGATACGAGAAAAGGATAGTGATAGAATCGAGCGTGCCCTGAACAGGTTGTAATAACGTGACGATTCCGTAAGCCAAGAGGACTGCGGACAAATGTTGTTTTTGCTCGTGATGACGCCAATGCACTAGCAATGCATATGCCCACGCACCAGCGTAAGCAACCGTAATGCATTGTTGGAAGCACTGCATGTAGTAAAAGTCGACCTGGTAACGCAGATAATAGGATCCAACGGCAGAAACGGCAATTCCAATGACTGTTGCTTTAAATTGACGAAGATGTGCCTTGATCCATAATATTCCTTCTCTGCTTAGCAACAAATTGACAGCAGCTGCCAACCACACAAGGTTTGCTTGGAGTATTGTCAGCAATTGCAATGCGAGTGGCAGAGACTGGCTATGATGGAATGGGTGTCGTTTGTTGAACAGGATGTTTCGGCCGTCGTATCCTTGAAAAATTATCATGCCGTCAAGGGCAAACGTCGATGCAATTGCAGCAAGGAGGATAGGGAAGAAGTATTTGTGGTTCAATTGCAGTTTTCCTGCGATTATTAAAGTGACAATTGCCCTGATCGCCAGGGATAATGTATGGTAGTGGAGAGACATGAGTACTGCAAAGAAGAAAAAGGGAGTGTATGCAAAAAGACGAAGATGGGCATAAAGAAGAAGAAACAGAAAGACTAGACGACCTCCTCAATCCCTGATTTAAACTTTTGGCTGGTGTAACCATTTAAACGCTCAGCATTGTGACCCCTGCGCGGCCTGCGATAGGTGCGAGACAGACATAACTTCTTGAGTTTATGTTTAAGAACCCCCTTGTAGTCCCTTCGATTATGGTTCCAAATGTACATATACTGAGCTTTCCTTATTAGGTCAATGAATGTTTATTACAGACCCTGTTACTGCTGTACAAAGTAGAAAGAAAGGATAAGCATTGGAGAACCCTTCATAGATCGCAACAGCCAACTTTTGTTCTCTACCGATTCATTCAGGTCCAGTAAATGGGTTGAGGCGCCGCTTCATTCTCTGCTCCATTTGCCACACACTTCACACATGTATTCGATTAAGCACTCTGCCCCAGAAAAGCTTTGCCATTTAGGGCAGTGTACCTTCGTTGAGTACGGTGCCATCTCCGTTTTTAAATGCCATAGGAGCATAATCTAACTGTGAGCTTTGGGTAGCGCTATACTAGAACAACCGAGAAACAACAAACACGAAGACTTTAACATCAAAGATTTATTGTAACTAGACTACAAAGAATCGATATTTCTCACGTTTCAGATTAATCAGGCTTAACAACGTCGAAGACAAAGGCATTGTTGATGGACATGGCGAACAAAAATAAAGCTGACAGTGAGAGCAGAGCGAGAGAGGAACAACTTTTTCATGATATGGCAGTTCGGTGCAATTAACTAACACGATTCTATTAGCACTCTATTCATATAATTGTAATAATACAGTAGTACCATTTACACAGCGTTTTTATCACTCTTACTTAAAAGGCTCGCATTCTCTTTTCAATTTGCACCGTCTCTTTGGCTTGTTTCTTAAAGATAATTTTGATACGGTTGATCCTCATACATAGTTAGGGTGTCTGTATAAAACTTTGACAATAAAATGTAGGCTTTTGGGGTTTCTTTATAGATACAATTTAAAGCGACATTAAAAGAACGTTACTGAAGTGCTGAAGAAGGAGGATCAGACCCTACACATGTTTGAGATTTTTCCGCGTCATTACACGCGGTGCAGAGTGCAAAGTATACGTCGATTGTAATTGTTGACAAATGTTAGACTTATCAGGTCAATACTGCTGTTATGGTGGTACCATTGTCCTTCTTTGAGAGGGAGGCTGTCTAAAAAACGTTAAGAGAGCTGGTGTGGTATATAAAGGGTAACATGTTTTGTTTTATTACATACATATTTCTGAAAATGAAGCAGCAAATTAACAAGGCAGCGCCACAGGCCAGAGGAGGTAGCGACCGGCAGCGTATCTTGTATGTAGTGACATCCAACTTATGAATGGTCATCGTTAAAGCATACTGCACGAGAGCCGTTAGCTTTTGGTTGCGACAAAAAAAGCCTCAGATCCGTCGTTGGCTGATCAAGTTCAACCTCCTAAAACAGTTGAAAGTAAAAAGAGTGAGCATGTGGGTGGGTTCCTCACACATTAAAATATATACTCAGACATTGAAGCTGCCATGATACCCACCTTGCTGACTCGCCACTGTCGTCAGTTTCCTCTTGGTCCTCAAATAAATGATGCCATGTGGAACAAGCAAATATTATATTGTCATGTGTAAAGAACAGTCTTATATGGAGGGCATGGCACACGTCGAAACGGTTTTGTTCGATTTCCTTGGGAGGTTCATTGAATGGTAATGTCTTCATTATGTCAAGCATGAGCCGGAATCAGTATTGGTTTCAGCCATAGCGCTGGGACATACCATCCCTGTTAATGCAATACCTGCTCGCAAAACAGTTCCCCTCCGTAATGGTCAAAAGTGGTCGTTTTGAAGGCTGATAGTGCGTTAAGAAGAGGACCAAAAGACATGGAGCTGCAATTGCTCATGTCTGTAAGCCACTGTCTGCTGTAGAAACGAAAATAGAGCTTGATTGGAGAAAATATATTAATTTCAAGTTATTCTTTTACCTGGTGTAATGGGGTCTGTGGAGAGCAGCATTGTCCCAACCACCGGCTTCATCTCGCCTCTGCTCTTCCGACAGATCTTTCAGAGGCCGTTTATAGTTTATAATGCTTTATCGATTACAGTATGCGCCATATTGTTGAGGTTCATCCAAGCGTTATCTTGGTCAGACTGTAAAGTAGGTTAGAATGGATGTTTTTATTCTGGAAGACTGAATGGACCGGCGCCGATAGGGCATGTGGTCGCTTCCTTGCGGTACAGGATGTGATGTGAGAAATATATGTAATAGGGGGGGGTGCAATAACGTAAAAACCTCTGTGGGAAAAGTTTATGCTAGTGAAGGGAGAATGGTATGTTGTGTGGTGGACGGGGACCGCTTCCAAGCAAGTATTTTCTTTGCGGCGGCGGTCTGGTTCTTTGGCGTGCAGGTACTTGCTTGCCGTACAAGAACCATCACCGCCGAGCTTGGGACTCTACAATATAGAATTGAAATTGTAGTGATCAGTCAACAAGAAGTACGTACATATCGCTCGAGTGATGTTCCTTTTCAATTTAAACATAGTGCTTACTTGTGTGAAAAAGATCCCTATTGCTATTGGAAGGTGGCGCCGATGTAGCCCGCCAGTCATTGTCTCGTCGATAGTTTAGTGTTACCACCATCGTCAACAAGATCCGTATTCTTTGGATCACGGCCTTTGCAATCTTTAATGAGAGGCGGTGTTAAAGAAGTGACGACAAAAGTTGCCGTCTAGTGCTGCCAAGTGGGCGGGTTCATGGGGGATTTATAAAATAACCAGCGATACTTTCATGTGGGACTTGAAAAACATTTCTCCATCCAGTATAGAGTCGTGGCTGACCGTCAACTGGATGCGAAAAGTAAGGTCAGTGAAAGGAAGAAGCGACGGAATTGTCATCGATGAGCAGCACTGTATTTTATAATAAGCAGAAGAAGCGAAAAAGAAGAAAGATGGTTTTTAAAGTCAGAATAAAAGAAGATCAACGCCGTAATCATTTCATTGTTGTGACCGTAATTGGTAAATTCTCCTTTATTGATTACAAGTTTCCATCTTGAGCTTGTTTCTTTTATTAATTATTACTATGAAGCACTTGAGTACTACAGCAGTGGTTCCCAAGCTCGTTTATTTATCCATATTAGTATCTCAGAAAGCTATATGTTGACATATCAATTAGATGATGCGGTTGAGGTAAGTGCCTTACACTTCTCAGGCTACATACACAGTCTTTGGCAGATTAGTCACAGTTGCTCTTTACAGGTATGTATGTCAGCCACGATTTGTATCATTGCATGTTTTAAAAAGAATTTTTGAATTACTGAATATAGTTGTTGTTGACAAGCTGTTTAATTTGTCAACGATCAGCGTCGGCAATAGAGCTTTAGCGCTTTCTAACCTAGCTACAAGAAAAAAAATTGGCATGATGAGCACCTTTCAATGGGTCAGGTGCATGAGTAGGTGTAAGGGTTCGACCGGGTTCACTTTTTGCATGGACCACGTTATATACAGCTTATGCCTTTACCTTTAACAAATCGAGTTCGCAACTTCTTTTATCATGTTGCTCTTATGAAGAAACCCTTAATGTGCCTAGCATCAAAATATCGATCTTCTCATTTGGTTGATGTACTTTTAATTCTTTAAGGCCCAGTAACCAAAAAGGATACACCATTATAAAAAATGCCCACATAAAATTGCTTAGCATAACAAAAGTCGTATGTCAGATGTGCCGAGAAGATTGGCCCCGTATGTAGTACAGGGGTGGCGATCATTTAAAACCCGGGTTGAAAAATAAGGGAGATACCGCACATGTAGCATCTTTTAAGCCTTTTTGAGCTATGTACTACAAAAAGCATGTTCATCGCTTCGTTATTGGTAAACATTAGTGCACATGAAAGCAGCTATTGGTGCTACTGGTACGTCTTCTTTGTTGAAGGGACTATTTTTGGTGATTCCTTCTCCCAACTGCTCAGCTAAAGACCGCTCAGCTGAAAGGTATTATCCAAGATTTCTTGATGCTAAGCCGAACACTTGGTGTTTTAATCCCAAACCACGGGATGACACCTCAAGGTCGTACATTATTCCTTAGTGGCGCGCCGTCAGTAAGATCATCTTTTCCCTTTTCAACAACTATATAGCACGAGTCATTTCCCTTCTTTTTTTCTCCTTCACATTTAACCATACAATCTACACATTTTACAAAGCATACAGACACAACTACGAGAGTGTACATACTAGCAACTTTCACTGTATACATCCCGTTACATAACTTTTAAGGCAAGTAGTAGTACTTGCGATCTTTAAAAAGGCTCAATTACACAAGATTGTACAATCAACTAAATGAAGTGCTATATATTCGTATCAGGTATATAAGCCAGAAATGTACATAGAATACTGTCGAGATCAAAAAGCAGCAGATGTCGAGAACACAACAGACTATCGTCTCAATGCTGTTGCTGGCAAGTACCGACCCACTTGGCTTATCCGATCGTCCGATTGGAAAACTGTTCCTGGCAAAGAAGCTGTAAATGGCTACTGCGCACTCTCGTATTGCTGGGAGCAATCAGGCGAAATAATACGAGACGAAGAGAACGGGGACGAATACAAATGCATTGACAAGGGTCGTCATCGAATCACCGAACTAGTGAAGCGTAGAAGGGGCAAAAGAAGATATCGCAGAAAGCCAGCAGTAGTGAAGCACGTTACATTCGAAAAACTCCTGCAGAAGCTATGCAATGACTTTCAAATCGAATATCTTTGGTACGACAAAGTATGTATCCCCCAGGAGGACAAACAAGCCAGACTGCGTGAAATAAGGCAAATGTATCGTGTGTACGGTGATGCATGCTACACTGTAGCGCTAGTACCCGAAATCAAGGCTCGACACGCCAATGATTTCAAACGATATGACCCATTATTTGGAATCAAAGCTAGACACCTGGCTTTGGCCATCATGGTGTCCACCGCATGGTGGAAGCGAAGCTGGACACTCGAAGAAGTACTGACATCAAAACGGATCTTGGTGGTCGGCACGAATTTAAACTTTTGGCAACATAGCCTCAATAGTGAAATTCCGACTACAATCGACAATCTATCGCTTTGGATGCTTGATCTTGGCGGTCGACACGGCGATAAAAGAAAAAGTGTCAACCAGGCTCTCAGGGAGGCGCATTTTCGAACGAGCTCAAAGCAGCATGACAAAATCTTTGCCTTGGCCAACGTTTTTCCGGACATGTTCAATCATATGGAGATCAGTTACAGTATCGAGAAGAAAACCATGTTCAACACATTCTACCAAACTATTGCGACAAATGATCTTTCGACGCTGTGTTTTGGCTCACCCTTGGAAATCGATGGTAGAAACAGTGTTCCAAGTGCCATGGACGCTCATAATTTACCTTCATGGACTGGTGTTCATGGACTCCATACAATCGACAATGTTGTCGTTGCTACATCCTTGCAGTCACCGCATCGTATCACCGATAGTATGCAATTGCATATAGTTTCCAAATACTTGAAGATCCCTGTCATACAATACGAGGTCCCCCGTACCAATGAAGCCAGCTCAGAGCTTTTATTGACTATCGACAAAGTTTTAGCTCGTAGGAGGGCCGGACAATCAGATCATTTAACCAACGCTGCGACGGACAACAACGACGCGCTTTTGATGGAAACACGCGCAGATATGCTCCACCATTCCTTCTGCAATGCCACACATTATCATCAATGCCGACAAATTACTGGTACACAGCGACCTAAACCACTTTCCTTGACTGAAAACTGCGAAGAATGTATCATCTTGCCTATTCTCTTTGGTTGCTCCGCTGCAGACCATGAATTACACGATGCAAAGTTGCGCACTTATACCCTAGGCCAGTATCAGCACCAATACTTGTTTCCTGTCTTCAAAAAGTGTCAAAGTACCGGAAGGTATAGAGCAATTGGCATCTTTTTGGAAAACTACTCCCCAGTCGGCGAAAAATTCGATCCACATGTATACTTAGATCAGTTTGTCATATCATCAATGTCTAACGACGTACAAGAGTTTGTCATCGAATAAAAAGCTTTAAGAGTATACAAACAACCTTATAAACTTTTCACCTATCAACAACACATGGTATTGCAGCTCGTTTTATGTAGGACTATTGAGTGCAGGATGGAGGACCCGTTCCTGATCAATCAGCAGCGACCGAGATAGACCGAGCTCGTTAATCACAGTTGTTGTGCGTTGGTTTATAAGACATTTCTTGTGCCGAAGATCCCATTGTTGTCCTGTCGTTTTCTTGCCCGCTAATTCGGTGCACAAAGGGCAGCTAGCTTGTCGGTGAGTTTCGCACAATCTGCTGCTTTTCGCACAAGCGCTACCACAATGATGTGCGCTCTCTAACCCCTTATTCCTTCAAGTTGATTTGGGCAAGTTATTCTAAATATATTGTGTTTTTTCTCCTGAACTTGGCAGCATTTACTACATGTTCCTCACCTCCGCATTACATAATATCCATTGAACTTTTGCTCCGCATCCGTGAATGCTATGCTTAAGCATCACATGAACGCGGCATTGCGTGTACGCTCAGTGTAACTGTAGCGCAGAGAACCTCCTTCGCTTTGAGTGGGGAGTTTTTTTGTGTGGATTTCTTGATTTTGTGTGCCTATCATAAATGATCATAGCTGAAGCTACCTTTTAAAGTGATACGTATTCTTCAATGTGATGATTGGCTAAAATGTTTTTATTACACGACCTTCAGATTTGAAGCTTCAGCGGCCTTTGACCAGGCCTAATGATGGCGGACTACACGATTTTCCAGGGCATCACTTTTTCCTACTCAACCAGGTGAAATAAGGGGATGATATACAGGATTTTGCGTTGGAGATGGGGAAGGAAGCCAGAGTTTTTTTTTGTAAAAGAGGCGGACCTCCAATTAGTTTATTTACGAGGACTTGTTCATTGGAAGGGAAGTTCCCACAGCTACAGGTAGCTCAAAGAAGGAGATGGTATAACGATTAGGTTTGATAGTGATCAGCGATTCAAAGTTGGGCGGGGATATAAGGTAGTTGGGGAGATACTGGAAGTATATATGTACTTGGTGGTTGATAGGAGAGTAGTGATATTGAGAGCGGTTTGGTAGTATGTTCAATGAATTATACAGTGCCCACGCGATAACTTGATACTTTATAACTTGATGATTCAATAATTTAATCGACTTTTCATGTCACCGTTCTGGTGTGCAGTAAATCTCGATAACTCGATAACTTGATACGTGATCACTCTTTCATATCTATATTGAGTTATCAAGTACTGCGAAAACTATAACTGAAAACTTAATTGGCTAAACGAAATCGGTAATTGGAGCTCATCGTGTGTTTTCTACTTATTCTGTAGTGAGCATTCTGATGCGCCTTTAGTGCACCCGAGTACAGTATACCCCCGTTAACGTCAACCCCGATAACGTCAACCCCCGATAACGTCAACCGATTCGCTGGTACCCTTTCAAATTTAGCAGTTAGAGATTTTGCCTATTCTCTACCCCCAGTGGTCGTCAACCCTCGATATGGTCAACACTTTTGCTGGTACCCTGATGGTTGACGTTAACGGGGGTCGACTGTATTACAGCATCTTGCTCATCTACAACTACTAGACCGTCAATAAAATCTTTGACAATAGCATTTTCAATGGCTGATGGAGAGCAAAGGCGATACTTGCTCGTCAAGTTTATCGCTATATATGTTGTTTTCATCAGCGTGATCGACATCAGATGAGCTGCTGGAAGCTTGTTGCAAAACTCCTTTTCCTATAGATATTACAGTGGTTAGTTTATTGTTATCCACACTGCCAATACCGGCTCAAATATATACTCACCATTGTCCTTTCCTATGTCTGCCAGCGCGCGTTAAGACAAATCCGGTTCTACGCCTTTCTGTACACATATTTTGAATTTTTGTTGGTGGGAAAGTTGGACTGGAGGAGGTTTAGTCATAACGAAAAGTAAGCGCGCACCAATAACTCTGGTAAAATCTTCTCTTCTTATATTCTCTTAACTCTCGGTCAAATGTTTCCGATTAAGCAAATTTGTTGAAGGGTAAATACTAGTGTTACACAAGACTATAACTCGATATTTTGATAACTCGATCACATTTGGGCGTCACCGAGGTTATCGAGTTATCGCGTGGGCACTGTAGGTGCGATTGCTTGTCCTTGATCAAGGAAAAGAAAATATAAATGTATGTTACTAGTTTTCCTACTGTTTTTCATTGTTTTTGTTTTTTGTTTTTTTCTTGTATTCTGTTTTACTTTTAACATATTTAGTCGATTGTGTATAAGATCAATCGCTTTAGTAGCGATTGTGTGGTGGTGAAAGGGGATGTCATGAAAGATGGTTGCCCAGTGGGCCCGCCATATACATAAAATGATTAAAGAGTCAAATTGTAGGGGTGTGGTTTTGGTTAGATAATGGTAGGGCTTATGTCCAGTGAAGAAAAATGTTGTTGGGGAATGTAGATCGGGATCTGTGTGCATAAAGTGTTGCCACACATAGGTCCAGATGGATTTCTTGTGCAGGCACCATACAAAGGAATATGCAGTTGTTTTTGGATATTGTTGACAAATGCGGCATATTGGTGTGTTGATGAAGTCAGGGGTGATTTGGTACAAGAGGTCAGAAGATGGGACCTTGTTATGAGATAGTCGGAGGAGAATGTTGTGGGTTGTATGATCCATAGGTGTATTCCAGAATCCATTCCAATCGATGTATTGAAGTGGAGGTTCCAGGTGTCGTTGTTTAAGATTGTAATGTCGATATTGTTTGGTGCTGTCCTTGGTAATAGCTGGGTGTGCAAGAATCAGTTGGTTTAATTGTTGTAGAGTGTCATGGGAAGTGCTAGAGTGCCCCCCTTTGCGGCGGTCAGGGGGAAGGCATAGGCGTGCAAAAAACGGCTGAAACATGAGGCGATGTGCCGCTAGGTCCTGCCAAAAACGCTTCAGTAGAGTCTTGTACAGATGTTGATCTGAGCGATTTTGGATACACAGATGTTGGGGAGTTGGGTCATAGTCATAGATGAAGATGAAGCCAGAGTTTTAAATTTTGGAAGCAATAATTTTTTTAATTGCAGAGATCATAGTTTTTCATTCTAGAAACCATAGTTTCTAATCTCAAGGACCATTGTATTTCAATATGGAAGTTATAGTTTTTCAATCTGAAGTCTATGATTTTTAATTTGGAGACTATAGTATTTCAATATAAAGACCATGGTATTTCAATTTGGAGATCATAGTTTTTCAATATGAAAACCATAGCTATTCGATCTGGAGTCCATATTTTTTCAGTCTGAAAACTGTAGTTACTTACTCTGAGTCTACAGTTTTCACTTTGAAAACTACTGTATGCTTTTTCAATCAAGAGGTGACTGATCGTCTTAAGGCTATGGATAATAGAGTATCACAAGCAATCCATGCAAATCAATGAGTTTGAAGTCTTGTTCAAACATAAGCCTTCTTTATGCACCAATTAAGGGAGAGATCATTGAAACTTTGTGTGTTGAGTAGCATAACACATACTTATCATGTTTCTTCAATATACCAGGTAGTATATATGCTTGGGTGTTTTAAAGTGTATATGCATATATCTCTGTTCTCTACAAGTAACTATGGTGACATAAATATATATCATGTCAAGCCACTGCAATACTGAAAATCTTTCTTTCTAATTGTCACCAAAATATGCATTAGGAACAGACTTAATGAGCAAACAGATTTTGAACAATAGACTACTTGTTGTAAGTCTTATTGTAAAAAGTGTTATCAGTATGTATAACACTTATTCATCAAGAGTCATATTATTTATTTATTTATTTGAATATCATAATAAGTCTCATATGTTAAAAACCATATGTTTTAAGCACTTTTTTAATCTCTAATAAAATTATTTTCACATTTTGATTATTTTGAACTTCCTTAATTTTATTTTCATTAATAAATTGAATTATATTTTTATATAATTTCTTACATAATGGATCATTTTTTAATAATGAATTTTTGTTTATAATATTCATTTTATCAAATTTTTCATTTAAGCTATCCTCTTTATTATTATATCTAGTATTATAATGTTCTTTAGATATTATACTATTTTTATTAAGAGAAGTGCTACGCATACGAGTTTTTTTTCTTACGCGTACGAGTTTTTCTGAGCGGGTTTTTAAAGTGGTTGTGTTGTGAAACCTTGTATAGCCAATCCAATTGCCGGTCTTACACGTACGAGTTTTTTGCTAAAGGAACTGAACAGCATATGCGTACGAGTTTTTGTCTATCCATCAATCTTCCGTTTTTTTGGATGGCCTTGTCAAAATAAATAGCTATTGTCATACTTCTTGATATACAAACTGCTCATTAAATGGGCGCAATGGATTTATTTACGCTGTTCTTTTCGAGATCTTACACGTCCGTTCTGCCACCATACAGTAATGGCATATATAAGTTTGCATTCGCTTCTTTTCTTTAAGTTCTTGGCCTTTTCCCCAATATTTGATGCCACACCAAGCGATATCAGGATTCTAATCAATCAAGCAATTCACTTGTTCATGTGGAGGAGTTTTCTACCGAGTCCATATAGTTAGCAATCATTTATAAAAAAAACTTTGGGCAGCGCTCTTTTACGCTTACGAGTTTTTTTAACCTGTTTCCACGTAAATCATAAGTAGCGGGGACAAGTTTTGACAGTAATCTGCTTACACGTACGAGTTTCTTCTATCCTGGTTCCACGTGGATCATAAGAAGCTGGGATATGTTTTGACAGCTTTCTGCTTACGCGTACGAGTTTTTTTAACCTGTTTCCACGTAAATCATAAGTAGCGGGGACAAGTTTTGACAGTAATTTGCTTACACGTACGAGTTTTTCCTATCCTGGTTCCACGTGGATCATAAGAAGCTGGGATATGTTTTGACAGCTTTCTGCTTACGCGTACGAGTTTTTTCTATCCTGGTTCCACGTGGATCATAAGTAGCTGGGATATGTTTTGACAGTTATCTGCTTACGCGTACGAGTTTTTCCTATTCTGGTTCCACGTGGATCACAAGTAGCTGGGATATGTTTTGACAGCTGTCTGCTTACGCGTACGAGTTTTTTCTATTCTGGTTCCACGTGAATCATAAGTAGCTGGGATATGTTTTGACAGTTATCTGCTTACGCGTACGAGTTTTCTCTATTCTGGTTACAGTGGGTTATTTGTTATTTGAAAACCGTTCAACAGCTCCACAGGAAGTGGAAGTCTCATAGGATAGTTGCTTACTGTACTTTCGAGTACTATATGCTCTTCAAATGTAAAAAGATTTTGATCTAACATATTTAGTGGAAGTAATAGTAAGTTTAAGTACTCCTTTACTACTTCATTACAGTAACAATATTATAGAATAGCACACTACATAACTTACTTTATGTTGTTTGCTGAATCATATATTTAACGCACCGTGACACTTTACTATATGACTAATAAATGTCACATGGTTTGCTACTTGATATTATATTCAGAAGCATGTGTTTTAAAAAAATGTTAAAAGTTTCTCTCCGCCGGGCCGTGGGGAATAGACGTTATATATACTGTCGAGTCGTTCGAATATTTACATTGCCCTCTTCTTTCTTTTCTTTTATTCTATCACTTCTTTATACTTCCAAAATACTATCAAATCCGAATGAGTGAGCTTATCGGCAGAAGATATTTCAGCTACGAGAAAATCCAGGTGGACGTTCAAATGTACGCCAAGACACATGGTTTTGCTGTCAATTTCAGCATCAACGGTCTTAGAGATACGGTTTACTGTCAGTGCACGTGTAAAGGGGAGTATATCGATGAACGAGGCGATCAACGTCAGCGCAACAAGAGTACCAAGAAGACAGGCTGTTGTTGGCGTGTAACCGTCTCGCTGCCAAAGAAGTCCCAAGTCCTGGGTCAAGAACCACAATGGGAAGTTCGATATGTACGTATCCACTCTGGAAAGAAATACAGTATCAAGAAAGGCAAGACCACTGTCCCAACTGAAGACTCCAGTGACGTGGTGCACCACAACCATCCACTTGTCCAAGACGTCAAGGCTCTGTCCAAGGTGTATCATCAGCATCGTAAACCCACCGAACCCGTAGTCCGAACCCTATCATCTATGAGCCGTAACGTCCCAGCACCTGAAGTTGTGCATATCATTGATAAAAAGCATGATGGATTTGTAATGACGACCAAGGATGTGCAAAACTTTTATTACAAGACCACTGGTACTTTAGGAGCATCTAGCGAATTTACTCCGTTGCTGGACTTTCTGAAAGCCGAAAATTATATCATTCATTATGATGTGACGGCGTCAACAGGCACTCTCAAGGCACTTTTTGTAGTGCACCCGGACTCGATTGTAATGGCAAGGCGATTTTCAGAAGTGGTGCTTATTGACTCCACATACAAGACCAATCTTCACAACATGCCGTTTGTCCACATTGTTGGTGTCAGTAACCTGGGAACTACTCGACTCCGCACATTTGTTGTTGCTTCGGTGTTGATGGCAAACGAGAAGGAACCGTCGTACCTTTGGATGGCCCAAAAGCTGCGTGAAGTTGTATGGCCCACATTAATTGCTAGCGAGCCGAAGCTTTTTGTAACCGACCAAGATAACCAACTCATCAACAGCATTACAATGGTATTTCTGGAGAGCGACACGATCCTTTGCGCGTGGCACGTTCAGAAGAACTTTATGGACAGATATACGGGCAAATTCTCAAGCAAAAAGCAAGGAAAAAAGCTGTCGGATCAAGCCTACATGGATGTGATTATAAAGAACTTACTCTGGAGCAGAAGCGAAGAAGAGTTTGATGCAGCAGTTACTGAGTATCGCACCCACGTAAGAAAGTCATTAGCGTGTGAAATGCTTGGGCAATATTTAGACGAGTAAGTTGTTTTGCCTTTTCTCAACACTCCTTGTATCATGACCACTGCCTTTAAGACACAAACTCATATGCAAATGATTTACATAATATAGGACTTTGGTTAACAAAGAACGTTGGGCTGGCCCCTGGTGCGAGAAGTACGCGCATTTTGGGAATCGTACTACTCAGAGAGTGGAAAGTGCCCATAGAAGTCTAAAAAGCAGACTAGGCAAGCCAGGATCTCTGCTTTATTTGTTTGAGAAATTACATGAAAATCGCAGCGCATCTGTAAGTACGATATTGACTTCTGTTATCTTTCTGCATATATCACATATATGCTGCCTATGATAAGAGCTAATATAAGATACTGTATATGATTGTATAAATTATACATTATAGATGGATGCTGAAGCCGGTACTTTTTACAAAGAAATGATCAACAGACCAGTAATCATTGCTGGTGACGCTGCCACTAACGGCTACTTCGAAAAAGTGGCAAGAAGAATATCTCATTGTGGTTTAATCCTTCTTCGAAACGAATATGCGAACATCAACTCTCTCGATATGGACGCTGATTGCTGCTGTATGGTCAAGCAGAACTACAAGCTCCCATGCCGCCATACCATACAAGCTAATACTAAATTAACAATTGGAAGCATTCATCCCTTTTGGCACCTTGATGAAGAAGGTATAGTAATCTCAAAGATAAATTTTATTCATCAATATGTTTAAATACGTTACAGCACTGATAGTAACACTATATTACATTTTTGCAGTATTCGACTCTGTGGAGCTTATTGGCGCTGAATTATCAAACAGAGCGACCAATCTGATACATAGTTTGCAAGAAAAGCTCACTTCCATCCAAGATCATCAGCGGTTAAATGCTTTCATGGGAACCATCGAAAAGGCGATATCAACCGCAAAAGTGGAACCTGGTATCGACAAGGTCTACCTCCCCAAAAATGTCAAAGCAAGAGGTCGACCAAAGGATCGAGCGAAGAAGACACGCATGTCTATAATCAAGAAAGTAAACAAGTCGAACGAAAAGAACGAAGAGAAACTGTCTAGCAGGAAACGACCTTTGGATGCTGGTACCTCTGCTACATACCATCGTAAAAAGTAAGTATATCTCGCATGCTTGGTTTGTTTACGTGTCATCTGTAAAGTCGATGCTCATATAGCTAATACATAATACTTGCTTCTTTTCTACAGACCATTGAGCTCAAATTCAACCGTTGATGCTATCATTCCTTCAATTACTGTTCCACCCAATCAACACAAAAATGCGCCTCGAAACAGGTTTTCTCTAAAAGAAGGTAAATGGCTGACTCATTAAAAAGAAATTTTGTACATACATATGCAACTTTATTAAACAAATATTTGCATGTATACATGTACAACGCAGTGCCTTACGTAACATACTTAGAGCCAAATTCACACAACTCATGCTTCATTGATGCACCGATGGAGATGCTATGGAACTCTGTGCTGCCGTATATTGACCTTACTCCTGTCTCGCCTATACGCTGTGGTGTGTATAACCCGACCGATATTCTACTGCTTTGTACACATCACCATCATCAAGAAAATCACGAGATTGGAAGGTCCAACGCAGCACTTACTGCACGCAACTTTGCTTGGTGCAGCCCGGAATACTCCTCCCAGAGCATGGACAGCCCGCATAAATTTTTAAAGCATTTTATCCTGGGGAATCTTTCCAATCGTCTTCGAGAGAACTTTTTCCCAATGTATACAAAGGTCAAGCGGTGCCCTGCTGGCCACGAATCCGTATCAAAGAACCTCTTGTTAGACATCGATTGTATCCATGAATGCATAACAACAAGAGATCCTGTTCAATTCTCGGACCAGTTTTACGCTCACCATATCCTGGCACCAACGACATCAAAATGCGCACATGAATTGTGTAACGAAGATGCTGATCAACACAACGCCATAACAAAATATTCGCCATTTCTTGTATTGGGTGCAACACAGACCCAGGATCCGGCAGGCAAAGGAGGACTGTCCTACACCCACTTTCCGTACAACCTCCGGTTCGATGATGCCCATTACGTTCTACAAGCAAAAATATTCAGTACTGCAGATTCGGGCGCTCACTTTTACACTGTTGCCACCGTTGAACACAACGATTCCTATTTTCTTGCACAGATCGACAACCTGCAGAAACAAGTACAAATAGTTCAAGACAAAGTTACAAGCGAGTTCCCGCCTGAAGACCTTTGTCATTCAGACAAAACAGTCGTAGCATGCTACAAGTTGGCTAGCGTCAATGACAGGTACAAGGCTCGGTTAGACATTGACGAGCTGAATGAACTACAAGCAGTACTCGAGCCTACTATATGCGGACGCGTTGGAAGCAGTATGTGTCCTTTTCTATACGTTTTTATCTTTATATGGTATTGAATATAAATATCGATACTAACGGAGCATGTCAATATAGTGATAGAATGCTTTTTTTGCAAGGAAATGTTGGCAACTCCATACCCACGCGCAGTCGCGAAGCTTGACAAGAAATTACAAATATCTGCGAATTTTGAGGAAACACGCAAATGGCGGGTCAAGACCACTGGGTTCCTATCAGCAGCAGAACGTAGACAATTACAGTTCTTTTCTACGTTGGGTCTTAAAAAGCAAGAACAACAGCTATTCTGCTATACGCATCGTATAGAATATGTTTATAGAGCCATTGCTACTGAGGAATTCTATCCGTTATCCATCGACTTTGTCGCACTCCCAAAGCGCATTCATAATTTCAAAAGCCAGCTCGAAGACATCCTCTACGGTAGACGACCAAGCTTTTACAAAGACCTCACCATAAAATCAATCAAGAAGAATGGTGCTCAAAATGCACAAAATATTGGCGTCATGTTGGGTCGCGTCTCCGAACTACGGGTACGTTTACTTTCCCAATCATTTTGCTGTGTATATCACTTGTGGATAAAATCTAACATACAAGCAACATAATTATAGCCTGGATACTACGGATCTCGTGGAAGTGTTGTCATTACAGAAACACTTGCTGATATGTTTATGGAAAAACTTGACCAAGACCACAACATTGAAAGATTGCGCCTTACATACATGTCTTACATCCAAATGATCCTTGCGCCGGAAACAGCCATTTTACTTATAGCTGAAGATCTGGAAGAAGGTAGAAGGAGCAAAAATTTAAATGAATGGGATCTAATGCAGATAGAAGGCGTTGAAGATCTCACATCTTATGCACGACTTCGCATGTGGAAAAGTGCACAGTTTGGTTCCATTGTATTTCCAGAAACGTATAAATAGTATCTGACAGCTTTCATTACCTTTTTTCCGATTTTTTCTTGTTGCAACAACCCATTTGTTTATCTCTCCTCCATTTCATTTCTATTTTTCTCTGTCAGACACAATTACTGTTATCCACCTTATATTAACTCTCACATGAATTAGCGTTTTAATTCTCTTATATTTTCTCTTGGATTTTACCTTTTTATACATAAACACCGACTTCTTATCACAGTAGCTTATGTTAAAGGGCTGTTTTACGCGTGGAACCACTATAGAAAAAAACTCGTACGCGTAAAAGAGCGCTGCCCGAAGTTCTTTTTTTATAAATGATTGCTAACTATATGGACTCGGTAGAAAACTCCTCCACATGAACAAGTGAATTGCTTGATTGATTAGAATCCTGATATCGCTTGGTGTGGCATCAAATATTGGGGAAAAGGCCAAGAACTTAAAGAAAAGAAGCGAATGCAAACTTATATATGCCATTACTGTATGGTGGCAGAACGGACGTGTAAGATCTCGAAAAGAACAGCGTAAATAAATCCATTGCGCCCATTTAATGAGCAGTTTGTATATCAAGAAGTATGACAATAGCTATTTATTTTGACAAGGCCATCCAAAAAAACGGAAGATTGATGGATAGACAAAAACTCGTACGCATATGCTGTTCAGTTCCTTTAGCAAAAAACTCGTACGTGTAAGACCGGCAATTGGATTGGCTATACAAGGTTTCACAACACAACCACTTTAAAAACCCGCTCAGAAAAACTCGTACGCGTAAGAAAAAAAACTCGTACGCGTAGCACTTCTCTTTTATTAATACTTTTATTATTATCTTTTATATCGATTACTTCCTATTTTTTATTATTATTTAGATTATTTTGAAAAATGTTATAGGAAGAAGCATTTATTTTATTTATAGAATCGGATGTTGAGGGATTATCATCTTTTTCATATATTCAATATTATAATGATTTATTTTAATATTTTTATTTTGATTCTTATTTTCATCTATTCTCTTTTTATTTCTTTTAATTTTATATCTATATTGAAATTTTATTTTCTTATCTTTTACTATTTCAAAATTGAACTTTTTAATATTGTTATCAAAAATAATATTAAATAATTTTATATTATGAATCTCTATTTGCTTTGTTATAAACAATTTTTTAATATTTTTTAAAAACAAATCATTATTTATTATGTTTTCAAAATCCATCTCACTCATTTTATATATATCTATAAATTCAATTTTAAAAATAAATTCAAAATTCAAAATAATATATTTTATGTATTTTTGAAACCTAGGAGCTATTCTTATAATATACTTGATCATTTTTTCATACAGATAAACAAGCTGACAATGAATACAACACAAAACCTACAGAGTGGACAAACTATATAAGGTTGGATGTGTTATATTGCCCAACAAGCTAGAAGCTTACCACCTATACTCATCGAAGTCTAATATGCAGCCAATAGTGCTTTTCCCCATCGTCTCAACAAGTATTGTCTAATGATCTGAAAGCAACAACCATTGTTGCCGATTGCAATTGTCTTCTGTATTCATCACACAAACCAGGAATTTAAGAATCTCACATACAATTGCGAGGCACTGCCATTTTGCAAGCGTGTACATTGTCAATGCTAGGCACAAGAGTGCTATTTCATCAGTGGAGCAACCATTTCTGGGTATTTGGACTATCAACCCCTCCATCCTTTAGTAGCACTTAGCCATTCTTTACCGAAGCAGAATAAACCATAATAATAGAATATTTAAAAAACTATAATTAAATTTTATATAAATACATATGTAATAATAATATAAATACAATTATTAAAAAAAAAGGTCAATTAATTTAACATATAATTGTTTCTATAGAAATATATTTGAGTTAAAAAAATAATACCTTACAGATATTTAATATATATACCTTTTCATTTTATTATATATAAATAAACATTTTTAATAGTTAAATGATAGTTTTTTTAAGTTTATTATAAAACTCAATACTTTTGAGTATAAATGTCTACATCTTCCATAATTACTAAAGATTATGTTCTGACTAATATTAAAATAACTAATTTAACTTTGAAATTTCTATATATTATTATTAACCCTTACATTATATGTTCATTATATAATATTTTCATTTTTTATAAATAAGAATATTTATTTTTACTTATTTAATTTATTTAATATGATGAATTAAAGAATTGTAAAAGGGATGGAATGATAAATAAGGAAAAAAAACCTAGCAGGTCTTTACTAGAAACGAAAATTATTATTTTTTGGTTTTTTTATTTAAAAAATGTTTTTACCTAAAAACCATTTGATGGTTCAAACAAAGGTTATTATACTACTTCAATATGAGCATTTTTTATAAGGAATATCATTTTATATTATTTTCTATATCTCAATATACACTACTACTACTATATGTTTTTTATAATATCGATACATCCGATACTACATAATACAGTACCCCTTCGATTATGCAATGTTTTGAAAAAATATCCTATTTTTATGTTTCTAACTCTATGGATAGTAAGAAGAAGTAAGCCTAACGTTAGATGTTCCCTTATACGTATACACAACTAGGGGTCGCAATTGGACGGGTCGGGTCGGGTCAAGGGTCTGACCCGTTGACCTACGGGTCAAGAAAACACTGACCCGACCCGATGCGTTCAACCCAACGGGTCAAAACTCGGGTTGACGGGTCAAGACTGATTTCAATGTAGTGATGAAGGAAGTGTCGATCAGCCTGAACTTGAGCGCTGGAAGTACAAAACTCCATATATATATAGCTCTCTAAGATGATGGCACGCAAATTCCTAGCAGTGCTAGCAACATCTACGTTTTGAGTGATTATTCTTAAAGGTAAAGGGTTCTGTGCCATCACAAAAGAAATCGCTTGAGCTCACATGCTTTAAAGAAAGCATAATATTTAAAGTGTGGTTGAAAATCGACTTCCCTATTATGCCCCTTATCCTTTTCCCTTTTCCCTTTTCTTTTCACTTCTTTCTTCTTCCTTCGATTTTCTTTTCTCAATTCCTTTTCTGTCTTTTGTTAAATCGCGTCTCTTACTGCCACCCTCTATTGTATATTCTTATTGCACTATTGCTACTTCTTTACTCCTATCATATATATTGCTTATAGCTTACTTATCCCATACTGTTGAATATAAAGTATAATCCCACAATAAAAAGAATTAAGTACGTTTTATGCTATAGTTCTATAGCAGACATATTGACAACTAATGATGTTTCCCAACAAGAAGATTGACTACTTAAATATAAGTACCTCATACATATTATACGTATACACGGGTCACGACGGGTCAACGGGTCGGGTCAAGGGTTAGACGGGTCGACCCGTGGGTCAGAAAAGCATCAACCTGACCCGTTGACCCGTCCTCAACCCGCGGGTTGGTTTTGACCTGCGGGTCAGATTGCGATCCCTATACACAACAACTATCATTTCATGGTAAGGTATATTTTACAAATAAGCCATTTCGAATTTTTGCAAATATATTGATTATTTACAATAAACAATAGTTCCCCTTATTTAGTCTAAGCACTAAAATAAGTATGGATACAAGTTTAATCTAAATATACAATATATAAAAAAAGTTTATAAGCTATATTTACATATTATTTATAATATAATGTAAAATTCAATTTTTAAATTAATTATATATGAATTAAAATTCTGATACAAAATATTCAATACTTTTATAATAAATTTTTCTTAGTTTTTCCAATCTATAATTACAGTAATAATATATATTTGACTCTATGATAACTTAGAAAACAAAAGAAAAAAATATTTTTTGTAAATTAATTTATTTGCTATATATTATATAATATAATATTAAATAAAAAAAATAATATATATATATCTTTTAATACAAATAAAAACTATCTATACTGTAATAATTGGATTATTTTATAATTTAAGCTTGTATATAAATATTATTTATTCTTTGAATAGAAACTGACTGTCTTAAGTATTGCAAAAAGGGACAATCCTACAATAAAACTGTTGTACAGGGTTGCCAAACAAATATTTAAAGACGAAGCAGCCAAGGAAGATGTACGAGAGGATGCCAATGACATCATCTGCAGTAAGGCAGTGTCGCAATCTATTCAGGTCCTATCAGTACTAGTTAAGGACGTTTCTGAACTTCAAGCTCACAAACGAACAAAAGACTGTCTCCAAGATGGTTTGAAGCTAATAGAAGAGTTATGTACTATATATATACCACTATATCATCTACAAGCACTTCGGCAATAGAAGAGCATCCTGTACCACCACTGCTATCTACCTCAGTGATTGGCAATTTGTAGACAATTACAGAAAAGAACACAGAACCAAAATGGACTAGTGAGCTTGCTATGAAGCTGGAGAAAGTACTGACCTATTCAGCAAATATACATCGTTGAAGAGTGTTCAAGCTGCATATTATTGTGTGATTAATAAAAATAAATAAACATGCTTTTATTACCCTAAAATCTGCAGAGATGTATTGTGAAGGAGATGTAGTCCATAAGTGCCTATGCAAAAGGAGACGGAGTCTACATACCTCTTGATAGGGAACTAAACAATAACAATTCTTTAATTCTAGATCGATAAGTATAGATTTATTTTAAATCAAAATTTTATATATAAAGAAAATAAATTTTTCAATTTTTTAATCTTCTTAAATATTTTATAAATGCTAAGAAAAATAAAAACAAATTGTTTTTCTTTTTTCTCTTTTCAAAAGTGTTTTTTCTCCTCCTCTACTACAACAATAACAGTTATTGAGATAATTCTTTTGTTTTCTTAATTATATATATAGAAAAACATTTAAAATCAATGATTTTTATGTTTTTATATGAACTTTAAAAATAATATATTTTAATTAACTTATAATATTCACGTATTAATTAAATTTTGATTACATAATCATAAATAAATAGCATGTGATATAATTAAAAATTTAAAAGTAAATTTGATATACAAATATTTATAAAAATGTGCATATATCTATGAACATTTATGTTCTAGTAGTTATAGAATTTATTTTCATTAAAAAAGAAACTCTCATGAACCCTTCTTAAATTAGATTGAAAATCCTAGTAGTAATATTTCTGCTAGAAACATAAATGTTTCATACAAATTAAATATAAATTATTGATGTATAACATCTAATAGTTTATGTCATAAATAATTAATAAGAGTTAATCCTCATAAGATAGTTAGTGTGATTTTAGAACAATAAAAAAGCAGCTCTCTTCTTCCCCTTCTTGCTTTTGGTGTTTTGCATTCAGGTTAACAAGACTGCAAATTTCTCATATATATATGAAATAAAGACATCAAGGCCCAAAATTGGGCTAAAAGGGTACTACTGATGGAATAAGGTTATGATTATGTGCTGCTTGTCTTTGGCCTGCAAGATTCTGCGTCTGGTTGTGGCCTACAAAGATGAATATACAACTACAACAAAATAAATAATGTATTATATTTAAGGAAAGTTCTTGTTATTTTAATTACCCCATGGAAGGCTTGCCTCCCCCTGCAACCTTCCATCTCTAAATCTCATTGACAAGTTACATTTCGTCACAAGTTCCTCATGTAAAGGAGGGGATGCTCATTACCATTCCGCCACCACTAATTAATATATTGTGTTTTATTTTTTACCAATTTAATATTATTTTACAAAACAAAATTAAAATTATAAAACAAAAAACTTATTTTTTAAAATCTAAAAGAAAATTAAAAATGAAGATAAATAATAAATAAATTATAATATTTTTTTCTAAGTATTTTTTTTATCAACAATTTTAATATATAAATATAAATATATAAAATATCTATTTCAAATAATAAACTACATAATATTTTCTATATATAATTTAATATAATATTTTATTGTAATTATTTATTCATCAAAGACAGTATTTCAGATGCGTTTGTCTTTACTCGATCGAGCTGATCAAAGATGTTACCATTGCCTTGGTGTTTAAAAGTTTGATTAATGATATCATATATAGCAATAGCAACACACAAATTCTCTATAGCTCTGCATGTTTGAGCAAACCTGCTGCTGCTTTTTCGGCGTTTTCCCTTTTCGATTCAGCGACGTATCTATACCACTTTTCTTCCATCTCTTTCATCGCTTCTCATCATTGACATCAATGTCAGCCTTTCTTAGAGCTTCTAATGCGTCTTCTTTAAGCTTGATTGTGCGGACGTCTCTGCGGCAGATGTATTGGCCTATAAGAGCAAACGTTCAGTGGATTTGCTGCAATTTGCCATATTGGTGCGATTGATATACCTAGATTGTCATCTTTTTGTTAGGCGTAAAAGTTCAGAGCAATCGTCAGTGTGAGTTGTCTGTTGGGAGACGACATATGTCGTGTCATTGATACAATCCGTTGAGGAATGACCAGAGTCTTTCCAGATGTTCGCCGTCTTGTAATCCAAATCCCATTTTCAAACGAGGGTGGAAATGAACCTGGCATTCGGGATTATGCCCAGTTATATGGAAAATGCCGACAGCAATATCAACATCCTTGATGCTGTGTAGACGAGGCGTTTTCTGGGTAATAGAAAAGAACAGTTGGCATCCCCCACATAGCTTTGCAAAATGGTTTTCAAGGATTGTCGATTACCTGCAGAGCAGTACGAAGCTTGCAACCGACATCGTACATGATTCGGATATTTGATCCGTACAGAGGTGTGTCAATCACTTTATACAAGCAGCTGAGCATGTACGTGTATCTCATTCAGCATTGGTTAGATAAGATCTGATACATTTAATGTATACTTCAAGAAACTCACTGTTCGCCTGGTGTATTCATATCCATGATGGCCACCGGATGACCATGACCACACGTACACGCGAATGCTCCTGTCTGGTCCAGATGGCTTGTTTTTACTCTCTTCTTCGAGTTGAGAGCTTTTGCCAAGTCTCACATCCGTCAGTTGCCTGGGAATTAAGGTTATTCAATATAAATGCACGCTCCATGTATGTCCTAAATATTCATACCGAGCTTTCATAGTGTATTACCTGCTCCGGCTGGACCCACCACAGGCGATCGACTTCCTCTTGGCCTTCAAAGGCGACTTCCTTCGGGTCCTTTGTCTTGGCAAAACGACGTAGTGACTGGTTTCCATCTCCAGCTATGATATTGGGACCAGACTAAAAACAAACGCTGGACATGTTTAACTCCTTAATATAGATAATTGTTTCACAGCACATAAATTAGAAACATACCGCATATCTGCATGTAGGACATGCGTCATCCAGGTCACACAGATCTCGATGCTTCTTCTCAAGATTGAGCATTAATCTCCCATAAATTGGGAGAGCTTCCGTCAGTCATTGCTTGAACGATGCAGGTATCGGAAGCTAATAGAAAGTGTGTAATCACATTAAGTGCATCCTATTTACTTATCTTTCCATCTATTAAACTAATTATACCTTGAAGTGATACTCTGCTCGAGCCCATTCAGCGATTGCATGGATCGAGACACGGCAAATGTAATGCATGTTATGAAAACTGCGCATTTGTTCGATATGGATGGCGTGCTGTGGATCAGATGGTGTCAAAGGAAAAAGATGACGACGCATCATGACAACTGGCAACGAATGTTTGGGGCATTTTTTGCGGTAAGTGATCTTGTCCGGGCACATTTGTTGATTAAGTGATGGTCTACTTTTTCAACTGTTTTTCCTTTTCTTATTCGTAAAATTGGGGAACTGCTTCTCTTCATACCACACTTGTAAACAGTCGTGACATAGGTCGTCTTCTTCTCTTTGCACGCGCAGGTCAACAAAACGTCGTCCGTAGCCTTAAGTGACTGAGGTACTGGGACCTGAACACCATAGCCTTGGATGTATGCCTCAGTAAGAGGAGGCAAGATGTCAGCCCATTTTTTGGCGGGTATTAATAGGGACACTCCAAAAAAGTGACTCGACACTCCATTTTTCCTCAAATAAACCAAATAGTTGCACAAAAATAAACAGTTGCTCTATAAATATACTAACAAAGGACTATTAAAGGAAGAGGAGTATTTGGAGTGTTGCAATCGCCACGATGGCGTTGTAGGCGTTTGGAGTGTTTGGAGTGTTTTTTGGAGTGTTTAAAGTGTTGCAATCGCCATGATGGCGTTTAGGCGTTTGGAGTGTCTGGAATGTTTAAAGTGTTGCAATCGCCATGATGGCGTTGCAGGCGTTTGGGGTGTTTGGAGTGTTGCAATTGCCATGATTGCGTCGTAGGCGTTGAGCTTATGAAATTTTTTACTACTACGATGACTGATAAAGCTACGAGATGTCTATTATATAAGTTGACAAGTTTATAAAAGAAAAAGGATAAATCCCCTTTTCTTCCTCTCTCCCTTTTCTATCAAAATGAACGCTACAACAAGAACAGATACCATGGTCGATCTTATTGGCACCAAATATGATTCGAAAAATCAGCTCCGAGCAAAGGTTCAAGAGATGGCCCTAAAGAATCAGTTTGCAACATCCACCAAGCGCAGCAACAGTCGAAATATCTACATCCACTGTATCCATGGGGGTGTCTACAGGAACTGTCATGACATCGACGATGATGAACGTGAAAGACTGGTATCGACACAGAAGACCGGTTGTGCTTGAGAGCTCTTTGGCTCACATACATACAGAAAATCAAAAAATGGGTAATTAAACGTGTCAGCAGCGCCGACAGCCACAATCATTTATTTGACAGTAACGCAGCAGCATCTTACCATCAACATCGAAACCCAACAGCTGATATTGCCAGTCGCATCTTGTCAATGACAGAGACTTCTATCAAACCAGCCAAGATTTGTCAAGAGTTACAAAACAACGACGAAGGCACAATCGTGACGATCAAGGATATCTACAAAAAATATTCAAGGACGACAAATCTGGTGCATTCAGCAAACTATTCAGCTTCTTGGTCAGCAATCAATATATCGTAAGATATCGCATAGATAGGAAAACGGAAACATTGGAAGCATTGTTCGTTACGCATCAAGTTGGCTTGGAAAAAGCAAGGCGATTTAAAGAAGTCATCAGTCTCGATGCGACGTATGGAACGAACAACAGCAAGATGCCGCTAATCAACGTTGTTGGGATCAGTAACCTTGGTACGACGTCGCTACACAATATGTTAATTGCATCAGCAGTCGTCGTCAATGAAAAAACCGACTCCTATCTGTGGGTTATGAGGACCATGCGTGATACTATTTGGCCTGAAGGTGATGTCGGTATCTTCATTACTGATAACGAGAAGGCGCTC